AAAAAAAAAAAAAAAAAAAAAAAGGGAGAGAGAGAAAGAAAGAAGTAGAATGAAAAAAGAAAAAAGAAAGAAAAATTCAATTAAAACACAGTGGTACTACGTAGCTGAAGCAAACCAAGCCATCCCGATATTGTATACAAGAGTAACGATATCCGTAATAATCTCTATACAACTGATACAATTCTGGCGCCACAAGGCAAGCTTCAACACCTTTTCTATTGGACAAGAGCCATACTAGAGCGTACGATACCGCAGAAGACTGGCGGGTTGCCCTGTGCCCTACCAACGGCGATATCCAGTTACACAGCATATGTCTAATAGCCGCTCTTCCGTCAGATCAGATCTTTGATAGTAACATACCTCTCGCATCAGCTTCGTCATTCCAGCCACAGGCAAAAGGCCCACAATGTACTTAATGCAATATCTTGAAAGCAGTCTGTTACATATCTCATGTCGCTCTTCTCCTCTTACCTCTAAGCACTCGTCTGGTCAATCAGCCGCTTTTCTGAAAGGGTTAACTGGAGGAAATCTCCACCCTAGGCCTTTTTAACACCACGGGGCTAATGATGCTGGATGCAGTGTCGATGTACTATTAATTGAGGTTTAGGGTCGGTTTCGGCCGAAACAGATACAAGACCATTGCGGAGAAAGTTTCCGCAATGAGATGAGGTTTAGCGGATCGGGCTTGCATAGTGGGGTGAATTTTGTCATTTGGACAACCACGTTACATAGTTAGGCTTAGCTCTACTACTTTATGGTATAGTTCTTTTACCCTCGATGTTTCAAATGCTTTTGGATTCGAGCCCTTTCCTTTTATCTCTCAGAGGGCTTGTTGTAGTCTTCCCAACTTGCAGGTAATTTCTCATGGATACCTGACCACCCCTTGAAGGGTACTTATGCATAACCGGATGTAGCCGACATATCTAGACTCAATGCAACGCAATGCGTGTGACCAGTCTGAGCCTGAGCTGCAATTTATCACACGTGTTCATGCTCATTTCTGCTTTCTAGCACGCAATTATCGACCACTTGCTCTGGAGGTTCAAAAATAAGTACTTTACTACAGCGATGGACACATCTAGATTCTTTATCAACTACCAAGGAGAAAAGTACGTGGATGGCTGGGCTAATATCTGGAACTTGGGTGAATTCCAGATCTGGGATAAAGAATATCCCAACCCTGCAATGGAGGATGCATTGACCCAGCACCGATCTATTCTGGGTGGTCCTCTAATCGACGATGGTCAGGGGAATCTGCGCCGCAAAAAGGCGCTGGTCCCAGGGTGTGGAAGAGGCGTCGATGTGCTCCTCCTCGCAAGCTTTGGTTACGATGCCTACGGACTGGAATGCAGTGCGGTCGCTGTCAAGGAGTGCAAGCAGGAAGAAGCCCGAAACCACCACCGGTATCCGGCCCGGGACCTGGAGGTAGGCCTGGGGAGCGTTTTCTTCATTCAGGGCGATTTCTTCAAAGACGACTGGTTGCAGGAGCTCGGGTTGCCGCTGAACTGCTTTGAGTTGATTTACGACTATAGAGTAAGCGATACCCTCCTCGATCTGATTCTTGATATTCTTTTTCTGCAAATATGTATCGTTAAAACAAATTCTCGCTCGTTTTCGTGTTTGAAGGGGGAGGTAAGAAAGAAAGAAAGAAAGAAAGAAAGCTACTCTCCCGTAATTGGTTAACACAGACTTGGGATCAAGGGTTTCCATTAACCTGATACTGTTACAATCATAGTTTTTTTGCGCACTGAACCCATCAATGCGCCCAAAATGGGCGCTTCGACATACCCAACTTCTTGCCCCGTCGCCCCACAGTAATCTGATCTGCCTCGAGTACCCCAGAAACAAAGATCCTTTGTTACCTGGCTCGCCATGGGGGGTTTCATCGGAAATATATATGGAACACTTGAAACATCCCGGCGAAACAATCCCCTACGATGATTATGGCCGATGCAAAAGCGATCCTCTCCGGAAGCCAGGTGAACGGGCGCTCCAACGGGTTGCATATTGGCAGCCCGCGCGGACGCACGATATTGGAGTAGATAGGACAGGAGAAGTTCAGGACAGGATTTCAGTGTGGCGTCGAGAGTAGCGGGTGTTCCCGTTGCGCTGTATCCCAGAGCACCGCGACGACCTTGATGGCTCGGCAGCTATTTTCGGAAGCCTGTATATATGCCAATAACAAGCCATATAATTCTCCCTATCGAAATTATGATACTGGTTAAACGTTTTCAACTCTCATGAGCTAGACTATGGGATTTCCCAGGGACATCACTGAAGCGAAGTGGGCTAAGACCAGGTCCCAATACCCGGGAGTAAGGAGGTTTGCAGAGCTTCCATTAAGATATTTACTTTGTGATGCTGTTACGTGACCCAAAATCACCAGGACTTATTCTCGCCGCGTCTAGTGTCTATATAACCCTCGTAGCTGCAGCCGGTAGGTCTTAAGATGGCATGAAATGATTAAGATTAAAGATAATGCACTATTCTAGCCTTATATACACACTTCCCGAATAGCGAGCTCGAGATAACCTCTTCCCCCTCCCCTTTCAATCGATCTAGTCAGCCGATATGGAGCGCTTAGTTCTGGGCCTTGCAGACGCCCTGATCGGCCTTCTCGTCTTGCTGTACATTGGGTTAGTTACTATAGACCACTTCAATGGCAGTTAAGAACTTACCAAGCAGAACCCTCCGTCGCAGACACCCATGGTACCGTCCTTTTTGCAGGGAGCGCCGATAGGGATCTAGAATATTCTAAGCAACCTTTCAAGGATTTGGGTCGGAGCCTGAACATACGGTCTTCTGAACGCTACCACCACCCTGTTGCTGGGGAGCTGCAAGAGCAGTAGTAATGAGGGTGAAGGCGGCGAGGAAGGAGAATCTCATGTTTGCGTTGGTATAAGTGGAAACTTGGGATCGAATATAATGTCCTGTTTAATCGTTTGCTGGAGGCTCTTGTCTTAGAATTGCTGAAGAAAAGAACAGTCGAGCTCTCCTAGGTCCTTATATATCTTTATAAAAGCTCGATTAGATAAGAGCTGTTTCTATATATACTCGGTACGTTCATCTCGGCACTCCACCGTTGTGGAAGGGAGCTATGTGTGAAGCCAATAGTTTCCGAACCATTGGTATGATTTGCAGGGCTGTAACTCTATCAGGCATGTGAGGCATTAAGGTACGTGCAATCTCCACACAGGCAATAGTCTACATCTTTCATCTATCATCAAGTCGTCGTATAAAATCTCATATCATTACAGCTAATATTCAGGTGAAGGAGTCTGCAGGAAGATGAGTATGGCGCATACTCTTTAAACAGCCAGTCTATAGGCATGAAGTCCTTTCCCTACGGAGTACCCCATGCCTCCTCTGCCATAATTCCTGCTATCCGGTTTTACCGACAAGGCGAGTTTGAACGTGGAGTTGTTGTGGGTGTGTCTACTAACGTGGTAATGATATTCTCTCGGAAGCTCTTGGCAGTCGCAGATCTCAAGGCTACCTACCCCTGATGTTCTCATTCCACTATCAACATTTAGCTGACTGAGCGTAACACCTGGCTTGTGATTAGCGTGCTAATTCCGGAATTCCGTCCGTCCTTCCCCTCGGTCAGCCAAAGTCTGGGGTTGGCACAGGGGCTGAAATAGGGGGCCTTGATGTCTCTCTCGAACCACAACTCACAAAATCACATCCTGATAGCTAACCTCCTTTTTCCTCGTCCTAGCCTAAGACATAGATTACTTGACCTCCAATTAAGGGTTGTAATAACTAAGAAGCTTGTGAGTCCCATCGGAATATACTGAGACCGAGTTGAAGGGCGCGAAATTCTGCCCAGGAACCCACAGTGGGGTGACGATCACCATCTCCGTTTTGGGTAGGAAATGGCTCTAGAATCAACTTTTCCTCCAAGAACTAGTGTCTAAGTGGAGGGACTATTCTTATGGTGATGCTTTTTTGGTCCCCCGCTCCCTACGTAAGCCTGCGGCATTCTATAGACAACCCAGGATTAAATTAGGTAAACCAACTGATTCCGGCCCGAGCAACATTGATCTTTGCTATATTCAGGGTGAACACTGTGAGTCACCTCTTCTAAACTAAGCGCTGTGTAGAATATACATACGAACCTCTGAAAGCCGTTCGTTCCTCAACCACCGTATTCTTCCTAGATAATGTGAATGTCTATCTCTATCTCTTATAGGGAATGGCGAGATCACCCCGTCCGTCCGTAGACTTGAAGCAACACCGATATCATCGATACAAATTATGTAAAGTGAAGAGATGTACTCGTATTGTGACTTTATGCACATCCAGGGCATATCGCCCTTGGAAACAAAATGTATTCGATTCCGGAACCTCAGCCCAACCGTCAGTTTCCTCGTCGATCATCCATGACCAAGCTTCTTCTTTAGCGTGCTCTCAAAGGTCCAACTCAATTTTACGAAAAGTTTAAAATAAGCAGTTAGCACACGCATACAGGAACCTGGACGCCGCACATTATTGAAGAGTTAAAGCGCGGAAGGCGGAAAGCTGTGCCTGGTGTCCGTCGTTCACAACAGCTTGGTTTCTGAACTTATTCAGGAACACGCACTGTACTGTTGAGCGTAATACAGAGTATTTAGCCGTGCGAAACCTTCCTTTAATCCTTAGACTTTGGCTAATTCTACACTATGTCGTAGGAAGGAGAGTTAGATTTCTAGAGTGTCTCGATATTTGTGCCGTCATTGGTGACAGAAACTTCAGCTTTCGTGGTTCTGGAACTATGTTTCCCTTGAATGTCCTTAATAAGATCTTCAAGAGCCTCTCTAGTGAGCTGTTCCTAGTATTATGGAACTGCGTTGAAGGGCCCGCGCGAGACATTGCAGGAAGCTCCATCGTCCCTAGCCAGACTGTATATATCCATCTGGTGCGGTAACTTGCAGAGGAAACCCGAAGACATATCAAATGCACTCCGTCATGGCGTTTGTTCTGCTTGGCGATAATGATCTTTCTAGCACATGAGCAATTTCATCCAACAACTCGGTTGTAGGGCGCTTGGTGCGGAGTTCAACCTGCCGAGCGTAATACATGGCGTCGTCGCGGAAGGCTTGTAGGAAATCGATAGAGTCATCCGGCTTCTTCGTCCGGGCTACCATTTTCATCGTTGCCACATACGCCTTTAGTAAAGATAAATGTGCGTCGAAGTTTCTTGGAAGGTTATTGCTGAACTGCAGCTGCATTTCATCCGCTAGAAAATCCCTGAATGTTCGATGCGAAAGCCCAACACGAAAACGCAGGGCACGCTGGTCATTCCATCGTTGAGATACATGTAGAAGGCCTTTATACCTGCCATCGAGCTGTCTGCGGGCTTGATCCAATTGCTGCCGAGTCTCTCGCATACCGAGGGGCTTAGCGCCCTCTACGAGGGCGTAGTTTTCATCCTCAAGCTCACTTTCGACAAAGGTATACACCATCAGAGGGAGGGGCTCAGGAGCCGTCAAGGCGATCGTGAATATATGCGACACACAGGTCTCGTAGATTGGATCCAGCGATTCTAGCATGTATTCAAAGAACATGTTAAGATCGCCCGGGATCCTTCTTAGCCTTTTCTGTAGAAAGGACAAGGTGTCCCCATTAGATATCCCTTCACGAAGTAAGCGAACTACCAGAACCAGCCAGAGGAAGACACCCTGAGCCCTCTCCGCGATTTCAGTAACGAAAGCATGATAGCGCGAGTCTTTTTGTACTAGCGATTCCCATTCTGGGTGAAGACTGAATTCACTCTGTATGTACGCCTTCATGTCGTCTTGGGTGAGATTCTCGAGGTACAATTTATGGTCAGCTCGCGCCCCATAGGCGTCTTCAAACATACCCCATGGCCGACTTGACAGACATATTTTGATGTTTTCTGATTGAGCTAAAGAGTCGAACAGGTTGATAATCTCCAAATGATCGCCCGTATATTCGTCCAAACCGTCAATAAAGAAGCAGAACTTCGATGGGATAGTGGTTTGGCCAACAAGCGTGTTCAGTGCCTCAAGTAGGTCCTCTAAACACCATGCGCTGTCACCCTGCTGGTCGAATTTGACACCTTCCCATCTTGACAGGCATGTAACGCAAATCAGATCCGGGTGGTATCTAAATATGTCATAGAGAAGAGTTTGCAGTAGACCAGCCTGCGACTTTTGCATGGCGGTGCCTGCGCCGCAGAAAAAGTAGCTAGCGACAATCAACCTCTTATTCCCCGCCCATAACCTCAGACTGTCATGGGTCTCTGGATGAGTGGCTAAATATTTCATCACAGTCGACTTTCCCGATGCTGGTTTACCAGAGACCCAATATATGCCGCTATCTGACCGGAGCCAATTATGTATCCCTAGATTTGTTGAAGAGCCGGTGATAGTTCCTGTTTTTGTTTCAAATATCCAAGTGAAGGTCTTCTCATGGGCAGCTTTTATCCTCGTATGGCGGTCCTTCATCGCTCGAAAGTATAGTGTCCGAAGGAATCTTTGTACGTTGCTGGTGTACGATACGCTTTGCGCTAGGTCGGATATTGCAAAGACCAGATGAGCCAGTTGATGAGGTTCAATAGTAGTAGATGTGCCCATCCGCGCGCTAATTACCTGATCCCTAATTTCTCTGAGGCTGTTCGTAATATCCTTGAGCCGGCGGGTCTGTTTCATTTCCATCTGCTGATTCTGGTTCTTTAGCCTTTGTAGCTCATGTACTATACTGGATTGTCTATCTCCAGATTTTTCCAGTCAGCGCAATACACTGCATTATGGTGGGGTAATCTACCGTAGGATAATACTAAGTACGATTGTCATCTCCTTTCTGTACGCCTCCAGCCGTCCTTCTAGCATATCAATTTCTTTCTTCTTCCACACTACTCGCAAGGTTAGACGAAAAGAACCGGCGACACGGGGAGAATTGTGCTGGAGCTGTAATTCATTGACCACGGCGAGTAATTGTTCACATAGGGCTTGACAAGACTGCGCAGTGGTTTGAAGTCTCAGCTCCGGAACTGACATCGAACCATCGCTTGACCACTTCATTGCAAGTCGACTCGCGAGACCCCACCTCAGTCGGTGTAGCGTTGTGTATATTTCATTTAGACCGGTGGTTATAGGCAGTCCGTCGACTGGTTCGCCATTACCCAGGGACATTAACTTAAAGCTAAAGTCAAGGAACTGGAGAATGGCGCTGGAGAGGCTAAGTTCTGGAAGGATATCGACTTCCATGATTCATATCTTCATTCCCTAACTGCCCAGCCTAGAGAACGACCTGAGCCGCATTCTATGGAAAAGGTTATTCTGGGTGCGGATTTAAGGAAGAACAAGGTGGCTGAGATGAGAAGAGAAGAGCGCACGAGTTATGACAGGCTACGAAGAGCGGCCTTGGAAATTAAATAACGCGCGCAACTAGCGGGGTAAGGAATAGGCGCTCGTTCCAGATAGTTAAATTAGCCAAGAAAGTAGTTCCTCTTCTCTGTTGCTCTTAACGCGTGGCAGTCGAACTAGCTTTTATCGCTTCATGGATGTAGCTAGGGCATTCCACAACCACTGGCTACCAATCTGCGATATTTCGGGTGCAGGAAGAAGGTCCATTCGAAAGTGTTTGTTCGAAGACACGCATCATACGTTAATTAAAATTTCCGTTGCAGATTAAAGCAACGAGACTTGACTAAGTCTCCCTTTGGGGCCAAATTAACGGGGTAAATAATTGGCCGGCCGAGTTCTACCAACTAGGCAGTCAGATTATATACAGTAGTGAAAAAGTACAGCAAGCCATTTGTCGTAATATGACATGGCCCAAGATGGCCTCTACTTCATACATCGTGGTTTCATATCTGCTCATATCTGCCACAGTGAAGTCAGCATATCCACCAGCCGCCTCATCGTTCCATTTCTCGTCGCTTTCCAGAAGGCAACAGCCTTAGCCAAGAGACAAGTTCGCTGTGTGCTGTCAGTGGTATACGTTCCCAGAACTACCATCGGCCAACCGTAGTATTCGGCATAATAGTCTGCCAAGGGGTCAAGCTGGTTAACAAGGTACATGCCCTCACAGACTAATTCTGCCAAAGAGCTATCTGGGGTTAAGCTGTTCGTCATATGCCTTAGAAGTATCTTCGAGACAACAATATACAGCCTCGGACCTAGTAAAAGAGGTGTTCGGAAAGACGTAAATATGCGATCGTCTTCAGTGGAATGCACGACGTTATCCTCGGACAAGGGCTGTGGCTCCTTGAAATCTTCGCCTAGCTGAGAAAGAAGGTCTTGTAACTCATAACATCTTTCAATATCAACGCCTTCTGTGGAGGACCTCTCGTGCATTAGTGCGATCTCCCGGGCATATACAAACAGCTTGGGCGGCGCCCCAAGCACAGGCGACTCAGGATATATAGGGACCCTCCATCGGAACATTTTTTGGAGTCTACTCTCGGCTATTGAAAGAGCGGCCTCGACAGGCTCGGGCTGTTCCATCGTTTGTTGGAAGGGGATACTGGTCGTCGCATGGAATATAAAGGCCTCAAGCATGAGACGGGCTATGGCGGTGTCTGCTTCCGATCCAAACTCGGACGGTGAATTGTCATGTCGAAATTTTAGCTGAATCAATTGTGCCAAACCAAGGATATGAGCATCTACCCCCCTTGAGAGGCGTGGCTTTGATCTCTGGATCCTAGCATCAGTACCATTGGACCGCATATCGATATATATACGTACCTCATAGATGCACAACATGAGCGATGTTCTGATGATTGCAGTATTTTGTACATCTGACATACCGCTATCCAAGCTTTCGCGCAATCCAGCAATGGCTTTGACGTAATGAACGCGGGCGAGCTTCTGAAAGTGTTCTTGCGTATCTATATCGTCCACTGGTATTTCTGTACCACAGCAGGCTAGAAGCGAATGCATATAGAAGGGAGTACGTGTTGCGAGTGCTAAAGATTCCTGAAATGCGGACTCGATGACGGTATCATGGGCCAGTGGTCGAACCAGTTGGCGGAGAAACACCGCCTTTAGAAACTCAAATAAAGGAGCACTTGCAGGAGTTACGGCGGGAGACGGATGCATCGTCCATGGCGTAGAGTGGAGGATAACAGGGGCGCTATTATGCATAGTCAAGGTTCTGTCGCTATGGCTGCTTGGGCTAGCACAAGTCAACCGCAGGATTTCATTCCCGGTACCCAATGAGCCGGCTGCGCAGTCTGCCGTAAAATCATAATGGACAACATGCCAATCATTTCCCAAGCGTTGGGGTGCTCTTCCAGACTGATCACCTCTGTTGGGTGATGGACATGCTGTTGTTGGATACTTTTGAGTGCCGTGGGCGTTTACTGGCCATTCGCAGGGCAGCCATCTTCGGGCGCAGTTGGAGCATGTTCCTGGGGTCTCATCACATTTCTTCTTCCTCTTTCTGCCTGTGGGGTGGGTTAGTTTACAAGAGATTAAAGACGGAGGTATGAAGTGGAGAGTACCCACATGTGAGGCAGCCAGTTTTTGTCCTTAGATGCGCTGGTCGTCGACGGGGTGGACGGTAGTTCTTCGTTTGAGATGTCATTTCAGACAGTCTTGATTTGAACTCCAGGACTACTATACTAGGACATGACCTTCCCCATACCAGTGGAAATTAGGGCCTACCGATGCACATGACCTACTCAGAAGGAGCGTTCCACGGTAGGTAAGCGTAGAATGATATTGTTTTTGGGGTTAGACGACGCAAGGTTAGCTCTAGCGAAGACGATTCAGAGGCCGCTTAGCAATCTTGTCAGCGATAAACCGCTGGCAAATAGGCCTACTAATCCCGAGAGCTTGGCCCAATGGGGAATGTGTACCCTACAACGAATATAGTATATGTCCTGGTGTACGATGTAGTGGCAACAAGGTTTTCAAACCGATGCTCAGTATTCTCACGATACGGTCAATTGCCGTGGCGAATCCACTATCTGATAAGGCATCAGCATTCTGATTCAATGACACACTATCGCCAAGTGCTTATCATTTGTGGAGAGAGATTTGGTTGTGGGGTGGAACGCACTCGAGTCGTGGTTTGCGGGGTTCAACTCAAGGATCGATAGTATAGTCGAAGAGATACCGTCTGTTGGCGAGATCAAGAGGCGTTGAGCAAGAGATGGAGGTTTGAATTCGTGATAGATTTGCTCTTTTGCTGCGGAGAACCGACCATGTCATAGGCATTGCCATTGGCCAATCCAGCCGAGGAGGACCCATTCTGGCCATTTCAACCAATGGCAACACTTTGCGCCATTCTCTCCGTATCGGGAAATTTATATGGAGTTCAAACAGTCCTACACACCATCCTTCATTATTCTACTAAATGGGCTGTACGGATATCTTGTATGGATTGTTGAATTAACTATCTACTACAGTTTCTTGAATTTTCTTATACTACACAAAGCATAACGCATTATATATATACCATGGCACTCGCTCTTGGGGTGTCTGTGGATGGATATTATACCTTGACTCAATCTAAACCTAAACGAATCTACCACGGCGAATGTTGTCAAAGACCCCTATCTCTTGGATTACTGGTTTCTCAGTCTCGACACTGATCTTCCCTTTCATCGTTCATCTTTAATTTACCTGGAATCCTTCAAAGGGAAAGTAACCAGTTCCCTAGTCTCGATGACAGAGTCATTTGGCGTAAGACAGGATAATGAGAGAAGGCCGTCAACACCGCCTGGAACGGTGTACTTTGGAGAAGGTAGATATCCAAGGTGCCCTTGTTAATATGTGGAGCTAACTGTGGGATCTTCAAGGACGTATTGATCTCGATGGAGCCGAAGATGGTGACGGTCATATCATTCTCCAGCCGCGACCATCCAACGACCCTAATGAGCCGTTGGTAAGCTTTCCCTGATGGCCGTCTTTTATAATTACTCCCTGGCATATTGAAATGGCAGACCTGCTAACCATGACTACTGCATAGAACTGGCCGACGTATCAAAAGGCGATCAACCTTTCAATTGCATGCCTGTTTACCTTGATGGTTTTCGCAACGTATGTAACTTCTAGTTATTATATAGCCTTCACTGGATGTTGACGGATAGCCAGCCTTGATGTTGGGACCGTTATCTGGCCCTCTCTGACAGCTGAGCTCGGATACAGATCGAAGTATCTTAATGACAGCTACGCAGCTGGATTGGCAGGTCTTGCCATCGGTTGTATCTTCTTCATTCCTGCAGCTGTTCTATTCGGAAGGAAGCCCGTGTATATCTTTGCTTCTTTGGCAATGGTATTGGTCAATATTGGCCAAGCTTTATTCCAGACACGAGTCCAATATATCGTCCTACAGGTTTTGGCAGGGCTCGCTGGCTCTGTCAATGATACCATCGTTCAGATGACTGTAAGTGAGGTTTTGCCAGTACTGTTTGTCTATCTTTGACTTTAACACGAATGAGGTGGTAGATTGTGGATCTCTTCTTCGTCCACCAGCGAGCAACCATGAATGGTATTTATTCCACAACGGTGGTCATCGGCGTAAGTCTGGCTAGACTGTCATAAATACCCGTTTCTCCTGAAGCTAACTACCATTCCTGTAGACATACCTCAGCCTGATTCCAGCGGGATATATAATCAAAAGTCAAGGGTGGCGTTGGGTATGGTGGTGGTGTGCTATTCTTAACGCATTAGTTCTGCTGTTGATAATCTTCGCTTACGAGGAGACTAAATATGGGAAGCCCACAGGGAACTGCTATGTTGGCGAAGACCCCCGGGCGATGGTACCACCACAGGAAAAGCATCCTGAAACACCTGCCACCCACGAGAGCAAAGACGCAATGCCACCCAGCAATGGCATAGTCCCATCCATGATTGAGGAAGAACTGACCCCCAAACGGAAGACATATTACGAGCGAATGACCACTTTTGGACCCACCGCCAACGTCACCTTGGAGGTATATTGGCAACATATGTGGCGCCCATTCCTCCTGCTGTTTCGCATTCCTGCAGTGCCTTTCGCTGGGATGCAGTATTCCTTGATGATGTGCTGGGTGGCCATCCTGGCCATGACACAGCCTATTCTGTTCGCAGCTCCTCCCTACAACTTCTCATCAGTAGGTGTGGGGAACATCAACATCGCACCATTTTTGGGTGCCGTCATAGGGTCTATTTATGGCGGTCCGCTTAACGACTACTACGTCGTGTACATGGCTCGGCGACGAGCTGGAATCTATGACCCGGAGCTAAGATTGCATATGCTTCTCGCCCCGCTGATCATTTGTCCGCTGGGTCTCTTCCTTTATGGAACTAGCATTGCCAATGTGTGTTTCGCAAATTTCTCGCAGAGGACCAAATCACTCGCTAACGGAAAATTCCTTTAGGAGCAACCATTCATAATCCCGTTGGTTGGATCCACGTTTGTCGGCTTTGGGATCGGATCCGTAACTTCGATTATCCTGCCGTACTTTGGAGATTCCTATCGTGAGGTATGCATTGACTTTTTCTTCATTCTCTTTTCTAGATTTCTTTCCTTTTTCTTTCCTTTTTCTTTCCCTTGTTCGGTTTACATACCCTTCTCCAGTTTTCTTCTGGATGTCGTTGTTGACCTTTCTCAGCTTGTCGCCGAAGGCCTTGTGGTCATCACAATCATCCGTAATGTGGTCTCAACAGCCATATCATTTGTTGTGAATCCCTGGATGAGCGGGCTCGGTGTTCAGAATATGTTCATTAGTGCGGGATGCTTGTGTTTTGGCACCATGATATTCGTGATTCCTATGATTATCTGGGGCCGCAAGGCACGCAGCAAGACCACTGACTTCTATTTGAGTGTTGTGGCACGAGGTTGAGGATGGTGGCTTGTATCTATGTACATTATGCCACTATAGCAAATATCAATGAACAGCGGTAGTTATTGTCCTCGTGCAGTTATATTATAGTAATAGAGACGGCTCCTATAAGCTGAGCGTCGAGTGTATTGAGTGCAGCACTAAAGTGCCCATACGCACAATGAGCTATCATGCGCTTCGCATGTCTCGCTTATAGATGCTCTCTTCAGTATCTTCAAAAAGCTCTCTGAACCTTTATGAAACAACATGCCAAGACGACATACCGGCGGGAAGCGTCGGCTGCATAGACCAATAGCGTCACTTTGCGCAGACACCCTCGAGTACAACGAGTACAACAGGGCACATAAATCCCTCCTACTCCCCTTTACACAAGACACATACAGTACATCAACACAACACGTTGTCTAGAATACTACCAGTTCAAAGCCATTAAATACCCCACAATGGCCTCCACAATCTTCGCCAATGCCCGCATCTTTACCCCAACCACCAACAACCCATCCGGGTACGAATTCCACCAAACAATGCTCATAAACAGAGACCAAATCCAATACGTCGGATCCCCAAGCCACGACGCAATCAAACAAGCCAAAGCCTCTGGCGCCCATGAAATCGACCTACAAAACAAGATCGTGGTCCCAGGTTTCATAGACAGCCACATGCACATCATCGACTTCGCTCTATCACAGCGCAAGCTAAATCTCCTCTCATGTAAATCACTAGATGAGATACGACAAGCCATCAAATCTTTCGCGAAAGCTCATCCCACCGAGCCCCGGATTGTCTGCAAGGGCTGGATCCAGTCTACCACCGGTGGACAGGCGTTGGCGAGTATGTTGGATGATCTGGATCCGAGGCCGATGTATATCCATGCCAATGATATGCATTCAGGGTGGTGCAATACTGCTGCATTAGAGGAGTTGGGGGCTGCGAAGTTGGCAGATCCACCTGGTGGGACGATTCATCGGGATGCAAATGGGAGGCCGTCGGGGTTGTTGAGTGAGATGGCTCATTTGGGGATTGTGCCGCAGTTTTTGACCAAGGTAACTCCGTTGGAGGATAAACTGGCTGCATTAGATGAGGCGGCGGAGGCCTATACGGCCGCTGGGTATACGGGGATGATTGATATGGGGATGGATGAGGTTGAGTGGGAGGTGTTGAGGACGTGGCGTCAGCGTCGTGGTGAGAGCTTTCCGTTTCATATCGCAGCGCATTGGGTCATTCCGTATAACCAGGACCGGAATGTGGTGTTTGGTGTTGTTGATCAAGCGATCGCGATGCATCGGGAATATAATCAGACTACCTCCCCGGCTTTCTGTGTTATGGGGATTAAATTGATGTGCGATGGTGTTGTTGACGGATGTACGGCCGCATTGACAGATCCGTACAATGGCTCGGAGAACCCAGTTGATCCTATCTGGCCGACGGATCTTCTTCAAGCGGTCGTTAAGAAGGCTGATGCGGCCGGGTTGCAGATCGCTATCCATGCGATTGGAGATAAAGCCGTTAAGAACGCTATCGATGCCCTGTCTCAAGCACAGCCAGGGCGTCGCCATCGCGTCGAGCATCTCGAGCTAACATCTCCTGAGGATGCAAAGCGCCTTGGGCAATTGGGCATCACGGCATCGGTTCAACCAGTGCATTCGGACCCTGCTCTGTTCCGTGCGTGGCCGGAGCTGATCGGAAAGCATCGCTGTAGCCGCGCATTTGCCTACCGTGAGTTCCTCGATGGCGGCGCCCCAATTGCCTTTGGAACAGACTCACCAACGGCGGCTCATCCGGCCTTGCCTAATCTATACAATGCCACGACACGAAAGTCGGCTATCGAGCCCGAGTGTACGGAAACGGTCAACCCTCACTTTGTACTGCCGTTAGCTGCCGCTGTCAGTGCGGCCACGACAGGGGCAGCCTATTCACGCTGGGCGGAATCATGGACAGGGTGTTTGAAGGCTGGGCTGAGTGCGGATTTCGTAGTCCTGGATATGGATTGGGAAGCGGAGAGCTTACTCAAGGCCAAAGTAGAGCAAACATGGGCTCGAGGACGAAAGACATTTCATGCAAGTGCAGACCCCAGACAATGATGAGCTGGTATCTCATCGAAGCACGTACTCTATTCAGATACAACCTAAGTCTAAGTAAAAACATATTATAGCAAACCCTTTGACATTCTGACCCTTCCACTAATGCTTTTCAAACGTCTATCACGCTTATATTCAACTATTCTATCTGTAGTCACGCAAGGAGACTGGGTTATGTTAGTCAAGCGCTTGATTTGGCTTATCATTTACCATATGAACCTACCAAGGAGATTCCCTTCATCCACCTTACCTCGCCTGTACATTCGTCTCCTGTCGGCGCTGCTCTTGGGACGTTCGTGCGTCCCGCATGACAGGGTGTGGTTGTTGCTCATGCGCGGATTGATTAGAGGCTGACTGTTGCTTTGCCTTTTGCGATTTGCGGATGAAGAGTGGCAGTAGGAGACACATAGTAGCTACTATCGATTGCCCAAGGAGGGATGATGAAAAGAGATAGAGAGAGAGAGAGAGAGAGAGCAGCAAGTTGAGGAAATCACCAGGAATTATGAAACGCTGTAGATACGATGCTGTTGTGAATCCCCTAGATGCCGCAATATATAAGCTTCTTGAAATGATTTGAATGGTCAATTAGACCTATTAACTTGGTGTTTTCTTCTACCACCTCAGGTATTTATAGTCAAAGTAGACCTGAAAACGTTTTCGTTTCGAATGAACTGTAACTTCTCTTTCCGGCAACCGCTCCATCTCACAGATTATCAGCATTGAGCTATGTCTTACGCTAATTACGCAGTTGAAGGCTTAGCAGAAGGTGGAGCAAAGGGCGTCAGCACGAGTGGACTCGGACCTTTCCCAATGCGGTAACCAATTCGGTATGCCCCCTCCAACATGGTCTGTATATGCAAAGAGTGTAGCCTACAGCGTAAAGCTGAAGTTAGTCAGTGATATCCTACTGTATACATTCACTCCAATTAATGTGCTTGTAATCAGTGTTAACTCGCAGGACATCGTCCTGACCAACATAGAAGATTCCTATGGTTGTGGAATCGAGTAGAGAAGACAAATAACAATTTGGAGAAAATAATTGATACATAAAAGCTTCACTTTCTCCTAGAAATATAGGCAGTGTAGTTATATATTGAGAGAGGCTATTTAATACAGAAATGTGGTATATTATATTCCCATGTTAATTAAAGTCATAAGTCTAAAACGCCCGGAATGCAAATAATAATGGGTATCACGAAGCCCCTCGCACGAAGCCTGCAAATCTATACGGGTTTCATATACGCTACAATACATACGCTCTCTCAAGCTGACATCGTCTCCCGCTTCTCCCCTACGTTCTGATGGGCCCGAATATTCCTAGTCGAAAGTCCAGCAAAGAGCAGCGACAGCACAGCAAGTACTTCAGGAAGGAAGATTAGCACGACACGGACCGCCATCGTGCCAAACACAGAACTGAGATCCTTTCTCTGCGTGCATACAGCGACGACGTTGGAGATAACGCGAACGCCGGTGAAGATGAGGGCAGCGAAAGCGCCGTACATCAGCTAATCAATTCCCACACGCGTTAGCGATCCGGAAATGCAACTATAAAGCTGTAAAAGTTCACATACCTTGGTACCGTCCTTGTAGCCCGGGGCGCTTTTCCGATGCTGAGACGGATGAAGCGAGAGCAGCGCCCATATGACTATCAATACCCAAACGGCGACAATCAAACCCGCTCCCACCTTCCAGTGTGAGAGGTCTTTGGGCAGCGCTTGACCCTGGTAGACTTTCAATGACCCTCCGATGCTGAGGCCGAGGCCAGCGCCCATCACACTCGTAACAACAATGATCGCAATGCGGCCGAGGAGCACATTGTGCTCTGGATGGCGATAGTATCGACTGTTGACGGTCAAATTGTGTTGGGAGCTTACATATATTCGGATGGAGGATATATACGTACGCCTCGTGTACCAGCCCGTCAACCGCCAACAGCAACGGGGATAGTCCGACCGCAGTAATGACGTTCGCAGCGATACTAGTACTATCGCTTATGCCTATACCACCTCCGACTATCCGGATAATACAGAAGACGAGAATGTTGTTCCAAGGCAACCAGCCGATCCATCGATGCGACCAGTAAACATACAACACTATGGGGGTGAAGAAGATGTAAATAGCAAGGTCGGCTGGGAAGATGCCGTTCATGGTTGTTCGATAAGTTTGTATGCCCGTTTATGGCGGGAGAGATCTTGCAAGAGAGGGCTCGAATTGAAGCGGGTATGGTTCAATAGCAAGAAAGCCTTTAGTTGAGAGGATAACGCAAGATATAATCGAGTGCTTGATATGTACAGTACAAGTCTTAAGAGGGAGAACAGGACCATTTATCTATTCGGTCTTCCAGGTTGTCATCTCTGCAGTCAGGGCTGTATACTTTTCCTTTTTGGGCATGTAGCGCGTTGGGCTGAACTAGATTGATACGATGTGGCTCAGCGAGCGCTTCAAGACGGGTCCACTATTTTTTGTTCTTCGATTTACACCCTATTTAGAATATACGAGACGAGTTATTCTATATTTGCTCTTTACTGTCTACCGGTCGTAAGTCTCTCTAGGGCTGTAATATCTCAGTGCATCTCATGTTAACTGCAAGCAGTTCTGGGAACTCTCGGCCGAAGTTGTTGCAGCTAAATAAAAGGGTAACATAAGGAAAACACATAGCAATCATGAAGTAAAAGCGGCAGGCTCCCACTAGTGAATCAGATTGGTTTAAGTTATGGCGTTAGGGCCAGAAGTTGAGGAGAAATCTGACCGATCGGCAATTCCCAGGAACCTCTAGACAAAGGCTCAGCAGACTGTTGTGGCAGTGACTCAACCCGAGTTGAGCGATAGGCAACAGAGAAAGGCTTGTTTGAGGCCCACTAAACCCGATGGAGTATATAATTCGGAGCCAGCCCTCGTCGAATGAAGCCTTTTGGCCCCCTTCTTGGCACTGGTCGAGTCTTTCCATTCTCCCCACTACTACTTTTACTACCACTACCAACATTACTCTTTCCGGTAACCAACTCGTGGCCTTCTGCCCCCCTGATATTCGCACCTCAATGGTCTACCGAGGGAAGCCAAGTCCCGCTTGCGAACCTTGCCGCACTAGACGCCTTAAGGTGTGTGGCTGGTCACTCCATATCAACCTATCACAAATATAACTAATTCGGTACAGTGCGATCAGCGGCGACCGTCCTGTTCGCAATGCATCCGCGCCAAACGAGAATGCTTGGGGTACCGCGATGTCACTGCTCTCAGTTTTTATGATCAGAGCAACGAGATAATAGGCAAGGCTCGTCTCACAAAGGCGACGTCGAAGGCACTGTCATGCCAGCGTCCCATGGCCAAGAGCCACCGACAGTCGTCACCTGTGGTGTTCCCATCTCTCACATTTTCAGTGAACGACCAAGCCACAGGGTTTGTCTTTTCTCACTATGTCAGGAGTGCTAAACATACCAGAGGCCACCTTGACTTTCTTCCAAGCCTTCTCCAGACGGATTCAAGCCCCGCCGTCACAGCATGCATGAGTGCCGTGGGGCTCGCATCCCTGGCCAACATTCATATGTCCCCGGAGTTAATGTTAGCTGCACGTCAAGAGTATAGTGTTGCCCTGGCCGAGACTAGTGCAGCCCTACGCGACCAGGAAGCCGCCACCAGTGATTCAACCTTGGCAGCGGTCGAATTACTGAGTATGTATGAGGTGAGTAATCACTCGAAATTGACTGGTCGCTCTCACCTGACAGCCAGCGTAGATCGTGGCGTGCCAGGGTCCACCTCTCATAGGGCGCTGGTTGAACCATATAGAAGGAGGCGTGAAGCTGATTGAGCTGCGCGGGGCCGATCAGCTAAATCGTCAAGCCGGGTTAGAGCTTTTTACGCAGCTCCGACTGCAAATTGTACGTGGCGTGTATAGTCAAAAGCATTCAGCGGCGATGGGCTAATGTCATGCGACGACAGGCATTGGGTAACATATATAAAAAAGCCAAAACTCCGTCATGGCTCCTGGACTTGTCCCGAGAAGCCCTAAAGTACCGCGGGGATACCGGAGACCAAGTACTCGACTACTTCTTTCGCATACTGGTCGAAGTCGGTAATCTGGTCGCAGCGATTAGAGAAAACACTTATGATCATTCGGCCACGGTTCTTCGTAGTGCTCTCAATCTCGATGCGGAGTTGATTACATGGGCGATGAGCATCGACCCGAGATGGAAATACACCGTCGTCGAGGTGAAGAAGACCGACGATGAGGACCATAGGCTCCATCCCATCTACGGCGATCATTATCATGTTTATCCCAACATGATGGTGAGCATGGTTTGGAACAATTATCGCTTCACGCGCATCATTCTTCATGAGGTCATTCCATTCCTCTGCAGCCGTCAATCGCAGGAATTGGGAAGGGCACCTACGCACGGGCCGAGCGAGGCACACAGTGCAGCCATCACCCAGCAATTGGCGGAGGATATATGTGCCAGTGTGCCATACCATTTAGGCAAGGCCGGCTCATCGGATGGCTCAACTCTGGGCATTCCGTTTGCTGGGGGCGTACTTCGCTTAATGTGGCCTTTGTTTATCGCATCGGATTGCCAAGGTTCATCGCCGGAGATGCGGGCATGGATCGCGCAGTGTCTCGACAAAATTGGACATGGCGTTGGGATCAATATGGCACTGACCATGGCTCAGATCCTTCGGGATGATATGCATCTAAACTGGATGTCTGAGGGAGAACCTAGTATAGTGAAACGATGCCGAGAGCCATACATTTTGCGTAACGCGTCATGAATGAGTAGATATATCATCCATCACCATATACTTGTTTAGATTACATCACGGTTGTTATGTACATATACGGGCTGGGAATCAAATCTTCATTTTGCCTTGTCAAGGACAGCCCTTAACGCTTCTACTTCATCATGACTGACCGTTTCCGCCGATGATAGAGCAAGGGCTGCAGAATGGAATGCGGGAGCGCGTATTCTCTCTTGCAGTATTCCAAGGTTGGCCGCTCTAACGCCTCCGCCCACAATGATCTGAGGCAATCGATCGTCACTTTTCACGCGTGCCTCTAGTCGCTCAAGCCGGGCGTGTACCAGGCTTTCCAACTGATCAACGCATTCAATCGCAGTACTACCCGATGGCCCTCCACTGGTCAAGATCGAAGTAAACCCGCATTCCACGATATCCTTCAGTGTCGCATCCCACTGCGACTCTGGAATCAGGTCGAACGCGCGATGGAAGGTGCACGGCTTGCCTTTTGCCAGCTTAACCAATTCTTTGTTTCTCGCGACATCAATTACTGGGGTAGCTTCCCCTGATCCTTCCTGTATTGCAGAATTCAGAATCCCGAACACGTAGCCATCTGCCCCTCGCTCATCGAGCATGGAGATTGTACACTTCATGGCTTTGAAATCTGCATCGCTATAATAGAAGCTCTCCGCATGCGGCCTGATCATCACGTAGACCGGGATAGAGAGTTTGCATTTTAATGTGGCCAGAGCCTCAGGGTATGGAGACAAACCGCCCGATGCATAGTCCCGACATAGCCTTGGGAGTATTAATTAATGCGAGATGTTTAACGGCTCTTCGACAGAAATACTCACTCGATTCGATCGGCACCCGCTTGGGCAGCAATTACGGCCGACTCCATGTTGAAGCAAGCAATCTCCAACAACGGCTTAGATGCGCACTTATTGGCTAATGTCATGATTATTTCGTCTATGAAAGGTTATTGTGGTCTATGAATCGTCCCGTATCGTTTTCGTGATGCCAGAAAATAGACTCGAAAGTGTTGCCTTGGTGCCTCGGGCAACGTTCCCACGCTATTCCTCTTCAGGCACCGAAGGACAAATGCTGTTCCGTTCCGGTGATACCGATCAATCTCCAGCCTACGTCCTCAGACATATCATAACCTCCTTTCTTCAATCGCTATAGTGAGCTGTCGCTGTAGAGCCTAATAGCTCTATGTAGATTTGAGTGATTTAATTTATGAACTAGAAAATCCCAATACAATTGTTGGTGGGTATAATGATTGTCTCCAATGTTCATGATGCATATTTTGACCCAGTCCTCTATATAAAGCTTTGGCGATGTACACATCATCTCTAAAAATAGCTGTCCTCGACTAAAAACAAAGATCCTGTTATAGGGACACACCATGGTATTGACGAATTAATCTGCTGGGACGATTATACTAACTACGCATGTAACCCATGTACCAGCAGGTTCCTAGTAGTAAGGACGCATCCAAGAGCTAGGCAACTTGTGATAGAAACAAGAAAGGTAAGAGGAACAATGGAATTAATGTGAACTCTTGACATATAGTGAGGTACCTATATAACGGGACTGAGGTTGTGTTGCCCAGCTTAGATTTGAACGATCATTGCGGGGTTGGTTAAATGACTGCTGCCGGGGAGCTGATATTGAAACACCAACAACATCTTGTACCCTTCAAGTCTCGCTATACAAAAAGGTTTCTTTCTACTTTAGTTTTCAAACAATCATGGTCAAACGCCCCGTCATTGCAATTGCTGGATTAGCCTGCGAAACGTCCACCTTCACCCCCTCACGTACCCGCGCGCCCGCATTCCACCCCCGCCGCGGGAAGGAAGTCATCGACAAATACACATTCCTCCACCCAAGCACACCACTAAGCAACGCCGCAGAATGGCACGGCACCCTAATCGGCCACGCCTTGCCTGGGGGCATGGTGACGCGAGACGCCTTCGAGGATTTAGCAGGAGAGATTGTGAGGCGCATACGCGACATTACGGACTCGACGGTCGTTCACGGGCTGTGGTTCGACATTCACGGCGCCATGTGCGTGGAGGGAATTGAGGATGCTGAACTTGAACTCCTACGGCGGGTTAGGACTGTTATCGGCCCCGAAGTCATCGTATCAGCGTCGTTTGACCTTCACGGTAACGTTTCACTCCAGCTCGCCCATGAGCTAGATCTTCTCACTTGTTATCGGACGGCTCCGCATGTGGACGAGTCGGAGACAAAAGAACGGGCGTGTCGTAATCTGGTCGATCTTCTTGTTGAGTCTTCTAATCTCGCTGGGAGACTGGTGCGGCCTCTTAAAGCGTGGATCCCCGTGCCTATCTTGCTACCCGGGGAGCAAACGTCGACGCGCATTGAGCCGGCTAAAAGTCTCTATGAGGCTGTGCCTGAAGTTGAGGCCCAGCCGGGAGTCATCGATTCGGCAATATGGGTTGGATATCCGTGGGCCGACGAGCCCCGGAACCGTGGAGTAGTTGTTGTCACCGGACGAGACGAGAAGACAGTGGCAGCCGGCGCAGAGCGACTTGCAAAGAAGTTCTGGGACTCGCGGGGGGATTTCAAATTTGTTGCGGAAACGGGCTCGTTCGCGGAATGTATCGACCGTGCGTTGGCGTCAGGAGTCCGGCCTTTCTTTATCTCGGACTCTGGTGATAACCCCACCGCGGGAGGTTCTGGTGATGTGACCTGGGGGCTTACACGGTTGCTTGATCGATCGGAGTTCAAGGACGCCTCGGGCCCTAAGGTTATATATGCTAGCCTTCCGGGGCCGCAGGCTGTCCAGAAAATGGTCCGGGCGGGAATCGGTGCTACTGTAACTGTTACTGCTGGGGCGGAGGTAGACAATATCCACGCCGGTCCGATTACTATGACCGGACGCGTGCATTCTATCAAGCATGGCGATAAAGACGCTGTAATTGAGGCGGTCCTTCAAGTTGGGAGTGTGCTTGCGATCCTCACCCAACTGCGCAAACCTTATCACCACGAACGCGACTTTACCGATCTCAATCTCAATCCCCGTGCTACGGATATAGTCATTGTCAAGATTGGGTACTTGGAGCCGGAGCTTTTTGATATGGCTATAGATTGGATGTTAGCATTGACCCCTGGCGGGGTGAACCAAGATATTAAGCGGCTTGGGCATAAACGAATCCACCGTCCGATGTGGCCGTTTGATACAACCTTCCCAGAACCGCCGGACTTGACGGCACGGATGATACCACGTTCCGATGAACCATTGACTGGGCCTGATGAGTGACGGGATCCATGTACTGGGGCTTTTGTAATGGGCATAGGTTGAAGAGGGACACGATTAGCATTAATCTTGAATGGCGTATATGTTGTAGGTCACAGCTTAAGCCAAAATTCGCAAAGAAGTGTTACATTCTTGATGTATCATCATACACATAATGGGCTTTCCTTTGCCCGATCCTTGATAGCTACATTCTCCGCATAAGGGTCCACATAGAATTTCTTGAATCTCCTCGTAGGTACACGCGCCGCGAACATAATATCTAATTCCTCGAAAGACCTACCCTTCGTCTCAGGAAGTCGGAAGTACCCCCAAACGAAGGTCATGAATGCAAAAGCAAACCAGAAGAACCCCGTCTTACCTCGCCAGTCCCAAGCAGCTGGGTTCATCATGTACGGTTCGATAACATCACCCACCGTTATTGCGATGTAATACGCATTGCGCGCGAGGCAGATTGTCTTGGAACGCAGTCGCGTAGACGACACCTCGGGGGCTATACTCCAGCCCATCGGTCCTACTGTCAAACTGAAGGTAAACAGCCAGACGATGCAAAGTGCGGATTGAGCCCACACGACACTGTTATTCGACTTGGCTAGCGTTAGAAAGCCGATGATGAGAAGGTAACTAGACATCAGTCCCATACCGCCGAGGTACATTGCTCGACGGCCGAGATTCTTCATCAAGAACCACGAAAGAATCGTTCCGACGAAGGCAACTGTCGCCCCGCCTAGGCCGAGTTTGTATGCGTCGGCCGGACTCATTCCCGCTTGCTCGAAGAAGTAGGTCCCCGTATAGGCAAACTGGCTGCCGGCGAGCACTTGGCCGGTGAAACTCATGCAGCTTATTTCTGTTCGCCGGAGATTGCTGCCGCGGAAGCAATCCCAGTAGGAGCTACCGGCTTCGATCTCCCGCTCGATTCCGTTCGTATGAATCATCATCGCTACGGTCTGTCTTGCTTTGGGCTTTTCCTCTCCACTAGTTAGGCGCTGTACAGTCCACAAGGCGTTATCGTACTGCCCATTGCGGACCTGCCACCAGGGAGACTCCGGCATGAGGAACCCGATAAAAAGAAGCGATACTGGCCAAATCCACTGCACTGCATACGGGATGCGATAGGACCACTGGTCATCGCTAGTTAGGAGACTCTGCAGCACACCAGCACTAATAAGCTGGCCAATGGCAAAACACATGTTCGTATACGCCGTAAGATAAGAGCGCAAAGCCATGGGCAATAACTCCGAAGAATACGCCGGCCCAATCGTGGCAAAAATACCCCACGGAATACTATCCCACAGTTAAAACATTGGTTCTCTATCGTATCTTGGAGTACTCACCCACAAAGTACCTGCCCAGCCACCTGTAATCCCACGGTATGCCCAAAAAACGATACAGAGATAAACGCACACATAACCAACATGGCAGCCGTAAACACTTTCTTGAACCCAAAGTACTTAACCAAATATCCGTTCAAGGATGCCCCGATAATGCACCCAGCGGTTCCACCTGCTCCGAGAGCCGATTGCCACGACTGCGGGACCTGGTAGCCGTCGCCATGCTCGACTCCGAACTGTTTCTGGAAGGCTGGATATCCATAGAAACTGCCGATGAGGTTCGTGTCGTAGCCTTCCATGATGATCGACATGGAGACCGTGAGCGACCAGACTACGGCCCAGGGGTAGGATCGCAGGGCCTGGCGGGCGGTCATGTTATGCTCGTTTATATTGGCTGCTTGGGCTTCTTCGAGTGTTGTTTCCCAGGCATCTTGTGTTTCTGGTTCCCCGTGCTGGTCTTCAATGTGGGCTGATGCCGCTATGTTGGTCTTTCTGCCTGTCATGGTATATGAAGACATAAAGGGAGAAAATAGCTGAATTGAAATTGTACTCCAGTGCAAACTCGAAGATATCCAAACAACCATGAAGTGCGGGAAAACAACAAGATATATCTACAGCACTCAGCAGCGCCATAGTTCTCCTACGAGGTTTCTCAAGGCTAATTATCGCTGCCGTTGAAGTCATTTCTCTTGCCCTTTCGTGTCTTTGACCACCACGGGGAAGTATGCAAGGGACAGGAATGTCGTGTGCTGACCAATCATATCGTGGAGATCTGAGCTACAAGCGATTGACTACCTTTGGGGGGTTCAGAGCCTCGACTTTATTGTCGAGCTGCGGCTTTGGAGGTATTTCCCCGGTGGAAATTGGGAGGCTTGGATGGTTGGGGGGGGAGGAGAGGGGGGTATAGAACACTGAATGAATCCAAGACGTGTGTGGCCGACAAAGATGTTGCTTCCAAGGATAGGGTTCATCCCCGCACCTGTCACACTTTACCCTCATAAACGGTATGGTGGTTGGACATTACGGATATTATCCGGGAAAATATAGCAATTGCTGGGATTTAAACGGAATTTAAAGGCGAGTACATGCTCAATACCCTCTTTAGAGTTTAATTTCTTGCTATAGGTCCTATGGGTCTAATAAACTAACAACAGAATCATGTCCTAATCAAGCCTCTCTAACACTCAGTTTCAGCAGCCGAGCAGCCATCTTCGACGGAGTCAGGACGTGGAGGAAATCGTGCTCCTAGGATATCTTACAAGGAAAAGCAGACGGACAGGTCAATTCCGTGCTCACCAGTCAACCCCAAAGAGTAGACATAGGTAGCGTAACTGAGAGCCTTCTTGTTTCCAAATAGCCGAATAGTACACTCCGGAATCACGCCGTTCCGATGTCTGCGCCGTCATCCCCAGTCTAGTCATCGTGCTAAGGAGGAAGTCCGAGGGGCTAGAATGCGATAGATATCCATGCCCTGTTTGATAAGCCCAAACTGGTGTGGTTTCAGGATATCCAACCGCCCACTTAGATGTATGCGTCCAAGACTATTGACGACTGTCATCGCATTTGTTTCATCGTGCCACTCCGGTTGAGGATATGCCCAGATGGCACCCTGCTCGGGAGTCATGGTTGTTGGTAGAGCGGCAGCAATCGCCCCGTAGGAATCGGGATCCTGTTGATCACTCGTTGACTGTAGGGTATGAACGGCTAACATGGCATGGTCCATTCGCTGAGCGCTGCTTGAGCAATTTTCTATGACAAGATTAGTGAATCGGTCATATAGCTCGCCCACCCAGTGCAGATACGCCCGATTGTGGTCCAGTTGACCCGACCCAAGAATTTGAACAATTGATATCGGTGCCCTGAGTCACCTCAATGTTATAGTCAAATTTAAAATAGCCGACACCGTACTCTGTTTTAAGCGGTGGATAACAACGTGCATGTGTTCTTGGACGGCTGGGTGAAGATAGTCTAACTGGTAACGACCTTTTTCGATGATACGCTGGCCATTTCGCCGGAAGAATGCTTCGTTTGGTAGCTGGTTAGCAACAATGCTGCGCACCCCGATCACCTCGGGTTCGATCCAAAGGCCTGGAGAAAGGCCAGTTTCTATCAGATGTGAAAGTAGCCTCTTGAACCCCATGGGAAAACGCTACTAGGACGGCTCCCACAATCCAATGTCGTCCCACCACCTGGAGTCGTTCGCATACCACCCTGCATCAATTACAAAATATTCGGCACCAGTTTGAACGACTGGATCCACCAATGCTAGAATCTTTTCGTCTGTAGGATCCCCCATAAGACAGTTCATGTAATCATTTGGAGATAGATGATGGGCAACCGATTGTTATCCTGGTGCTTCCGCCGCATCTGTCGCCGGTATTGTGTCATATCCGCAAATGCCCTCTCGTAGTTGTCTAGCACATGGCACAGGGCCACGGGTACGGTAGTAATCTCCAGGCCTGGGAAAAGGTTCTGCCGCCAGTCATGATCGGTCTCAACTGGACCCCCAGCAGCGAGGTAGACGCTATCCTTCCGGTCGCCGCTTTCCCAGCGCCAGGGACCGTTGTTTTCAACCTACCAAAGCCAGGTCTCGGCGTTGTCTGTCCGCTTGAGAATCCCCATAGGACGATGCCCTTCCGTCGAAAACGTTCCTCTATTGGAAACAGAGTAGTGGCCTAAACTAGCCTCATGGCCTTCCGGCCGCCCATAAACACCGTAATCATCAATCCCCTGACTAGGTAAATCGCGATCAACCCATTGCGCCGCTCTGAAACGCGAGTTATTCGGACCTGATAGAACTTAATCGGACTACCACTTCTCGGATCCAGTGGTTAGACCGCCCAGGACCAAGGAGCTCAACTGTGTCATTATGATACCCGAGTCACTGTCTTTTCGGATTGTGCAAACAAACGGCATTCTGGTTGAAGATGGTGAGGTGCGATCACCGTCACCTTTGTGACGGCGTCTTTCAACGCGATGTCAAGGGTATGCGTGTCGCCTTGCTGCTTGATTTCATGCGATTGGTACTGCAGTTGGGGCCCCACGTACGTTGCGATCAGAGATTTGGATGAGTTATGCTTTGCGGTGCCTTCGCCGGCTAGTCGTGCTTCCACAAGTGGGGCGTGAGAATTGGTGATGCACTTGGACACCGACGGTCGAGAAGAGCCCGGTAAAGGAATCACTTCCTGTATGAACGCGGATGCTTGTTCATCGATGTAGACATTCATACGCAAAGTGTCGCTTTACAGTGTAATGGTCTTAGAAACAGCCAGTTTTGGGATAGGAACAGGGGTTTGACTAGAAATATGTTCAACTAAACCGAATAAACCCCTTTAAATGGAGGCTTTCGCCGCATTGTTTTCTGTATTCTCGTAAAACCGGTTCGACGAGATTGTAATATCAGTGGGGCGAAGACTTGGGGCGAAGTTCTTTTCAATGCAGATAGAGAGGGCATCAAAACAGCCATCAATCCAATGAGGTCCCTTCTTTCTCGGCGCGGGATTAACGCTCTAGGTTGGTAGAAATGTAGACAGACTCTGAGGGTAACTAGGCTGAATAGAACTCTCCGCACCTTGAGGGTTCTCCGCATCTCGTGACAAAGAACCGCCCACAATTTCACCTCGACTCACATTCTTTGACACCATGAAACCTGTAACAGCTTGATATGCCAGACGGCGAGCTTTAGCCCTCTGTAGATATTCCTAGTGCAATAGCGGGTTCATTGACTATTCCTCGGCAGCTTGAATAAGCTGAAATGCCACTTGAGCGGAACTCATTCGGCTTGTGCACGATGCGCTAGACTTGGCCTGGTAAGTGTAGTCTGAACAGCTGAGATAGGTTAGATGTAGAAGTAGTTGATTCAGCGGAGCCGGTGCATTTGACTCCTCTGCAAGTAAGTAACGAGCTCGATACAGAAACGAAACCAGATCAGAAGTCTTCCCATGCTCCGTGTCGTGAGTTGGTCGCCTTGTATTTCAATCAAATTCACCATACCCACCATTCCCTATTTCGTAAGGCAACAGTGGAGATGGCTATTAACGATGGGAGCCTCCCTAATGTCTTCCTGTATTGTATGATGGCATTGGGTGCAAGGCGTGCCAGTTCGTCGCAACCATATTGAATCACTAGCGCAATTGTCCAGATTTTCAGACAACAAATTTTTGATCGCATTGACCGACAACAGCATAGGACTATGCGACATATGCAAGGGCACTGCTAGACCTGATGGACGTCTCGATGCGCACATTTCAAGAATGTATCCTTTTAGGGACTGTATGTTACTCGGATTCGAATACCAAATCCGAGGCACAATACTTCTCGGTCGCTGCTCGCCTGGCTTTTATCTTGGACTTGCCAAACCGATCTTGTGAAAGTGAACTTGAGCGACAAGCCAATTTAATTTACGAGGTATTTCATCAACCTCTCGTAATTGGGATCATACAGTGCTGATGCCATGGCGGTTGTATGGTGCTCGTTGTACATGATAGATATTTGGAGTTCCATGGGACTTGGCTTGCCCCGACAGCAGGAATTCGTCGAAGGGTTTCCTCTCCCTACGGACGAGATGACCTTCCTGGCCTTGAGTAGCGCGGCGTCATCGCATCAGATCAGCTCTCGGCTAATCTGGTCGGAAATGGTTATGCTCGCTCGGATATGGACGCAAATCCATCAGCTGAATCAAGCTTCTGTCGAAGGGCACATAGAGCCTAGGGAATTTGTGGGGCGCGCCCACAGGTTAGCTCATGAATTGCAATCCTGGGCTGATAGCCTGCCTCCGAGTCTGCGAGAGAATCGCGAGAATCTCGAACGGTATGCTCGACTTGGGCTAGGAAACGCGTACGGGGCGCTTCCCTTAGGGTTTCGTTTCTATCACGAAGTTCTATATTACCAATTTCCAGCAAAGAACGAGCATCCAGGGTCTGAGCCTGCAAAGCGGTACCGCATGGAGTGTCAAATACACTCCTCACCATTGCTGGACACTGGATCAGTGTCAGTGCATATATCTCATGGTCTCCCGTATGCTTGTCGTGACATCGTCGATTTACACACATATCCTGCTTTTCTCTGAGGATGGAGAGCAAGTCCAGGTGGTTTGACACCGGCTTGCCTGGAACTTTGAGATTTTAACGGAGCTTCAGCCAGTTCGGGCGGCGCTGGATATAGCCTTGCGTCGATTACAGGTTTTTCATGACGCCTGCATACAATCTATCGATTGCTCATTTTGTATGGACCAATGGTTGCTGAAGTGCATAGTTGAACATGGAAAAGCACACGACATGGGAAGACCGTTGCCGCCCCTATTGCAGTGCCCCAGGGCCACGCGACTGAATCGGCTGACACATGGCATAGGTTCCTGCAGATATTGTGATATCATACAGCATTAGGTGTTTTTCTTTTACCTAATGTCAGCCCTCCAACCCCTCTTCGTTGCATCTCATCGGGCCGAAAATGGAGGCCTGTGTTCCAGACGTCAGCTCGCCCAGGCCACCTGTCAGCCAATTTCTGCAAATCAGAATAGCTCCTTCAGCAAGTTGGCCAGGTAGTCCGATCACTCCGCACGTACGGATTATCAATCGGTCCATGGCTAACGTGAGAGAAGGATTGCAGAGGATTCCGTAAAACACGACACAGAAGAAAAAGACCCACAGGAGCTGTTATCTGAGCCGTCGAATCAACACAGCGAAATATGAGACATGCATGGATTTCTTGAGTCAATGCGAAATTGGCGTGAAAAATTCTCAATGCCAAGAAGAATAGATTAATAGGAAGAATGTAACCTGGTTCCCTGAATGGTCGCAGATCGATCTATTAGCCCATCAATAATCGGTCTAATATTCCCAGCCATTCGCGGCCGATTCCACTACTTCCGATAAGGGCGAAAAACTTCGTTCTCCACTGTGCGCGGGACCTGGCCAATACCGCTTGTCATAGAGGTCCACTGGATAACAAGCTCCCCTAAGACCCGGACTTAACCAATGTCGCCTGCAATGGCATTGGTACATCTGTAGTAGAGCTGCTGGCCTTCTCCATAAACTCAATGATCAGCCGTAGCTGAGGAAAGTTAGCCCTATCTTCAGAACGGCAAGGAGAGTGTAGATCGGAGAGCTCCGACGGAGTAAGATGACCAACCTCACGCTAGGGGCCGTCGGCAACGTATATATTAGCTTCAAAGGCGCCATCACGGCGATACTCTGCACGCAATTCCACGGCCGTTACCACCACGCCAGTGGCACCCGCCCGTCATGAAGCTTCTCATCGTCACCATCGCGACTCTCCTCTTCTCTTTGGTCAATGCCCAGACTGGCGTGCCCGATGTCAACAGTCTTGCAGTGCAGAAGCATCTCCGCTCGCGATCTGCATTGATCGCGTTCGAGAAGAGACAGCGGCAAGGTGCGTACCCGACGGAAAATTAGAAGAAATTCACTGTCGATGCTAACCTGTTTCAGACCACTTTTTCCGTCAAAACCTCTCTTCCGTAGCTCAGAAAGCAGACGCCATCGTAGCCGCTATTCGCCAAGAGGAGATTGACAATTACTGGAGAGTCCCTGGAACCCCCGACAAGAATGATACAGATGAGAGGTTCGCGGGTGAGGTCTTCCCCAAAGCCCGGCCGTTGATCAATGGAACCAAGCTCTGGAACGTCGTCAAGCGCATGCCAAAGGGTGCTCTTTTGCATGCGCATCTGTCGGCCATGCTTCCCTATGGCACCATTCTCGAGACTCTCCTTCACACCGAAGGCATGGTCATCGCTGCATCCCAGGATGTCTCGACCGAGGAAAACCGCAGGAATGCCTCCATCTGGTTCGCTCACGTCAACCATACCATTGCGGGCAATGAACCCTCCATCCACTCGACGGACTATGTGCCCAACACCCAGGTCCCCGTGGCTGTAGCGGCCAACTCTTTCCCCGGTGGTCAGCAGGGTTTCATCGACTTCGTCAAGACCAAAGTCACCCTTTCTCCGGAACAGTCGATTCGCCATGAACTGGGGGTTGATGAGGTCTGGCGCACTTTCCAGGCGGCTTTCGGACCGGCTGGTAGCATGATCTCGTATGAGCCTATTGTCCGGACGTTCTATCAGAAGCTCTTCTCCCGTCTGGCGGCGGACCACATCAACTGGGTCGAGATCCGTGCTGGAGGCTCGAGTGGTGCGCTGGTCCACGAGGGTCAGGAAAATGTTGATCCGGACCTTGATATCTGGTGGAATGTTCTGTTGGAGGAGCTTCATAAGTTCCAGAAGACCCCTGAGGGTGCGGATTTCTGGGGAGCGAGAGTCATCTGGTCCGACAGCAGAGGAAAGAACCGTACCTTGTTGACAAAGAGTAAGTGAACTTATATATCACCCACTATAGCGCTTCGTATCTAACAGGTTTCGTGCAGGCATGGGAATTGCTCTTGAGCGGAAGCGCAGGTAAGAAACTCCAACGCAACTCGGGAACAAGTTCGCCTTGACTAAACAGTTTGCGAAATAGACACCCTCAACTCTTCTCAGGCTACGACGTCGTCGCTCAAGAAGACCTAGGCCGTCCCCTTGCCGACATGGCCCCCGAGTTGATCTGGTTCCAGCAACAGGCCGAGGAGTCCAACCTGACTATTCCTTTCTTCTTCCACGCGGGCGAGACCCTCGGTGATGGCAACTCGACCGATCTCAACTTGTTCGACGCGGTCCTCTTCGGCACCCGTCGTATCGGCCACGGTTTCTCCCTGTACAAGCACCCGAGACTCATCGATGAGGTTATCGAAAACGGCATCATGGTGGAAGTCTGCCCCATCTCTAACGAAGTCCTGCGTCTGGCCACCGATATCCTTCATCATCCTCTTCCGGCGATGATTGCCCACGGTATTCCGACGGCGATCAGTAACGATGACCCGGCTATCCTGGGGCAGGACGCGGCCGGTTTGAGCTATGACTTCTATCAGACTATTCAGGGCTTTGATAATATCGGTCTTGCTGGTTTGGTACGTTTCCTTTTTGTTTCATTCTTGCTTTGTGTATGAGGGACTAGGTTAACAAGTAACAGGGTGCACTCGCGCAGAACAGTATCCGTTGGAGCAATTTCGAGGACCAGAGCGAGGTGGAATGGGTGCGAGATATTGACTTTGGAGAGAATGGCGACGGCATCAAGGCCCAGCGTCTGCAGCAGTGGAATACTAAGTGGGAGTCATTCTGTCAGTGGGTTGTAGACGAGTACGGGAAGGACTATGCCACGGAGATCTGATGGGTAGAGCGATTAATCAGTCCTTCACGTTAAAATCTTACATTAGCGATATCACGTAGCCTATATTGGTCTAACCTTGACTCTAATTGTCTCACAGTTGGCATGAGACTCAGTAATCACATAGGATCGTGAAATTGTAGTCCTTCATCCACTCTCTCGAAGTCCATACTGTTGGATACCTTCCAGTCAAATGCTAGAATTAAGCATCATGTCAGATGGACAACATGAGAATAGTTCTAACGACCCCAAATCACACATTGGCAGTCGATCTAGCCATATATTATTAAATATTCAATGTCTCTTGCCTTGGGAAACCACACAATGGCACTCATCAGGCATGAGAGGAACTAACCGCCTTCAGAACAATCGCTGAACGCTTCAACCGCCGCAAGATATCGTGACAGGCGATCCAACAACACATGTTCTGCGCGCAGAGCACTTTCCCTCTGGTTTAGTGATCCTCTTAGGTCCAGTCCTGCAATGCCGAGAAAATGCGACCGTAGGAAAGCGAGCAACATGCCCACGATCCGGCCGGAGTAGCGCGGCTGCAACCCGTCGAGACGACATTTGATCCTCACCCAACACAGAACCATATGCCATAATCTCAGAAATTTATGTGCATTTGAACACGGTACAACCGTCATACGACCGTAGCGATGCCCATAACGCATGTATCCAGCGCAACAAGGTATCTCACCTGCTATCGGCATGGCCGCTCGGCGGACCAGGTCGCAGGAAGTCCCACAAGACAAGGCTTCTTGTTTCCGCTATAGTATCATTTGAGACACCCTTACTTCATCTTCGCCGTCGGTTTTCGGTTTTCCGTTCTGCGAGGAATAAATCGTCGCTCTAGATTCGGACTGTATAGCACTCTATATGAGGTTTGATCTCTTAGTGTCACCAATGTCTTAGCGCCCGAGTCGGACGACGGCTAGGGCGACGAATTATATCAACTTGATACCGAGGGACGGCATTAAGCAACGGTGGCGGACGGGTGGCTGGAAACTAATCCAGTTATCCCTGTGCAGGTTATTGACTTCTTGCATGAGGTAAATTGTGGTCGAAGTATACAAGCGCACATCGTCGGCAAGTGAAGTAGCTGGGGATTTTTGTAGAAAATCTTCAACCTGCGGGCTAAGACAGGGATATCTGGTTTTCCTCGAGTAGACGTTTTATATCTTCTGGGTCAACTTTCCAAGTTAGGGAGTGGTGGCTTTCATCGCGATATAGTCCATGGCTATATAATAGCACAGTGCCCGAGTTTGACTTATTGTACTCCGTACCACAATCAGGGATAGTGTGAGGGAAACAAGATAGGGTCAATCCTTCATAGTTAGAATTGTTGAATATCTCAAAATCAGTCTCATAGGGAATGAGAGAGGTAGCGAAGGAGAGGAGGACAAGTCCTGCCGGCCACCGATATAGTCCGGAACGGCGAACATTTAGATCAATTAGACCCCATACAATCAGTGCCTCTTACTAACTTTTATTCTATATCTTTGATGACTGGGGGTCCAAAAGAAGCTATGTATTGAATAGACCAAATATAAATTAACCGGCCAAGCCGCTATATATGCGACCGGTGATTGTTCATACCAATGTGAGACTATATATTAGGGTATCTAGTAACTTCACATTCAACTATTGTCCAACTCAAACCAAGGACCAGATCCATGTATGTACATCTAGAGTGCCACAGCTGTCGGTAGCGGAAACACGGGGTTCCGATCCCCATCTCCATTCAGAAGGTATCCACCATGGCTATTGGTAATAGTCAAACAAGCGAGACGAAGAATGTGGCGAAATTTTCTGGGCCTCCGAAAAGGCAAAAAGGAAATAAATTGGTTCTGCGCATAAGACGGATGCAGATATATATGCACTGCATAAGCATCCGTAGAATTATTCAACGTTTCGCGTCCCGGGCTCTGCGCAAAAAGGCTGGTGATTTGCTTGGCTCTTCGTAGGAGTACCTCATAATATCTACGGAATATCCTCGGTGGAACCTTCTTTATGTGAAGAGAGGGCACACGCTTACTATCAAGATCTGCACCTATATATCCGACAATGTTTTAAACAATCGTAACATATAGTAGATACAGAGAGATGGATACTCTACATGACGCGGTCAGCGCGGTTCTGATAAGGATAAGATATATAAATATATATTTAAGCTTGCAAATAATATAATATCCGTTGTGTAATCCAATTAGTGTAAACAGGGCCTATCTTATTATCTCGGTGGAGCAAGACTCCCCCGATAGTTCGTTTGGGCTCCGCTCTCGATACAGATATCAAGCTTGTATCAACTTTAGATCTAGAAGATTTGTAAGGCTGTGGAGCATTGCTGAGTCGGTATGCCGGCAACGGCCATGACTAGTAGGATGCCAGGCACCTGTCCGTTGAAAGTTTCGACCATTGCAGTGTCTATCTGAAGTGCATGCAGAGAGCGTATGGCAGGATATCAGAGTAGTAGAAGATACAACAATCAAGAGAGAAAGTTTACCACAATGGAGCATGTCAGACGGAAGACGGAATCCGACCTGATAGAGAGATTCTGGAAGATCCAAAGCTAGTCTCCACTTCACGAACGTCTACACCGAAAAGGCGCACCGGGCCGGGGACCGGCAGCATACCGGTGGAACCGGCCGGGTAGGGGCATAAGGAAAGAAACCGTCTATCATATTCGGTGACACGGTGTCTCTATTGGCACAAAACACACCCCTTAATCCGCTAACCGGTGCCGAATCACCTTCCCCAGGAGCGCATTGTATTCCCCCAGAGTCCAAGCCCCACTGGAGACAACCGACCAGAATCGAAAAAGAGTAAATCCGGAGTCGCGATGCGGGGAGACAAGGGTATCAACTGTGCAAGCCCTAACGTGGTATGCGAAAATGGCCTCCACCCCTTGCAGAGAAGTACCCGCAATAAGTAACACACACGAAATTTGATTCTGACGAGATTTGGTCATTCCTCGTATATTCTACAATGTAACCTTCGGGTGATGCACCATCACGGGCAGTCCGAACTCGGCAAAGTGTTCCCCCCTTCCCGACGTAAATGGCAAGCTCTCGCCACCGAATGCGATACTACTTAGTACCACACTACAAGTGGATAGTTGGCTACCCCGGTGAAACCCAGTCAACCCGAGTATCATTCGCTCCCCCCAGCCGGAATGCCCAATAATTTACCTAATTATCCAATTACATAATGCCCACACGGAGGAAAGTCCCCTTCCCCAGACCGAATCCCAGGTGGCCATGCGGAGATTGTCTGACTCCACGGTTCTAAATTCACTAAACCGTAGAGAGGCAATCGGTGACGTACAGACGTGGAGAACACATCTGTTTCCTCCTATCGTCGGGAAACCGAAAGGTAAAATCCGTACGTTATGAAAATCGATTATTGGCCTCCCGATGTGGAGGAGATTTTCCGCCAACGCCGGGTTATCAGCACTGCCGAACAGGAGGTCCTCTGTCACGGCCCATCGGTACCACTTTGTTGCAGGGAAGGTTCTCCGTTAGGCCAATGTGAGCCGGTGTCTGTCGACGGGTGTTCCACATTGAGCCGTGGGACTGTACCTAGGCACAGTGGCACACAGCCTCGCGGAAGGTTGTTCTGTAATCATTCTAGCCCTTCCGGGTTTCCCCTAGTTCTAGAGGCTTGTGATTGATACGACGTTTGCATGAGACCCTTTCAGTAAGGGAAGAATGTAAGGTGCGAAAACGTGTAAGTATGATCTGCAGGCGTGAGGTCATCGGGAAGGTTTCAAGTCTCAAATGGGCAACAAATTGGAGTGAAACTAAGAGTTTTTTTGATTTTTCAGAGAACGTGCCGCAAGGGATGACTCAGCAGGACTAGCCAATAAAGGGCCTTGCCTCACGGAATTAAAAAAAAAAAATTTTTAAAAAAAATGGATCGAAGGCGAAGGCAAAAGTTAAAACCTAAAACCCTAATTATGGAGAATAATATTGGCAAAGAAAAAATTTATTACCAGCGAGAAACTGCTCGGTTGGGGATTTTAGTTTATTCGTGAGGTATCGCCGACTCCAGCCGCCTCTCCAGTGGCCCTAGCTGCTCCTAAAATACCCCAGCGCGCCGTTTCTTTTCTTTCCTTTCTCCTTATGATCCTTTCTGCGCCGATTGAACCCCAAACCTAGACAAACAACATGGCTATACACGAGTCGCCTGCCATCCAGGATGGCCCCAACTATGATGACAACTTTGCCGACGTGGAGAAGAAGGAATATGGCGATGACGCCCCAGCCAACGACCCATTTGGAAATGAGGAAGAAGGAGAAGTCAAGTACCGTGTGATGAGTTGGTGGTAAGCTTCCGATGCACTTCCCAAATGAGCACCGTTGTGGTTCAACGGTGCGGTGCTTCCCATGCAGTGACTGATGTGAGCAATGTGACTATAGGCAATGTGGAATGTGTAAGCGGTTCCTGCGTTCTTCATGAATCGTTGCTCTTCTAACCCGTATGCAGTGATGATTGCAGAGAATATGTCCCTGGGAATTCTCTCTCTCCCATCTGCAATGGCAACGCTGGGACTGGTTCCGTAGGTGTTCCACTTTGCACTTGCGATTTGCTTAAGAGAACTAACGAGTGCTTTTCAGAGGTGTCATTATCCTGATCGGCATGTCCGGCGTCTCATGGTACACAGGTTATGTTATTGGACAGTTCAAACTCCGCTTCCCCCAGACGCACAGTATGGGAGACGCTGGAGAGCTTATTCTGGGCCGCTTCGGACGGGAGGTCATGGGTATTGGCCAGCTTCTACTCTTGATATTCCTGATGGCGAGTCATATTCTTACCTTTTCGGTCTTGTTCAACACCATCACTGGCCATGGAACCTGCACGATTGTTTTCGCCGTCATTGGCATGATCGTTAGCTTCATCGGCGCCCTTCCACGTACCATGAACAAGGTGTATTGGATGTCTGTCGCATGTAAGTATACCGCTACTTGCTCCCTGTTGATGGCCCGTTACTGACAGCCCATCCAGCATGTATTAGTATCATCACGGCGACTATTGTCACCATGATCTCCATTGGAGTCCAAGCTCCCCCGGATGTGCAAGTCGATGCGACCAGAGATGTCAGCTTCCAGGACGCTTTCTTGGCCGTGACCAACATCATCTTTGCTTACAGTATGTTCTTTCCAACGACATGCCTTACCAATTCTCAGCCACCATTCTTCTAACATCCAACTAGTCACCCACGTTGCCTTCTTCGGACTGATCTCGGAGATGAGAGACCCTCGCGAATTTCCCAAGTCTCTGACCATGCTTCAAATCGTGGACACGTCCATGTACGTCGTCACCGCGATCGTCGCCTACCGTTACGCCGGACCCGATGTTGCATCCCCTGCCCTTTCGTCTGCCGGACCTGTGATGAAGAAGGTCGCCTACGGCATTGCTATTCCAACTGTGCGTTTCTCCTCCCTTTCCCGTTGTCTCTTGTTCTAATGTGGAGTAGGTTATCATCGCCGGTGTTATCTATGGTCACGTCGCCTGCAAGTACATTTACGTCCGTGTTTTCCGTGGATCTGACCACATGCACCAAAAGAGCATGCTTTCTGTGGGAACCTGGGTTGGTATCGCGCTCGCCCTATGGCTCATTGCATGGGTTATCGCTGAGTCCATTCCCGTCTTCAACGATCTGCTCAGTTTGATCGTAAGGAATACTCTTCTCAATGCTCCCGTTTCTGCGTGCTAATATGCTTTCCACAGAGTGCCCTGTTCGGCAGTTGGTTCAGTTATGGATTCCCCGCCATCTTCTGGTTGGTCATGAACAAGGGCGTCTGGTTCTCCTCTCCCAGAAAGATTCTCCTCACCATCGTGAATGTGATCATTCTCGGCATCGCCTGTGCCATTGTATGTGTTCCCTCCCCCTTTTATACGATATATCTTGCGTTAACATGGGCTGTAGTGCGGTTTGGGACTCTACGTCTCGGGTAAATCGATTCATGAGAACTCCTCGTCCTCCAGCTGGACCTGTGCCAACAACGCCGTTTAAATATCTTCCGCGGCAATCTCGACCGCTCGAGCTACGTGAACACCACGCATATCGTGATACGAATTGATGTTGAGATTGGCATGTTAGAAACAGCCATTGCGATTATAGCGGGCCTATAGTGTTGTGACTTGTCAAGTCACTGGATTCAAGGCTGTTCTAATTGTTATATATATATATACTCCTTGATCGGTATATTAGAGGCCGTCAAGGATTCTATACTGTACATAGAATATCTAGAGAGCGAGTTTCATCTTTTTACATACAACATGAAGTCAAATGAACATAATCATTTCCATTCCAGTATTGCCCAGATAGATGGCAACGATCATGGATATCGTGACTGTCAGCGGCCTCTGCACTACACCTATGGTGCCCCTAGTGCCACATAATGCCAATGCTCGCTCGCTACCTCGTATACTGAAACTTTATCCAATTACGAATGTATCTATTTACTTTGCTGCCTAGGTTAAAGAAATCGTATGATCTTATTAAGTACAAGGATTTCCGTAGCGCGTGAAGTCAAATATCTGCCGACCAGGATGGTTACCACGATGTCTCTGGCCAAAGGGAGTGTGGTACGATTAATGTAGACACGTCGATCCTTCCAATCCAATTCCAGCTCTCAGAGGGACATCTTGCTCGTCAATTTTCACATATTGCTTGCTTTGGAGAATTTAAATTTGTGACTGGGTTAATGTTCAGTTTATCAAAATCCGCCGTGTGCATGGCATGCCTCGGGAAATATATATCTACATCTACCACATATTGAGATAAACTGAGCTCATGAAATTTGAAGCATAAGTAATATATTATTCGCTACACTATATACAGACAAGTGCTCTTCTTCTTCTTCTTTATTTTTTATTTACTCCTATTCATACACTCACGTCTCGCTTTTCATCTCAGCGATATCAGTACAGACCCGATATTCCCCGAACAAAACCACCCCCGCGGGTAGTGAGCACTATTCTGTCAATGCCCCGGACCGAACAACTTCCGAATAAGCCCTACTCTCAGTTAGAATGTGTCGGCACTTAAGAAGATTGTTGTGCCGAAGTGTGACGTTGGAGCAACGGGTGACGCGCGACTAATACTCGAACTACAAGCAGCGAATTGGTCGCCGTAATACCAATTGTCTCGTTGGAAATTCTTAGTGATCTTGTAGCTGGATATTTCAAGAACGAGTATAGAGATCAGCCAGGGAGGTCCTGACTGACCTGTATTTATTTATCTCATTAGATCCTATAGTCTTTAACACAAAAAAAATCCTATCTGCTCCTGTATATACACAGTTCTCTCCCAACTGCATTCTCTCCTAGTTCCCAGCCATCACCCCCCAATCACCCTCAGCCCAGGTAGATTGCAGCTTAAAGGTTTCAATCTTCCATAGGTCATTAGCCTCTTCTTTGACCAGGTCCACGTAGTACAGACTACCAGCCAAAAATCGCGGTTGGCCGGGCTGGAGCCCTTTCCCAGCCCTGTAGTGTTGCGAGAGTGCCGAGGCGGTCGCTGAGGCCTTGGTGCCGTCGTCGGCGATATTGATCCGGATGTTGGAGAGAAAATGGGTGGTATCTAACTTGGCGATCGTAATAAAGCAGTCGGTGTGGATGGCTGGTAGGCCCTCTGAGACCTGGCCGTTGATGCTGAAGGTGGCTGTTGGGGTAAAAGCTGAGTCAAAGAGGGCCAGGTCGTTCGTGTCGAGTCCCAGGACGCAGCGATAGAGTGCGTCTGCAATAGCGTCTCTGCCGCTTAGGGCGGGAGATAACGTGGCGGGTAGAGAAGGGAGGGAGGCCATGATAGACGCTAGGATATTGTCTTTATGTGGAGGATGAGGATGGCAGTAACCTTGGCAATGAATCATTCAATGTTCTTTATGTGCTTCTGTATCAAACGTTGTCGGTCATATCTGTAACACCGTTTTATCTCCAACAACGCAACGGAATTAGGACCTGTATCGGACATTAACCTGTAGACTATAATATACAGACATGTGTGAATGCCATTATAGACCAGGATCACTTACTGCGCTGGAAAGACCTTGTCGGTTAGGAGAATACTGTCCGATTTGATAGAGAAGAAGGTTCAGTCGGCTCAAGGGCAGATAGCAACCCAACCCGCGAAATCAGGTCCGGCGCCGCGTATGATATCGAACCTTAGACAGCAGCTTCTGTTATCTATACATTAATATTCATGAGCTAAAGAGAAAAGCACACAGAGAGCTTTTGGATCTATCTTACAGACAAAGTAACTAGGTATACGATATGCCATGCCTACAGATTACCACATCTACGTTTCGGTGCCTTATCAGGTTTCATGGACCAGTCAAATAATCGGGAAGAGAAAACAATACCGCCGACTCCCCTCGCTGTTTGCTATGCTAAGCCCGGATATATCTAGTAGATACTGACGTGCATGGATTGTTTCCTTTTGCTCAGTACTCCTAAAATCATCATGCGTCTCGAGATTAGCCGTTATCACACTAACTCAGGATACAACGGCACAGTTCTATGCTGGAAATTGCGTACTATTCGAGACTGACGGTTTATTTATTTTGATATGTTCAAGTAGAAAGCGAAGATATACAATATATCTAGAAATTCTGAGAGAGCTTTCATAGAAGCATAGAGAACTTGCAACTCACTCCCTTAGTTTCTCTAGAAATCCCGGAGCAGGGTACAGTGGTCTTCTACCTAAAGCTGAATCACAAGTTTCCCTACCTGCTTCCCTTGCCATATAAACTCAATTGCCTCGCCAGCTTTGTCAAACGGGTAGATCGAGTCTATAATATCATCGAACTGAATTTGTGTCGCAGACAACGCAGCACAGAGATCGTCCATATCGTGCTTGGAACCAGCATTGATGCCCCTGTCACTAAAATTAGCCCCTTTTAAGGTAGGTGATATTAATATGCATTGAGCCCTCACCTTAAGATGACTCTCCGATCGATTAAAACAGAGAGAAGCTCTGTTAGCTCGCTAGGATTCTGCTTGCTGAGGTATCCTACTTGGCTAACTGTTCCACCGCGTCGTGTACATTTCATGCTCTTTACTAACGAGCTAGTGCCTCCAACCTCAATAACTAAGTCGACTCCGGCCCCATTAGTAAGTTTCAGAACCTCTTCGTGCCATTCAGGATTCTTGGCATAGTTCACAGTCAAAAGCGGTGGGCTGGAGAACTGCTCCTTCATCCTCTCGAGCTTGTCATCGCTCGAGGAAGTCAATATGATTTTCAGGCCCGAGGCCCGAGCAAGTTTGAGTGCAAACATACTGACACCACCAGTGCCTTCCAAGTCGTTAGCATCCAAGATGCCTTACTTCAGCCAGTAGAAGACAAACCTTGAATCAGCACGGATTTACCAATCCCAACATCCTTCAGCGCTGTCCATGCAGTCACTCCGGCGCACGGGATTATGCTCGCGCCAACCCAGTCTAGATAGGCCGGGAGCTTGCATAGCTTCTCCTCGTCGAAGACAAGATAATCTGCCAGAACCCCATCCTCATCCGCAGCTAACCAAGACCGAGTCGTCTCACGCCCAGTGATGTTCTCCGTGTCCACTATGGGCGCTACTCGATCCCCTTGCGCTAGGGTTTTCACCTTGTCGCCTATGGCAATCACCTCACCTGCTGCATCATTGCATGGTATACCATACGGTACTACCGGCCAAGGGTTACCGCCGTTGGCGATGTTGGCATCTCTGTAATTCAGGGATACGGCATGGACCTTGATTAAGACCGACGTTGGGGGAAGGGGTAGGGGGATTGGTTCAGTGACGAGTTTCACCTTCGGTGTACCGGGCGTATGATCGTCTGTCCTGCGATATGCTTGACGAGTGGAGATTTGCACTTCAGTCATTCTTGTTTCTCGTATGGTAGGGGATGATTCCTGGTAGCTGAACCCTCCTCTAGAATTTTAAGGGAGTCATTTATACTTGTCTCCTAACAAAAAACAATGACGACAACTGGTCCATGAGGTTTGCGGGGAATATCTGTCTATGGTTCTCATGATTTTCACCAAATTGGGCTAATGATTCCGAGGATATTATTAATCCTTCAGACTTGTCATTAGTTATGCTTGCCGATTGGTCGCTCGGTTCATGAACCAGAGACCCTTGATATTGGGGATATTCGAATGCCAGGCTGTATACCAACCAGCATTCGCTGCATTCTGTCGGCAGATACGTTGACACTTGATTATAAAACATTTTGCAGTAATTTGGGTCATGCACAGCTTCGGGTGTATATACTTGCGCAAGGTCTCAGCGCGTTGGTCAGGAGGATACGCCTGCCTAAGATTACCGAGAGTTTTGCAGAACTGAAGCTGAAAAGTACTTGGGTTTTAAAGACGTAAACTAATGGTAAGAAAAGCAATTTTTTCAAGGCTCTGGAGAAAGATTTAAGCAATTTTTACTTTCATTTGAGGGAGAGAGCTTTCCGCAGATGGCGCAAATGCCTTCCTACAATACTGGCTGTAGGAGTCAAGTCAACGGCATGATGAATTCGCAGCTTATCCGATCAGCTCAGAACATGCTCGGCATATGTATCCGATGGATGATATTCTGCAAAAACCCGGCTAGTGCGAGAAATGGATTGGCCCAAGTTTCTGTAATCTTGCGAGCCGATGCTGGCCGTCCGTGTAGTGCACCTGCCTCTTATCCCCGGAAGACAATATATATAAGAGCCTACCTTGCTTGCAACAGCTACATAGTGTCTTCGCATGGATACTTTCGTTCCCAGCTCGGCAAGAGATTCCATTTCTATAATCCATTCTATTCCAAGTCTTCAAGGAACACAGCAACATGTCGGATCTGAAGATTGCACGGATTGACGTTTTCCAAGTCGACCTGCCTTATGTAGGTGGTGTCTATCGCCGCTCCGGCGGACGGGAATACACAAGCTTCGATGCTACGATTGTGCGCATAACTACTCAGAACGGAATCGAGGGCTGGGGAGAAAGCACCCCCTTCGGCTCCACCAAAATTGCCTCCCATGCGCCCGGCGTCAGAGCAAGTATCGCTACAATAGCACCGAGTCCGATCGGATTGGGCCCCCGAAGAGTCGATCGCGTCAACGATGCTATGGATGCCGCGCTAGTCGGCCACGAAGATGCCAAGGCAGCGTTGGACGTCGCATGCTGGGATATCTTTGGCAAATCGGTCGGACTTCCTGTGTGTGAACTTCTGGGCGGCCGCACGGATGTGAAGTTGTCGATCATCTCTTCCATCTACGTGGGCGAGCCGGCGGGCATGCGTCAACGAGTGGCCGAACATCGCGCAAAAGGGTATAAAGGGCACTCGATTCAAATCGGAGGCGAGCCTGTAGCTGACGCAGCGCGGGTCGCAGCGGCTTTTGCTGATAAGAGACCTGATGAATTTTTTATTGTTGACCTAACGGTGGATTGTCCGTGAAAACGGCGTTGCGGATGCTGAGGCTGCTGCTCGAGGGCTTGGACTTCGTCTTGGAAGCCCCTTGTCCTACATGGCGGGAATGTGTGCCTCTCCGACGCAAGACTAATGTCCCGGTAATCTTCGACGAACTTGCCACAAACGATGCGTCCATTGTATAAATCATCGCGGATGACGCGGCGGAAGGTATTGGGCTGAAGATCTCCAAGGCCGGTGGATTGACCAGGGGTCGTCGGCAGCGGGATATCTGTCTGGCAGCGGGCTACACGGTTAGTGTCCAGGGGACGTCCGGTTCGGACATCGCATTTGCAGCTATTGTGCATCTAGGCCAGACAGTCCCGCAGCGGTCTTTGCGCTACATCCTTGAAAGCCGAGACATGGTTGCGGTCAAGGCTGCGGACGGTGCGTTTGAAGTCCATAACGTCTACATCTTTGCGCCTAGCACGCCGGGTTTGGGGGTTGTGCCACATTTAGATGTACTCGGAGAGCCTGTCGCTAGCTTTTTCTGAATTGCCTGACATGTGTAGAACCAATTTCCCGTTTAAGGAGACGATATGCAGAAGGATATTTATCCGTCTGGTTTTGTTTCATATTCTTTAACCGAGCTATCGTATGCCGGAAGTAGCTGAACGGGCTCCCGGGGCATTGTATTTCGGGCATGGATACTTCTCTGTTCTTCCCCACGGCTTTCACGGGTATCTAGAAAAGGAGAATGCATTATCACTACTGTCAACAACATGAGAGCCGACGGAAAGTATATCCCGGACCTAGCTCTCATGACGGGGCTCACTGCCTTTTCCGGTTTTCGCGGTTAAGGGGGATTTGCGTTGTATTCAAGTCATCCAGTCTTAGTGCAGCGTCCCCCTTCTCCACCAAGTAAAGGTCAATATGTTGTACCCGGAAGGCGCTGGATGTATCAGAACAGATACACTGCCCGCCGCGAAGTTCATAGATGCACAAGGCGAACTAGTCTGGCATGATGCGATCCTTGGAGGAGGTAGGTTATCCTTGTTGCATGATTTGGAGTGATTGGTCATTCGTAGATATTGACTGCGGAGTAGCGTAGCGCGCAAGTGCACCTCTGAAATCTCGCGAAGGGTGGACAGTCATATCGGCACCAACATAATCGTATAGTATCATGCAGACTGTGGATCGTAAGCCTCTACTCATGACGCTAAGTGACGAGCATATGATGAAGCTGAAGGAGCAGTACCCCAGGCTAACCTGGCCCATATAAGGATTCTGTTATTAATTATATGCACCTCGACGGATGAGTGCCAGGGAACGAAGGCAGGGCAACGTGCTAGAGGGGAGCTACTCTATACTAGCTTTAAACCATGTTTCAGATGGCGACTTGAGGCCATGGCTGTGATCCATAGGCAAACGATGTTTATTGGATTCTTTGTCCCGGAATGTTTCCGAGGAACCGTCGGAGATGAAGGTAGAGTAGACTCATCGTCCACTTACTATGAAGCTGTGGAGTTATGTATCAAATTTAAACACAAACGAAAGTCAAACGGCAGCCAAGGCTTCCGGAAGGACGATCTATTACCCGTCCAGTCAACGGCATATCTCCGATCTAGATATGGCGGCTGTTCCACCGAGCTTGGGTCTGATTCAGGGTACGGAGCCTGCTCCGGACGCCATGGTTTCCGATCCGTAGCATCGATCCCTTTGCGATTCAATGAGACAAATTATCTGAGCCCGATTTGAATCTCTTTCTGAACTGGCAGCACGCCTAAGTCACGATTCCTTTTTGACTATTACGAATACGGACGGACATACACAATTCACGAATTACTTGACAGAGAAAATACTGATAATGAGCCATGGGCATTCCTACAGCGGCAGATACATACCTACTACAAAGACTGCAAGTCAGAACTACTGATCATTATGTTTTAGAATGAAACGGGGCCAAACCATATCAGTTCTTTGCTGAGGGTTGAACCCTACCTCGGCCCGTATTAGGAAAGGAGATCGGCCCGTCCCTCGACTTAATAAGTTCTTCTATCACAGCAGAACGAAACTTGTTCCTTGTACTCCATATTCCTTCCAATCGACATCAAGCATAGATAGATCGACAGCAAGAGATCACAGATGATTACGAGTCAAATTGAGCAGGGAAGATGCATGACTCAGTCACTTGGCGAAAGGCCGAAAGTGTTATAGGATCCACGGATGGGAGTGGGCCCTATGAGAGGTAATTCTCTGATAATAGTTCCATAGGGTTACGTATACTCTCAGGAATTTCAATATTAGATCTCGCCTTGCCCCTGTAGATCTCTAGCTGTTAAAGTCTTAGAATGTCCTATGAGTGGAGCCTGGATGTTCGTACGGAATAAGACATAGATTGAAGCAATCCGCAACTCTACTAACTTATGGCTTAAAACCTGTACAGTTCTTGGTGAGTAGCTTCCAGGAAAGGAAAGGAAAAGGATTTAAGAAGATTAGAAAAGCATTCATCGCTATCAAGATCCCAGGGAACTTACTGCCCACCAGTTGCGAGTATAAGAGAAGGAGTAATAGATAAGCAGAATAGGCAGGCATCTTCGGCGTATTTTCCGAGGACTATGGGGAACTCGTCTAACTGAGTTTGGGAGATTTTTTTGGGACAAATCTATCAATAAACTTTAAATCCAATCTGACTCGGTGAAGTTAGTAGAGCTGAGTAGTTCCTCAACCGTTGTATGTACATATTGTGTTGCCGTGGCTGTGGAGCCTCGGACGGGGCTTTCCCCAAATGGCAACCAACCCTACATTTATGCTGACATGGAACATAGCTTGAAAGGAACTAATTCTAATGCCCTTGGTAGAATCAAGACACTGTCAGATTAACTTTAATTGCATAGCATCTAATCAGGCTGTCAATGATTTGGCTGAAACACACCGGCAGAATTTTGCTTTTGCCTTTTTGAGACATCAACGTCTACGGTACTACTTGTGTCAGGCTATGCGGAAAGGTGTCCCCATCCACGTTGCCAACAGCCTCCATTGACCTATTGGAATTTTGGCATTGCACCCATAACAGACAAAAGAAGGAAAGTGCTTGGGGTTCGGCGTCTCCGCTTGGGTCGTTTGTGGGGGTGAGGGGTTGGTGGATTTCACTACGAAGAACTGGAAAATGGAGGGTCTCTTCTTCGTCGCCCAGAGAAACAACAATATTCGAAAAGGGTAATGTTCATTGACCGCCGTTGCCAAGACTAAGGTTTCACCTCTATCATATGGTGTCCTAATCTTCGCCAAATCGATAGGGCTCTCGGCGAGCGTCATGAGGGTATATAAGGGCAGAACGTCTGCCAGTGATTCGGAAGGGTAGATCAGTCCATTCTATAAGTCATTCGCTTAATTTTCATAGAATATCTGGTATATTCCACCATGTTTGCCAAACTTTCGCTCCTTTCTCTCCTCACTTCTACTGCTTTGGCTGCCGGTGGTCAGGTTTTGTCGTACGACAACATTGACAAATCCGCAACCCCCGGTGCCAAAGCCCTGCTGAAATATGTCCAGTCTCAGTACGGATCGCATTACCTCTCTGGCCAGCAGGATAAGCCAAGCTATGACTGGGTCAAGCAAAATGTGGGCGTTTCACCAGCGATTCTGGGAAGCGACTTCATGTACTACTCGCCTTCGGCTGTCACCCACGGTAGCAAGTCTCACGCCGTCGAAGATGTGATCGAGCATGCGGATCATAACGGCATCAACGCCTTGGTTTGGCACTGGTATGCCCCTACCTGCCTGCCCGACACCGCCGAGCAGCCATGGTACAGCGGATTCTACACAAAGGCTACTTGCTTCAATATTGCGGATGCCGTGGCTGATCGCCGCAATGGTACCAACTTTCGCCTCTTGCTGCGCGATATTGATGCCATCGCCACTCAGATCAAGCGCCTTGATCAAGCCAACATCCCCATTATGTTCCGTCCCCTCCACGAGCCCGACGGTGGATGGTTCTGGTGGGGTGCCCACGGCCCTGCTCCATTCAAGAAGCTCTGGGATATCCTCTACGACCGCATCACTCGCCACCATAACCTCCACAATATTGTTTGGGTGTGTAACACCGCCGAGGCCGACTGGTATCCTGGAAACGAAAAATGTGATATTGCCACCGTCGACCACTACGCTGATCCGGGTGACCACGGCGTTCTCGCGGACAAATATAAGAAACTCCAGGCAGTCACCAATGGCGAGAGAGTACTGGCTCTAGCGGAAGTCGGGCCCATCCCTGATCCCACCATTCAAGCTCGTGAGAAGGTCAACTGGGCCTACTGGATGGTTTGGAACGATGAGTTCATTAAGGATGGCAAGAACAACGCCAAACAATTCCTGCAGAACGTTTACAATAACACTCGCGTTGTGACCCTCGATGGTGGTGTCAAGGTCGGCAACTGGAAGCAGGCTTAAGCCCGCTTGTTTTCAAGTGATTAGGGCATATGAGTTCGTTTAAATCCACGGACTGGGATGCTGTTCAACATGGTCGGTGTCTTGAAGCCTTCCCTCAAGCTATGACTTGGAGTATTCGATTCTTTCTTTCTTTTAGTTATTCCGTTTCCCATGGAGCCGGAGTCTAATTCTTGTAGTCTTCTTCTACTGGATGGGCAGATGTGCTGCATTCAATTGAGATCCTGTAAAGACTTTTCACTTTCCTTTTAACGGTCAGCTCTATCTTATCTGGTTTCGTAGTGCGTATTTCGATGCGTCCATATAAGGTCGTTATAAGGATGTAGTAGTAGTAGTAGTAGTAGTAGTAGTAGTAGCAGTGGTAGTAGTAGTAGTACAATAAGGAGATAAGGTAAAACAAGAGGCTACTCCGTTTGGCACGGGATATACAGAGTCCCCAGTTGCGAATCCTGTCTTTACGTTTTTCGACATCTGGCTGTTGCTAATAGATTCATCAAACAGTCAATAGATTCATCCCTGAGCTTTCATTTTATGTTCGAATTCATGGGTTGAATAATACTCTAAAATTGTCCCAAGTCTCTTATTGGCCGGAGTAACAGTTTCCTACAATAACCCTAGCTCAGGAGTATCTATATATATTACGTATCATCGTCTCCTGAATTGTACACTAACGCCCACAGAGTACCCATGCCAACAATACTCATCATTATAGACCCCCTTACAACGATGCAAAAGCAAGCTCATATGCAAATCCAAGAGTCATTCTTGCGTGCTGCAACACGTGGTCAAAGTTGACGGTATCAATCGTATCATCCGCCGAATGAATGTAGGGGCTGTCGTCGCCAAACTCAGACTCGAATGCAAATGCCGCGGGATAGCCATACTTCGTGGCCGAGGCATGGTCGGAACACCCGTATCCGCATTTAGAATCAACAGATGGAAGGTTGGTATACTTTAGATGTTCGTGAGCATAAAGAGGCTACTCAAAAAAGCCAGGAGGTTGACTTACAGCAGCCACAATCATCCTCAGGAACTTGGTAAGGTTCGCATCGACGTTGTCGGTAATAATACCGATTGATTCCTTCTTGCCAGCATTCGTCGTACCTTCCGTGTAGCCAGTCATGTCCTGCTGGAGCATGGCCTTCACGTCTTTTTTCTTCTGCGAGTATTGTTGGAAGATGTCCTGGCTTCCCAGGAGACCTCCCTCCTCGCCAGCATAAAAATGGAACTCAACAGTGTTAGGAGCCTCGCCGGCTGCCACTTGTTTGTCCGTGAGGAGTACACGGAAGGCTTCGAGAATTGTTACAACTCCGGAGCCATCATCATCTGGTTATTTATGTTCGTTAGCAGAGACGCCTATACGGTGATGATGGCCGAAAACTTACCAGCACCGGGCGCACGGCCCGTTGAAGGCGACCTCAGGTTGATAGAATCCTGGTGTGCTCCAAGCACAATAGTCTTTCCACTCTTGCCAGGAATTGTCGCGATAATGCTCGACTGAGCAAAGGAGTGTTTGAAAGGCTTGACAGTGACTCCCTTTGCGCCACTTGTAGAAATGATGTCCTGGATTTTACCCTGCAACCACTGGGATGACTTTGCGCCATTGTCGCTCTTATAATAACGATTGTGGAACTCCGAGAACGGCTGCAGAACCGTTTCGAAGTTGTTTTTGTCGAGCGACTTGATTAGGGCTTCTACGGTCTCCTTGTGTTGCACCGAATCGGGATACTTGACGGCGGGCTTCTGTTGCTGGCTTGATGTGAGTTCAAGCTGGCTGACCCGATCAGTAATGTCGAAGAACCTCTTGCCCTCCTGTAGTCTGTTGTTAGCAATTAACCCTGTGAAAGCCGTTCACGGCTTGGTGAATTTTGAAACTTACTGCTCTCAAAGCCCATTTCTCTGCTTCCGTTACAGTTTTCGTATCCCCAGGACCGAATTCCAGGACATAGAGATCATCTGAACGGGGACGGTCCCCAATAACCAAGGCAGATGCCGTGGCAGCCAAGGTGGTGAGGCACGGAAGAAAGCGCATCTTGAAGATGATCTGTATGCCCCAGGGATGGTAGGAGGAAGATGGTCTGGGAATAATAGAGGAAAAATGAATAGGGGATGAGATGATTTACTAGACTTTATAGGCAGGCGAACATATTACACGGTGAGATGCGGAGTATTCTTCTGGTGTCACCAGGTCAGGCGTGAAAACTGTGAAAATCGGTAGAGGATATTAGGGACCGCTTGGCAGTACTTGGCGTATTTTCAGCCATCCTACACTATTCGAATTGTTTGGTCCTTCTGCAATGGCTGTATGATAGCGAGGCATAGGGAGATCGGAAGTGATGAAGATCTACACTCCTCAGGGATTCTCCGCCGGGAGTCCGCTGGAAACCCGCATTGCCAAGCTTTCGAGTATCGGCAGTTGCCAGACGATCACTGCCTCGGAAAGTGTGGTATTGAGACAGGACGCGGGATTAATATGCGTCAATGTAACCTCGGCTTTGGTCACACAGCATCGTGGTGGGCTTGGCCGTAATCTCTTCACCCCCCTTTTTGGCAGGCCCTTTTATTGGCATGCATTAGCCCTGCATATCAGTGATACATACATCGTATTCCTGCTCAAGATTGGGCGGCTATGCTTGGACAATGCTGCATTATGCGGAGAATTCCGAGGGCCCAAGCATGGATTGACTCGACGTTATCGGGTTTAATAGCCGTGATTATATATATAATGTATGCCCAATCAACACGTGAAGCGAATGTCCCTCCATGACTACCCCTTGTGTGAGGTCTACTTATGAATGATGGGTCATGAAACCAACGAAGTTGTTGTAATTGTAGGAAACAAATAGGTAGAAATAATAATAAGAGAGTCAACGGGCATAGAATGCCAACCTCTATTGCTTTTTTCGGAGACCACATCTATTCTCAATTATCCAGCCCTGGGCATTGCTCACTGGACTCTTCCGTGATTTTCGAGTATGGTGAAGGGTCAGTCCAAATCACGTCGAACCTATCAATCTCATGTCAGCAGAGGATCGCCAGATACCTTACACTCTTCACAAGATTGGCCTATCAATGTTTCATGGACAAGCAGAGAATACACTGTAAAAGATAAAGGGGATATTATATACCGTCCTTTCGGATAAGTCGGGGCATCATCGTCCCCAAGCTCCTTGATGATATCTGTGAGCGCCGTGTGCTGCCAGCAGATCAAAACATTCCCATCGCCATCGTATTTGTCGATGGCATCTTTAACGCATTTGGGGTCATCACGGTCACATGAAGTATCAACCGTCAGGCCCAAGTCTTCGGCCAAGGGATGAACCGTCTCGTATGGACGGGCCCGCTTGCCGTCTGTCGCGATTGTTGTTAGCGATTCACCACTATCGGAGGTGAGCCCGTTCATGGACGTAGAACATACTGCTCTTAGGCGTCATTGCCAAAATATAGCCAATGTTGTAGCCGGAGCTTTTGCCGAAGACTTGTCGAATGCATTGAGCGCGCTCGATTCCCTGAGTACTAAGACCGGTGCCGCCATCATCTGGCTTCTCTCCGTGGCGAATGAGGTACACCGTAGGAGAAGCTGTAACCGCAGCGGCGGCAGCTAAAAGATAGTAAGGCAGAAGCATTTTAAATCTGAACGGCGCGATGTTCCATGTCAGACAAAGTTGACTGGCATACTGGTTTACCCCCTTTATTTATACTGACAAGTGTGAACGGATAAACCGGCCCCCACTGCAACGGATGCTACGTTGGGTGCATTAGAGCCGGTGAAGGATGGCGCCAAGTGGCTCCTAGGCAGCCTTACGCCCCTTTTCCATCCCCACAGCTAGGGCACTTTGGGGTTTATAACGCTTTCATTGGCCAGTCTGGGGAGATCTTCAAGGGCACGTGGCGGAATCCTGAATGTAATGTGGTCATTCTCCAAGAGAAGAAAAAGGGGTTGTGAGAGGAATGATACTTGGTCCGCAATCGGATATCTTTGGCTCACGTACATATCTGCATTGCATAGAAAGAGACTAACAGCGTCAGCTACTCATATCTTTAAGTAGTATATCTTCTCTCGATCATACCTAATGTTCACTGTAAGCCTCCTACGCAGGTCCCCGCTGCGGTAGTCTTTCCGAAACAACCAAGCTAGACTTGCACATGTAAAAGTATCGCCCATTGGACTGTCATGTACCGGACTGATTAAGAACACGGACAAGGGCGCATTTACCCTATATCCTAGGCCATACGAACCTGGTAGTCCTGGTGTTACATATCTATCTGGGGGTGGTAGATACATTGGGGTTACATAGGGTATTCCAAAAAATGGTATCCAGTTATTAGCGGTATAGAAAGTTCTTAAGACCGGTTTGGGGGTAATATAAGCAAATCAGTCTCGTCCTCTTCCTGGCAGGTAGAGTACACCAATCCAGGACCTCTACCGTTCGACTGTGCGACATAATCCGATTCATGCACTCAAGTCCTAGAAATTGAATGACGTCCGCAATCGCCAGTTGTAGTTTAACTTTACAGGGTGCAATATCTTTCTTTCTTGGTTGCTAAACTCATGTGTTATATGAACAGTGAAATATCAATGTGTGTTATGCTACATTAAATAATGAGACCAAGGAATACTGAAGGTCAAACGCTCATCGGGCTGGTGTGTGCCGCATCTCCTGTGTCTTTGTGTATAAAGGAGGGGCCTGTAATGCAACCAACCTCCAAATTTACACAGCAAGATGAACGAGTTGGTCAAATCCTTGTTTTTTTCCTTAAACAGGAGGTAAAACGCCAGCCAACTATTCGTCAAAACCAAATAAAGATAGCCTTGATTGGAGCAAGTCATCTTCGGCCCACGATGTGTCACAGCTTCGCAGAATATCTTCCAAGACTGATCATCAATATGGTCTTGCATGATGTAAGGTCCTTGCGACTCTCGCATAAGGCCTTTCGAAAGGCATGGCAGCTTGTTCGCCATTAGGTCCGCAGGTTTTTTTTTTTCTTTTTTGTCTGTAAGGTCTGCCAGTGTCCAATTGAATAGGTGAATCAAGTCTGCTGTAAAAGAGGGATGTATTGTTAAGATAGTGGCAGTCCTCTTTAGAAGGCGGTTAATATTTACATGTCAAGACTGAGCTGAAATTTGGACATACCAAAGAATACTTTTCTTTAATCTCTCCCAGAATCATCGTTATACTCTTTCCGTTGACCTAGTACATTCTGTCAGGTTGTTGGCACCCTGTTTCGGTCTCTGCCCCAGGCGTCGGGGAAGTGGCCTCTCGAGAGATGAATGGACAATGAAGTATGCTGTTAAGGTTGTGGTAGTAAAGGTTAGACGGATCAATTCGTACATTAACAAATAAGTAAGAATATTGGCGCATACTGAAAGTAGTAGACATGCTCCGCCCCTAGAATCCCCGGGGCAAAAGAGGGTAGTCCAATCACACTGAGGATTCTGTCGTAGAACCCAGATAATGCAACAGAAGCCCTTAAAGCGATATATATCTTCTCTCTGGGCTTGGAGTTTGGGTTTGGAGAGTAGCTTCCATGGCGTGAGTTATCCTTCTTCAGGTATGTTACTTCATACCGTAGGGGAGGAAAACTTACATCTCGTCCATAGGCCCAGCAACCGACCGAACCTCTGCATCTTCTGCTGTGAGTCGTCCAGATGTGACCCAACCACTAAGGTCGGTATGCAGGCCCAAGGTATGGGCCATCCTCATGGCAATTCTTCTACTCTGTCAGCAGGAAAAGGATCTATCTGAGCTGGACATACTGATAAATACTGATAAACATCCAGCCCGCAGGTTCAATGTCTAGTGATAACCCAGCAACTAACACCAATGCAGTAGCTATTACTATCAAAAGCTAGGGCTCTTCAATCCCCTCAAAATTCAACTGCTTGGCTTTCGAAGTGAAAAACATACCAGCAGTACGCGGATCTTACACATCCGAAATAGCTGGTTAGTCGGTGTAACGAGCAGCCACAGATAGCGTGGCTTATAGAAAAACAGGTGTGTAGTAGTCATTGTCTTGCACTCCATAGCTTCAACGCCAGGCATCTTCGCGGACCAGATATGACCATGGGTTATGCCACTTCCAGAAGGAATCCAACAGCACCTCTTGGGTTGGTCAGCCCAGTTCGATGTTGCCGATCCCTGGTCTCTGGGTTCGGTCCGCGGAGAATTCCAGCAAATGATCATGGCACCTCTCATCGAGTTGCTCTCCGATCATCGCTAGGTTGCTCCGGGAATCGAAGAAGCGAAGCTCCTGCCCCTCTGTCAAGCTGAGCCTGCCACAAAAGTCGACTAGTTCTTGGACCGAACCTGGAGTGTTTGAGGCATCGATCCTATACGAGTGCTGTCCTTTTGTCCTTCATAGTCTGCTACCTGCTGTTCGAGGCTCACAATGCGAGAAAGCAAGGATTGCATATAGTGCTTGCTCGGCGGTCTGACAGATTAGTTTAGAGTTTTGATATTGTTCTCTGTAGGAGAAGCCGATTGAGATCATACTTGCGGTATACTTCGGAATATTGATATCGGCACGGCTCCCCCAATGTGATGCATCTTGAACTATGAGGTTTTTAATTCCGTCACACTGGGGGTGTAGGTATGGACAAGTTGGGCAATCACCCGTAAAACATGGGGAAATGCCTATCCTAACGCGCCTCTTTCGACACGACTGGCATGTTACGGAGGCGTGCTGACGGGGAACATTACTTCTCATATTTAAAAAAAAGCTAAGCAACCGTAAAAGTGCAGGTTTAGAAAAAGGTCGCTACAAAAATAATTGGGGTATTTTCGTGATGCCACCGCACTCGCCACGCCTTAATGGATGAGGTCTCATTCCCATTCCCCCATGGGCATAATACAGCGAGTACCATTCTAGTACAGTCTCTCCACGGTCCAACTGCCCGTTCCGTTCACTAGATTCTCGCGATCCTCGAAAAACGGCCTGAAGACCGTGTGGACGATCTTGTCTGGGTGGAACTGTTCATTATATTCTCCCGTCTTAGGAACAATAAGTCCTTCTGTAATCAAAGGCATGCCGACCAGAATGTTCGCTTTCTCGGGCAAGACCTTTGCAAACAAACGGCTGACGGTCTGAGAAGCGGCCTTAGCGGTGGAGAGCGAGGCGACCGACTGCTCAGGTTCCTTGTCGAGGATACCGCCGGTGACAAGAAAAAGAGGATATTCGCCCTCGGCGATCCGATCAGTTCTGGCATTGCCGGCGGCAAACCATTGGCCCGCGACCAGAGTGCCCACGGCAGCGACCTTAAAGTCTTGCTGCAATTCCTCGGGGGTGGTCTCGGTGATATCAGAAGGGGCAACGCGGGCAGCATTATAACTCAGAACATCCAGCTTGCCGCCGAATTCTCGGACAGCCCAGTCAAGTGTAGCCTTCAAAGCTTCAGGGTCACCGGCGTCGGAGACCTTGTAAATAACCTTGCTATTCTTGTCCTTCTGGGCCTGTCGCACCTGGTCGGCGATGGCCGACAAGTTCTTTTCGGAGCGGGACACCAGGGCAATGTTCCAACTCAGGCTCGCGAGCCAAATGGCAAGAGACTTAGACATGGAGGATCCAACTCCCACAATAACGATGTTTCGATTTGCGCTGACGCTCATTTTGGTTGGTGTTTCTGCGGTTCTGAGGGCGGGGTAACGTTCAACTCAATAATGGCGATACCTTGTTAAAAGGCTCCAAAGAGTGATGACTGAGAAGAAAGAAGGTGAGGAAGTAGGGGGTTTGCAATACATACCAGGGTAGTCTGCATATGAATAACTTCATACATATAACGTCGGGCGGGGCTTCCATGAGCATCATATTCCAGAGAACAATTACTCATGGCACCAGGTTTGCTTCGTAACCCACCCACAAATAGCATTAATCGCACTGTTCAGCAAGTGGAATTGCTGGGAACTGCGGGTGGCATTATCCGGGCAATAGAGTTCAAATGTTATGGGCACCGAATCCAATCGGAGAGAAAACAAAACCTATTTGGAGTGAATACTAATATAGGGAATGGGCGGTCTCACTGCCGAGTCCGGTGGACCTTGGGCTATTCTGCTTACACAAGACTCCGGCGGAGATTTTCTTCAGTTCCACAACCAAGAAATAGAGACCCGCCCAAGGAGAAGTAAGTGACAAATCCATGTCCATGACGCCTTCTTGAAAGACTCCGACCGGTTCAGAGTTCGACCGGCTGTCTAGTTAAAAAGTGCCATTGCTGGAAGGTCATCATTGAAGCTTGTAGAAAGATAATATCTGGAGTTTAATTAGTAGAGCTCTACCAATTAAAAAACATCCTCTTGCCACCATGTTCAGCCACACTGTTGCAGTCTTTCCCGCCTCTGGAGGCATTGGAGGCAGCACTGTTAAGCATCTGCTCCCTCGTCTCTCGCCAAAAGATCTCGTGTTTGTCGCTCGGCAGCCCGAAAAGCTAGAATCGGCGTCCGCAGCTGGCGCGACGCTTCGCCGGGCGGATTACGATGACGACAACAGCCTCGAGCGCGCATTTGACGGAGTTCGTACGCTCTTTTTAATTTCGTACGCCTCTGTTGAACATGAGTACCGGACCAATGTAAGTCATCGCCTTTCGTGGCCAAATCACTCCGTAATCACCAGCTAATGGGGATGACAATGGCCGACAGCGCCACCAACGTGCGATCGATGCGGCAATCCGCAGCGGTGTCAAATACATTTTCTACGGATCGCTGGGCTATGGCGGCAGCCCCCAGAACAAAGAGTCGGTGGCTCATGTTATGCAGGCCCATTTAGACACAGAAAGATATTTGGACGATTGTACCCGCCGACATCCTGGCTTCGGATATACCGTGGTTCGTGAAGGTCTGTATTCCGAGTCATATCCACTATACACGTCCTTCTTTGACCCCAAGAATCCGGTTGATGCGATACGAATCCCGCACGATGGCTCCGGGCCGGGTATTGCCTGGGTGAAACGGGAGGAGCTGGGAGAGGGCACCGCTGAGCTCTTGGCGCGATTCATGAAGGATCCTAACGGTTTCAAGTACCGCCAGCAGACCGTTTTGCTATCCGGGTCCAAGGCACTCACCCTGAAGGAAACTGTGGATGTTTTGGGTAAGGTGGCTCAGCGGCCGGTAAAAATCCTCCCAGTCTCAGTTGACGAGTTTGCGGCTCTACCCCAGAATCCAGCGAACTTCACCTACCATGGCGTAGACCATTCGAAGGTATGGTCTTCGGCTTTTGAAGCTTTCCGCTGTGGCGAGGGGGCATATGTGTCGCCCTTGCTGGGAGAACTGTTAGGCCGGGAACCGGAGGACTTTGAGACAACCGTTTCGCGGCAGTAGATGTCTTGTGAGTGTATGGGAGGGGGTTTCATCATCTCTTCTCTTGAAAATTTCAAGTACTTATTATTGCTTATGTATGCTACATTCTAGCACATGGTTTTTATACTGCCTAAGTTCCATTACCGTAGTTTTCTGAATGGAGAGCCTGTACTACTGGCTAGCATACACTGTCCAAAAATCAGGAATAATGGGATTAATAGTGCACAATTCAGGAAGGCTTAATTCAACATGCACATACATTAAATATGACAAATAGGAGATAGATCGAGACAAGTCTTTCCAAGTTTGATCATGGCTTTACTCACTCAATGGCAGAAATAATCATAAAGAACCAAAGGTCGACAGCTAACTTAGATATCCACGTTTTAGATCTTCAAGCCAACATCTGCTCCTCCGAACCAAGCAACAGGAATGAGATGATCCCATTATAAAGTAACAGGTCAGTGCAACAAGGCCAGGTATTCCGCGAAGTAAAAAGCGCTCACCGTATCTATGTCTATATGGGATGTCAAGTAGCTTGGGTGCTTCTGGACCACATTGCAAGGCCACACCCCCTTGGTCTTCTCTCAAAGCGTCCGTGGTACGGGTAAGTTTTCACTCTCAGTAGTTCACTACGATATATAATTGCAAGGATCATGTTTTTCAAGAGCAATACTTGTAAGCAATAAAAACATCTAGCTATATCAAGGACGAGTCTGGTTGCTATCGAGAAAAAAAAAAAAAAGAAAAAGAAAAAAAACCGAAAAACATGGTTTGAGAAGGTATTACTGAAGCAAAGCCTGGGCTATATCTTCATGGCCATTCTAGCGGCGAGAAAAGGTGCCGTGCCAATAATCTTACCTGTAAAATTACCTAATCTTCTGTTAAATTGAATCTCTACCAACTTTACATGTGCATTTTTGCAGGCCAGCAGAAGAGCCGAGTTACTTGTTTGGACAATAGTTATTTTATCGCTCCTGAAACCGTGCAGTAGTTATTGAGAAGCCGTGCAGTGCTGTACTGTCCCTTCTCACAAGCCCAAAGAAGTGCCGAGCACTCAGACTTACAGTTCGGATTGGATCAGTAGGTATATTATAGTAATTATAAAGTTCAGTTAAATATAAGCTCCAAACTTATAGTGAAGAAATTAACGCGGGACCATAAACTTTTTGATAGTTTGCCAAGAAATGCAAGAGCCCTAGTATTGATCTTATATCAGACACTGAACAGCAGGCATGGGCCAGCCGCTGTAAAAGCTGAGCTCAAGTCAAAAGAATGTAAGTTTAATCCATAAGTACTATCCATGCCAAGAGATTAGAAATATTCATTAAGCGGTCTTTTCAATATTGCTTTATATAATGAAGCTCAAGAGCTCCGAAACCCCTCTTCATTCCAAAATGTCGCATGCAGATGGTTAGATTTATCCTGGAATATCCTCTTGACTGGTAGTTGGGTGGGTGACCACCAGCGAATCCTGGCTGTTGTATGTTTTTTCTTTGTTTCTCTTTTTCTTTTCATTTTCATGTTTATCAATTAATCTGACAAAAACAACTTTTGCTAGTTTCTAGATGAACAGCATATATGTGGTTGTTGAAGTTCTTTATCCCGGGCCACTGCTGAGGCAACCTGGTATGTCCCATTCTCAACTTTCAATTCGACCTTATTTGCAATGGCTTCACCAAAGGCCAGTAATGTGAAACGTACGAGCTTCAAAGCAATTGTACACATTGTAATATCCTGCGGGGCTGTAGTGATCAGTGCACCACCACTCGGCTCCGAAACGTGCTGACAATTTACCGATTCAAAGAATTGTCAGGGACTGGATTATTGTTTTAATATAACTAACTTTCTCTTGGGGCTAGCTATCGTGGCACGCATGTCAAGGGCCTGCCAATCTACTCCTTGCCACATTGCATATGGTTCACGTTCAAACCTGATATTGCTCTCGCTGCGCAACAGGAGGTAAACATGTCAGTTTGTCCATGTCTGACCAACCCTAACCCCATTCTTTCATGGCTTCAGATACTACGGGAATTTTTATGTCTTCCACGAAAAATGCAAAAATGCTTTCGGGAAGCCTTATAAAACGTATAAGACGTGCAGTAGAATGCATACCAGAAGCATCAACTGTATTCAAGTTCCCCCGGATGACCTCACGTATGATTTTCCCACTGATATTGATGAGCAGGGCTACACCCATGTTTTCATTGTCGAGTTCAATGCCCTGGACCAATGACATTTATTGTAAAGTCGTTGATCCTAGTCATATTGATTTTGCCTTACGGATCATGACTACGGTGAGCAAGTCCGAGATGTCAGGTTTCGTAGAAACCGACTATCAGGAGCCAGGTTAGTCGTTTGTGGTCACTCTATTTGGCCTCAAGCATCGAAAGGAGCGACAAGTCAACATTTCCACAGTAAACAAATAAGTTTCGGTCCGAAATGACGAATAAGAGGTTTAGATTAAAATATGTGTTATATACTACGAGCGTTGAGTCATATCATTCATACTCTGGCAATATTGTAGCGATGGGAGACTAGGCTGGTTCGGAATTTGCTTGCCCTACGTGTTACTACGTTTCACATATCCTGTTAAGCGCCACGCTGGCTGTGTATTCATAATATTTAAATAAGGTTTATATCTTTACATTGTATTTAGGATTAGTAGCTAAATAATAGAAACCAGAGAGGTTTATTATACGGCAGAGATTTCAGAACCCTCATGAATCGGATAGACTAAGAATCCGGATAAGGGCTTATTTGCCCTAAGCCGTACACCCGTGCTATACAAGCCTGGCAGTCCCGGGGTTACATATTTATCTGGGGTTCTAGGATAAGCTTGGGGCTTGTGATACATACATAATGACTCCCAAGTGATATCATCCAGTCGTTATCGGTATAGGGGGTTCCCAAGATAGCTTTTGGCGTAAACCAGTCTCGTTCTCTTCATGATAGAGATCGTTCGCCAATCCAGGATCTCTACACGTTCGATTGTGCGAGATACGTTGCGGGTGTCACTGACGACTCAACGTGTCGAGATTTGAGAACAGAGAGTGATCAAAGCGGGCACACTCACTCCGATACACAAGAAAATGAGGTTCGGAGCTGCAGTCAAGCTTACAGGGTGCGGCGGAATTACATGTACGCGACCGCATCACCAGATCCCCTGGAATAAACCTCGCCGTCCGTTGATGCCACTTCAACCATTTCTTGCCAAATTGCTCAGAGAGCAATTTTTCCTCGTCGACAACTCGATTACGGATCAATAACACCACAGTAACTACATACAGCACACACCACGACAAAGAAACCCCATCCGGTCAGCCGCTGTTGTCGCTCATGCGGAATCCAGCAGGCTGCAGTAGCTGTGTCCCATCGGCCAACGAGGCCAGCACCGCCAAATATAAGGAGAGCTATTCCGGTGTAACTAGGATGCTGGGTATAGCAGTATATACCCCCAGTGACGAGTTGGTTGGGCGATGTTAGGTGGAAGGTGAAGTTGCGACCCATGGTTCTGAAAGCAGAAAGTCGAATAACGGCCCCGAGCACAATGGCAAGCAAATATCCCACGACTCCAGGGCTCCAGGTAAGTTGGCTAGTGTTCAGCTGATTTGGATAGGGACAGACTCGAACAGTAATTCTGAATTGCTTTCCAACGCATAGAGAAGGGTGATCAATGCCTGGTATATGAAGAATATCGTAGCGATGGCTGTTCCCGAGAGTACTGTATAGTTTACTATGGCGCGAGAACAGTCTATTGACCTGTATACCGACTCTTGGTGATGGGGTTCAGAGGCGGGTGAGACGAATCTCATATCAATAGAATAGCTGGCCCCCAGCATGGAGACAGCGAGGCTAGTAGAAGTGAACAATGACATAGGAGGGGTGTTACAACAAATCCGGTGTGGAAAGCGAGATTGAGTTATATTGGAGGCTTAAAGAATCTTATGAATCTATACGAGACCAGGTGATCCTAGTGACTTGGCCGGATCGCCGGCTCCCAACCCCTGAAGGCTTTACCTATTTATAGTTGGAGAAGAAGTAGTCAAGATAGTTGATATAGTCGTCCATAGAATTGAGTATCTAGCGGAATGGCATCCGGTCCTCAGGAGGCTACGTAGGTGTAGCTGATACAGCATCATCCTGGCCATCTTTCCCCTGAGATCACAACAAACATAAACGCAGGAATTCAAATTGATAGCTATTCGAAGTACAGACTCAGAACCATGATAATGATCCATAAAGACAATCAAAACAGTTTGTACTTCCCTCCATAAGCGAAACAGATGGGACGCAGAGATTCATAATAACAAACAATTGCACGGACACTGGCAGACTTCCTAGCAAGCACTCGTATCATTTATCTACCCTCCCGGCTAGACATCATGGTACCAGTGCATCAGCATGAGTATCAATTAACCATAACGTCGCATAACATCCCTACGAATAGCATCGCCCCAGTCTGCAGAGAAAGGCTCGCCTCCAATGCCGTGGGTGGCGGCATATCTTAATCGTCCTTCCCTGCTGGGATCAAGATTATATCGCTTTAACCAGTCGACCGAGGAGTTCTGGTCTAGTAGGGTATTAGCAGAAGAATCGTCGTCATTGCATGCACAGACTAACCGAATGGACCGGTAGGCACGTTACCCATAAAAGGGGGTCGGCCTGGCCCTGGGCCGCCGATATTCACATCAACAGTCGCGCCACCTAACACGTTACCTATAAGCCTGGCAAGGCCATTCGCTAATATGTAGAAACCAGATGAAGGGGGCTCTTGCGGAGCCCTTGGTTCCTGCCGCGAATTTCTGGGTGCTTCCGATGGGGTTAAAGTCCGTCGTTGTTGCTCTTGTTGTTCTCTGGGTTGTCCACGAGAGGTAGACTCGCTCGCTGAAGTAGAGCTCAGTCCAAGCAACCGTCCAGCCTCTGTCTCCGACGTTGGGATGTTGGCATCAAGTTCTCTAACAATCCTTGGAGGATGGAACTCGGATGCGGTGTGCCTGTAATTGCGATGAATCATCTCTTTGGCATGTCGTGAAACCTGGTCGCGGTTCGCAAACCAGTTGATGATGCGACCCATATCCAGTCCGTTGGCATTGTACTCTCGTCCATGCTGATACAAGCTCAGGTGCTGGGTACGAACACCTTGCTCCCACTCGCGTTGAAGTGCCCCGAGCTGCCGGTTGAAAGTCTCTCCCTGCTAAACACTGGCGACAGTCCAGAATGTGGTTATGAAAGTCACACGGGGAATATAATCCTCACCACACAATGCATAGATAAATCGAATGAGATTACGGTCAATGTCTTCGAAGCGCGACTGGTTAATGCATGTCAGGTACAGGAGACCGGTGATTCTGGAGACATGGCGGATAGATTGGATGCCGCGTATAATCTCGAAGTAGGTATTTTCGTTCTCTGCATCGAAGCCAGGAGTATCCATGATGAAGTACTCCCTACCTTCAATTACTGCTTTGGCGATTTCCGCTTCCTGGGTAACTGGAACAAGTATTACTGACTGAACTATCACTACACCGGGAAACAGGCGCCTACCCGAGTTCACGGACTGCTGCGAATATCCATTCAAGCCAGTGAGGTCCTCCATCAAGGAAGACTTCCCGGTTCCAACCCGCCCGATAAGAATCAGGAGGTCGGCGGGTGATTTGGTGTTCCTACTAAGACATCAGAACATATTGCAGGTGGTTCCAGATAAAGGCGCTGACCTGAAGTGATCATGCATCTCTGCGAGACACTCCTGTGTTCGCTCGGCCTTAGAGCCCATAATGGAGTGAAGAAATGTACAGCCGTGAATGGATTTCAACGCCTCTGCTGTTCGACGATATATAGAAGGAACTTGAGCATATGAGCCCCAAAAATAGATAGAGTATGGACAAGACACGGATGTAAACTGATATATTATGTTGAGATATTGAGAGGTGGGAGATGTTACGAGACGAGGTCGACCGTTATTCTTCTTAGAATGAATTAGGTCCAGGGGTTTTGTCAGGAAATCAGATTCTTAATTGATTTGTGTTGAAGAACAGAGATGCTACGGGGAGTTGAGGCCCTTTTATAACCCATTTCCATCATCATTTGCATGTCAATGCTCTCGTGGGATGGTGGAAGGCGCATATTCGAGACAATTGTATCGCCCCCAAATGATACCCTCCAAAGCAAAGATGGCCTATCCCAGTGCATCGAACACAACTAAAGCTGACTGACCCATTACCCAATATGGCTAGCGTTAGATTGAAGCGAACAAAAGTGCGCATTAGCGGTCATCTGGTTAGAACTGCCAAAGGTCGGGCCTGGTGTGGCGTTGACGGAGCTGACGAGGCTGCCCTATGTGATGATATGAAGGGAGGAAGTGGAGAGGTGTAGTATACCGTATGCCACGTCAAGACCGTGGGATTTGGTCTTGGCATACTAGTCTCCGTCCATTGAATAGTATTCCGTAGGAACTAGGCCCTTGGGCTAAGCTGTCAAGAGATGTTGTTGAGTGACGAAGAGTGGCGCCAGATCGACTATCTTCTTCACATTACTGAGCCCTTCTTTTATTACACAACGGAGCTCTCAAAGACTCGAGATGTCACCGTTCATCTTGTATTCAAGATCTACAATGCACTTTTTAAGCATCTGGAACAGCTGACGCAACAACTGCGGCGAAAGCGCGTTTATTGGAAGCAGCATATGCTCGAGTCTCTTGAAGCTGGCCGGGCAAAGCTGGGTGAGTACTATTCGCAGACAGATAACGTCAAAGGGCATGTCTTCGCGATTAGTACTATGTTGGCCCCTGACAACCGCTTCCAGTTCTTCCAATCCGATGACTGGGATTCAAAGTGGCGTACCATCTATCGACACGCATTCGCAACTACCTTGGCCCCTTACCAAGAGCGTCTTTCCAATCCAGACGGTTCACTGAGTACTGACACATCTGCCAAGCCACGATCTTTGTTTAGGAGGCTGAACCAGACAGCCAGTAGGAATAAGATCCGGTCCAAGCCAGCGACAGGGGAGATAAGCCAATATCTTGATAGTGGTACGTTTTACGCTACGCTCAACTTACATTACTAACCAGTCTTAGACATCACCAAGGAAGAGCCTCTGCAATTCTGGAAAGCACACCAGGGTCGTTTCCCCGCGATTGCATCCCTTGCGAGAGATATTCTCTCCATCCCGGCAACTAGGGCGGGCGTAGAAAGACTATTTAACACGGCTCGCGACATTTGTCACTATCGCCGCGGACGGATGAAGTTTGGAACCATTGAGGAACTGATGTTGTTTCTTTGCGCATCAAGATTTGATCTTAAGGCCCAAGAAGCACGGGAGCTGGAAGCATTCTTCACCGTGGATGAGATTGAAGCATTGAAAGAGCAGAAGGAAGACAAGTCAGATGACATTGAGGTTCGGTCGATCAGTGATACGGAAGAAGTAGATCAGGGGTCCGGGGAATCTGATCTCATCGATGTCCATGATGAGCCAGAGCTGCCAGAGAATACCCCAGTGCGGGTTTCGGGAAGAAAGCGTAAGGCTAGAGAGGACGATGATTTTGTAATGATTTGAACGATGGAAGCATGACTTCGTATAATCTTATCTGTTCCCAACGCATTCGAACAAAAATGGGCATAATAGCATATTTTTCAACATCAGTATGTAAGCGAAATACTGAATATTACGGCCAGAAACCGCATAACTTATGCAGTCACGAGGGCTGGTAGTATAACGCCATAAAAAACCCAACTTGGGCTATCTGGGGCCCCAGTACTGGGTTTGGGGTTTTGCATATCAACCCAGACCCAGTACTGGGTTCGAGATCTGGCCCCAAAACCCCACCCAGACCGGGTTTGGGTTTGGTCTGGGTCTGGGTTTTTGGGGTTCTGCGGAAGCCTATAGGCAACCTCGTGCTTGAACTACTACACTAGAAAGTCGCGCAGCTTAGGCGGATCCCAGGGTTTGACAACATTATTTTATATTAGGGCTCGGAACCGTAGATAGGCGGGACTCAGTCATTAACGAGAACATTGCTCGAAGGGCAGAAGCTATTAGGGCTGATGAGTTCCCTTATCTATGAATTATATACACATTAGTCCCCGTCGCCATGAGAACAATAGGAATTCACCCTCTCAATATCTCAGGCCGAGGGCTCCCATTGATGCCAGAATGCCAGATTTCCTGAACCCCTAACTCGGTCTATGATGCTATGAGTCCTAAAAGTGCCTTCGGGTTCGAAAATAGGCTTAGTATTAATCGCTTCTCACTCTTCTTGTCTTCTCTGTGAACCTTGCAATGCACACGAAAGTTGCGATTGTCAACGGCAACGCAATCGCCCAGTATATCCAAATACTTGTCGATAACTTGAGTGTGCCGTCTGAATCGCGCCAAATAAACACGTCCATGCTGAGCAGCGTAGCCGCATATGTGCCTGGCACGTATATGAGACTGAGGATTGCAATGGCTCTCATCGCGTTATTGTCCCTCTTCCGGTCTATCGCGATTGAAGCAGTGTACTCAGTATCGCTTTGAGAAAGAGTCGCCATCAGCTAGTTTAAATCATCAGTTGCCGCATCAAAATAAAATATTTGAGTGAAAATCCTCACAAAATTAGTCTGGCTTTGCGCTCTCTCCCCTATTTGCTGTATTTGCGATAACAACATCTTACTCCGCCTCCGCACATACTCCACGTCATCGCGATTCATCAACCGCACCATCCTCAGGCTCTTCAATAATTGAAGACCTTGGTCCGCGCTTAGATCTCTTCCATCCTCGCTCAGAAGCTTCTCGTCAATTAGCTGTACGAGCCAATCTCCGCATTCCAAACAGCAACGTGCGACGTGTTTAATAATTGCCACATCGGATTGGCAGTAACTTAGCTGCTGAATTGTTCCCTTAGAGATAAAATGGAGGGGTTCTTCGTCTAAGCTCGCACGACGGACCGTCAGATTTGCGGGGACCCCGAAGCCCGTTTGTCGCTCGATCTTAATAATTGCGTCATCGATGGTGTTGCGATAGGTCTCGATTTGCTGATGGTGTGAATTGTAAAGGGCCGAGACAAAAAAGAGAGGATCGATGCATCTTTCTAGTGTAGAAAGTAAGGTAGCGAAGACAGAATCTTCGTCCGTGAGATAGTGATATAGGACGTAGGTAGTGCGATGAGAAGGGTCATAAGTTACTGATATACAATCGGAGGCTGTGGAACGCGAATTGGCCACTTTGAGGAGAAAGAACGTGCGCCCGCTGCTAGAACAGTGAAATGTCGTAAAAACGCCGTTGTTTGACAGGAACACTTCGATTGTGCGCTGATGTAAATTCCAGGAGTCTTGGATCTTCTGGAAAACCGGGGAGAGTCTGAGCCTGCCCAGCCGGAGCTGGGAGAAGGATATTACTTTGAAGTGCCATAGATTTAGACCATCGGCGTTAGAGGTGTTGAGAAGATGGTCAATCTGACTGAGGTCAAATTGATCTTGGGAAAAGCGGGGCTGATGATCGGGATTATTGAGAATTAAAGGAATCGACCCTTCCAAAAACCTGAAACTTTGCGGACCATCAACAGAGGAAGCAGCCCATGTCCCAAGTTTTTCTTCTCGAGTCTCCATGGCCAGGTCAAGTGGGGATACTCGTAAGTTAGAAGAATGTATAAGTTATCTTTCCGCTCAAATAGATTTGTGGGGGTGGAATTTAACAGTCTTTGGAGGGGCACAAGTGCTGACTTCAGTTGGGCCAAGGTAAGGCAGATTTCAAGTTCTCGCACAGCCACAACAAATTTAAGGTAGGAGGCACTCTAAGCCACTCCTGATTGGTATTTATGCATGCTAACAACTAAGGCTGTTTAGTAGGCGAACTAATAGAGGGTAGAACATGCGTTGTCACCATGTAGGTTGCAAGACTCTTACAAAGAGGACTAGCCAGCGAGGCTGATTAATGTATAACTGCTGACATTGATTGTGCGGGGTAAGGCTGATTTCAGGTTCCCATCCCATCACATAGCCACAACGGATTCGAGGTAGGAGGCATCCTAAACCATTCCTGACTGGCATTTGTGTATGCCAACTCATCGTCATCAAAATCGGGCGAATCAGACGGCGAGAAAAGCGACCGAGGGCACGGTCGATTATCTCCTAGGGAGTAGGGCTTTGGAACATAATCGATTTACTGCGACATGCGCTGCGAGATACGCAAGAAGAATAGCCGTTAGGAGCGTTGTTCCGAGACTATAGATCCACTACTAGAGCCGGAGATGGATTTAATCCAACTGACAGTGCCACCAGATCCTCCACAGCGGATAGCTGGTACTGGTCACACGGCGTCTCGTCCGGATGCTCAGCGCAGTCCTGCCGGAGATCGCTATCCACCGCCCCGTCGAGATACTGGTCGAGTACCTGCCGACGGCACGATGCCTGCAGATAGTCCTGCACCCGTCCCTGCTCCGCGACGGGGATCTCCCGTATCCATGCCGCCGGCGTGTCCTATCCTAGTGGCTAAATGACAATCGCCCGGCTAGCCTGCCCATCCCGTCCTGTACGCCCACTCTCCTGCGCGTAGTCCAGTAATGTCCGCGGGAGCACTTCATACACCCTCATTCTATCAAAATTCTCAGCCTTCCATGCCAATTTCGTTGTGTTGAGCGCCGTATACCCCATTACTAATGTCACATCGCATTCCTTCTGCAGCCTTACCATTCAATGATGTAGGCCCTAGCTGGGACCTAAATCACCCAACTCGGACCATAATATGATTAGTCGAGGCGTCGATTATGTGCCATGCTCTGAAACACTGTAGCCCTGGGCTATTCTACAAATCGCAAAGCGCTGCTTTTGAAAGAACATTCGGCAAGTTTTTTAGCCACTACGGACGAGAATGATGCACAAGACGGAAGGAGGACGCGTAGCTATCTCTTAGGAAGCTATATATATATAGCTAACAATTGAAGAGACAGATTAGAGATACTTGATCTAGATCTGGAGATACTTAATAATGGTTTTACAAAGCTTATCTTTGATTTCCTTGAAAATTCTATATTGCTGGACTTTTCTAAGATAATTCTTCTCAAACACCATTCCCAATCCCCATTTACATCAGAGACAGAGCGCGCAGCACGCCATACATGTACACCTATGGTTACGATCGATTAGTATTCTCTTGAAATACTGGTAGAGTTCAGTTACAAGCCTCTGAGGCGGGGCGGGGTTTCTTACATTCCACAACAAAAGTCACCGGCACCACCGCCGCGCAGATGAGGATCCATCTGCTCTGGAATAGCCTATGCGGAAGATTCTCGCCAGGGCGAGTCTAATTAGTACATAGTGGATTTGACCAAATAGAGGAGAAGCGAAGACCACATCAGAGCGGTATTCGATTTTAAAACATACCGGCTGTTCAACAACGATGGGCTCACTGGAGGGCGGTGCAGGGCTGGAAGGTTGTCGGACGGTCACCGTATCAGCATCCCAGTGAGTCGTAGGGACGGGAGGCTTCTCTCCACCCAATATCCCGGTCCACTTGAAGGATTTTGTGTAGATTGCCATGTCGTGATATATGCAGGTGTTCGCTGCTACTAAGTGCCCCTGTGCACGAAAGGGGAAAGGAAAAAGAAGAAGAATTGCAGTGATAAATACTGTTCACTCTTGAGGGATCTCATACTAGCCAGTTTTACACGGCCTAGGCCATCAGCAACGAGCGATGATGATCTTTCGTGCTCGTACTCGTACACTAAAAAAAGAATAAAAAAAGGGAAGTGGGGGGAGGAGGAGTGGGGTGGGAATCATTCCCAAGACTGCGACGGAAAAAAAACCTTAGTAGTTGGTCTACAACGGTAAAAGGTATCACGATGCATATTGTGTACTGGTGATACCCGGTAAGGGTATATATTATACTCTATCGCTATCACTGAATATCTGATATTGTATGTGAAAGCTTAAAATATAGGTGTTAGTCTATCTTTTATATATTTTATATGAATTCTAAGTGAAAGTACAGGTTGTAATACATTCTGAATGGAAGGACTTAATGGTGGAATGTATGTATATTACAGATATAGTGTATACATAAATGGAGTTGTTATCAAGTCAGGTTAGGGTTCAGTTACCTGAGGCAGATACTATTTAAACGTCATATATCTAAACTTTAAGTAATCAAGCGTCCTTGCCATCACCAGCGTATAGAGACCTGTTCATACACTACTCTACACATCAATAATTACGTTGTTCGTCTGTTGCCCATTTCATTGTACGAGGCAAGCGGTGCAGTTCCGGTCGGGACTAGTATTTCATGTGCATGCTCAACAAAATCCTCTCTCAGCTCAGAGTGTGGCCTGCCATTTCACGTACGGTACCACGTGCACGGTACCATTCAGGCCAGTATCGACGGGCTCCGGTAAATGCCCGGGATTGGTGATGCTGATGAGCGGTGGATAGCCTGCCATCATGATCCGGTCAAAGATGCTTCGGATGTAATTCCACATGATGGTAGGAACTACGATCACGATCTCATTCAGACCCGTTTGTAAGTACGGGCTGATGTCCATCTTGGGTGCATTGTAGTCGAGTGGCGCGGTTAATAGACCACAGTAGGCTGGAGACCTGGTACCGGAATGCCACCAGAGACACGGCGCCTATCTCATTGGAGACGATCCTCTTGCCAGCCAGTATAGCCGGTCCAGAGAATTGTCTATAACCGTCGATGCTGTCTGAAAACCCAAGACTCTCACATTCGGGTGCGTTCACAAGGGGCACTGTTGCCTCCATGTCCATCGGAAGGTTGTAGGCGGGCTGCGCGGACATTTGTAAATTAAGATCTATCATCACCCATTCCGTCAGTCTCTGCAGGTACTGGCTGTATCCCTCCACTAGCGCATCGCGAAAATCAATGACATAGCGAACCCCTTCGTCGGGCGTGTCCAGAACGCATTGTAACGGCTCCCGGCTCAGCTGACTGGATGCCAATGTTGTTATTGCCAAACATTATCAGAGGTAAATATTGGATGAGACTGTATCCGTGCTTCTGTTCAAACAAGCCGGGAAGTGACTTGGACCAGGAAATATTCGACTCAATCTCAATGCTGTCCTCCCAGGCTATAACCATGTTAGGCAGGATCCAGTTGGGCCATGCTATCTTGGGGTCTTCTCACCATAGTTTCCGAACCTCAGCAAGAAGAGATTTCACATTCTCATTCAGGACATATTTCTCCCAGAAATCGATCACTGTCTCGGCGCCTCGGGCACTAAAGTGATCAACCATGTATGCTCCATTTTCAACAACTGTGTTCGTTTGATTCGAGGTGAATATCAGATTCTGAGCGTGGGTCACGCGTTGATAGAATGCGAACAACCAGTAGGTGCGTTGGCGGTGGCTCGTAGGATAGGTGACAGATATATGGCCACTTGCAGACACATCAGCAGTTCGATCCGCGAGCGAAGATTCTTGGAGAACGAGGCGAGTGTGGGGAACTTGGGCAGTGGATGACGCAGTAGAATTCTCAGTTCTTTCTACCACTTCAGCTGAAATGAGTACAAGTAGGTCGCCTATTCCCCAGCCCGGGATGATCCCATCAGAGGTTCCATTGGCAGGAACAGGTCTCGAGAAAGGTATCTGATTGTGTCAAAAGAGAAAAGCAGGGATGTCAGCTTCATGGTGCAGGAAAAATGATCCTGTTTTACCAAAATGAAGGGGGTTAAATTCTTCTTTTTTTTTATTATTTTTTTACATGACTTTTAAGTCATACCAAATCCCATTGGAGGCCTTCGTCAGTGGGAGCAGCCGGTACACCCTGCCCTTGGTTGGGTCCAATGGCAAAGTCCATTACCATCCCAGCATCCCGATGGGCTTCCAGGGCAGCCTGAAACAACCTGTTAAATGCGGGTGTGCCAACTCCGTACTTGCCCCAGTCGTCCCTTTGGGGGGGCGGGGCCAAGGAATCCGCCGGCATTGTACCATGGCAGGTATTCCACACCTCCTGCTCCCACATCTGCGGCTGACTTTATGTCATCTCTCACGACCCGTTCGTCAACGCTGGGATCAGGAAGCCAGTACCGGAACCGAGGCCGTATGACAGCCGAAGGGCTTTGAAACGTCCCGGGATCAATGTCGCTAGAAAATTGATCATTGTTACCGGCGGTTGAGTAGCATACTGCGGAACTCAGGGCAAGAACTGCCCATAAGGTGACTCGGAAGATAAACATCCTCCCAATTGGCGGTAGATTTAAACGATCTAGTAGTTTTTCTGCGCAGATACAGAGGTGCGTCCCGGGCTCTTAAATAAACGACCCGTTCGGTATCACCAGATCGAGAAAGTCTACACAGGCGTTGTTTAAACCCCGTATGCTACCGTCAATCGAGAGCGCTTATTGACATCATTTCCGTATTCGTATTCGTAAGAACAGTGTCAATTCAGCTCTTGGTATCATTGACGATATTAGAAGATCAGATAGTCGCATCCTTGGCACGGTACTTCACAACATGAACTATCTTCGAGTGTTCTCTTTTCTTATCCGCCTCAGGTGCAAATCGAACGGTTCCACCTAAGCCAGAGTTCGCATAAGTGGCAAGCGTAGAATAACGTCACCGCCACTGACTACTAGACACCGTAAAAGTAGTGTGGTGGGGGGAGGAGAAATCTTATGGTGGGACACAAAGCATGTGAGACTATAATACTGGATTACCCATATATAAATGCTCAAGTCTTCGTTATTGGGGAGCAGGAGCCTATTACTAGACTTGAAGAAGTATCCTACTCTTGTTCGTGCGAAGGAATTATACGTCAGGCTAGCTGAGAACCACGACCCACTTTTTCCTGAGGGTTCTTATTCTTTTTACTCCGGGGCCCAAAGTCCTACGTATTACTCTGTATTTTTAGTCCTTTTAGTGTACGAGTACGACTCGGGCCGAGTCAACAGCACTGTAGGTTGATTACTTCTTGGGGGCTCTAGTAGGGCTGGTGGGGCTGCGGGAACGGGCGGAGACCTCAGGCATCTTGCTGATTCGCCCGGTCACCGTCTGCCGTTACTTGCCATTTAGGCAGGTCATCCAGCTAGATTCAACTTCGGGTGCCAGCTCAGCGTTGTCTAAAAAAACCTCGGCGTGGTTTAAAATTCTGCCACCTCCACCCTTCACTAAAGCTTGACCACGCTGACCTTTTTGGCTTAGTGCCAGTCTCTTGGTCAGGGCATATACTGAGTATATGCCTAAGATATAAACCTGCAAGATATTATTCACTGTATTATTAATATATATAAAATTAATATTCACTAATTATATTAATAATACAAGCAGAATTTATAACACATTATAAATGATTTACTATTCTAATTAAGTAATTAAAATGTTAGCTATATTTGCACTTATTTTTCAGCTAATAAATCTAACCTTTCTTCTTCTCTTCCTTCTTCAGGAATTCTATCAGGGCTATACCTTGCCTATTACAGTAATTAAGCCCTAGTATATATACTCAGCATGGTCTAAAAATCTTCTAAGAGTCTTACCATAGTCTAAGAACACTGACTAATCACTTAGATCATGATGAGCCTTTTCTTGGCATAGGCTCAGCGTGGTTTAAAACTAAAATATAACCAAGTTTTAGACCATGCTAAACCCCTTCACTAGAGCTTGACCATGTTGACCTTTTTGGCTTAGTGCCAGTCTCCTGGTCGGAGCATACTCATTGTAGGCCTATCATTATTAGTGTAAAAGATTCTTGTTCCTGTATATCATCTTCAGGATCTGACAGAGTAGATCTAGTATTAAGTATACTACTATAATCATCTCTAGGAGACTCCTGCACCTCAGTCTGAGAATTAGGTACCTGAGTATAAGTTTGGCATATGCCCAGTGTATAACGAGTACATACCTGAATTGGGATATTGTTGATCCATTGTACTATTCTTTCCGTAACTTCGGTACTAGCCATTGTTATGATTTGATAAGGACAAGCCTATACTGAGTATATGTAGAAACAATACAATATATTATACAGTAGAAATTTATTAGGGCTATGCCTTACCTATTATGGTGATTAAGCCCTAGTGTATATGCTCAGCGTGGTCTAAAAATCTTCCAAGTGTCTCATCATGGTCTAAGAACACTGACTAATCACTTAGACCACGATGAGCCTTTTCTTGGCATAGGCTCAGCGTGGTCTAAAAAGGGCGGTGAATCTCGGGGCAGAATTTTAGACCACGCTGAGCTACCAGCCCGTTCAACTTCCCGATATAGCGGTAAGACTCGATTTTCATTCTCCTTTCTTTCTCCTTTCATTTTTTCCGTGCGCCCCCTTTTTGCTAACACAAGTGGGTACTCAATATGGACTACACTAAGGAACAGAGGGAAAAACGGGGATGAAAGAACGATATTAAGAACGAAGGAAAAGAATAGGTAAAATACGACGATGGAATATTAGAGGCCTTTTGGAGTAAGGCAATCCGACTGGCTAAGTTTTGCGTCAGCCAACCCTACGTGGAATTTTCGTCGTGAGTAAGTAATCGGAAGCATACATTTAATTTACGGAAAGTGTCCCCGCCTGAAAATCTATACGCCATGACAATTGAGAATTGGTACATCCCTGATGGCAGCAGAGTAAAGCTTACATGCACATCTATCCCGGTTCAGGACATTCATAGACCTTCGGAACTCCAACAGTCTGTGGTGTGATCATATCAATGTTATCAATTTGCCGACGAAGTATCTCTGACGATCTACATGTGATTCGGCAGACCGTGGGAAAAAGTACAGGAAGACTTTCGGGTTTTGGAGCTAATTTGGTACAAGCTTAGATCAGTAACTCATGTTGCTGAGCTCCAACCCTTTGTTTATATGCATCAAGAGCGATCATCTTCCGCGGGTATATACTACCAAGATGTAGTATCATCTCTGAAGAATCAATACATGTTCGTTGGACCATGATACTGTATATCAAGAACCGAGAATGAAGCACGCATTCTAGGATTCATTCCTCATTCTACGATCATCTGAGGTGCAGCAATCATCCACGATGATCTTCTATTCTTTATGTATTTCTATCTATATATACATTTATTCTTTTCTGGGTTTGTTCATACCGTCAGTGGCCGCAAGCGAACATTGCTCGACCGACTATTGGGTAAAATGGGCGTCTTTCCTGCGGAGAGCAACTCGCTCGGGTGGCACACAGTGAGGAGCACCATTTGCAAGAACATGAAGACCCCGTCAAAGACGTAGAGGAAGACCTCGTGGCGGAGCAGGTAGCCGTTGTTTCCCTGAATGTACTCGACCGCGCGGAAGACCGACCGCGTCATGATCAGGAGGCAGGCGGCGTACAGCACTAGCAAGTGCTTTCGCCATGGGAGCCCTGGCACCATGAGCTGGGCAGCGGACCGGTTGCGCTGCATGCGCCAGAGGAACACGGTAGCTACGAGGTCGAAGAGTCCGAAGAAGGCTATTTGGATGAACAGGCCCGCAGTCACGACGTCTTCACCCACTGTCATCCCGTTCGCTCCGGTGACCATGATCCTGGCTCCTATATTGATTATTGTATCAGGCTCTGCGCAACAAGGGAGGCAAGGGAAAGCATGGCAAGTGGGAGGAGAATGGAGATGAAAGTAGTCTCTTCTTCTCTTTGTCTTTTCGAACAGCAAGGGAAACATGAACTTACCAGTAGCTTGGACAAGAAACGATATCACGTCTCCAGAGACGAAGAATCTCGTCAGCCATCGTGGTTTTACAATGGCGTATTCAGGATGGTTGGTGATCATGATAACTCTCTCCAGTACCATATATATTGAAGCTGCGAACAAGGCACGAGCAACAAGAATAAGAAGGCTTTGGAGTACATAAGGTCCCAAAATCCAATATGGGGTCTCATAATGGCCCAGCACACGGCCAATGTAGCCAATACACTCAACTAACAGAATGAAAAGGATGGTCAGTTGCTTAGTGTCCAAGACGATGCACTCTCCCCTGCTCCGCTGAAATCGAGAGAACTTGTGGGGGGATGGGGTGATGCATTGCTCACAGAAACCTCCTATCACGAAAGTCACGAAACACCATGTCCCCGTACGTATCATTTGAAAGGTGTGAACTAGCGAGCTCAGGCCAAACAGAACGGTTATAATCAGGGCCGCTGGTAGTGAGGGACCATAGTGATAGTACGTCCAAGTAGAGTTATCGTTCGACATACTTGAGCACTTTTCTGAGACAGCTGACTCCTGGAAAATGCGTATTATCTCTGCCAGTCGAACAATTGCTCATTTTAAAGCCTTGTGGTCTGCGCAAGGAGATATGATATTGTCAGGATACCCTGCCCAGTGTCCAAGTGCTGTAAATATTTTACTAAAAGTATCTGTCTCTCTTGATCTCCCGGTGCTATACGCGATGGCTTGCTTCATTATATAGACAAAAAACCAGAGTATCTAGGATATATAGCTTGAAATAAATAATGTCAGCAGATTTATTATCTCCTTCCTGGAGAGTAGCAGCTAGCAGATCTACTCTATCCAAGATCTTATCCATTAAATCATAGTCATAAAAGGCCTTGTTAGCGGATGCTAAAGAAAGAAGGAATATAAGAAGATTCAGAATAAGAGGCATTTCTTCTGTATATTTCTTATAGAAGCTGTATATAGAGAGTTCTGATTTGTTCTTTCTCCAAAAGCCCTTAAGATAGTCTCAGTCATAGTTAAGGACAAGCATGATTTTGCCTCCAATCCACTCAATACTAAGGTGAAAGTGCTATAGAAAAATTAGTATAAAACTAAGCTTAAAGAAATTATTCTTATCTTATAGCATGTAGCCATAATAGCCGCGCTTATATTCCTTTCTATATCTGTTTCCCTACACTCGCGCGCTAGATTTTAATAAGCCATAGACTTATACATCTTACCAGTCCTAGCTGATATAAAGCAGTAAAGAAGTATTAATATATTAAGCTCTACTCTAGACCTCTCTGGATATATTCCATAATATTTATATAAGTCTTGACACCACAGGTATTTTTATAAAATTCTAAGATTATTTTAAGAGAACATGTCTCTTGATATTTAAAGATTAGATATTTCCAACAATTGCTTTAGTTCTTTTTTTATCCACTAAGTCTCTAGTTAGGCTACTAACTATATTAAATAGTAAGGACACTAACTTTCTTAATTGTTATACTGACATATTCTGCAATATGGTAGCTCTGCTGTCAGGTAAGACCAGTGTCTAGATCTCTTCTTATCCTTTCAAGAGTACTTAGAACTGGAGTCTTACCTTTAGTAAGGCATTCTTTTAAATTTCTCCCTAAAAATTCTATAGAGTCTTTATAGGTTCAGATATCTGGTAGTAACACAGCACCTTCATGATTTATAATAAAACTGGTATAATCAGCAGTGGCCCGGGATAAAGAACTTCAACAACCACATATATGCTGTTCATCTAGAAACTAGTGAAAGTTGTTTTTGTCATATTAATTGATAAACATGAAAATGAAAAGAAAAAGGAAAAACATACAACAGCATTAGTATGACTGTGCTCACCCAAGGCCAGTCGTGGGCGTCTCGCCGCTCTTAGCGGCCCTTCAGGGCCTCCTTCAGGGATTTGAATATTCTTCATCTGAAGGACGAGAAAGCGCATTTTTATTGCTGTACTAAGAAAGGCTGCCGTAGTAATAGATAGCGATACACCCATCGTATTCCTATTTCAGATTTGCTCTATCCCACCAGGCCCCATCTTCAAGTTGATCATGTATAACCCTACAAGTCGTTGAATTCTCCTGCTCTTCCGGCTGCGAGATTTAGTAACCGCCATGTTACCAGAAGGCTTTAAGGCAATTAAACTTGAAAACCATAATAATGCCGAAATAAAAAGATCTGTTCTTGATTATACTGAAAGAGAATATAACCGTGCCCTTATATATTTTGATATGTAAGAAGTATCTAATCAGAGTCCACTTAGCCGCTGCTGAGGCAACCTGGTAAGTCCCATTCTCAACTTTCAATTCGACCTTATTTGCAATGGCTTCACCAAAGGCCAGCAATGTGAAACCCACGAGCTTCAAAGCAATTGTACACATTGTCATATCCTGCGGGGCTGTAGTGATCTGTGCACCACCACTCGGCTCCGAAACGAGCTGACAATTTACCGATTCAAAGAATTGTCAGGGACCGGATTATTATTTATATGTCGATAGCATGATATAGTTGTGTATATACATCTTTTTTCCAAGACGGATCGCAACGAAGGCCAGTATTTATTTAATCAGACTTGGCAAATATGTCATGCTACCTCGAATCCATTCCTCTATCTATTTTTGTTTGTATATTGTGTGGAAAAAAGCTCTGAAATCAAGTAACGATAGATCAAACTGCCTTAGTTGGAAACTCGAACTATCTGAGGGGTGAGGTGAGGCCCTTCACGTAGGCAAGCCCATGTAAAGGTCCTCAAGGTCCTACAGGCTCCTTCTCGCTGAGCAAAATTTAAAGAAAACGTAAAAAGGCTTGAAAATTACAGAAATATTCAACACATTAGTATGACGACATAAAAGGTATATCTTCTGCTCAGCCGTAAGTCTCTCTGCCTATAGATAAGTTGAGCTTTAACCCAGTAGTAACCCCTCACTCTCCACTGGACATTGTCTCCTCCTCTGAGATGGCAAACTTGCTCAAAGAACGGAGTCGGCGACCGTAGAAGTAAAGCAGCCAAATACCAATAATACCAATGACACTCAGCCCACCAAGGAGACTGACACCCCTAGCAACACCCAGGTTCTGAAATAAAGGGTGCGCAAACAACACGCTTCCGCATGCCAGAGCACTACGGAAGAAGTCGTTCGCAGCGAATAAGCTAGCCGCATACTTGGGGTAACTAAGGGGAATGTAAACAAAGATGCACTGCATCACGATGAAAACCGTTGCACCGTAGATCGTGATACCAATGGTAGGCACGATCCAATGAATAGATGCACGGGCCGTCCAGGCAAAGAGGAAGAGACCAATCGTAGGACCAAAAGAAGAAGGCAGAGCAGGAATCAGACGCTCTTCCTGTGCGGGGAAACCGAAGCGGCGGATGCGAGGGTTCATCCAGAAATAAATGTAAAGGACATATACCACAATGCCGAGAATACAAGACACCAGGATGCACAAAAAGACCAGACCGATCTGGCCGAGGTTCATATGGTAGTCAGTCGGGTAGACGAGAGGGAAGACCTCGAAAAATGAGTAGTAGATGCCGTAGATGATGGCCGTGTAGACCTGAACGAAGAGAACGGCGGGGTCCTTGATAGTGATTTCCAGGGGTTTGATCAGGGCGTCGATGGCGACATCGGATACGCGCATACTGCGCTGGTCGATCTCGGACTGGGACATGAACTGGCTGTTGTTGTAGAGTTTGCGGAGACGGTCGGCGCGCCGTAGCAGGATTGTCGCACTGCTGGTTTCCGGTAGGAACATGAACATCAGGAGAAAGACTGGAGCAGAGGCCCAGATTGATTCGAAGAGGGACCAGCGCCACCCTTTGACGGGGACTGCGAAGCCGCTGAGAAGGGGCCCGAGAGCGGCTATGTCGCATGGTTAGTATACGCGAAGGGACTAGGCACTGGTGCAGAGGGGGAAGAAGAACTTACGTCCACAATAGGCCGCTGCAACCCAGGCCATCATGGCGTATGGGAGAGACATCAAGCTATACATATCCCCAATGGATGCACCGCCAGAAGCAAGACATGGCGAGCCAAAGAACCCTTGCAGAAAACGGAGCACTACCAAGCCTGCGAAGTTATCCACAAATGCCGTCGGTATGGAGATGATCACGAAGAGGAACATTGTGACGATGTAGACCGGACTGCGGCCAATCACGGGGATCTCACTCAGTGGAGAGAAAATCAACGGCCCGATGCCATACCCTAAGACATAAAGCGACAGCCCCAACGTGGCGAGCAAGGTGCTCACACCAAAGTCTTTCATGATACCCTCTGTGGAGGATGTGTAGATTGCAGACGTGGTATATACAACGAAGGTGTATAGGCAGATAAGGGTAGCAATAAGAGCGCGCTTGCTATTGGACCAGTTGTGGGGGTTCTCCGAGTCATCGGTATAGTACCAGTCGACAAGGATGGTGCCGTCTTTCGTTTTCTTGGCAGCAATAGGGATGGACTTGATCTTCTCAATTTCGTGTTGTCCATCGGCCTCTGTAAATGGTAGCGAGGCTCCCGTAGAGGCCCGACTTAGGGTTTCGCTGCTTTCGTGGCTTTGGTTTGGGTCTTGCGGGATATCCTTTTTTTCCTCTTCAAGTGCAATGTCCGAGCCATTCAGTAAACGAAGCCATGTGTGGGGGAGCTCAAACCCAGGCTTTTCTTCAGGATATTGGAAATATTGATTGTTTGTCAAGAGACGAACAAGCTGCCCGAAAGGGGCATCTCGAATAACCGCTTCCATTGAGTAGAATAGATGCCCTCGAGTCGTCGTACAGCTGCGGGAGAAGATGAACAAAGAACACCTGCAAATCCATGTTGGGAGGAATAGACAAATATATACACATATTCTTTTGGAATTCCTCGCACCGTGACTCGTATTGACTAAAAAAAATCCGGTGATTAGTGATCCCAACAATTCGAAGTCAAAGTCAAAGCAAGGATTAGAAATGCCCACATCAGTACGCATTATAAATCACCAGCGTAGAACATTCGCCCCCAATCAAAACTACTCATATGTTCGGACTTCATGGGCTTAACCCCGAGTACGAGCCATGGAACTTGAAGTAAATGATGCCTTCTTCCCTTAGTAATACGGGCCATTGGCGGAACCAGGAAGAACTTGGCAACAAATCTTTTTGCCAAGCTTACATCCGATCTGATACAGATCTGAGTCAATAGGAAGAATCTGTTGAATTTAATCCCACTTAATACACACATCCTCTCCTACCCATCCACATAGACACCCGACACCACTTATGGCTCGAACTCCTCGTTGATTGTCGCAGTTGGATATATTCTGTATAAAATCCACGTATCTTTGCCCCTGCTTTTTAACCCGTAATTTTCGACTATGGTCTGTCACTCATCGCGGTGCAACGCTCCTCTGTCAGGTACGCAACCCTGACCAGCACGCCGTTAGGAAAGTAAGCAACAAAATACGAATACATCGTACTTAACAAGCGTGAACACGTACCACTCGAAGGAGGATATGTCTACAGAGGACTAGTGAACAAATGGTGACTGATCGACAATACTAGTCCAGAAATCCATCTCGGACTCCCACGGCGGGAAGCTGACCTCCGACTTGAGGACTATGCCGAGGGGAGTGTCCGGATGTCGTCCGCAACAGCTGTGGCCTTCGGGCTTCCTTGCTATGACTGAGTCAAGTAGAAACTGTAGAGTCTGACTCGCATGATAGAAAAGACCGAAGTTTTGGGTCTCCTTTTCGTATCCCTGCGCCAAGTCGCACTAGCCGCTGCCTGAGCAGAGACACAGCACTGCTTATGTGCATCTCTGAGATAGTTGGACATTCGAGACTGCACCGAGACATGCGAGTGGAAGCCGGTGGTAATCTTCAAAGAAGCCTAGGGTGGTACCTGGAATACACTAGGAAAGCAGCATGGCCAAGGAAGGGGCCAAATATCACCAGTAATGAAGGGAAAATGTTACACAGGATAGTTGTACAGCGGTGTTCGAACACGTTTGGACAGAGAACCAGCCCATTGACGGTGGTTGGCAATGCATAGAGCTCTACAGTCAGCTTGCATAGTTGGAGAACATAGCCTTGCGCCTACCTTCAGAGACAAAGAGGCACCGCTAAATGAACGAGAAAAATGTTCCATAAATGGCTGGAAGATACATTGAAGTGAACCAGACAATAAGTAATTTTAGCAGCATAGCGAACAGCGAGAGACATAATCTTTGGACTGCAATGTGGGCTTTGCAGTGTTGTGAGCTTTCACGATACCCTGCCTCCTCTTTCAGGACAGGAAAGCATGTCTCCGGCATCAAGAGTACAAAAGGAAAGCTAGTACCCTCTATGAGTAAGGCGATGCAAAACACCCAACGCTAAGAATTGAGGACGATAAATTCTGACATAAGAGGCCCTGCCCATTGGGCTGACAATGCCCATGAGCATGACGATTATCATGGCTGCGTACCGCTACTCTCCAGATTCGGATTTCTCTTAGTTGGACCCGCTTACGGCCTGGCAACCACCACCGAAGGATTTTCGCACAAGGGCTTACGCTAGGTGGGTCCTTTTGAACTAGTAGTTAGTCTTTGGATGTGGGAGTTATTAGAGCAGTCCGTTCGCAAATTATGAAAAACAAAGGACGAAAAGGCCAAGACAGAGTGTTCGGAAGAGAACAAGGCGGGTTTAGCAAGTGTTACCGGATTCTATTCTAGCGAGTGACGCTGCCTCGAAATATGGCACCATACGCCCGTAGATCATTTCATGGTCTATAGTGTACGAGGTCTTCTTGATGAGGTCGATCATTGAGAATAACAGGACTATCTCGACGCTCGCGGCAAAGATGAGGAGCGACCTAAGCATTTTAGACATCCATCGAATGTCTCGACCGACCAAGGTATCTATTCCGGAATCCTTCACCATTAATGGTAAGACTTTTACCAGAACATCAAATTTTAGACTTCTACGCGACCAATGGCTTAATAGCCTCTTCCCTGCGACCCCCTTTTGGCACACCAATTTCACATACCAATGTATACTCTTCATTATCCGCTTAGACACATAATACCTGCTCCGGGGGTTGGTTGTGGAATTTTTTGTCTCGAATTAATCAAGTGATACGTGGTGGAAATCTAGGCGCTTGAGCAGACACTTCAAGTTGCCTAAACGCAAAATAGTCCGTGAACGAGCTAATCTTTAAAATGAGTGTGAAGAAAGGGGTTGAGTCCGTGAATATTCTAGACCTCATTATTAGGTCAACCTACTAAAAATGGATGTGGATATTCCGACATTGTAGGGTCGGATTTGCAAGACAATAAAGTTTGCCCTAGATGTCAAGAAAATGGGAAGATTAGCGAGCTAATATCGGCATCTTAAGTTCCCATTTGGCTATTCATATATGTTGTAAGTATGAATTTGATTCCACAGGTGGCCTGAGCTGAGGATTAATTAGAAAAAAGCACTACCTACTGCTTCCTAATTGTCTTGGTTTTGAACCTTGAAGCAGCGTCATTTGGAGATCTGTATATGACTCTGTTCTTTATAACTGTTCAGTTCGCACTGCCAAGATCTGCACACTAATCTAAGAATTCATACTTATTGCGGCTACCATGCATTGTAAATTCAAGCCTTTAGCGAATGCTGGGGGATCACTCTATTCCTATCACATTCTGTACAAAGTTACCCGTCGCCTCAAATTGGGGAACTTCCTACATTTTGATAGATAATAGACTCTGTTATCACAATCGGAAAAAGAGAGTTTGATCCTACGCTATAGAAAGCCCAAATTGTGGGCGCCTTACCTTTTTCCCCCAAGAGTTGACTCTGATAGTCCCCGAAGCACTCCGAACGACACAGTAGGAAGAGGTTAAATAGCCCTCTGTTCCTATACCCAGTGTCCAACCAACTCCAGGCGCAATCAAGCGACAGCCCGTCACTCCTTTAATATCCGTCACTCCTTTCATATATGCAGTGTTTCGCTGCGCACATTCCTTTACCATACAATTTATTGATCACATTCTTTTCAACATGAAGCTGAGTGCAATCCTTTCGCTCTCGATCATCTCTCTGGTCGCCGCAGCGCCTACCTTGCGACGCTCGCAGGGAGGCTGTGCCGCGAAAAAAGCCCCTACCGCTTGCCGAGCAAATCTGCGGCAGCATGATGATATGCTGTATCCTATACCGAGCAGTATCGGTAGTGGCAATGGCAACGACAACGGCGTTCTGAACCACCTGTTCAACGGCAACCACGTGGATATCTCGCCCAGCTTTTCTCCGGCCCTAAATCCGGGTGGCTCTGGAGCGAAAGGCGACGTCACGAAGGCCGGAGGTAAGGCGCATCATCTTCCTTCTCCGGCTCCTCCTCTCCCGGCCACTCAGGGTATCGGTAATGGCAATGGCAACGACAACGGCGTTCTGAACAACCTGTTCAATGGCAACCAGGTGGACATTTCGCCCACCTTTTCTCCGTCTCTGAATTTGTGAGCGATATCTTTAAACAGCGGTCGAATTATTCGGGGGAACTTTTGGAGGGCTACTTTTAACCTGGGTGACAAATTGGAGCCAAATGTTCTTATGCGTTTAGTCAAGTCCTAGGGACACAAGTCCCTCAAATGATTGCTTTTCTTTTGCGCCATATTTTGGTATACTAATTTAATTGAATGTTTTTTTTTAATGGAAAAATTATATCGAGATTACTCTGCTCTCAACACTTTAGGATTTTCGTAGTTAACTAGTCAACTATGAGCCAACGGGACCTGGACGGAAACACGACTGGCAGGCGGCCAAGATAGCAATCTCAATAATGGTATCTTCGGGCAATTAAAGTCCTAGGCTAGGGAAGTGTTGTCAAAGCTTTTTCAAACCCTCGAGCATCAATCTTGGTATCTTTTATGACTTGCTTCACTATGGCTCCAGCCCTCGCCATCGACACAAAGAGCCCGGGGTAATGATGCCAAATGAATGTTTATCCAGGCATTGCTACATGCCTACCCGATGGGTTGCATCTCCACCGAGGGCGGACTGATAACAAGCCCCAGCTTTGGGCGGCGCGTACTCCTTTTTGCCGTCTCTACTGTTTGTTACTGTCCTTTCATTACCTTTTTTCCCTTATCTTTTACAAGACTGAACTTTCCATCTTGACATGGCCCTGAATTTGCCGGCGTGTAGCGGCACGAACGACACGGAATTTGGCCCTCGAGTCCATATTGGGTGTCGTGTATTTGGCTTCAAAAAGACCTTTTCTTTTTCGAAGACTTCTTCTTTACTTACTCCGAGCTGTATTTCTCCTACCTTTTCTACCCTTACTATGACTGCGGTGAAAATAACCTTGAAATTACCCTTTGTGCATACCTAGCCACGGGTCATTTCTCATGCAGACTAATTATATCCATATATCATTTATAAACACTATGCAAGGTCATCGATATCTCACGTACCGTCCTGAACTTGCTTCATCCATAATTCTCTAAACCAGCTCTCAGTATTCTGTAAAAGCTCCGCGGGCTTCCCAGATTCAACAATAGTCCCTTAATCCATGACCAAAACGAGATCAAAGTCGACGATCGTGTTAAGCCGATGGGCCACCGCAATAACTGTATGATTTTCGAATTGCTCTCGGACCAAGTTCATGATCGTCGCTTCTGTCTGCGTGTCCACCATGGAAGTAGCCTCATCAAGAAGTACGACAGGAGACGGGTTTAACAAAGTCCGCGCAAATATAATCAGCTACTGCTGGCCAGAAGAAAGGGTGTCTTTCTTAGTGAGGCTGTTCAGGCCAAATCCTTTGGATAACAATGAGTCCAACATTCCCACCCGAGAAAGGACAGAGGCAATGGCCTCCTCGTTATGTTTTTACAACGGATCAAGGTTCAAGCGGATTGACTCTGACAAGATCAGTGGGTCCTGTGGCAATACAGCTAGCTGGCGTCGAATTGTCTCTCGAGGAATCTGGGTGATGTCGATTTCGTCAATGATAATGCTTCCTTTTGTGATTTCATTTAGTCGCAGCAAACTCAATATTAGGGAGCTTTTCCCACTACCAGATAGTTAGATATATACTCTTTTATTGATTATCGAAACTTGGGATTCCAAAATTACCTTCCTGAGCGCCCACATATGCCTACTTTAGCCCCAGAGGGTATCTTGACGTTGATATCATGTATCACGTGCTCTAAGTCGGTTCTGAACACTGTGTTAGAGCATTATGTGCCATTGAAGAACAAGAAAATAAGAGAAATAAAAGCGGATAATCTGACTCACCCGTATCTCGTTGCGACATCGATGAATCGGATCATCCCTGTCGATGGCCATGTACTTCCGGGGCTATGGCATTCCTGTGGAAGGTGTTCAGACGGTGTTTCCGATTCAAAGCTTTCAGTCAAGCCAAAGCCCCTAGGGATATTTTAAGTGAGGTCCAGGCTTGAATAACGTATACCAAAGTCACACTAATAGTAGGGACATTATAGAGTGCAATACCAAGAGCGCCGCCAGATATGGTGCGCAGTTTAATGGCCAAAGTGACCAGAACAACAACAATTCCCATCACCAGTAAGTTAAGAATAAGGGTCAGCCAGCACTGAATTGAGTATATAAGATAGAACAGTTTTTACAACTTATTAATAAGAAATATGTTAACCTGACAAAAAGTTTCTTGTCATATAAATGCCCTGATTATAGCGATTCTATTGCATGTCTCAAGGATACTAGAAAAAAGAGATGACTTTGCCTCAAGATCCAAATATCAAAGCTGTCGCGATATACACAAGTAGAACTTCTGTAAAGTATAGAGAATGACCAGGAGGGGGAGGAACATCAATGCCGTCCATGGGGATGATCGCGCGATTAGCACACCTTCAGCAATTGCATCCAGAAGACCGTCCAGAGTCTGTATCATTGAACCTGGGAGTCTCATATCAATTAAAGACATATCCTGGCTGAAGCGATTTATTATGACTCCGGTATCAATCAAAACGAGAGAGGAGAGAGGAGCTGCGGTAACAGCCTTCAGCAGCCTTCTGTGCAAGCGAACAGAAGTGCGAGGCACGGATTCAACCAGGAAGCTCCAGTATACAAGAAAGAAACATACTACAGCAGAGACTCCAAAGCCTGCATAGCCACCCATATAATGGGCATTGTGCTTCCCTGGGCCCCGAGTTTCTGCCTCGGACCACCACTCAAGCCAGATACTGGGGAACCTGCTGAAGAAACAAAAGCCAATCGATGTGGATATGACCAATATCACGGACGCCAGGCCCATCTCCTTTGCATAGAGAAGATATAGACTGAAATCGCCTATCCTACGAGATGTCTCGGAGCGTGCTTCACATGCCCTCATATTCTCTTCTTCCAAAATATCGGGTTCCGAATTGCCACGATAAAGATCTTGCTGTACCAAGGCATTATCGCCACATATCTCCAGGCTTCCAGGAATATGATATGAACGTTGAATGTTCACCATTGAGTTATCAGTATTAATCTCGATGATAGTGTCCACCATTTGTTTGAAATGCACTGCAGCTGTCAGTACTGGCCACACAACCTTTTAAGGACTGCAAGAGAAATACCCACCCTTGTGCATTGCAAGAACTACAGCTAAGCCATGCTTCCGGCAGATACCATTCTGTCCTAATAGCCTTTGGACAACCTGGCCCTCTGTCGTCGCATTAAGCCCACTGGTGATGTCATCCAACAGAAGAAGCTGTTTCCGGGAATAGACAGCTCTTGCAAGGCTGATATATGGTCTTTGGCCTCCACTTAGACACATACTTTTACTTCCAATAACAGTCATGTCCTGCTGCGGGAGACTGGTGATATCTGTCTTAAGGCAGCATGCATTAATCACCTCTGCATACCAAGTTCCGTCAAAATCTGAAGGACCACAAATAATGTTATGGATAGAGAGGTTGGATAGCCATGGCTCTTGGGAGCAATATACAATCCCGCATTCTGTCGCCTTAACCATTGTTCCCTCTGTCAGGATAAGTTTACCAAGTAGGGCCAGCAGTAGCGCGCTCTTGCCGCTTCCAACTGGCCTAACTAGAATAGAAGTACTATCTTGTTCGATTTCTAGAGAGACCCCTTGCAGAACATGCCCATCAGCTATTTTAAAGGAAAATGAGGCGTTGTTTATCTTGATCAAAGTCTTGGAAGGGTTGCTCTAGTCCATGCAGCCTAGATCATGGAGCTGCACAGTCCCTAAGGCCGGGGCCTTTGCTATGCATGAATCTCTCTCTCGGTGGTTTGAGTTTTCCAAGCAAAGCAAGACAGAATTCAGATGATCCCGGTCTATTAAAAGGTATTTTTGGATCTGATTATAAGAGCTCAAGAAAGTGACAAGTACCGGAAAAGCACTTATAAAGTTCAGCACAGGCTTGCTTAGCAGAGTGACCAGGGATAAGGCCGAGAAAGCTCTCGCGGGATTAAGTATGCCTTGACTGGAGTGCCCAGCGATAAGTACATAGAGAATAAAAGCTGCAGCAGGGGCAATTGTTTCTGGAAGGATACCGACAGTTGTTCTGGTGGTAGCATTTTGCTGAAACTTCTTAGATTTGTTCAGCTCATTGACACCCAGATCCTCAATTTTGGCAGATGATAGTTCCGAGAGACCAGCCATGCGAATACCTTTAATGTTACTGAGAAACAAGGAGGTCAAGCTAATTCTATCTTATAGAGTGTCTATCCAGTGTTGCTGCGCGGCCTTCGCCTGTTTTGATAATGTATAAGCAGATCCAGCACATCCTACAGTATAGTCCTATAAATGATTGATACTATACATGATAATAGGGTTGCTTGCACTTACCAACTACAATAACAACAGGCGCCAAGCAAGTGAGTCTAATTTCTCTGGACAAGATATAAATTGCCAAAGCCACCTCAATAGATGAAGCCCATATTATATCTAAGTTTTAAAATCCTACTACAATTCGATCAAAATCTTCGCTTATAAGAGTAGCCGCGGAGTGATCAGTCAGCGTGGACACGGAAAGACAAAGGGACTGATTGTATATCAGGCTAAGAAACCCCCCACGAATTGTGGTGATGTACTGATAGGTTTGATGTTGGTAGCTTGCCGTGGAAAGTGCAATTCCCAGATATACAAGAAGGGCAGCACCTATCAGTGCTCGACCAATGAAGCGGGTTTGATCATTCGTTGGATCCTCCAAGAATGAGATCACCCGGTAAATCAGAAGTGGTTGAGCGATGTTGAAGCCAATCAAACAGATTCAGGGAAATATGACCCAGAGGTCTATAAGTGACCCTTAATGCTACCCACGCAAGGTTATACCTTGACCTTTTCGCACACTGTTGCCAGGCAGATTCTATTTAATAGCCAACAGTCCCCGATGCCAATTTCAGATCCAGTGGCGGGAGGTCCCGTTGCTGAACAAGGCGAGAAGAGCCCCGAAGTGAATTCAACCACTAGAACACACTTTAATTGTAGATGCTTCCTAGAGTGTCAGAAGAGTAATGAGAGTAAGGTCTTCTTAGCAGCTGATGTTTTTGAATCGACTCCACCACCAGCGTGATCAGTTTGAGAATAACGATTGCAAAGAATACAATCGCAGTAGGTCAATGACTTCTCCTCAGCCATAATGTCCGTGCTTGACTGCCATCTAAAAGAATACTGATTGCAAGATATACACCCAACAAAAATGACGGACGAATTGAACAATGATGCTCTTGGTAGGATATGACAGCTAGACTTAGTGTGGCAAGCAGACCGAGCACGGCGGCGGATATGGAAAGTCTCGTTAACTCACCGCCGGGCAAGGTATAAAGAACGATCAACGCTACGTTCAGGCATCCAAGAGCGGTTACAGCAGTCTGATATATATGTATTTAGCCCGAAAATCTCACGTTGAAATAGGTGTTCATACAGTCTTTGCAAGCATCAGCCCATCCAGTGAGGACTGCAGTACCCGTTCCCTCTTGACAAGTTTAGCATATCGATACAGGGAACACCCCAGGAAGCATATTGAGGGAAGCAGTGAAAAGAAACTCTGTTCGAACAATAGGGTGAAATCCATCTCATGCCGACAACCCCGACTTTTGGGTCCAAAGACGTTGTCGGCACAGTCGCACGTCTGGTCAGCCATCGTTTGTAAAAACAATTCGCAAGGAAGGTCAGAAATAGAGGGGGGTGACCACAGTTAACCCTCATGGGAAGCGCACGTGATGGGCTCTACTATAGTCGCATTTGTATCCCTGCACATCTGTCGCGCTCGAGCACTAATTCACTAGTAACAAATCGGATGGATTGAGTGAAATAATATTCATTAAAAACGTAGTCTTAAGACACGTACCCCCTGGCGGAAACGGACTCTCGATTTTCTCCCCCGTTCTCTATCTACTCGCTACTCTGCTCTCCAATCATGCCTCCATCTTGCGATGAAGCAACAAGCCTGCTTCAAGAAGCCCCAGAAAACTCAGATCTGTTATATCCGGGCAACAAAGCCCCGCATTGGATTACTGCAATCATATTGTTGTGCGGCGGAGCGGTCCTGTTCGACCTTTCTAACAATCTGGGTTCGGTCGCAGAGATTGCTATCTTGGAAGACATAGTATGCCGGGATCATTATGCTACGACTGCTGCAATTCTTTCGGCTTCAGAAAGATGCAAGATTGAACCTGTTCAGGCGGAGATTGCACTACTCAACAGCTGGAGGGAAACCTTCGAGTCAATTCCTGGTAAGCCCATTGCTATGATATTAGGGTTACATTATGTTTTGTTTTCTAAGAGACAGCAAAGCTGATTTTAAAATAGCCATCCTTCTTGCCTTACCATACGGGATGCTGGCGGATAGGATTGGGTACAGGCCGGTCGCTTTACTGGCCTTATTAGGCAGTGCCATGAGCGCCAACTGGAGCAGAGTGGTTTGTTAGTCCTACTATGTCATTGGTGAAAGGTATTTTCAAATATTAACGCTCATAGTTTGGTTTCATCCCACCTTACCCTCCCGTGCCCTTTGGCTCTCTGTCCTGTGGCAGATCTTAGGGGGAGGACCGCAGGTTGTAACGTCCTTCTCTTTCTCAGCTGTAGCCACTATCAGCCCTGCGAACAAAACGTAAAAAGAGACTCCCGCAAAGCTTATCTTATGTGAGTTGCTAAGAGCGCATGCACCAGGGCGAATGTCTTCTCCCAAATTACCGCAGTTGTTTTGACGACGGAATTGATTGCACCTCCGATTGGTGCCGCACTCATGACCATCACTCCGTGGATACCGTTCCTCGCATCTTCTGTGATAGCAGCCATTTCAGTGACCTGAGGGGTCTTATTTTTTCCTGAAATCCATAATCGGATTGAGCCAGCTTCTACCACGCCTCATGAGCAACAGCCGGTCAGCACGTGCTATAGAATTCGAGAGTTCTATAACCAGCTCTCGCAGAGCAAAAGTGTCGCATTTGTTGTTGCCTCTTTCTTTGTAACGCTTCTGGCGACTCATGCTTTTGGGGTGCTGCTGCAGTATATCTCCAAAAGGTTCCACATATCATATACTGAGGTATGTGTGCTCTGGATGATCTACAAATCCCTAGATCAGTGGCCAATGCTAAACATCTTCCTTCTACTTACAGGCTTCATACGTACTGCCAGTTCGAGCAGCCACAAACTTGGTATCTTTGTTTATTCTGCTTCCCACCGGGACACATTTCCTAGATCGCAATGAAGGATTTGAGATCGTTTCGAGAGATAAAATTCTCACCCAGGTAAATGCGTTACTATTGCTTCTGGGGTGTTTGTTGATTTTTGTCGCCCCGAACTTGATCGTGCTCAGTATCGGGGCTGTGCTATTTGGTTTAGGAGCGTCATTTTCTGTTACAGCGAGGGCATTGGTGACTTCCCTTGTTGAGACGACGTCTTTGAGCACCATCTATGCACTTATGAGAGTGATGAGCTCAATTGGATCACTTATATCAGGGCCTCTACTGGCAGGCGTGTATCATCTGGGAATGGCCATGGGTCCCATCTGGCTTGGTCTCCCCTTTCTACTTGCTGCCGCACTGTACGGATTTGCTTTGGTGGCTATATCTGCGGTCAGAGTGCCTGCTTGAACTACTTGATAAGGATGCAACAATTCTGGATAGTTTGGCTGGTTAGAAGCTTGTATGGAAAACTCATATCTTAGCTCGATATTACCTAGATAACATCACAAGGAAATTTTACTCAGACATCATGACCGCAGCTGAAGCAACAGCTCCCTTCGGGTAAGCCCAAAGCCACTAAATAGCCAGACCCTATTCTATGTAGCATGACCATATGAGTATCGCACTGCACTGCCTTATGGTGGAGATAATAGCTCATGCAGCCTTGCTGGCTTGGGGGACTGGTTTAATGGGTATATGACACTGCAGGCTTGTTTAGAAATTATCTGCCACAGATCGCCGACTGGTCCAGAGAATAGTCGCTTACGGAAGTATGCTATTCGCAAGCGGCCAGTTCATGTAAACTAGTACACCAAAAGGGTAGAAAAAGCGTGCCGTCAAGCGCCGGGGGAAGGTTATTAACACTGCCTAGAAGACTTGATTCGGTAGAAATACTTGCGTCCACGCACTATATTATTCAACACTAACAAATCACGCATCGTAATCATGACCGATCCTGAACGTCACATACCCTCAACCTCATTAAAGGACATATCTTTTTGAGACCTGGGCAAACCGCATCTCGTCTTTTCCAAAATCGAACACGGCAACAACGTTCTTGAAGAAGGGCACTCCCAGAATATTGATCACAAGGCCGGGCCTTCCATTCTTCTCAGAGGGGATCAAACCAGAGACGCAATAACCTTTCCCAGTATTGTAGATGAGATCTTCCGGAGCATGGTAGAAGGTCTGGTCTCCAATGACCACACCGAACACAGGTGGCTTGGCGTCACAGTCGACAATGTAAGCCTTCAGCTCGTCATTGTAAACCGCAGGAGGCTCGAATTGCGCATTGACCGGGTCTACGACCGCAGTGGGGAGAATAGAGAATTCATTTCCTGTGTCGATGAAGAGTTGGAAGGGGGTGTTGTCGACCACGAGGGCATCCTCCTCTTCTTCCGCCGGTCCGTATTTCACGGCCGGGGTGGTGAAAGCCCAGTAGGAGATCTGCCGCTTATCGGAGGTAAAGTTTGTCGGAACGGCGTCCATGATTTCCACAGGGACGGTGCTGAATTCACTCGTCAGTTCCACTGGTGGGAGCTCGCCCAGGCTGAGGTAGCCGCCGAACGCCTCGGTGCTGTCGCGCGAGGTGTGGGCCAGCGCGATACTGAAGTAGGGCTCCTCTACCAAGCCTTGCTCGTACATGGCGTTGAAGACGGGACTGTATACGGCCCGGTTATAGAAGAAGGTGCTATTAGGGCTGAACGTGCCCGGATGAGCCGATGTCAAGCTGGGGTAGCCCAGGCCAAGAAGCCCGTTGTTCACCCCGTCACCCATCGGGTTAGAGCGGTCGGCGAATGCAAGCTTAGTACGTACGGTGACGTTCGCTATGGTGATGGTCTCGTAGGCCATAACACCGCTAGCTAAACCGGCGCCGTATTCGATTCCGAATGTTTGGTTGGGGACTTGCTCGTAGCTTGACGAGATGTGGTATGTTTCTGGGCCGTAGTTGCAGTCTTCCGGGGCGATGATCTGATTATCAGTGGCATTGATGCAAGTAAAGCTGTCCCGCATGATGTATGTATCGCTGCTACCTGTGTCGACGAGCAACTTAAAGGTCTGGTTATCCTCGCCGACAGTTACGTCAACATCGAAGACGCTGCCGCCTAGGGTTGCGAGGAGGGGAGCATCGTGGGACTTTTCCTCTTCACAGCGTCGGCGATGGTTCAACGGAAGAGTCAAAGCCGAGCTGAGGGCAGCGAAATGAAGAATTGGTGATAGATGGAAGAGCTTCATCTTGACTGTAGTAGTAGAGATTGAAACTATGAATGTTTGTTGTGTTGTGCTGTGGGCATAACGAGTCGATGGAGCTTGAATTTATATAAATGAGTGGAGATGTAGGATAAGTACCTATTCTATCTAGTGGTGGGGCGTGTTTGGATCCCTTGAGCCAAGTTTCTTTGCGGTATCGAATGATATGCTCGATCCAATTTAGGTAGATCACCAAATAGGGCTGCGCTGGCACGGGGTCTGCCAAGGCTCGGCGATATTTTTAGTGTATTAATATCTGGTTGCCTGTTTGTTGTTGAACAAAGAGAACACCAATAGATATTGGCCGTATCAAGTGTTATAAAGCGAAATGAAAAGGACAGTCCAAGTGTCTCCAACAGATGGGGTCTTTACACGTCTCCTCGGAGGTTGGGCCAATCGTGCCCTTGTATCGCATGCAGGTAGCCACCGCAACAACTTCGGCCCAGGTTCTGCTTTGAGGCTCTGATAGAAGCCAGTCTACTCTACAGAGTAGTACGGAGTACTCGTACCGTGAATAATTTGAGGCTCAAAGGCATTATCTCCGGTGTTTTCCTCTTCTCCTCCTGTCGCAATAGTCTCCAACTCCATGTCTAGGATGAATGATCCTTCCGTCTGTCAGTAGGGCTGTGCTGGTAGGACTTGATTCTATTTTACCTAAACAATTTCCGGGTCGAACGTTCTCGGCCAATATTCCAAGTGCGTCGTGAACGAGGCTCAGAGATACTATCTAGTTGGGCCCTAAGATCCCTGCTTGTTGAGCTTTTTGACGTCAAAGATGCAGCCAACGACCGCCGGTTCTTCCAGCTATGTGCTTAATACCACGAGGGATATAGTCTAGTCAGTCTAGTCTAGCTCAACTCCTCATAGAGCGCTTCTACCCACAATTTAGGGGAAATTAAGTCTCTAAGCAAAGTATCCAATCTGATGTCTCTCAGCCCCCAATGGAACTTACCCGGAGCAGCCAATAGAAACGAAACCCTAGTGTTGGTGGCCTTCCCTTCGCCTCAGGCTAACACAATCGATTTTATACAAAGATCTACTAAGTGACAGGGATATATAGGATCAAAAACACACAGCCACTGATTTATTAAATATCGGTTAAAAAACTGAACTAATATGAAATTCCAAGGCTCGGTCCCACTCGCGCCGTTGGATCCAACAACGCCGACTGTTGCTGGTCTGGCTTGTACGGCGGGTCATTCTTGGCCACAAACATGGCGTTGGTTGCCAATCCACGATGGAAAAAGCGGAAGGCTTTCCGATATCGTGTCTGGCGTCGCGTCTGATACTTCCGGAACTCGGCATCTTCGAGCATCGCATAGAGATACCGGGGATGCACCACGATGGCCTGCGCCCCCTTCTGCCCAAAGCCGAATGAGGTCACGGAGAAAGCCTTCAGTCCGCTGGTTTGAATGCTGCGGTTAGGATAGACGATGTAATTATTCTTCTCCAGCTTCCCGTCGACGTTATCCAGATTGCGGTTGCCTGGAATGAGGCCGGTGTCCAACACTTGCAGGCCGCCATTCAGCATCCATGCACCCGCGGCACCCTTGGGATGACCCGTGAGATATTTCTGGGAAATTGCAAAGAGGGGGTTCCCGGGCATGCGGCCGAGGTGTCGCATTTGAGTTTCGAGTACGTCGGGCTCGTTCTTGTCGTTCATGACAGTGCTTGTGCCATGTAAGGACACAAAATCGAGATCGTCTAGGATAGTCAGTTTCATGCCATCTAGAGAACAGAAAAGGGGAGGCACGACGAACCAATTGTCAATCCAAAAATTGCCAAAGCACCACGAACCGGGGAAATAGAGGTCTCATTCTTCCAGAATTCATTGCCAAACGTATTCAAGGCTTCCTTGCGCTGGCGCTGTGCTTCCGCTTCAACGAAGTCAAGATGATCCTGAAACTCTTCTTTGGAGATATTCCCCTGGTTTGCTATTTGCTCCTCAAGCATCTGAACTTCGATCTCCACTGACTCCAGGATCTGTTTCAGCCTTGATTCGAGACGGCGCTTGCGGTAATCAATGTCCAGCAGCGGCGAAGGGAACCTGTTGGGCTTCTCTCGGGCGTTGGTCAAGATGCCTTGCCCAGGCGCAGGCACAGACCGGCTAGTCTTATCACTTGCAGTGCCTACCCAGGCAACAACGCCATGAATCGGCAGCCCCAAGTCGAGGGCTAGACGGGCAGAAGTAATAACCTGAACTCCACTGCCCTGCGACTCCACAAAACCACTTCGGCTCTCCGCAGATGGCCTGGACATCTCCAGTGGGAGTCTTCCTTTCTTCGCCTCTTCCTCCGGGTTGGTGGTGGCTTTCATGTTGGCAAACTCATCCGCCACTGCATGTGTCATATCATCATATCCTCCAACAAGACAGATCTTGGCACGCCCACTGATGATAGTCTCAACCCCTGTTTCGAGAGACTCAATCGATGTCGCACAGGCACCAACTGACGTGCGGATGGGACCGGCAGACGATATCAGCAGCATATTGACCCAGGCAGCGGTGGTATTAATAAACGTTTCCTGGAGAATATCCTTCTGCACGTCTTTATCCAGGTAACGATCTCTGAACAGTTTCTTCAGGGAATGGACGCCACCGAGACCGGAGCCGATACAGTTCCCAAATTCTGAGAGATGGATATACTCGTATAGCTCATACGGGTCAGTGATACCCGAGGCAACCAGTGCCTCCATGGTGCTAACCAACGTGAATAGGGTTCCGCGGTCCACCTGATAGACTATGTCTTCGGGAACACCGTAGGTGCGTGCATCCCAACCACTAGGGACTTGTCCTGCAACAGCATGCTCATAGCGCAAAGCCTTGGGGATCATCAGCACTGCGCCCTTCTTCAAGTGGACGACACACTGTTCACCTTGCGGCGAGATATCAACCAGCTTTTCTCCATGTTCGTGGACAAGTTGCTGTGCCACCTCCGGCGATACTTCAAAGGGTGGCAGATCCTCCTCGAGCACGATCTCTTGCAGAAGCCGCCTCTTGTTTGGCGGCTCGCTAGGATCCAGGCCTGGCTCCACCAGTCGGATGCCCGTGTGGTTTAGAATATGCTCTTCATAGCGAGCCTTGACATCCAAATCCTGCACTGGCTTTTTTGTCTTCGCGTCCACCCAGCCGGTGAAATGCTTCCCGTCCAGCGGGCCGTCATGGTGTGTGATGAGACCCATGATCCATGCCATCTCAATACAGCCCTCCAGCGACAGTCGCCCGCCAGCTTCCATCTGCCAGCGAGTTCGGGAGTTTCCATACGGCCCCACCTCCGAGAATCCTGTTACCACCACCAAGCGCTCTAGATCCGCCATGCCCATCAATTTCTCGCGCAGGGGATCAACTTCTGTCTTCGCATCGGGCAGACGTGGAAATGTAAATTGGATGTTGGCCAGACGTGGTCGTGGACCCTTCTCTTGGACCGCCGGAGCGCCACACGCAGTGAGCTTCTTCTCGGCCGCTTGCTCGCGCGCAAGGACAGCACGTAGGGCACTTTTATCAAAGATATCGCGTCGGATACTGTCCAAGGTGGCCCTCAGGTTTGGAATCGCGTTCAGGCCGCCGGTAAGATCGGCATACAGCGGCTGCACATTGCACTGATTAGCCAGCTTCCGAGTCATGAGTACCAGGATATATGCCGCCATTTCGGTTGTGGAAAAGGTCAGCACGCCGTGACTCTCTATCCCGGCCGCCACGATGTTGTTATCAGCCATCAGGCCGGTGCCCCTAGTCCAACCAATGACCGCGCCGCAGATGGACAGGTACGTGGACCAGCACTCCGAATGCCATTTCTCAAACAAGGACTCGAGGGCAATTTTCGACTCGCCATAGAGGCCGTCGTTGCCAAAAGCGCCGTGGTTAGGTGAAAGAGGCAGGATAACCTGTGTTGGCCGAGTCCGATATCCGCGAAGCTGTTTCTGTTTCTTGACGGCACCCATTAGCCGGAGGGTATTGGTCAGCATGATTCGATGAGCTAGTTCAGACTTGGAGTCAATATTGTCAATCTCCCGGCCTGACTCGGAGATCGCGGCAAAAGGAACAATGTGATCGAGATCCCAACCCAGGCCGGTGCCTGGAGTAAAGATATGCTCCACCAGACCGTCGAGATCCTGCTGACTTCCTTGATTGAAGGGAACGACGATGAGCTCGGATCCCCGCGAGCCGTGCTCGACATAGAGCCGCTGGTAGAACCGGGTCGTGGCGGAAGAATAACTGCTGGTGGTGACGACGACCTTGGCTCCCCCACTCAAGAGGCCTTTGAGGATTTCCGCGCCAATTGATCCAGCACTCACGCCGGTCATAAGCACACATTTGTCGACAAAGGTGGCCCCGTCATTCCAAGAGGACTGCACCTCATCTAGGTACAACGCCGTGAGCGCTCGGTCTGTCTGCCAGGCAGCCTGCCGCTGGGTCTTGATATGAATCGGTGCAATGACGGGAGGCCCGCCGCGAATGACCTCGCAATACTTTATATGGCCGTTGTCATCCACAGTAGTGCTGGGTCCCTTGATGAAAGCGTCATAGTTCGCAGCCAGTGGCTCAAATCGAGGGGCGCGGGAGGTCGCACACTGGTCGAGCAGACGATGCATCACAGCCTTGGCTTCGAAGAAACGAGTACCCCAGAGAGTGGACGGGCTGCTTGCAAGGTACTTGATCATCTGTAGCAAGCGAGGACTAGATCGGTTGGCAATGGCATTGCTATATTTGGGGAAGTCGGCGTCTGCAAATTCCCCTCGCAAAATCTGGTGGAAAAGATGCAGTGTATCCTGCAATACCCAATTCCAGCTCGAATTAAATCGGCGGACCTTGAGAACCGCCCATAAAGGACGAATGCCAGAGATGAAGACATCGCCCACCTCAGCTGTGATGACATCCAACTGTTCCTGCAGCTTGATGGTCGAGATCTGTGCTTTTAGCGCTTCTCGCGCGTCGTTACTCAAGTCTTTCCCAAGGAGTCGTGCATAGAGCTCCATTTGCGACTTCCGGAGTCTTTCCTGATCCTTTTTCACTACATCGAGAGCTTTACTGTCTATAGGGGCCGACACTGCGACCGCTGCATCGGCGGCAGATACCGACACAGAGAGATCAAGCCCGTTATCTGCGGCGTAATGCTGCACGACCCGATCGAAGAATGACTGTGCCTCACCCAAACTTGCTAGGCGAGCAGATGTTTGTGCCGTGCTTGCCCGCAAGAAGATGGAGTCCTGGCGTCCTGTTCCCAGTCCCCACCGTGTTTGCAGATACGCACGAGCATCACCGCTGGAGAAACCTGCGGGAAGCTTTTGTGCAAAAACCCGAGATATAAGGCTTGTAGATACTTTACCCAGCTGTCCGGCGAAACTCGCAGCCGATTGCAAAGTACCGCATAGTTCGTCTAGTCTGAGCTCTTCCGCCCGATCGGGGAGAGATCCGAACTCGGCGTCAAGGTCGCCCACGATCTCATTCTCTAACGTCGATCGACCTACAGCCAGGTTCATGTTAACCAAAGAGAGGTATACACGACGGGATTGCAGGGTGGAGGACTATACCGCTCACTAATGCCTTGATCGTCTTATCCAACGCCACCTCGGCGTGACTCTTTCTCAGCTTCTGCGCGATAATTGCAATTACAATATCCTTCGCCGCTACCGGGGCATCTGCGATCTTTGCGAATTTAGCAGCTGGGGGCACCGTAGTACTGTCTCGACTCAAAGCAGGAGCCGCAGGTGTGGTTTCCACGGCTGTTCTGGGAGCCGCTGGCTCTTTAGACCGTAGCAAAGGAGGCTTTACAGCTTCCCTCGTACTTGTCGTTGAGGATGACCCTAAGGTATACTGTATCTCTTCCGCATTCTGGGCGTAAGAGAGAAGCTTTCGTGACATGTGGCGCGCCGCGTCTTGGGATTTGTACTGTTGGCCTACCGTCTTCCTCAGCATGCCGGTGAGAATGTCTGCCGGACCGATTTCGATAAAGCGTTCAACATTTTGTTCTTTCAGGAGGCCATCCTGCGTCGCGACCCTGTAACAAATTGCTGTTACTCGGATACTCTTCATAAGGTGGAGATTGGGCGTTTACCATTGGACCGGAGACGCAAACTGATGCCTACAAGCGATTGATTCCTTGGTTAGTTACTGCGATTCCCACTCCAGAAATGGAAAAGCACTCACGCCAACAGCTCTATTAAGAGCACATATGCAAGCTGCTGCTCAACTTCTGGCTGCATGACGGCAGGCAATCTTGTTGAGAGTGAGCAATACCATATACTGGCGGTATGACTTTGTCTTAATTGTAGAAATACTTAAGAGGATCGACTATTCCGGTCTATCTTTATTAATTTCTCACACTCCCCTCTCTAAGCCCGTAAGCAATTTTCCGTATCGGCTGCAACCGAGCGCTCACTACCCACATGGGGCAGTGTTTGGGAATTCGTATAGGGCGTCAGAAGATGATCACTACATTGTTTCAGCCATGCATGAACGACGATCAGACAAATAAAGGTAGTAAATCCAACCGTAAGGCAAACCGCGTGGGCCGCTCACGCTGCATGCTGAGATGTATGATCGAGCAGGTTTAGGGCTGACAGGGGCTAGTGAGATCCGCCCCCATTTCTGCCCTAAGTTGGTATCGAGATTTGACGGAGAACCGTCCGAGAATAGAGCACAATCATATGTTTGCAGCGAGGAATTGGAATCTAAATTTATCTTCACTATTGTGGGTCATGTCACGCTGAGCTGGGATCAGACAACCTCGATGACTTTGCTTGAAAGGCTAATTATTGTGTGAAGGATCTCCATGTCCTCTTCCTTTGCTACTAACATAATTCTGTCGCTGGACTAGTCAATGTGTACTGCTGTATTAGTTGTCTACTTCCAGCTCTGCGAGACACCAAGCATTCATTCACTTACTTCGTAGTACATTGATCGACCACCATGGAAGCAGTCACGCTGCTTAGAAGTGTGCCTCTCTTAACTTATGTGACGGCTGTCCCTACAGCATGCCTAGCCTACGTGAGTCCTTGTTCCCTTGCGTCCTGCCTAGCATCGAGGATCACATTTCCACTGACAAGTTTGTCAGGTGCTGGCTACCTGCATCTACCGGGTCTGGTTTCATCCCCTCGCAAAATACCCAGGTCCTCTGCTAGCTAAAGTGACCAACCTGTACGGAGGGTACTATGCTTGGAAAGGGGACCTGCACATCGATATGATGCGCTGTCATGAGAAATATGGTGTGACCTTGTGTTTCCTTGTTGTTTCAGCTCACTAACGGTTCATGCGGCAGGTAATTATGTACGATACGCACCAAACCGTGTCCTATTCAACACCAATACCGGATTGAAGGGTTCGTCTATATCCCTGGTTATTGTCACTAGATGCATTCACTAATAGGATATCCACTAGAGATCTACGCGTTCAGCAAAAGCTTCCAAAAGTCGGCCGCTTACGGTGCTATGGTCCACCGTGCTCCCAACACGCTCACTCTCATCGATAAACGGCAGCACGGCCGCAAGCGCCGCATCATCGGGCAGGGTTTTGGAGATGCCGCCCTGCGCGGCTTCGAAGGGACCACCATGGACCACGTCCGCAAGTTCTGTGACGCATTGGCCAAGGATATCCCAGACGAAAAACCTGGCGGATGGTCTCGCCCACAGAACATGGCGAAGTGGTGTATGTATCATCCTCCCACACTAGTTGCAAGCCTAAGTTAATGTTTGACTTCCAGCAAACTATCTCACCTTTGACATCATGTCCAGCATCATATTCGGAGAAAGCTTTGATCTCATCGGCAGTCCCGACAATAGAGAAATTGTCCAGTGCATCGAAGATTCCAATGTGCGTACTGGAGTTCTCCTCCAAGCTACCGAGCTATCCGCGCGCCGTCTTGATCGACGCCTTTTCCCCGAGGCGATCAAGGGCCGGAATGCGTTCATTGGATTCGTCAACAAGCTTCTAAAAAAGCGCATGTCTGCGAAACCCTTGAAGCGCCATGATGTGTTTTCTTTCCTGCTGGATGCGATCGATCCGGAGACGCAGCAGGGGTTCACGCCTGCGGAGATTGGTGCTGAGAGTACCACCATGATTGTTGCCGGTAAGTCTTTATTCCTCTACCTACCCTTTTCTACCTTTGAATCTGACATCGCCAATAGGATCCGACACATCCTCCACCGCCATAGCATCCACATTCTTCTACCTCTGCCATTACCCTGACCGGTACGAAAAGGTCAAGGAGGAGGTTCGCGCCGCCTTTCCCCACGCCGACAATGTCGCACTCGGGCCCAGCCTGAACAACTGTGTCTACTTGCGCGCGTGCATCGACGAGAGTCTGCGCATGTCCCCACCCGCCAGTAGCTCCCTTTGGCGCGAGGTTCTGGACGAGGGGGTCGTGATCGACGGACATGTCATTCCGCGAGGCGCTGATGTGGGCACCTGCATCTACGCCATCCACCACAACGCCGACTACTACCCGCAACCGTATAAGTATCGCCCTGAGCGATGGCTTGACCCGGTGCCGGAGAAGGTGCAGCTGGCGCGGTCGGCATTCAATCCGTTCTCCATTGGGCCGAGAAGCTGTCTGGGGAAAGGGCTAGCATTGACGGAGTTGATGTTGACCATGGCGTACATGCTGTCGAAGTATGATTTCCGAAGTGCTCCGGGAGCGGGCGAGAAGGTCGGGGGTGGGAGTATGGCCATGGGATCTGGAAGACAGCGTGAGAGGGAATATCAGCTGTATGACCATGTCACGGCCGCGAAGAATGGACCGATCGTGCAGGTTCGCGTGCGATAGGGGAGGTTTCTGGTAGGAGATCGGATCGGTGAACGATCCGTGTGTATGGATTTCTTAGCTAGTGATGTATTTCGAGTGCCTTGGAAGGATTCCGATAAGACGCCTGAGTTCGTTGAGTCTAGAATTGCTGAATTCTGCCAAACCGTTCATCTGCCAGTGAGATTATTACAGATAATGTTATCGGTCTAAGTGATAACTACACCAAAGCCTTGTGTGTACCCCAAACCGAAGATATGCACCGAAAGTAATCTCCCAGAATTAAACATCGCTGGATTCCAGTGTGCCTGGGCTCTACCAGAGTCCATAAAGTACGGTTTCTGGTGAGCAAAACCTGCACCATTAGTTAGATGTGATCTTTTGAAATCAGCTCTAACATGATTCTATGGGTAAAACTTGCGTTTTACCTTCAAGTCTTATTTAGCAAATCTGAACGTAGTGTGCATTCTACACGTACATCTCTCCCTGTACGTCTAAAGCTCAAATAGAAACTATATCTGACACTTCCTTCATCTTTTGACACCAACCGAACCGGTCTGCATTCTCACCACGCTGAATCTTCGTCAGCGCGGCGTACAGTTGCTGGCATATGGGGCCCGCGGTCATCTCCTCTGTGTAGACGAAGCGGTCGTCGCACGACTTGCGGGTAATGGACTGAATGGGAACCAAAGCGGCTGCGGTGCCGACTGCCATGACCTCCCTAAAGGTCGCGAGTTCCTCGTATTTGACCTATAGCTATCAGTCACGACACTTAAAGAGATAGAACGAGCGCAATAGGAGGCCCATACCGGACGATGCTCCACGGTCCATCCCAAGGACCGGCCAATCTGCATGCAACTATCGGATGTCACACTCCTAATGATGTTTTCACTCTTGGGTACCACCAACACCGGACGATCGCCGTCCATCCTCACCCCCAAGAATCCAGACGTGGAAAATTCATCGATCTCGGAACGGGTCGCACTGTCCAAATGCAGTGTCATAGGGAATCCCTCCTTTTTGGCCTTTTCCGACCACTTCATCACCGGGGCATAGTTGCCGCCGATCTTCGCATGGCCCGTTCCTCGGGGCGCCGCGCGATCAAACTCTTCAAGCACGACCGCCGGCAGCGGAGCGATTCCATGATACGTGCTGAATGGTTGCACATACACACAGAACGTATATTCGGCGGGAGGGGTCAACGCAAAGTGTGCCCCGGAGCCCAGGAGCACGGGGCGGACGTATAAGGCGGCGCCGCTCGAGTGGGGAGGAACCCATGCGGCGTTTTTCGAGACAGCGAGGTTCACGCACGCCAGAAAGTGCTCGGTCGGCACAGGGGGGATGGAAACCACGTCGGCAGAATGTTGCATGCGCTCCGCATGGAATTGTGGGCGAAAGAGGAGGATCTGGTTCGTTGTCGAGCGATAGGCTATTGGCTCTAGTGAGATTCTCAAGACAAAAGCTCGTATAGATAGAGAAGCACACCTTTCATCCCCTCATAAACCTGTTGTCCATAGTTGAGGGCCGGGGACAGACCGTGTATCCGGAGATACGGGTCAGCGACGAACCGGGGCGCTGTCCAAGAGCCTGTTTCAACGGAAAAGGTTGATTCCACATGGCCATTAACTGTGACAGGGGGGTTTAAGTGAGTAGGCAATCTAAGCCATCATTCGGTTCACTTCTTACCCATGTCTGTCATGGCGAGCCCTAATTTCGTCCATTCTACACCACCGAAATGTCAGTTACCAACCAGTATACAACAACAAGGGGTCAAACCGATATTCTCAGTCGCCGCAGGTGGGAAGGTCATGGTTTCAGATTCCGAGTTGATCTAGTGTAATATAATCCAGGATATATTCTATCTTCTCCGAAGTTGGTAGTACCGGTGCTTTTTCCTCACTACCTGGATGTCAAGGTCTATCTATAGGTCACATGTTCATTCGTTAGACGATGGAATGATCGCATCCCAGCTCTTTTGATCTTTCTCTCCTTGTGTATAGAGCCCTGTGTTTGTCCAGCCCCCACGGTCTATACGAAGAAATGAGCTTGCAGGAAATACTATGACAAACTGCAGGATCAGCCGTTAGCGTAATAGCTTATTATTTTTATCCGTTTCAGGGCGTGCATCTGATGGGATGATCGTCGTATCTGTAACAGCCCCCAACATTAGGCAGTGTGGTTTCTCACGTTGCAAATCTTCACAAACGTGTAGAGTCAGTTTACAAACCTTCGACGCTGTTGCTGAGGGACTCAATCCTTCGGCGAGTGATCTCACGACGACGATGCGCCGTAAACATTAGAAAGCCTGGAGAACATACGTAACAAGGTTAGATCAATATCATATTACCATGGTTTTATTAGCCCATCGGTACCACGGTAATATAACGACATCCTTGTGCAAGTAAATCCACGGCTATCCAGTTCATGCGGAGTAGTCTGTCTTCGTCCATCTCCCAAAGTGCGAATTCTTCGAAGAATCCCGCCTTCAACATCATGATGAAAGGCCTGAAGCCTGTCCTGACGCCAGGGGATCTCCACCCACCCCGGCCCTCTCCTGCTCCGATTCCGTTCGCCGAAACCGACATCTGGACGCACTGTGGTAACAGTCTGTTCCCTGTTGACCCTGATGCCGTTCATCTTTCCCAGACAGGTTGGCAGCAGACCGATTTGTCGGACGCGGGCTGTTGGCCTGCATCCAATTTCCTGGGCGATTTATACATGACCATGACGGATGCTTCCCTAGGTCAGCTTCCTATGTGGACACCCAGCCAGGTAGATTCTCTTTCCCTCTTCATTTCCCCCTTTTTTTTTCTTTCTATCATTGTCTCGTGTGTATGACTGTCTACGTCAGGGTCAACATATGTGCATCATCTCCAGAGCTAATTCCGCATTCTCTGCTTGATAGGGGGAGTGTCTCTTCCCTACCGCCATGCCCGGGAATGACCTCTTTCCCGATGGTGCATCAGAGCCGCAACATCGTCCCGGTGCCAGCAATCCCACCCCGCCGCCATCGCGTGAGGCTGAGAATCCGGGGAGAGATACGGAGTCCAATCACGGCACGGAGCGCGTGGTTTCTCTGCTTCTTCAGCGTGGAGTCAATGTAAATGTCCAGGACTCGCGCGGCCACACCCCGCTACACATTGCCGCTCAGCACGGACATCTCGGCGTAGTGCGCCTACTGCTTGCCACCGAACAAATCGATGTCAATGCCCGCGATCACAACGGGTCGACCCCACTACATATGGCAAGTGAGAAGGGGCACGTCGATGTGGTGCAATTGCTTGTAGCGCATGGGGCACGGTTAGACCTCCGGTCCGGTCGGATATGACAAAGGAAGTCCTACTCATGCGTATCTGCGATCTTGGTGTTCCTGGTGTTATATGGTTATCTGATTATCTTTTTTTCCCCCGTCTTGCATTGTTTGGGACCTCCCTTTTCCAAAGGTTCGCTGCTGGACAGCGATTTTGGTAAACATCGGCTGTGAAACAATACCCCTTTTCATGGAAGCATTAGATTTACTTTGGCAGTTATATAACAATGGTAGATGAGAGAATTCACTTTGCTGTATGTGATGTGATGTATGCCCTACCAAGTATATCTGTCCATCAATCTAAGCGCTTTCTGGGAACTACGCCAAATTGGTGGAAACTAAACATAGTACAGCTACGGTCTAACCGTATTTGGTTAGGGCTATTCCGCTAGAGTGCTAGATCCAAGTGGTCACTGGTCCAATAGAAAGCATGGCCCAAGTCAGTTAGCGTGTTTCCTGGGAGAGACTCATTGGAGCCTCAGGCAGAAAAAGCCGTACCGCCTCCCGTCTTCGAGGGGTTGAACTTATATTTAGAAGGGTTCAACGGAATACTGTCCCTTCTGTAGCATGTTCAGCCTATATTCTACATTATTATCACAAGAAAATAGCTAGTGAGAGTCCGAGAACGTTATATATGTAACTGGTGAAGATTTATGAAGACTTATCACAGAGAATTGGCTCGGTATATATCATATTGTTGTTGTTATGCCGGAGGTGCAGAAAATATATATATTTTATCGAGAAGCCCTCAGTCTACTACCTAAACATATTTCCTAGTTCACTGTACTTACACACGAGCTATCTAGTGCACAATCAGTTCCGGGATCCCACTGTCTTGCAATCTACATTTTATGATCATGAGTTCATGTTCCCAGCCATAATCATCGTATACGCATAGCCTAAGTATTGTGTCCTCTGACTGAGGGTGCAATGTGTGGTTGCAGGTGAGCTGGGGTCCTTTTTTAGGTGGTGTGTCACAAAAAGTCCTGCTTAATCCGCTTTGATCACGTGCAAGACAGACGAAGCGTGACCCCACAACACCGAAAGTTTCAAAACAGGCGACCTTTTTCAACGTTTTTACCTACCACCCCACCTACCATGGCTCCCTGGCTATGTTAAAAACTTACGTTTGTATTTTCATTAAGCTGATTATCTAAATCAGGCGTATGTAAATTATTAGACTCCATAGTTATAAGTAGTTCAGAAGCAGGTATAAAGTATTTAGTTGTTTTAGGAATAGAACAAAAATACAAAGGAAATTAGAATTCAAATACACTAAGCCCGATTTATATACTGATTTGTCCCAGCCTGCTTATTAATCTCTTAACAGTCACGTGATTCGGTCAACTTACATGCCAACTCACCTTGAGAGGTGGCCTGACCTGTGTACACTGCATTGTAATTGGATCTCCGAGCCTACCGTTTACTAATAAATACACCACGTGATTAGATTTAATAAGATCACGTGTAGCTAGAGCTTTGCCCTCCAGTTCCAAGTTCAGGTCTAGTGGATCCCAAACAATATGTACCACTAAATCATCCGCGACTCCACTACATGAATGGGGATGCTCCGAACTATTCTATACTACACATTGATCCTTGTACCTGCCGCAGACCAACCCCAGTGACCTAATAAGGAAATTCCGTGTTCGGAATCCTCTAGTCAGTCTGGTCGCATGAGCGGACACTCAGAGCAGTTCCATGAATCCTCAACCACCCCGACCGGTTCACCGCGAAAACGGCCAGCTGTAAGATGTCGACGCCTTACCGAGGGGACGCCAAATCCGATGAGACGGGGACGCTCCTTGGAAAGGAGGTCCTGGGAACAACAATTATGAGGTGATTGGTCATGCCGCTGGTGCGATTGGCATATACAACGGGGTTGAAAACGGATCCGTCTAGGTCGATGTCCATCTTTCCCTGCAAGTAGCACCGGAGGGCGGACGGATCGCGGACAACCGAGCAACGGCTGCCACAACGTGGATAATGCACCATTTGCGCATCGCTCCCAATGCTTCAAGCTTAGAATGATGACATGGCTGAGCGAATGAACATATTGGCGCTACGAACCAGGTCTCTCAATAGGCCCCGGATCGCTGATAGACGCGCTACATCCTCTCTGACAGCTCAGATAATCGACGGACAGAAGAAAGACACCGCGAAGTGGCGGTAGTACATGAAGTAGTAAGGCCACATGGCTGACAATGGCTGACATCGAACGCGTTCCCCCGGGAGGGAGACGTGCACCATCGGTACAGGATTCGCGCCAATCGTGGTTTCGATAGCACCCGGCGTAGACGCGGTGATCACAAAATAGTACGTCTAGATATTTCAAGGGCGCGGTTTATTGGTCACCTGGGCTATATCTCGTCCTTTCGTCGTCTAGATATAGTTCTCCACCAACCACCACCGGTAGAAGCCTGTCTTAAGAATCAAACCTGTCGCGGGCGTCAGCATTGTTGGGCGACAGTGCATTCTTCCCGATCGCGACCATGGTGGATCTGTATTTACGCATCGCGCTGTACTCCAAGACGGTGGGTTACTCGGCGGATGGCGCAGACGACCAGTGGGTTCCTCTACCGATGGATTTTGGAAAAGCCTTCCTGGCATAAAATTGCTACTCACACATGGTGATGTTGAACACCTATGAGATACGAAGTAAACGGGACTTCGTCTTGGCACTAGCATCACTTTTCTGTCAAAGTATCTAGGTATGGTGATCTGCCTCTAGGAAACTAGCTACTACTAGGGGATTTTCTTACCTCATGGTAGCGGGGCACTATGGTTAATTTGGGCCCTGTCTATTTATGGTCTCGTTCCTCCATCTCTGTTATGTTTCTAGTCAGGTCAGCATACGCAGTAAGCTCGGAAGGATCCACGCTATCGCGACGCTACTGCAAGATGAGAGCAGAAGCAGCCTCAGTCAAGTATGGCCCCCAGTCTGATGATACAGATCTTATCTTTGGAGGCTATCTCCATATGTGCTGCATACCGTCCTTACTGCGGACTACCAAAATCGTGGCTGAAACGAGGTCGCTAGCTCTAAACAGCCGACCGCCCCCACACATCACAGACGATGCGAGGCGAGAGCGCAAGCTGACACAGAGAGAATGACTTGCGACCAAAGTTGGATGAGCATCGTGCTCGTTGGCTGACGGAATTGGTAGTATAGAGGAGTCACTATCATCAGGTTTGAGGCGACATATGTATTCAAGTCTTCCCACGCTTCGTCCTATGTATCTACCAACCTGGTCAATCCAATAGCTCAAATCTGATCTTCCACCAAGCAGTCGGGCTCTTATAGCTCTCTCATCTTTCATACTACATCCGTCACTGTATTCCTACTTTCTTCCCCCTTCTGTCGTCACTCTCTCCCCCTTCATCGCAGGGTTATTTAACTTCACTTCCTCTAAACACACGTGCTAAGGAAAACTAATCACAATGGGAGACGCTGGAGACTACACCTCTGTCCAGGCCCTTACTGCCCGAATTCCCATGGGATCCAAAGGGAGTTCATCCTTCTTCCCGAACCTCACTGATGGAACACTTCTAGGTGAAGAACAGACCGACCGAATGATAATCCCCTTGGACTTGGGGTCGGTGTCCCAGGGAAAGGCTCTGACTGCATTCTGCGTACGACATGGACTGAACGTTCTGAGTGTGCTGAATGTCGCCTGGGCGACGGTGCTCTCCGCATATGTCGGCAGCGAGACTGTAGGGTTTCTCTTTGTTAGATTCGTCGCCGGTGTGCCACATGTAGGCGTCTACCAGACGGAGATCGACGGGGCAAAGACGGTGCTGCAGACGCTCGTTGACGCGGAGGAGACGCTGCAGGCTAGTATTTCGACATCTGCCCTCATGACACCGACCGAATTTCAGGAATTCGCCGCCCGGGAGGGCGGTCCAGCTTTCAATAGCGTTTTAATGCTGTATGACCGAGAATCTCCAGAGCGAGAAGAGGTAAGGGCTGTGTTTTTCCAGACACTGTTACTGCGTATCACTGACGGAGAGCTAACAGTCGGGCAATAATCTTGCTATTCACGCACGATATCTACAGGATCAGTTTGCCGTTGACCTGCAGTGTCCGACTTCCTTGATCACCACCCCGCAGGCGAAACACTGTGCAGCGACACTCAGCCATGTACTCGGTGAGATCATCAAAGCCCCTCGCACCCCCCTCACAGAGGTAAGTTTAATGAGCCAGGATGGATTGCATCAACTCTGGCAATGGAACCAGAAGATGCCCCCTGTGGTCTCTCACTGTCTGCACCACCTCATCGACGACCGTGCCGCTAGAGAGCCCCAAGCATACGCCATCGATGCCCCGGATGGACGCATGACATATGGCGAGCTACAGAGGCTTACTGATCGCCTGGCCCACCATCTTGTGGATCGGGGCGTGGGCCCAGAAGTGGCTGTGCCCCTCTTCTTCGAGAAGTCCAAGTGGGCAATTGTTACCATGATCGCCGTCATTAAAGCGGGCGGCGCCATTGTGAATTTGGATGCCAAACAGCCTAGGTTACGCTCGATGGGACTGATGGAACAGTTACGGGCTCCATTGGTCCTCACCTCCTTGCAGTATGAACCGCTCTGGCAGGGCGACTACAACGTCCTCTCCGTCTGCCAGGATAGCGTGATGGCGCTCCCTGCGCAGGAAGCAGCCCCAGCAGTTGCAGTCACTCCGCGGAATGTCCTATACATCATCTTCACTTCTGGTAGTACTGGGGCCCCCAAAGGCTGTGTGGTGGAGCATGAATCCTTCTTGACGGCTGCGACCCAGCATGTCAAGGTGGGCGAGATCACCTCGAACAGCAGGATCCTGCAGATGACACCATACACATTCGATGTCTGCATGCTCGAGATTTTCACAACCCTCACGACCGGTGCCTGTGTCTGCTTCCCCAGCGACGAACAAGCACAATATGGGATCGCGCATGTTATCAACACTTTGCGCATCACTTGGACCTTCATGACTCCTTCAGTGGTTCGCTTGATAGATCCCGTTGACGTGCCTACTCTGAAGACATTGGCCCTTGGGGGTGAAACATTGAGCCAAATCGATGTTACAACCTGGGCCGATAAATTGCATTTGATCAATGGTAAACACAGCTCCTGCTGATTTGGGTTGAGTAAAATTCTAACCGACACCTCTTAGGATACGGTCCTAGTGAATGTTCCGTCGCAGCCACAATCAACCCCCATCTCGCCACGACTGCGGACCCAGCGAACATCGGGCGCGGCTACGGTGCGGTCTGCTGGGTTGTCCACCCGGACGATCACAACCGTCTCGTTCCGATCGGGGCCGTTGGTGAGCTGGTCATCCAAGGTCCGATCGTTGCGAGAGGCTACCTCCATGAGCCCGTGAAGACCGCAGCAGTGTTCTTGGATGAAGCCCCCGACTTTCTGCAAAATATGACCTCCCAGCCACCCCCATTCCGGCTATACAAAACCGGTGATCTCGTGAGAAACAACAGCGACGGTTCGATCAGCTTCATCGGACGGAAGGACCGCCAGGTGAAGCTTCGGGGCCAGCGTTTGGAGCTAGGTGAGATTGAGCAACGCCTCTCCATGGACTCAATGGTACGCCATGCCTTCGTCCTTCTCCCCAAAGCAGGTCCTTGTAAAGGAAGCCTGGTGGCAGTGCTCTCGCTCCATGCTTTCCCACACAACGGACCGCGAGACGCCAACGTACACGAGCTACCTGCCGACCACAAAAGTCATGCACGGACATTGCTACCTGATATCTGCGCTCGCCTTGCTGCACAGCTCCCAGGTTATATGATGCCCACCTTCTGGGCTGTGTTGGCCACCCTTCCCTTTACGACATCCGGAAAGGTCAATGGTGTTGTCATGACCCAGTGGGTTCGTGACATGTCGAAAGATACTTATAACGAGATCGCCGGTATTGTAGAAGACGAACAAGAAACGAGCGAGACCGCACTTTCATCCGAAGTGGAGCTTCTCCTACAGAAGATCTGGGCGGAAGAGTTGGGCATTGAAGTGTCGCAGTTGAAACATAATCGCGCTTTCATAGCCTTAGGAGGAGATTCTATCACGGCCATGAAGATAGTGGCACGGTGTCGCCAGGAGCAGATGATGCTTTCGGTGTCGGATGTGGTTCGGGCGAAAAGTCTGATCGATTTGGCCTCAAAGACTGTCTTCTCTTCGAAAGTGTCTGTAGAGGACACCATTGTTGTCCCCCCTGGTTCTACGCCCGTGGGGCGGATTGCTGCCATCGACGACGCCTTTTTGTCCAAAGCTGGTCTCCCTAGCAAGGAAGAGGTGGAAGACATCTACGGCTGCTCCCCAGTACAAGACGGAATCCTTCTCAGCCAGGTAAAGTTTCCCGGGACTTATGAAATCCGCCGTGTTCTCCACGTCCTGTCCAATTGCGATGCCACCACCACTGTTATGGGTCTTCAGCGGTCCTGGCAGGGAGTTATAGATCGCCATCAATCCCTTCGGACCATCTTCGTCGATGCGGGAGGATCCTTCCAGCAGGTGGTACTCAAGAACGTTACAGCCTGCATCTATTGCTGCGAGTACACGGGCTCGGGCGATGAAGCGGAGGTCACTCGTTTCCTTAAGACTCTCCCCTCTCCAACGTACGGACCCTCGGATCCTCAACACCGTCTCACCGTTTGCCTCACTGGCGGCGACAACATCTACATGATGGTGGAGCTCAGCCATGCGATAATCGATGGCGGGTCTACCGAGGTCGTCCTGCGGGAGATGTCACTCGCCTTTGACGGAAAGTCGCCCACAGAGTCTGCGTCGCTGTACAGTGACTATATCCAGTACATCTCGACCCAGAAACACTCGCAAAGCGACTCGATGGACTACTGGACCAGATATCTCGATGGAGTCCAGCCGACTATTGTCCCAATGTATCCTCAGAATGGGAACCATTCCAGGCATATCCAATCCATTACCGTTCCCTTCACTGGGGTAAAAGATCTTTTTAATTTTTCCGAAGCCCATGGAGTCACCATTGCTAATGTGCTACAAACTGCATGGGCCTTGGTTCTCCGAGACTACACTGGCTCCGATGATGTCTGTTTCGGATATGTGGCTTCTGGTCGCGACGTACCGGTTCAAGGCATAGAACACGCGGTTGGTGCCTTCATTAACATGCTGGTTTGTCGGGTGCGTTTGGACCAGCATGAGGCTGCTCTGAATGCCATCGAAACCGTGCAGAATGACTATTTCTCCGCTCTGGCCCATCAACATTGTTCCCTGGCCCAGATCCAGCATGGCCTGAACCTGTCGGGCATGCCGTTGTTCAATACCATCGTTTCTCTGCAGAAAGCTACCTCGGCGCCGCTGTGTGGAGAATCCCTCTCCTTCCGGGCCCTTGAAGAAGATGACCCGACAGATGTGAGTAGGGCACCGCGGGGTATCTATAGTTCCAAAAGAATTACTAATAGGTCTCTATCTCATAGTTCGACATTACCGTTGCCATCGACGTAAGCAACGAGGATGTTCAAATATCTATCGGTTATTGGTCCTCTTTACTAACACAGGGCGATGCAATCAACCTAGCAAACACATTTAGCACCGCAATTTCTCGTGTTGTGGATCATGCCAGAGTTAAGCTCACCGACATTGACCTGTTCGATGAAAAGGATCGCGCTCAGATCTTTGAGTGGAACAAGGTTGAGCCAGTTGGGGAGTCAGGATGTGTGCATGAATACTTCTACGAGCAAGTCTCGAAGCAACCAGATGCCCAAGCAGTCTGTGCGTGGGATGGCGAATACACCTATTCTCAACTTGACCTGTTGTCTGAAAAGCTAGCCCACCACCTGGCACAACTTGGGGCAGGACCGGAGGTGCTCATACCCCATTGCTTTGAGAAGTCGAAACTGGCGACAGTGACCATGTTGGCGATTATGAAGTCTGGTAGTGCTGGTGTTGGTTTGAGCTCTGCGCATCCGATATCTCGCATTCAGGATATCCTAGATGGTTGCCAGGCACGTATCGCGGTGGTTGCCGCGCAGCACGCCAAACTGCTTGAAGGCCTCGTGCAACATGTTGTAGTCGTGGACGAAGCCTTTCTTGAATATCTCCCTGCTCCTACCCACAGCGCTTCACTCCCTAAGACCCAGCCATCCAACCCAGCTTTTATATCGTTCACGTCCGGCAGTACAGGAAAGCCAAAGGGCATCATCCTCGAGCATCGATCCCTAATCACTAGCATTCAAGCCCACGGGTCCGAATGGGGAGTTAACGCGGGCTCGCGTGTTCTGCAGTTCTCGGCCTACGCATTCGATGCCAGTGTTTCCGACACGTTCACTACGTTGATCCGTGGTGGCACGGTTTGCATACCGTCCGAAAAAGATCGAGTGGATGACTTGGCTGGTGCGATCAACAGGCTCGGCGCCAACTGGGCGTTCCTGACTCCCCGTGTCCTCAGCCTGCTTTCACCACAAAGCGTGCCCACTCTGAAAACAGTCGTCCTTGGGGGCGAAGCAATCTCGCGCGAAGATATCTCCCCATGGGTCGATGCTCTAGAGTTGCGTATTGTCTATGGACCTACAGAATGTACCATCTACAGCATGGGAACAGACCCCCTGACCAGAGACAGTGACCCGGCCGGACTGGGTCATGCCGTCGGAACTCGTCTTTGGGTGACGGATCCCGAGAGTACTGACAAGCTCCTTCCTGTTGGATGTATTGGCGAGTTGGTCATTGAGGGACCATTGGTCACCCGTGGATACCTGAACGAGCCCGAAAAGACGAAAGCAGCCTTCTTCGAAGATCCAGCCTGGTCGCCGATGGTGGAGAAAGAAAGGCCGTGCCGATTCTACAAAACAAATGATTTGGTTCGCTATTACCCGGACGGTCAGCTTCGGTTTATTGGTCGTAAGGATACCCAGATCAAGGTCCGGGGCCAGCGTGTTGAGTTGGGCGAAATTGAGCATGCGATCTTGGAGAATCTGCCGGGTGCTACACATGTCACCGTTGACTCAGTCACTTTGCCTCCTCAAACATTGGTAGCCTTTCTCAAGATGAAGGAGCACATGCCCATTGGAGGAAATGGGCCCTTTGCTCTACTGTCTCCTGAATTCAGGGCGGAACTGCGGGCTCTCGAGAAAGTACTCACAGAGACGTTGCCAACATACATGATTCCCAGTTTGTTTATCCCAATTTCTCAAATACCCATGACGATTTCCGGCAAGGTCGATCGAATCATACTCCGCGGCGCCGTCTTTGGTCTTTCGCGCGAGCAGATGGAGATGTACGCGTTAGCCGACCAGGACAAAGCCGCCCCTCAGACCAAGCTAGAGGAGCAGCTACAGGTCTCATGGGCCACTGTTCTAGGAAAGGAGCTCAGCGCCGTGGGTCGCAATGATAACTTCTTCAGACTGGGAGGGGACTCCATTGTCGCTATGAAATTGGTTGTCGCAGCTCGGGAAGTAGGGCTCTTGTTAACCGTCGCTGATATTTTCCGGTACCCGGACCTGTCTGAAATGGCCAAACACGTTGAACTCGCTAAGGTGGACTATCATGAGAATTTTTATGAGCCGTTTGCCATGTTGCACAGAGTTACCGACGCCATGGAGCTGCTGGAGGCGGCTGCAGGCCATTGTTCCATCGCACGCAGCGACATTCAGGATTTGTATCCTTGTACCCCTCTTCAGGAGGGTGTCTTTATGATGTCAACCACCCATGCCGGTGCCTATATTGCCCAGTCTGCTTTCCGGCTGCCAGCGGGCTTTGATATACAGAGATTCAAGAACGCCTGGCAACTTTTGGTGGACACTCATTCTATTCTACGTACCCGCATCGTCATCATCGATACTACGTCATACCAGATTGTGTTGACAGAAGAGGCTGCTAAACTAGAATGGCAGGAAGAATCTTGTTTGGAGGAATACCTCAAGCGTGACCAGGTCACTCCTATGGCCATCGGCACACCCTTGACGCGCTATGCCATAGTTGAAGATGGTGAATGCTCGATCTTCGTCTGGACAGCCCATCACGCCGTGTATGATGGCTGGACGGTTCCACTTTTGTTTGAACAGCTGGAACAGATCTATAGAGATGATGTCAAGCCTTGTGGAGTGACGCCTTACTCTAAGTTTGTAGAATACATTCAAGACACCGAGCCTGAGGCGTCACAGGAGTTTTGGCGTTCGATGGCTCCTCAAGTACCACCCTCTTCCTTTCCCCGGCTGCCATCTGAGACCTACCGACCCCGAGCAAAGAAAGCCTGCTCTCGGAATGTCGAGGTAACCTTGGTGCATGAGTCCAACTTCACTATGGCTATCCTCCTGCGAGCAGCATGGGCTATTGTCATGGCACGGTATACCGACTCAGAGGATATTGTTTATGGACTCACACTTTCGGGACGTGATGCTCTCGTCCCCCACATCGAGCGCATCGCTGGTCCGACCATCACCACCGTTCCTATGAATGTCCACCTGAACCCCGATATGCCCCTCCAGAGCTTTCTTGAGAGCCAACAAGAACAGAATATCGAGATGATGAACTTCCAGCATGTCGGTCTGCGAAATATTCGCAGTATCAGTCCCCAGGTGTCGACTGCGACGGATTTCACAAATTTATTCGTTGTCCAGCCGAGGACAGGTGATAAGCAATTGTTTGCTGAGTTCCAGAGTGTGCCAACGGACATGACGCGGTTTGATCCCTATGCTTTGATCGTAGAATGTAATCTCGGCGATGGCCACATTAACTTGGAAGCCCGGGTCGACGATGATATCTTGCCGGTGGCCCTGACGGAGAGACTCCTGGGCCACTTTGAACACGTCTTGCGGCAAATCACTCGGCCGTCCACCGACGCAAAGCTTGGGGACATCAGTTTGTGTAGCAAAGATGATGAAAAGCAGATCTGGGAATGGAACAGTGTGGTGCCAACCGCAACCAACGAGTGTGTGCACGACATAATCTCCCAACAGGCTGTTCTCAACCCTGGAAACATGGCTATTGAGGCATGGGACGGAAATTTGACTTATCATGAGCTCGACGAGCTGTCCTCAAGATTAGCTTGCCACCTATCCACCAAGTATTCCGTCAAGCCCGAGACACTGCTGCCCCTGTGCTTCGACAAGTCTGTCTGGACAGTGGTTACTATGGTCGCCGTGATTAAAGCAGGAGGTGCCTGCGTCATGTTGAACCCTGACCACCCAGTTACCCGACTCCAAGCTCTGATTGAAGACACAGGCTCTCATGTCGTCCTCAGCTCGCCTGAACATAAACACATCTTCAGCTCCGTCTCGGCATCTGTTGTAGCTGTCACACTATCTTTCATTCAGAAACTGCCCCCTGTCTCGGCGTCACAGGTTGCATTGCTACATGTCCTACCGAATAATCCTGTGTTTATGATATTTACCTCAGGCAGCACAGGAAAACCTAAAGGCATCATTGTACAGCACAATTCTGTTTGCACGGTAGCCACCCAGCATGGCGAAAGTCTGGGCTTTGGTGGACCGGGATCACGAGTATTGCAGTTTGCTTCGTTCACTTTTGATGTGAGCATGGGTGAAATCTTTATCACGCTGATGAAGGGAGGTACTCTCTGTATCCCCACAGAGCATGACCGAGTCAATAACCTTGCTGGAGTAATCAACTCTATGCGGGTAACATGGACCTTCATGACTCCGACAGTTGCTGCCCTTCTGGATCCCAAGGAAGTTCCCCATTTGCAAACGCTGGTTCTGGGTGGTGAAGCCGTTTCGCAAAGCCTGGTCGATCGCTGGGTAAACCATGTTAACATGATTGACTCCTACGGACCAGCCGAGTGTACCATCTGGGCTTCACATGCCAACCCAGGTGATAAGGTCTCTCCCGCAAATATCGGTCAGGGTATCGGCTGCCGGTTCTGGGTCGTGGAGAGCTCGGACCATGACCGCCTTGCCCCTGTCGGCTGCGTGGGTGAACTGCTCATCGAAGGGCCGAATGTCTCGCGAGGTTATCTGAATGAGGCAGAAAAGACGAGAGCTGCATTTGTTGAAAGTCCTGCATGGATGCATGGAAAGGAGATTCCACAATACAAGTTCTATCGCACTGGTGATCTAGTCCGTTACAACACCGATGGAAGTTTGAATATTGTCGGTCGCAAAGACAGCCAAGTCAAGTTCCACGGTCAGCGTGTCGAGTTGGGCGAGATCGAATTCCACCTTCGTGCCTGCAAAGCGGTCGAGGCCGGTATGGTTACTCTGCCCAAGAGTGGCCTGTTCAAAGGAAAGCTCGTTGCGGTGGTGGCGCTAGAACAGTTGCGACCCTTGGCACTCGAAGGCGATCGCGTCGAGCTGATTCTCGATGATCTAAAGTCTACAGCCCAGCCACTCATCATGCAAATCCAGGAAGAGTTGGCGGGATTACTGCCTGGCTACATGGTCCCCTCCACCTGGATAGTCTTAGACTCTATTCCGTTGACTGCATCGCGAAAGATAAACCGTATGCCTATCACTCGCTGGGTCACCAGTGTGACTAAAGATAATTATCGCAAGATCGTGGATATCGCCTCCTCCAGTCTTGATCTACCCGTGACTGCCGTAGAGAAGCAGTTAGCAGAAGTGTGGAGCCATGTTTTGAACATCCCAGAGGAATCTATTGGCTTGAACCGATCGTTCATGAGCCTAGGCGGAGATTCAATCACTGCTATGCAAGTTGTCTCCCGCTGTAGAGCCATTGACCTCCAGCTCAGCGTTCAAGATATTCTGCTCCCAAAGTCGCTGGCGGCGGTCGTCAGTTGCACAAAATCGTCAACTGGTAGCGCCACTACTAGGGAGGAACTGTATGATACGCCATTCAGCCTATCACCTATTCAGAATGTCTATTTCAACGATGTCGTGCGCAGCATGGGAGGTATGCACACTCAGCATCATTATAACCAGAGTGTGTTGTTACGCTTGGCCCGTCCTGTGCCCACAGCTGCAGTAATGTCTGCTATTGAGCGGATTGTGACCAGGAACTCCATGTTGCGTGCGAAGTTTATTAAAGTGGATGACGGCGGGTGGTCACAAATAGTCCAGAGCAAGCCTAATGGTTCTTATAAGATTGGTTTCCATACATCAGCGGGCCGCCGTGAGATGCTCGATATTATTAACTCCTCTCAACACAGCATCGACATTGAGAATGGACCGGTTTTCGTTGTGGATCATTTTGATCTTTGTGAGGAAAAGAGAGGAGAGGCGAGCCTTGACAGCCAACCCAGCCAGCTCCTTTCGCTCATCGCGCATCATCTCGTCGTTGATGCTGTCTCCTGGCATGTTATTGTCGGTCAATTAGAAACCTTGCTGTCGACCGAGGAGAGCAGCCCTCATGCTTCTATACCGTTTCACAGCTGGATACAAGAGCAGTGCAAATTCGGAGAGCAACTGGTCCCCAGGTCAGTGCTGCCCAATGCTATACCCGCTGCCAACCTTCAATACTGGGGTATGCAGCAGTTACCCACATGGGAAAATGTCGAAGAGGCTCGCTTCATCATAGATGAAAACATCACCTCACTTCTGCTTGGAGCGGCCAACACAGCATTGCGGACCGAACCCATCGACATACTCCTGGCGGCAATTCAGCAATCCTTTACCCAGACGTTTACAGACCGTACAGCACCTGCCATCTTTAGCGAAGGCCATGGCAGAGAACCAATGGATAGGTCTATCGATCTTTCGGAAACAGTAGGATGGTTCACCACATTTTATCCTGTACACAGACGCGTTAGGAGGGACGAAAGCATCAAGGAGGCCGTCAAGCGAACAAAAGATGCTCGTCGTGCCTTCAAGGATCACGGATTTTCGTACTTTAGCTGCCGTCACTATAGTACCGAAGGTCGTAAGGTTTTTGGGGATCACAGGGCCATGGAAATCTGCTTCAACTATTTTGGACAAGCACAGCAACTAGAGCGAGGTGATGCCTTGTTCAAGCAAGAACCACTTCGTGCGGGTGAGGCAATCCACAACATTGGTGAGAGTATGGGCCGTTTGGCTGTTTTCGATATCACTGCCGCTGTTTCCTTCGGCCGACTTGTCATCTCGTTTTTCTTCAATCACGACATGAACCGTCGGGATCAGGTACACCATTGGGTAACCCGATGTGAACAAGCTATTCAGGCTGCTGTCGATGACCTAGTGCCTAGCTCAGTGGAGCATACTCTTAGCGACTTCCCGCTCATGAGGATCAGTTACCTGGATTTATCGACCTTCACAAATACGATCCTGCCAGCGATGGGCATTTCGCCCGACAACATCGAAGATATGTACCCTTGCTCACCAATACAGGAGGGTATACTTCTCAGCCAGGCTCGTCAGCCGGGCACGTATGAGGTTCGCCAACTCTTTGAAGTCGTTCCTAGATCGGATGTCGGTGCCGTGGACGTCCTATACCTACTGAAAGCATGGCAGCGAACTGTAGATCGTCATCCCATCTTGCGAACGGTCTTCATAAATTCATTATGTGGAGACGGGGTCTATGACCAGCTTGTACTGCGATCGCACCAAGCCACGGTTGAACATCTTACGTGCGCTGGAACTGATGTTGTCCCGTTTGTCCAAAGCCAACAACCACCTGATTACACTAAACCGGTTCCTGCCCATCGGCTGATTATTTGTGAAGGGCCTTCATCAGTCTATTGTCAACTTGAAGTCAGCCATGCCCTAATCGACGGCACCTCATTGGCGCTCTTGATCCGTGATTTTATATCTGCCTATGAAGGCACACTACCCGCAGGATCGGGACCGCTCTACAGTAATTACATTCGCTACCTGAGTACACTGTCTACTTCTAGCTGCCTGAACTACTGGACCGACCGTCTGGCTGATGTGAAGCCATGCAAATTTCCTAATTTGCGTACTGCGAACGGCGACAGTGGGTCTGAGATCGAGACTTTCAGATCTTTAGTCACCACTATTGACAGAGATGGAAAATTGCAAAGATTCTGCGAGTCGCAGAACATCACCATGAGTAACCTTTTCCAGGCTGCCTGGGGCTTGGTTCTCCAGGCCTACACATGCAACAAAGATATCTGTTTTGGCTACATGGCCTCAGGCCGCGATGTGCCTCTTGACGGAATCTACGATGCAGTGGGCCCATTCATCAACTTACTTGTTTGTAGACTAAGCCTCGCCAATGATGTGTCGGTCTCCAAGCTGCTGAAGGATATCCAATCAGATTATATGAACAGCCTCCCTCATCAGCAAATCTCCCTCGCATCGATCCAGCATGAGCTGGACAATAAGGATGTCGCAATGTTCAATACTCTTCTGTCATTGCAGAGACAGCCCAGTCAGGGTCCACCTTCACAGGTTGATTTCAAGGTTGTGGACCAAGCCGACCCAACTGAGGTATTTATCCTTCTTCCGCAAGGTAAAACGTCGGGTCATTCTAATTTGCAATAGTATGACATTAATATAAGCATCACCACTGGGGATGAGCCTGGTGTGGAGATCCACATGACGTATCTGAAGGCCATCCTGAGTGATACACAAGCAGATGACCTGATGGATGCATTCACGAATGTGCTCATGGTTTTGGCTGATGACCCGGATGTACCTCTTTCGAAGTTGGACGTCATTCCCCAATCGTGCCGCGAGGAGCTTGAGAGAATCAAGACTCTTTGCCGGACATTGAACGGCCACGCCTTCGATCTAGCCTCTATTGAGCAAAAAGTTACGTTGGCCCTTCCATTTATGGGCCACGCAATTGTTGAGGTCATAGACTTGTATCAGCAAGGTGGGAATCAATCCATGGCTGTTTTTTACGCCAAGGGTAAATACACCACTGAGTCCGAGGCCTGCCTGATGCCTGTCACCGATGGTGATCGGGCTCAGTTCACCCAGTTGAAAGAAACACTGCGACAGCATCTGCCAGAACCATTAATCCCAACCCTTTTCTTCCCCGTCAGTGGACTTCCATTCATCGCTGGCCACAAAACAGACCGCATGGCTCTGCAGACACTTGTTTGTGACTTGAATGAACAGGAACTGCAGCAGTACCGACTTGTGAATGCCAAGGAATGTGTAACGTTGACCGCAAGTGAGCGTATTGTGCTTGAACTCTGGGCTGATGCCCTTGCAATCTCGGACAGTAGCAACGTTACCCCATCCGATAGTTTCTTCCGCCTCGGTGGTGATTCTATCGGTGCCATGAGACTTGTGGCCGCCGCACGAAATCACGGCCTTGCTCTCACCATCAATTCAATCTTTCAACAACCCACTCTATCTGGGATGGCCAAGGATCTTCGTCTTCTGGACCAGAGTGAGGATCGCCAACTGGAGCCTTTCTCCCTGTTGCCACAGGAGCTCAGCCCCGATCAGCTCACTTCTGAGGCTGCTACGCAGTGTGTGGTTCCACACGACGTCATCGAGGATGTTTACCCTTGTACCCCCCTTCAGGAAGGCCTCATGGTTTTGAACCGGCAAAACACAGCCTCCTATGTGATCCAGGAAGTATTTGCTCTTCCAGACACATTGGATATCCTGCGGTTCAAGGAAGCGTGGGAGCAGGTCGCCGAGCGAAGCACCATTTTGCGCACTCGCATCATTAGCACGTCTGATGGCTCGTTCCAGGTTCTCCTCAAACATATCATTATCTGGGAGTCTGGGGACGATCTTGACGTGTACCTCCAGAAGGATTCGTCTCGCCCAATGAATTATGGCCAGCCACTGGCACGTTATGCAATTATTTCTACTCCCGCGCAAACCTACTTCGTGTGGACCGCCCATCACTCGATCTACGATGGAATGACCCTCCCCATCCTTGTCAAGCAGGTTTCTGCTCAATATAGGAACGAATTCGCCTTGCCAGAGGTTCCTTATAACCGATTTATCAGCTATATTCAGGGTATTAGTCCGGCATCGGCCACTGAGTTCTGGAATGCTCAGTTCGCTGAGCCTTCTTTGACATATCCTGTTCTGCATGATCGCAACTATCAGCCAAACCCGGACCAGGTGATTACTCATTCGTTGAACCTGTCCAGGGCTCCGTCTGATATTACCTTGAGCACCGTTCTGAGAGCCGCATGGGCCGTTGTTCTCGCCGGCCTGACAGAAAGTGAACGCGTGACCTTTGGAATTACGCTCTCTGGTCGCACTGCAGCTCTCGCTGGTATCAATCAGGTCCTTGGTCCTACTATCGGGACAGTCCCGGTGTGCATCAGAGTCAATGAAGACCAATCTCCTCTTGACTTCCTCCAAACTGTCCAGCAGCACTTCCTGGAGATGGTACCCTTCGAGCACACTGGTCTACAGAATATTCGTCTAATGAGTGAAAATGCCAGAGACGCCGTCAAGTTTCAGAATTTGCTCCTTATTCATCCTGGCTCATCCTCCATTGCGGGGCCTGACTTTCTGGGACTGACTCGAGTGCCATGTACAGGCACTGAGGCAGACCATCCTTATCCGTTGACCATGGAATGTGACCTTCTGGACGACCGTATTGATATCAAAGCTCGTTTTGACAGTAGCGTTGTCTCGATCGAGGAGATTAACGGGATAATCAAGAGCTACACCCGAGCTATTCGAAGCTTGAGCGCAGTTCAAGAAACTCGCGGCGAGGATCATACTGACACGCTGGAGCAGATGGGAATGATTAGCGAGGACGACCTACAGCAGATCCTTGCATGGAACCAGAATCACCCTGAAATTATTGAGTCTTGTGTCCACGACAAATTCGAGGAACAGGTCCGCATGAGGCCCGACGCCCCCGCCATCTCCTCTTACGATGTTGAACTTACGTACAGTCAACTTAACACCTTGGCCGACAAGCTGGCCTACCAGCTCAAAGTGCGTGGGGTTAAAGCGGAGATGATTATTCCTCTCTGCTTCAACAAGTGCTCATGGACCATTATTGCAATGTTGGCTGTCATGAAGGCTGGTGGTGTTTGCTGTATGCTCAACCCCGAGCACCCTAGAAGCCGAATTCAGCTTTTGCTTTACGATCTCAGTGCTCAACTAGTTGTGTGTGACCCCGCATCATCAGAAATGCTCTCTTCGTTACTCCCTGCCTCAGGAGTGCTCCCAATTGACGGCGGTTACCTGGAAAGTCTTCCTTCCCCGACCGAGCCTATCGGTGCAATTGCCGAACCTTCCAATGCTGTATTCATCATATATACTTCTGGGAGCACCGGAAAGCCTAAGGGTAGCATTATGGAGCATCGTTCCCTTGTGACCGGTCTTTTTGCCCATCTGAAAGAGATGGCACTCGGCCCTGGTACACGAACCTTCCAGTTTGCCTCGTACACCTTCGATGTTTGCTTGGATGAAATCATCGGAACATTGATGCTTGGAGGATGTGTTTGTGTTCCGTCAGAGGCCGAAAGGATGAATGCCCTTGCGGATGCCATGGCCAGATATCGCGTTAGCTGGACAGAACTGACCCCCACTGTCGCTAGTCTGCTACTGCCCAGTAGTATTCCTACCCTCACAACCCTCGTTCTCAGTGGAGAAGCACTGACTAAAGAAGTCGTGAAGATATGGGCCAGCTCCGTTCAGATAATCAACAGCTATGGCCCCAGCGAATGTTGTGTTTGTACCACCTGCAATGTTGATACTAGCACTATCAGAGACCCGAGTAACATCGGCCGGGGAGTGGGATGCAGTCTGTGGATCGTGGACCCGGACAATGTCGACCGGCTCTTGCCTATTGGCTCCACCGGAGAGCTCCTAATTGAGGGCCCGATTGTTGCCAGAGGATATCTGAATGAGCCTGAGAAAACGGCTGCCGCATTCATCAGCGCTCCATCATGGTGGAGACCTCACGACCAAGGCACTGGTCGTATGTACCGCTCAGGTGATCTGGTCAGGTACAACCGTGATGGAACTATTAAATACATCGGACGCAAAGATACTCAGGTGAAACTGCACGGGCAGCGCATTGAGATGGGCGAAATCGAACATCGCATCAAAAACGCACTCGATGACGCCTCGCACCAAGTGGCTGTCGAAGTCCTAACCCCAAAGTCTCGCGGCAGCCTCAAGATTCTCACGGCATTTGTTTGTGCTAGTGAACCTGTACCTGGAAACGTTGATTCCCTGCTTACTCCCCTCTCTCATTCCCTTCAAAAAGGGTTCCAAACTTTGTACAGTCGGTTGCGGGAGGTTTTGCCAAAGCATATGGTTCCTCAACTGTTCATTCCTATCTCATACATGCCATTATCCCCATCCCGCAAGCTGGATCGAAAGGCATTGAGGGAGGTTGGGAACAATTTGTCGCCGGAGGTACTGGCGTCATATGCTCTTGCCCAGGTGGAGAAAAAGGAGCCCTCGACCGAAACACAAAAGGCTCTCGCACGGCTCTGGGCCCGTGTACTCGGCACAGACACTATCGGCGTAGACGACAATTTCTTCCACCTGGGTGGGGATTCAATTGCCGCGATGAAGGTTGTCGCTACTGCCACCAAGGCAGGACTGTCTTTGAGTGTAGCCGACGTAACCCGATACCCAACGCTAAGCGAAATGGCAGACAATATCGATCGCTCTTCCAAAATATTGGAGATCTATAATGCGCCGCCGGAGCCATTCAGTTTGGTGCACCCCGATAAAGTTGATAATCTTGTGCGCCAGGCGACCGCCCAATGTGCGGTTGGGGCCGATGCGATCGAAGATATTTACCCTTGCACTCCTTCGCAGGAAGCATTGATGGCACTCACTGCGCGAGACGAAGCGGCGTATGTGTCGCGAGCGGTCTACCACATTCCTGTTGATATCAACCTGGAGAAATATAAACAGGCCTGGGAGACTCTCGCCCAGCGCCAGCCTATCATGCGTACTCGGGTCATCTACACGGACGACTCGCAGTCCTTCCAGGTTGTCATCGCTGAGCCGCTGACCTGGCGCTCCGAGGAGACGGTGGAAGGGTACCTGAAGGCCGACAGGCTCTCACCTATGGTCCATGGTCAACACTTGATGCGCTTCGCCATTGTCCATGGAGACCCGAAAGATCCCCGCTCGTCGCTAGTCTACACTGCCCATCACGCCGTTTACGATGGGTGGAGTGAGGCGTCTATGTTTGAGCAAGTCGAGATCATCTATCGAGAAGGCTTCTCGGCTTTACCCCCGGTAATTCCGTACAGTGGATTCATCCGGCATCTCGCGAACACGGATCGCGAGGCTTCAGAGGCCTTCTGGCGCTCCCAGCTGGATGGTGATTTGCCCGCTCAGTTCCCTATCACTGCTCCCTCCCCCATGCCTCCCCGACCAAACCAGTCCCGATCTCTGATGATCCGTATTCCACAGCGGAATACGTTTACTTTTACCACCCCAACCGTATTGAAATCGGCTTGGTCCCTATTACTCAGCCGCTACACGGCATCCGATGATGTTGTTTTTGGTCATGTTCTTTCAGGCCGCACTATTCCGCTTTCTGGGGTTACCGACATGATGGGACCGACGATCGCGACGGTACCAATCCGAATCCGTTTGGATCGAACCCAGACCATCGGCGAGCTAATGGGCGGCATCCAGCAGCAGGCTCTCGATATGACGCCCTATGAGCAGTTCGGTTTGCAAAATATTCGTCGTGTGCTCCCCAACGCCTCACCCATTGCTGATCTTGGTCATCTCTTCCTCATCCAACCCACTTTGGCGAGGTCGGAGCATGACCTGGGCTTGGAGGCGGTTTCTTCAGTGGACTATGATTTCGATACCTACCCTTTGCTTGTAGAATGCCAGATCGCGGAGTCTGAACTCTATATCTGCGTTAAATATGATGATGCGATCATACCTGAGCAACGGATGGGATGGTTGCTGCAACATTACGAGAACCTGGTCCACCAACTCTTCCAGCTGCCTTTAAAAACTCCTATGACAGATGTTACAATGGCTGGCCAAACTGACATGAATCAGCTTCTCGACTGGATGGGACCCCCTATTGGACCTGTGAACGCTTGCGTCCACGATCTCTTCACCATTCAGTCCAGATTCCACCCACAGCACCAAGCAGTGGATGGGTGGGATGGTAGTCTGACCTACCAAGAGCTTGACCATCTATCGTCTCAGTTCAGCGATGTATTGGTTAGTCTTGGCGCCACGACGGGGTGTACGGTAGGTTTGTGCTTTGACAAATCTAGATGGGCTATTGTGTCCCTGCTCGCCGTCTTAAAGGCCGGCGGAGCTTGCGTGAATCTAAATCCGAAGCACCCTGTCTCCCGTCTGGCGGAAATTGCCCTTGATACTGGCATACAACATGTCTTTGCTGCACCGCAGTATGCTGATCTAGCTACTGCCATCGGGTCCAATCATGTTCTTATCGCCGATACAATCATGGCTTCTCAGCTCCCAGCTACCACCGTTGACCCCTCCCTTCCCCGGACAACCGTTGACCCTTCATCGCCCGCATACCTCGCTCTTACCTCAGGTAGCACCGGCAAGCCCAAGAGTGTGGTGATCGACCATAGAGCTATCTGTACTAGCATCAAAAATCATGGTCCCGCATTGAAGATTACGTCCAGCTCTCGTGTTCTGCAATTTGCTGCCTACTCATTCGATATTAGCTATGCAGAGATATTCACGACCCTTCTCACTGGTGGCACGGTGTGTGTTATATCCGAGCACGACCGGATGAATGATTTACCTGCAGCCATTAATCGGGTGTGTGCGAACTGGGCCTGTCTCACTCCGACTGTGGCCAGTCTCCTGTGCCCTACTGATGTTCCTAGGTTGAAGACGTTGGTTCTCAGTGGGGAATGCCCCACAGAGGGTAATCTCAAGGCCTGGGCAGGCAATATTGATACTCTTCTCAACGCTTACGGACCGAGCGAAGCGTCCGTCTGGTGCTCCACGTCGACATTCAGCAATCCTGATGACTCCTTCTCCAACATAGGATTCCCTGTTGGCTGTCGGTTGTGGGTTACCGAACCGGATGATGTCAACAAGCTCACGCCCTTGGGCTGTATGGGTGAACTGCTCATTGAAGGTCCCATCCTATCGCAAGGCTATTTGGGTGATCCTCGAGCTAGCGCTATGGCTTTCATTGATAAACCCCACTGGATGCAGCATGCTTACCCCACGGACGGCTTCACACAAGTCTACCGGACCGGTGACTTGGCCAAATTTAATGTGGATGGTAGCATTGAGTATCTGGGACGCAGAGATACCCAAATAAAAATGTATGGTCAGCGTATCGATCCCCGTGAGGTCGAGCATCACATTAGACCGCATATTCCTTCCCTCTACGATGTTGTTGTGGAATCTGCGATGGTTTCATCCCGGACCAGGAAAATGCTGGTCGCATATTTCTACAATGAGTCCATCCAGGCTCAAGATGTTGAAATCAACAAACTGGCAGATAGCTTGACAGCCGACCTACAGCGGGCCCTCACCACAGTCCAGTCTAAACTGCGCACCACCCTTCCCGGCTATATGATGCCTTCCCTCTTCATCCCTCTTAGGGCCATGCCCACCAACTCTTCCGGGAAAGTGGATCGAAGCGTGCTCAGTCGCATGGTCGACTCGCTTTCCGATACCCAATTGCAGACCTACTCACTTGCCACCGCCATCAAGAGACCACTCAGCACGGAGATGGAACTCGCACTGGGTAATCTTTGGGCACAGGTACTCGGGAGTGATAGTCTCTCGATCGGGGCAGACGATAGTTTCTTTGCCGTAGGCGGTGATTCCATTGTCGCTATGAAACTAGTTAGCCTCGCTCGTACCTCTAACATCGCCATGAGTGTCGCTGATGTTTTCAACTATCCTGTTCTTGCGGATATCGCTGCTCTGGCCGCGGCCAACGCACTAGTCACTCCCGGCGATGGAAGCCCCCGCCTATCTCCGAGCAAAGGCCCATTGTCTTGTGATCCCGTCCTTCTGAACGCGATTGCCCTGAAGGTTGGAGTCGAGAAGGACAACATTGAAGAAATCTGCCCCACTACTAGCTTCCAGGATATCGCGCTGGTCGGCGCCATGACGCGGACTCGGTGGATGCTCAACTACTTCTACTTCGATAGCCCCGAAGCGGCGGATGTGGAGCGTCTCCGTCAGAGCTGCTTCGACCTAGTGCGCCAATTCAGCATTCTTCGCACAGTTTTTACGCAGCATGATTCTCGATTTTGGCAAGTTGTCCTTGAGCATCTCGATCCGATCTTCCTCATTATTCCCACCGATGATATTCAGTCAACAACTCAAAGGCTGTACAAGGAAGGTATGGTGGGTGACCTCCTGATCGAGGAACCGTTCGTGCAGTTCGTTTTGGTGAAGCAGCGTCGCGGGCTTGCGCATCGGCTAATCATGCGCATTTCGCATGCGCAGTATGATGGTGTCTCGCTCCCTACCCTCTGGGACGCGTTGCAGCGTGCCTGTGACGGCCAAATTGTTTCCCCCAGCCCGTCCTTCTCAACCTTCACGTCGCAATGTCCGGGCTCGGATAGCCCAGCCGCTATTAACCACTGGCGTAACCTGTTAGCCGGATCAACTATGACTAGCTTTGTGGGACGTCACAAGCCTAGCCTCCGAGATGTCTCTGATGAAGTGGTCGCGGTCCGGCGCCAGGTGCCGAACACGCCACTCACAGGTAAGGGTATCACCTTCGCTACATTGATCAAGTCCGCCTGGGCCCTGGTCCTTGCTCGCATGGCGGCTCAACCGGACGTGGTATTCGGTCATACCATCTCAGGCCGCAACTTGGAAATCGAGGGCGTCGATCAGATCGTCGGTCCCTGTCTTAATGTGGTCCCCGTGCGTGCTCGCTTCCAAGATGATTGGACTGTAATGGACCTTCTTCGCACCATCCAGAATCAGCAGGTGGCCAACATTCCCTTCGAGTCACTCGGATTCCGCTCGATTGTCGAGCACTGCACAGATTGGCCGCGATGGATGCACTTCAGCAGTGTGGTTCAGCACCAGAACATCGAGTCGGATCGGGGGATGGTGATGGGTAATTGCCCTTATGAGCCAGGCTTCATGGGCTCGGAGCTTGATCTTATGGACGTCTCAATCCTGTCAACCCCCGCAGGCGAATACGTTGACATCGATCTCCTTACATCAATGTCCGTGATGTCTGCGTCCCAGGCGGAGGACTTGCTTGACCGGTTATGTACAGCAATCTGCTCTTTATCGTCGAGCCCCTCCACAGCAGCCTTGCCATCACTCGAGGATCTTCAGGCTGGTCCGCCCATGCTTCCCATGGCTATTGATTTTTCTGTATCCGTGCCCGTTAGTATTGTCCGCCGTGCGGATCCATCCGAGCTGCGGGCGGCCGTGTACCAGGCGTGGAGGAGCACTTTACCGTCGATGGAGAAGTCGATCGTGCCGACGACGGAATGTTACTTTGCAGCCGGTGGTGACCTTGTGGGATTGGCACAAGTGCTGGTGCTGCTGCGCGAGCACACATCCCAACTTCGTCTGGAGGAACTCGTTCAAAATTCGTCAATGGAGCAGATGGTGGATCTCCTGCTTACCTACTCTCCCCTCGCGACGTAACGGTCGCTTTCTTTTTTCCTGTACAACTAGGTTGATTATTCAATATTTAGCTATGTCTGTCCTACTGTGTTTTGTCTGATTCGTCTCCTTAGCGTGATTCATCTTATATATATTTCCCTCGCTCACTTCTTCGCTCTAGTGACTTTGTTCTCTCATCGGCTCCCTATATAGGCTAAAAACAGATTTCTTTCATATTCAACGTTCCACCTCTTTCTACGATGGGAACTGTAAGAGCGACCGAGATATTTCGTGCTATCGCTATCCACTTTCGCGGTAATCTGTACGGATCTTGTGTAGGGACTCGCCTAGCATCGGCCAAGGACGGCATCGTATGGCGATAGAATGGTTTGCACCGAGCGTATTATTATTCTCCAACTCTCGGACCAGTGGCAAGACCCCATTTTTCCCGCATGCAGACTGATCTAGACGGGTTGAAGGCTACATCTCCACCCGTGTGCCTTATTTAAGCCTATACCAGATTATAGAAACATGCTATCCAATCAATGCGTATTTCCGTAACCAGTTTTCGTATAAGCCTTCTCAACATGTTTCTGTTTCTTTCATTATTTAGAACCACCGAGTGCTATGCCTTATTCGACCGGCAACACATACATATACGCTAAGATACTACTTTCGGGATGGATTGTATAGTTATCTATTCCTTGATTGAGCGTTGGTGTTGGGGTCGGAATATCAATGGGTACGAGGCTGCAGCAAAGTGTTGACTATGTGAATCGGGCAGGATAGACGATAAAGTCATATTATATGCCTATGGTAGTTGTTCATTATATTAAATCTAGGGCTAGATAATAGAGATTCTGTTTTCTGCGTACTCACGCTACCTCTTATTCCACTGTCCCTTGAAGATGAAACCCTAAGAAGGGCGGTTCTGCCTCGTATAGTAAGGTGACTTTGGCCGACAGTCTATCTTTAGAGAGCCGGTGGGTTGGATGACTGCTCGTATACAGTTGCAGCAGTGGTCTATTGGTGATTGACGTTGCGGAGGTATATCTGCTGACGGTAAGAACAGCCGTCTATATATATAGTTCCCAACTGGACGGGTAAGAATTCTAGCGTTGGACTAAAAGAGGCTTCTCCGCCTTGCCAACATACTGTACATAATATTACCAGGAATTCTTGCTCACCGAGCCAGGGAGGCTTGGCGAACCAGGATGATATCATGAAGCAGGAAAGGTGCCCTATAGCGAATCGAATAAGAGAGAATAGAAGAGGGATTCGGCTCCTTCGTTCGGTACCTGAGCCCTTAGTGCTTACTCTTCGGGTGGTTTCCAATTTGCGACGCTATTTTTGGAATCCCACTAAGTAGGCTGGGGAATGGCCCCCAAGAGAACCCTAGATACTTGGCTGCGACCAGCCTAGACAAGTAAGACTTGTTTCTCATCGGCCTAAACCTAAGTTCTAGACAGCAGAAGATCCTTGTTGGCAACTTCGCCGTTGCAGGCTCCCGTCCTGCTGTATCACAGGACCTTGTTTAACACGGCGCTTTGACTGCGGACTCTGTGTTTCCACTTCTTTCTTCTCTTTAGCAACTTGTATATCTGAAACATGAAGACTTTGGGCTGGTTGCTCGCGTTGCCCTGCCAGTTTTATATCCCTTCCAACAGGGGAACTCTTACGGTATTCTATTCGTACTGCTGACTTGCCCTAATCTTGTTCCAGAACTCTGTTTAAATTTGTTCTCAACATCAAAGGGTAATTTCACAGACCGCATTTTTGTGATTAATTTTTATTGATTTATTTCGTAGTAGTCTGTACTCCGGATAGGGCGAAGAAATATGTAGATTCCTAAGGCCACCAAAACTCGATACTTTTGCGATACCACAGCCCTAAGAGCGCTGAATAACCTGATTGAAGAAGTCGACATAGAAGAACCTACTGTCATTTAACTCAAATAGGCAGTTACTTTTGAACCCCCAAAGTATGAATAGACTAATCAGAATAGGTCCCCGTCTAACATGGGTCTTTGCGCCCCATTTTAGTGGCCCTCAGGCGTACTTGGAGTTCACCTCACCCACTGGAAGGAGGAAGTGATCGACATCCCCGCGTGGCTGCCACGCTGCAGATTGAGTTTCATCATCCAATTCTGCCGTAAGACATGCATGAGCTGGGTGTTACCAATGCAACAGGGAGAATTGTGACGAACAGACAGGGAAGATGACAGTGTGACATTGTGGGCGGGGATATATGTACAGGACCCGGGAAGACAGTGATGATGGCCATCAAAAGAGAGTCTCTGCCTTTTTCGTGCACTGTGAAAGGAATGACAGTCGACCCCAACCGCACCATGATCACGTACGTATATTGTCCGAGACCCGCTTTGTCAAGGTTGTTTGATCTTAGCTTGCTGATCAGCCGTTGTGGAGAATAGATCCGTTCGTGTCGTCGGAGAGAACTGGGCGAACATCGATGATCGAGTGGAGAGGCGAAGGGCCCAGAATCGGATTGCCCAGAGAGGGTATCGCAAAAGCGAGTATCAGGATTCCTGGATTCTGTCCACCATCACCGTTAACATTGTCGGATAGGATTGAAGAAGGAGAAACGGGGCGAAGGGAAAGACACCACAGCCAGCATCCCCAAGGAGGAGGCAGAGCCGAAGCAGCAGCGTCAGCAACAACAACAGCAACCGCCGCAGCCACAGCAGCAGCAACAGAACAATCTACACACCTTCCAACCCTCCGTCCAGCTTCACACCCCTCCAGACTTTCAGGTCTTTTCACCTCCTATAGACGCAATGTCTTATCCCGAGTCGTGGACCCCACCACCTATGGAGGGTTCTCACCCTCTCCAGCCGGTGATGAACGCCCAGGAAACCTCCTTCGGTGCCACTGAGGGAGAGTACACCCTAACCACCACCACCAACAGCCACAAGAATCATAGCAACAACCACGATCTCTCGAATCCGCATCACCCCGGGTTCCCCATGTCTTCTACCAGTCCGTCACAGCCCACGCCAAGTGTAACCCCGGACCCCCACCCCACAAGCGTTGTCATTGTTGATCCCGTTCCTCCCCGATCCATACCAGCCGGAGTTCCCTCGCAAGACAACACGGCTCTTCATCGTGCTGCGCTGTACGGTCACGAGTGTGTGCTGGACGTGCTACTCAGTGCCGGTGCGGACGCCTCGATTGCCGACAGCGCTGGGCTGACACCGCTTCATCTAGCAGCACTGCAAGGACACGCGCGACTGGTGACACTGCTGCTGGAGTCCTCCACTGGCAGCGGCGTCGATGTGAATGGGATGACACGGGAGGGAGAGACCGCGCTGCACCTGGCTGTCAAACATAATCGGCCGGAGGTGGTGAAAGCGCTACTCTGCGCGGGTCGGCACCAGAGTGTCCTGGTAGATGCACAAGATTGGGTCGGTCGCACGGCGCTGCATCACGCCTGTGAAAGAAACCGGCGAGATTTGGTCGAAATGCTACTTCAGGCTGGGGCCCAATTAGAAATACGTGATCTGGAGGGCCAGACGCCCCTGCATACGGCGTGCCTTGGGGGTGGGCATCTTGCCCCCCTCCTCCGGTCAGCTCCGTAGCAAATTTAGTGTATTTATTTCATCTTATCTTAGTGTTTATATTTATCTTACCCACAGGCGTTACGAGAGAACGGCTTTAGTGATCTTTTATTGGCGTATCCCTGACTTGTATAGATGCATGATATTCGTTATCATAGAGGATATTCGTCACTTGAAGCACTAAAAGGGTAAAACAGAAAAAAACAAAGAGAGAAAAGCCTAGAGACATTAGAAAATTGGGTAATAGCAATGTCTAGCCAATTTTCTGTGCAGCATGATTGTCATATCTTCAATATCTTCAACGCACATAACCTCCACGTCCCGTTTCCATCTCATTCAGCGGCCAGCGCGCCTCGTTGTAATAGCGCCCATCGCTGCAGGCCGTCGGCATCTCCCCATGTCCCTCATCGCTGTTCCGCGTTAGGTGGTAGTCCGACGAGAATGGAGTATATTTGGTGCTGCCTGGGCCCAGCTTTTTCGCCTCTTTTGCCTCGCGCTTCATCTGCTTACGCTCCTTCCGCGACATCTTGGGGAACTCACTGTCCGCACCGGGCATCATCCGGCCCGGGTGGAAGATATTCCAGAGGAGCATGGCACAGAAGATAGGGACACATTCAAGGCAGTAAAAGGGGGCCTCTTTGGTGCTCAGCGGCAGCTTGCCGGCCTTGTCGGTGTCGGCAAACTCGACCAGGCGGTAGATGATACGGGTCTACATCGTCCTTGTCAGCATCGTCGTCGTAAACGGGTTATGAGAACCGGCCCTTACCGTGAGGCAAAGCAGTGTGATATACATGCAAATCACCATCACTTTCCACTGGGGCCCTCGCTCGATACTACCATACCCCAGGATCATGCGCCGGTGGAACATAACCAATAGACCGCAGAAGCAAAGGATAAAAAATTCCTGCACGGCAATACCGGCTGTGTAGATGTGGAAACCGATTGCGTTCATCCTGTTGCTGAAGTCGGAGGCCATGATTCCGCCGGTGGCTTGGATGATAAAGGCACTGTATTATCACTCTATTGTTAGCTATTCGCATAGTAATAGAGACATGGGGAGTGGGCTCACATTATATCCAGCCAGATAAAGATCTTGGCCAGACTCTCGGCCTTGATGCGCTTGACTCTCTTATCTGGGGTAAAATAGTAGACCATGCGCCCGAAGATCATGTACACGAACGCGTTGATCCATAGCGGCGCGAGCAAGACCAGCAACTGGCCCGCTGCGGCTGTGGTGGACTTGGTTTGGTCCAGTGTCGAGTAGGTGCGCATGATCAACCCCAGACACTCCCATGCTGAACCCACCACAATCACCCAGCAGAAACGTTTGCGGTAGAGAATCGCCTGCGTAAGGTGGGCGATGAAAGTGATGCCGAAAAGCACAGAGAATATAATGGCGGCAGAGCCATTGGCACAGTAAGGGTACTGCGCATCCTTAATGGTGAGATCTGGAGGAAGTTGTTGTCAGTTGTTTGATGGTGTGAAAACGGTAGTATGTGATGTGTGAATGGGGGTCTAGGGAACATAGGATATGGTAGGAAGGCGGTGGAATGCTCAAGGCCAAGGGAAAATTAAAATTAAAAATAAGATGGAAAGAAACCAAGAGAGCATACCGCACTTCTGCTTCAAACCCATGACGTGAATTGATATCAAGTGCCACTTAGCAAGAAGCTACCTGGGAGAATTTCGGCCAAAAGCAACGCCAGCGAGCTAGGGAAAGAGAAGATTGGAAAGGATAAAAAATAGATGAGATGCAACAGAGAATTACAGGCTGGCAGCTTTAAAGCTGTTCCCAACCGTGATCGACGGCCAGCGAGAGAATGACGCTGCCTAAACCAATTGAGTCAGCATATTTTGAGTTTTAGAGGATCAAACAACATGTCAGATCATGGATAGTTAATTGAGGCATGCAAGCTCAGCCCACGGAGCGGTGGTTAGTGTGGATGCAAGGTGAGCCGCTTAGGGCTGCACGGTCCCGATCAGGATCCATAGCGCGACCCGTTGGTTCAAATATAATGAAAAAGGACTCGAAACAAAGACTGTAGATCACAGAGAAATATCCTTAGATCGATATCAAGATCCCTGCTAGTCCCATCGCAGCCAACAATGTTAGTAAACACCGTTAGCGGACCTTCTTCCTCCCCAGCCTTGTCCTCCACCGGCTCAGCCTCATCCTCCTCGGCCCTTTCCTCTGGCTGGGCAACCCCCGAACTATTCTCCGCGTCTTCTACAATTTCCTCCCATGCATGCCAAGCCCTAACTATTACCCATGGGGCCTTTGAACACTCCCTCACTGTTACCACCACCTCTTATCCGACAGCCCTTCAGTTGCGCGATGACTTCTTGCACGACCTCACCAAGTCTTCGGGCGGAGGAGAGCTGTCGTCGCTGGTCGAACTCTGGGCCCGGCTCCTTAGCTTTACTGTGCACCGACTGGAGGGGGAACGTCGTGGGTTGACGGGGGAGGACTTACGGCTTCTGTTGGTGACGGCACTTGAGACCTTCGAAAAGGATATCCTGCGTAACCGTGAAGTGCACGGGGTGGTGAAGGAGCTCGACGCCAGCGCCGAAATTAAATCTGCCATTTTGGCGGCATATATCCAAGCACGTCATGCTCTGCGCAAACTCAGTCGACCAGCCAAACCGCAATCGGCTCTCTTATTGGCCGCACAGGAAAAGAAAGTGCTCCTGTACACGGTCTTTGGCGGCCAGGGCAACGATGAGCATTACTTTGACGAGCTGCGAACCGTTTACCACACTTACACTCCGCTGGTACACGACTTAATACTGTCAGCATCCAGCATGCTGCAGCGCCAGTCCCTGGAAGATCGTTTCAGTCGCTTCTATCACCAAGGGTTGGACATTATCGCCTGGCTCGAGCATTCCGAGCGCGCACCCGAGCCAGCATACCTGATTTCCGCCCCACTCAGCATGCCACTAATCGGACTCCTCCAACTGGCTTGGTATCGCGTGATTGGCCGTGTTTTGGGGGCGACACCGGCGCAAATCCAGGCAGCAGTTGCTGGCACTTCTGGCCATTCGCAGGGCATCGTCACTGCGACCGTGACAGCCGTGGCCCAATCATGGACGCAATTTGATAATCTTGCTCTCGATGCCCTGCGTCTCCTGCTTGCCATTGGTGCCTACAGCCAGGAGCATTTTGCTGTCGCTGAGCTGCCTCCGGCGATCGTCGCAGATGCAGAGGCGCATGGTGAGGGCTTTCCGGGTCCCATGTTGAGTGTCGTGGACTGCCCCCTGGACCAGCTCCGAAAGTATGTCGATGCGGTCAACGCTCATCTGCCAGAGGACGCTCGCATCGCGGTTGCTCTCATCAATGGACCGCAGAGTGCGGTTTTAGCGGGTCCGCCCCTGTCTCTCCATGGTTTCAATGTCTGGCTGCGCGGTGTGAAGGCCCCTGTGAAGGGTGCTCAACATCGCGTTCCGTTCAGCCTGCGCAAACCCGAGATCAGTAACCGCTTCCTACCCATCACCGCGGCATTTCACAGCAGCTATCTGGCCGATGTGTCCGATGCAGTCCTTGCCAGTGTCCCTGACCTGACCATTACGGGAGAGGACCTGCGAATTCCCGTGTTTTGCACGCGTACTGGCAATGATCTGCGGTGCCGCGGAAAGCAGAATCTGATCCCGGATCTGGTCGCGATGATCACAGAGCAGGAGCTGGTCTGGCCGAAGGCCACTACTTTCCCAGATGCCACGCACATCATCGACTTTGGTCCCGGGGGGTTGTCCGGTATTGGGACGTTAACCAACCGCCTCAAGGATGGGACCGGAGTACGGACGATCCTAGCGACGGTTGCTGAGGGCCTCAATCCAGATCTAGGCTATCGCAGTGAGATCTTCGACTGGAGCCCATCCCCGCAAGGGCTGGCGTATGGTCAGATCTGGAGTGAGCAGTACCGACCGCAGCTGGTTCAAATTTCGGGCGGTCGCCGACTGGTCGACACGAAGCTCAGTCGTCTGCTCGGGTTGCCTCCAATTGTTGTGGCGGGGATGACTCCAACCACGGCTTCCTGGGACTTCTGCGCTGCGATTATGCTCGCCGGATATCATGTTGAGCTGGCCTTGGGAGGCTATCATCGTCCAGAGCAACTGGAGACTGCAATCCACCGCCTCCTGGAAGAGATCCCCTCCGGGCGCGGAATTACTGTGAATATAATCTACGCTGCACCACAGGCTGTGCGCTGGCAGATTCCGCTGTTGACACGGCTTCGCACGTCAGGAGTGCCCATTGAGGGTCTTACGGTCGGTGCTGGTGTTCCCTCCCTGGAGGTAGCCACGAGCTATATCCGCCAACTGGGATTGCGCCATATTAGCTTCAAACCTGGCTCGCTCCCGGCGATTCACCAGGTCATCGACATTGCCCGCGCCAACCCAACGTTCCCGGTGATCCTTCAGTGGACTGGGGGCCGTGGGGGTGGCCATCACTCGTACGAGGACTTCCACCAACCAATCCTTCAGGCTTATGGCGCCGCGCGCAGCTGCCCTAACCTAATTCTGGTGGTGGGTAGTGGCTTCGGGGGCATGGAGGATACCTTTCCGTATCTGACTGGAGAGTGGGCGCAGCAGTATAACCGGCCGCTCATGCCCTTCGATGGGATTCTGCTGGGGAGCCGTATGATGACCGCGAAGGAGGCTCATACTAGCTCAGCGGTGAAGCAGGCTATTGTCGCCGCCCCTGGAGTCAGTGACGAGGCACATTGGGAACAGACCTACACGCAGCCTGCAGGAGGAATCATGACGGTAACCTCTGAGATGGGTGAACCGATCCATAAGCTTGCCACGCGCGGCGTGCGTCTCTGGGCTGAACTTGATCAGACAATCTTCAGCCTGAGCCGTGCACAGCGTCTCACCCAATTGCAGAACCAGCGGGACTACTTGATCCGCCGGCTGAATGCGGACTCGCATAAGGTATGGTTTGGTCGCGACGGACAGGGCAAAGTGGTAGACTTGGAGGAGATGACCTATGCTGAGGTCATTCGCCGTCTGGTCGAGCTGACTTTTGTTTCCGCTGAAGGACGATGGATCGATCCCTCATTCCAGCAACTTCTATACGATTTCCTGCTGCGAGTAGATGCACGGATCGGTCGCGCCACAGAGAAGGAGCAATCTCCTGCCAATAAAGATGAAGGGGGGACACAGATACTGTCCTGCATCGCCATGAGCATGGAAAGCCTCTGTGACCCACAAGCCGCAATTGAAGCCTTCCTCCAGGAGAATCCTAATGCCACTGACCAACTTATTGGCACACAGGATGCGCAATACTTTCTGCACCTGTGCCGGCGTCGTGGGCAGAAGCCTGTCCCATTCGTGCCTGTCCTGGACGAGAATTTCGAGGAATATTTTAAGAAGGACTCTCTATGGCAGTCGGAGGACCTCAACGCAGTTGTGGATGGCGACGTTGAGCGTGTCTGTATCCTGCATGGCCCGGTGGCAGCGCGCTACTCAACAATGGTAGATGAGCCAGCGGGCGAAATATTGAATGCTATTCACGACGGGTATATCGAACGTTTGCAAATGCAAGACCCTGAATATCTCCTAGATGGGATTCCCATTGTCGACTGCTTCGGGCCCTATCCCATCGTCACTGACTGGAGCATGGCGCAGGCGGGCATCCACTGTGTCGCTATCGGCAACACCGGTTCGTTACTGTATGAGGTATACCCTGAGGTAGATGCTCCGACTCCATCGCTTGATCAGTGGTTAGCCGCATTGGGTGGTATGCAGGGTGGCTGGCGCCAGGCGTTCTTTAACGCGGCGACCATCGTGCAGGGGCAAACGATATGTGAGAACCCATTGCGCCGGCTCTTTCAGCCCACCCCCGACTCATATGTCATGGTGCAAGCGGGGTACCGATCGGATACGACCGTTGCCTTGTTCGAGTATCGTCCGCATTCAGAGCCAGTGAAGGTGGTTGATATTCGCGCCGACGAGACCGGGACCATAACGTTGGAGATCATCAACCACCGTAATGCCTGTACTGCCCCTATCGGCCTGCGGCTGAAATACCAGTACCGACGCGAGGCCGTGTACGCGCCCATTCATGAGATCATGGAAGGACGGAACGAGCGGGTCAAAGAGTTTTACTACCGCGTGTGGTTCGCCAGCGGACAGCCGGCGAAGTGGACTTCAGTGCACGACACATTCTGCGAGGGCCAACTGGAAGTGACGCCGGACTCCATCGCGGAGTTTGCTCACTGCGTGCAAAATGCCAGTGATGCGTCCAGCAAGCGCCGCGGAAAGACCCTCTATGCACCGCTTGACTTTGGGGTTGTTGTTGGCTGGGAGGCGCTGATGAAGCCCCTGTTCTCGCACGAGCTGGATGTCGACCTCCTGACGCTGGTGCATCTCACCAACGGGTTCCGTATCCCCCCAGATGCGCAGCCTATTCAAGCTGGTGCTGTCCTGGAAACGAAGTCCCGCATTCAGGCCATCACCATCGAGGAGGCTGGGAAACTGGTCGAGGTGCGCGGTGATGTCTATCAAGATGGGAAGGTCGTGCTGGAGTTAACGAGTCAGTTCTTGTATCGCGGCACACACACAGACTGGGAAAATACCTTCCGCAAGGTGGACGAGGAGGAAATGGAGCTTTGCCTCAGCGGGCCCATGGAGGTGGCCGTGTTGAAATCCAAGCCGTGGTTCCAGCCGCTAGATGTGAATGTGGATCTGCAGGACCAGACACTCATCTTTGTGCTCCAGTCGACCTACCAGTATGCTAGTCGTGATACCTTCAAGGCTGTTACCACTGTCGGTGACGTGCGATTGAAGTCCTCACTACCTGGCGGGTCACGCTCCGTTGCAAAAGTGGCCTTCTACGCCGCTACTTGTCGTGGCAACCCGGTCATGGACTATCTTCAGCGACACGGCAGCCCGGTCAAGAAGCGACATATGTTCGACAACCCTGCTCCACTCACAAACGAGGGTTCCTCCCTGCTCATGAGAATGCCGGACTCGAACGAGGCTTACGCCCATGTCTCCTGGGACTTCAACCCCATCCACGTCTCGTCATCATTATCCCGGTACGCCGATCTCCCCGGGTTGATCACGCACGGTATGTACACATCGGCTCGCGTGCGCGGTCTCGTGGAGCATTACACTTGCGCCTCGGCGATCGGTGCATTCCGTAGCTTTAACTGCTCGTTCACCAGCATGGTGCTCCCTGGGGACGAGATCGAGGTTATTTTCCAGCACGTAGGCATGCTGGCGGGACGCAAGATCATCTCAGTAGAGGCAAAGCATGTGCAGCGTGGAGAGACCGTGTTACGCGGAGAGGCAGAAGTTGAACCCGAAGAGACGGCGCTGCTGTTCACGGGCCAAGGTAGTCAGCAGAAAGGGATGGGGATGAAGCTGTACGCCCAAAGCCAGGCCGCGCGCCAGGTGTGGGATTATGCCGATGCGTACTTCTCCGATAATTACGGTCGGTTTAGGCTCACCATCTCTGACTGTAATCTCTCCTTTACTGCAATTTCTGTACTAAGTGGTATTTAGGATTTCGTATCACCGATATCGTCCGGAACGATCCCCCACAGCTTACTGTTTACTTCGGGGGCCCTCAAGGGCGACATATCCGTGAGAAGTACATGAGTATGAAGCGCGAGAGAGTCACCTCGGATGGAAGCGTCCACTTTCTCCCACTGTTTCCCGAAATCGACGAAGACACCGAGTTTTATACTTACCAAGCACCCCAGGGTTTACTATCTGCCACGCAGTTTACCCAGCCGGCTCTGACCCTGATGGAGCTGGCGATCTTTGCTGACCTTCAGGCGAGAGGATTGATCTCGGAGCGGAGTTGCTACGCCGGCCACTCCCTAGGTGAGTATGCCGCCCTTGGTGCGGTGGGAAAGATCTTCAGTGTGGAGAGTCTGGTGCAGGTGGTGTTCTACCGTGGACTGTTGATGCAATTCGCCGTGGAGCGAGATGATCGAGGGCGGTCCGACTTCAGGATGTGTGCGGTGGATCCAAGTCGGGTGTGCAACGGTGTGTACTTCTGGTCTGGCTTATAACCATTTGTCTCACTTACATTCGTATGTTGCTAGGCTTTGAAGAAGAAGCGCTGCAGCTGGTGGTGAAAACCATTTCAGCTCAGACTGGACAGCTGCTGGAGATAGTCAACTTCAACGTTGCCGGGTTGCAATATGTGTGCGCTGGACAGGTATGTCTTTCTTCGCCTTACCTCGCCCCGTGACTAGTTAACCCTCTCCAGGTCCAAGCCCTTCAATGCCTCAAAACGGTTCTCGATCACATCAAAGCGACCGTCACCCCTCTCTCGCTCCCGAGCCTCATTTCTCCAGACCAGCTTACCTTGCTAGTAGAGTCCCAACCCAGTAACCTTCAGCCGACTGCAACTCTAACGAGAGGTTGCGCCACGATTCCCCTCCGCGGCATCGATATCCCTTTCCATTCCTCATACTTGCTTCCCGGTGTTCCGGGGTTCCGACGCTGTTTGTTAGAGTTGATCGACAGCCATACGTTGGACCCGAAGCGGCTGGTGGGAAAGTACATTCCCAATCTCACAGCGCGACCGTTTGATTTGACAAGGGAGTACTTCGAGCTGGTCAGAGATATCACAGGGTCCGTTGCATTGCACGAAGTTCTGAATGAGGTGAGCTTGTCTTTCTCAGCGGCTAGGCCAATGCTAATGCAAAGACTAGTGGAAATCATACACCAGTGCCACAGTAGACAATGGATTGCAGAAGCTTGAAGGGATCATTCAGACGATGAGGGTGTTTTGATATTTACTTTATTTTGTGTTTTGTAAGACCTCGTTTCACTAAGTCCATAGCTATTCGTCCCCGTCGATACCATATACCTATCCAGTGACAAATACTCCCGATTATTCTACCTGTAAACCAATATATGCAAGAGAAATAGGTGTAAAGACAGATGCAGTAAATAAGCTAAGGGGCTATTTAGGGGTGTCAGATCAATATCTAAGAGCTATATATATCTTCTACGCTGACCCTCGCGAAAACCAAGACCAATATTTATTTTCTCCTCAGACTTTGCCCTTCCACATTCTCCTCCTTATTTTTATAGATTATACCAGGTATCATGTTGGCCTACATGCTACTAAGTATCTTTGGGGGAATTGTGCTTGTCTTCATTATCTTCGATCCTAAAGCAATCCCCGGATTATGGCATGTTCGTGACAATCCTCTATTTAACATAAGATGAGGCATTGAATGATATCTAACCTTCTGAACATGATCCAATAGGCCCGTATTATTGCGATTCTCCTAAACCACCTTGTTTGGAAACGCAGTCAACCCTCGCTCTCATCTGATGGGCCATCCGCCCTCTTTCGTCCACTCCGTACCCGATCCTACTGCTCCATCACCGAAGTCGACTTCAACCTACACAAATCCAACAGCACCTTCTACGCAGATCTGGACATAAGTCGGATCGAATTACTACTGTCCCTTTTCAAAGACGTCATTACTCCACTATCTCCGCCGGCCAGAGAAGGAGGCACCGCGGAGAGTGCAGAGAAAGACGGACGGCGGAAACTGAAACATCTTACCCCGGCACTTGGGGGCGTCTCATGTATCTTCCGCCGAGAGATTAAGCCCTGGCAGCGGTATGACCTCGTATCGCGAGTCCTGTGTTGGGATGACAAGTGGCTGTATATTGTTAGTCATTTTTTGAAGCCTAGTGACCACAACGGGGCGAGTTTAGCGGCCTCAGAGGATCAGATTTTCGCATCAGCTACTTCTAAATATGTTTTCAAGGGGGGTAGGCGTACCGTTAAGCCTAGAGAGATACTTCGATACTTGCAATTCTTAGGGGACTTTGCTGATGCCGATGCTGACACTGACGCTGCGAGAATTGGATTGGGGGCCGACGTAATCGAGGAAGATGATCAACGAACACGGTGTAAAGGGGCCAAAGTGGAGATGGAGCGACCACATGGCTGGGTTAGATAGACTTCATTTTGTGACATCCTTCTATGAATATGTCTCGAAAGAGTGGAACGAAAAGGTCGGGAAGGAATGGAAGGAATGGATTAGGAGTCTGGAAAAAGATTGATGATCCTACATGTAATATACATTTAACCGATAGGCCAGTCCCATCTAATCGCGAGTTAGATCGTATTAGCCTAGACTGCTCGTCTCACCGTACATATTGACTACTGTTGGATGGGAGTCACCAGCACTGCCCCCAGCCAATCCTTTGAGTATCGGCATCCACTGAACAAAGTAGATCATAGTTGTCTACTTTCTATCCCTTGCCGTAGATCAGCTATTGACAGTTGAGAAGAACTAACGATCTATACTACCCTACGATGGTGATGTCTTCCCTATGGCTTCACTCCGGGGCGGGGACAGGATGCTCGACGGCCGTTGAGGATGTCTTCGGGCCCGAGGTTAGCGATCAGTGCCAAAGGGGTTTTGATTTCACATTGTACTTTGAAGAGACGATACTGATATTGCCGGTGACGCTGTTCTTCTTGCTTTGGGCCTTGCCACGCATCGTCTACCTGAGACAACGGACAATTAAAGTGAATGGGGGACATTGGCACATGGTGAAACTGGTGCGAGAGAAGTTTCTTTGAGAGGAAAGCTTCAGGTATCATGAATGAAGACTAACCATGTTTCTCAGATTGGTTATGCTGGGTTGGCTGTTCTCCAGCTCACCCTCATGGGCCTTTGGGCTTCCCCATCGGGACAAACCACCACTCGAGCCACCATTGGAACGACCGTCGTATCCTGGCTGGCATCAGTAGTCTTCGGGGTTCTTTCTCACTATGAACATTTTCGAACTATTCGACCGGCGACAATTAACAGTGGCTATCTGTTCCTCTCCTCTATCTTGTCCTTACCCGAGACACGCACGTTGTACTATGTCGAGACGCACCGCTCAATACCGATTCTCTATACAATGGTTCTGTGTTTAAAATTGATGTTGCTTGTTATCGAAACAATATCAAAGGTGTCTATTTTAAAGAAGGAATATAGAGATTCGCCGCCGGAATCGACGGTGGGAATCCTGGGAGAATGTCTCTTCTGGTGGCTGAACCCACTGTTGCTACTTGGTAACCAGATGGACCTCACGGTTTCGCAACTGCCGGCAATCGAAGAATCTATTCGCTCAACCGGAGTAGGTCAAAATGAGCTGGAGGAGCTCTGGAAGAAGGGTAATATTGTCCTATTGATCTCCCCCATGAATCTAGAGCTAACAGAATGGCTATTCTAGGATCCAGCAAATCCTCCGATCACAGCTTGCTGTTTGCATGCTTTCGATACTGTCTGGGCCCGATCGTGTTAGGCATTCTCCCTCGAGCGCTACAGGTGGCCTTCACCTTTGCCCAACCTTTCCTGGTCGAGGCAACCGTAACATGGGTGTCCGCGAGCGATCTCTCTCACCCAAAGGGAGAGGGTTACGCACTGATTGGGGCGTTTGGGATTGTTTATAGTGCCATTGCGGTGAGTAAATCCTTCTCATTTTAAAACCGGGAGGACGTAAGTTTGACAATCTCAGGTCTCCACAGCTGTTTCTCAACACCAGGCGTATCGAGTCGTCTCCATGCTACGAGCCAGCCTGATTGATATACTATACAGCCGTGTTTTGGTCATGCGCGATCTAGACGTCGAGACCAGTACCCCCGTCACACTGATGAGTGCCGATATGGAGCGCATTTCCAGTGGCCTTCGCTATATCCATGATTCATGGGCATGTGCTGTCGAGATTCCTATCGCACTGTATCTGCTGTGGCAACAACTGGGGGTCGCCAGTATCGCTCCGATTGTCGTGGTGATCGGTATACACCTTTTCCTTCCTCTCCCCATCCTTCACATTACTGACCCTGCGTAGTATGTATGGCGTTGTCCGTGTTAATTTCCACCCTGGCTGGCCCCCGTCAAAAGCTGTGGCTTGAGGCCATCGAGAACCGGGTCGGGGTCACTGCGAAAGTGCTCGGATCGATGAAAGGAGTCCGCACATCTGGCCTGACCGACAAGCTCTTCAACCTTGTCCAGACAATGCGTGTTGAGGAAGTGGCGCAGTCCGAGCGATTCCGCCGACTGCTCATCCTGGTGGTTGGCGTTGCCTATAGCAATGTCACTCTCTCCCCGCTGGCCTCATTCATCATCTACTCCCTCATTGCAAGGCATAAGGGGGACGAAACTCTGACTCCTGCAAAGGCATTCACGTCTCTCACCTTGTTTACATTACTCGCTACTCCCATCGCTCACCTGGTTGAGGCGGCCACTGGTGTCGCCACCGCGATTGGCTCCATCAAACGAATCAATCGGTTCTTACTGTCGGAGCCACGGCATGATGACACTCAGGAGGACCGGTGTGTCCGGAGGAACACGAGTATCCCAGTCAGTATTCCGTCGAGTACCCTCACGTTAGTCGGAACTATCTACGATGAAAAGGCCACCTCTTCTCGTATGAATAGGATCTCCACTATCTCCACGGTCTCCAGTATATCTAGTCACGAAACATTGACGCCATATGACGAATCCATTGGCCCAGTGTTTATGGCGAAGGGTCGCAGCGCGGGCTGGGAAGAAAGCAAACCGGCGGTGGTAGAAGATTTGAATTTTGAGATCCCACGAGGTACTGTCACAATCGTCGTTGGACCCGTCGGATGCGGGAAGAGCACGTTTGTGCGTACGCTACTACGAGAGACGCCGATTTACTCAGGAGGGCTGAAGGCTGATCCAGAGGCCATTGCCTATTGCTCCCAGGCGCCGTGGTTGACGAATAGGAGCATCCAGGACAATATCCTGGGGGAGTCGCTGTTCAATCTGCGGTGGTATAATACGGTGATCGATGCATGTGCGCTGTATGAGGATATCCGGGCACAGCCAAATAGGGACCAAACTCTTTTAGGGACCCAGGGAGCCGTACTCAGTGGCGGGCAGAAGCAACGTGTGGTGAGCTTCAAGGAATACTTCTCTTCATGAATAGACGTGTGCTGATCCGCTGCATCTCACTAGGCCCTGGCCCGAGCAGTATATTCCAAAGCAGATACCATGATCCTGGACGATGTCTTCAGCGGGTTAGATCGTTCGACCGAGGATGCCATCTTCCATGCGCTGCTGGGTCCGGAGGGACTGTTGCGGAAGATGGGAACGACGGTCATCATGACCACGAATAGCCGTACGTATCCTTTGGAGTACTCGATTGGTGTCTTCATCTAACGATGTGTTAGCCTCCCGGCTGTCCGCTGCGGATCATATTATTGCCCTCAGTTCATCTGGGACAATCATGGAACAAGGAACGTTCAAAGACCTCCGATCCCGAACTGATAGCTATATTCGCAGTCTAGCTGCCCCGCCGAAACGAAAGAAAACGGTTCACCTGGAAGTCCCTCAGGCCTCCATGGCCAGAGCCCAGAACCGGTTATCACTGAATCGCTTCTCGTTGGCTACCCTGGATTTCGAATCACCACCCCCGGAGAATGGTCGACGGACGGGGGATATGTCTGTATATTGGTACTACATCCAAGTGCTGGGGTTAGTTCGGTCGCTGGTGTTTGTGTTTCTGATCATGGCGTATGTGGTTGTTATCACATATCCCTGTGAGTAACTCTTGAACGACGGATGAAGATATGGAACTGACTGATCACATCCAGCCATCTGGGTTGAAAAGTGGACCGCATCTAATGCGAAGCATCCTAACTCTCAATTGGGTTATTGGCTGGGGATCTATGGGGCTATCGCAGTGATGGCTGTTTCCACTCTTGTCCTTGCTTGCTGGTGCGTGTTCTTCGTAACCTCGATTGCTTGTGCTAATTCTCTATCAGGCATCTTATGGCGAATCTGGTCGCCCGAGGTGCACGTAATATGCATGGCGAGCTTTTAAAGAGCGTGCTTGAGTATGATCTCTCTTTTGGAATCTTCCTGTTCTTTCAGCTAATCGTCCAGTGCTCCGATGTCATTCTTCCATACCACTGATTTAGGCACTACGACGAATCGGTGAGTAGCAGGGCACACTAGCGACTATTCAGGGTACTGACCTGAACATCAGATTCAGCCAGGACCTTCAGCTCATTGATATGGAGCTCCCCCTCTCAGTCCTTAACACGATCCTTACCTTCTTCACTTGCGTCGCTCAGATCGTGGTCGTTTGCGTGGCAACCAACTACATCGCCGCAACTATACCGGCCTGTCTGATTGCCTTCTATTTCATCCAACGATTTTATCTTCGCACATCGCGCCAGATGAGATATCTAGATATTGAGGCCAAAGCTCCCTTAGTCTCACACTTCCTCGAAACACTCAGTGGCCTGTCCACCATTCGCAGCTACAACTGGGAACAGCACTACCGCCGGCGCAATAGCGAGTTGCTCAATGAGTCCCAAAAACCCTTCTATCTCCTCTACGCTATCCAGCGATGGCTGGAACTAGTTATCGCTTTGATGGTGGCCGGATTCGCCGTGGTCCTGGTGGGCGTGGCCGTTGCCACTCGGGGAAAGCTCAGCGCGAGCTTCATTGGACTGGCCCTCCTGAATGTGGTAACATTTACCGAGAACCTACAGGGTTTGGTCAAGCAGTGGACGGTCTTAGAGACATCTATCGGTGCAGTGTCGCGAATTCGTAACTTCAAGGCTACGATAGACTCGGAGCATCTGGAGTTCGAGACGTTTGTGCCACCACCAGACTGGCCGGCCAGAGGGTCGATCGAGTTCACTGAGGTGGTGGCCGCCTACAAGTTAGATCTTCCTATCTTGTCCCCCTTTACCTGTTACGTTACTGACGGATAGCGATGCTAGGAATGCGTCGAGTCGTGCGCTCGATCATATCTCTCTATCTATCAAGGCAGGGACCAAGATCGGTATCTGTGGTCGCTCCGGAAGGTTTGTTTCCTTCAGCTCTCTGCCCTTATACCTCACTATTATCCAAGACTGATAGTCAGATCTTAGCGGAAAATCATCCCTGATATCATCCCTCTTCCGTCTAATTGAACTGGCTAGCGGGGCTATCACGATAGACGGGCTTGACATCACCACCCTGACGCGCAACTCCTTGCGCGCCCAGTTAAATTGCATCCCTCAAGAGCCATTCCTGCTACCGGGCTGCTCAGTCCGCCTAAACATAGACCCCGGGGCCGGTATACACGACGACATCCTCACCGACGCGCTCAAGAAGGTCCAAATGTGGGGTGCTGTTCAGGAGCTTGGAGGGTTGGACGCGACCATCACCGCAGACACTTTCTCACCAGGCCAGAGACAGCTTCTCTGTTTCGCCCGAGCCATGGTGCGAACGGAGGGGAAGATATTAGTTCTCGATGAGGCGACGAGCAGGTCTGTCTACCCTGTTCTGTTTGTGATGCGCGAGCTAACCTTGGCGTTTTTTAGCATTGACACCAAAACGGACGAGATCATGCAATCGCTCATTCGGACCGAATTTGCCAATCATACCGTGATTGCCATCGCACATCGGCTGGAAACGATTGTCGATTTCGACGAGGTGGTTGTCATTGATGCCGGGCGAGTTAAGGAGCGTGGCCCGCCGGCGGAGCTGCTTGAGAAGAAAGGAGCCTTCGCCGAGTTATATTGGGACAAGAATCGAGGGTCAAGTAGGACTCCATTAGCGCTTGAGATCAGATGATGTACTGTTCCCAAGTGTCTATTGCTCGTTACGTATATCTGCTTAGTATTTTCTTTCTCAAGTTATCTTTGTAAACATAGACATGTTTACGGTACAAGGCGAGGTTAGCGCATCTATCAGAAATGGGTTCTGCCTAGTAATTTAGCGCTGAATCTAGATACCCGCAATGATATGTAAAATATGTCTGCTTTCTTGAACTAATATTTCAAGCCCGATATAATTATCTAATCGTTTCGCATCGTTTTCTACATGGGGTAGGTTGGTGGCCGATCACCACGAAATAGTGATAATCCAGGTCGATGACAGCATCTTTCGTATTGTATCTCCGGTTGGAAAGTAGAAATAAGTCTTCAAAAAGGGCATTGACCTCGTTGATGTGACCCTACGTGTATATAGGGCAGGCTACATAGTGACCTTATAAAAGGGGAAATCTTACTGAGCCAGGCCTTCCATTATTTGTACGCCATGCCATGTTTATTGATCCTGCCAGAGGAAGTGTCTAACTAACTAATTCGAACTCTCTTGAAGATGTCGTTTTGTGCGAAGATCTTTGCTAAAGATTGTCAAATATCTTCGTTCTTCCCCGAGTCATCTTGAGAACACTTGAGCACCTGGAACCCTTGGTAATACACCGTAAGCAGAGGACTTGCTCTTGGGCCTATCATCTTACACGCTGGTATATAACCCCTGGCGGTGGTCCACTTTCATTCACGACATGCAGTAGCTATATAGTAGCTATACGTCCGGAACCCCCGCTCTACGGAATCTCATGATTTCGGCAAATTGGTTAGATAAGGTGGTCGCGTGGACAGTGCACCTCCCAGGATGTGCTTTAGTATGGATGTATGCACCTATGGAATGCAGACTCGGAACTTGGACCCTAGTAAGGACTTGGCAATGAGGTCCGAGACATACCGAAACCGCATCCTCTGACCACAAATAGATTAGTTGGCAGGGGTTGGCCATAAAAGGGGAAGGTGAAGATGCCGAAAATTGCTTCTACCCAATTATTAGGACATTGATAAGTGCCGCGGGAATTGTACCTGCATGTAACCCAAGAGAATGCCAAGATGCCACCGAGGAATCATCACCTATAAATCTCGGCACTCATTTCGCGCAGTGCGAAAGTGGCGCTAAAAGGTATTAAGCGCAATATCCAGTCTTAGCAGCTTGCCCTTATCGGGGTAGACCCTGAACCACTTGACTCGGAGCGCCGACGGAGACGGTTCTTCAACCCAATATCGCAATGGCTTCAGGTACGACTCTTTGAGTCAACCAGTGTATGTCTTAATTCTCAGGAACTTGTGGGACTGGCCAGACAAGATGCCGTGACCCCACTATCACGTTTTGGAAGGTAACCCAGTCCCGAGATAGGTTCAGACTCCTGGATATTGCAGGAGGGCGAATGCACCGTTGGTTGCTTTAACAATCAGGATGGGTGCTACACCATAGACATTAGCTCCGGACTGTCTCGGGCCAAGAACAATTTGATTCTGGTCCTGAAGTCAGCGCGTCGAGAAAATGAAGAAGACGTAGTATAAATACCAGTTGAGGATCGCGACATTCACGCCAGAATCATCCAACGGCGCATCATCAATCATTCCCATCCAGATCAACACCATCACAGATCAAGATGCGAGGCCTTCTTCTCGCTGGAGCTCTTGGGCTCCCTCTCTCTGTCCTTGCTCATCCTACCCATCAGTCCCATACGCTGCAGCGTCGTATTGTTGATTTGAACAACTTCCGTCTGCACTCTGTGGCCAAATATATCGATTCGACCAAGTCGACGGGCGACGCTCCATCCTCCTTCTCAGGGTTTGCGGCACAGAGCTACGTCGACACCGCAACTCAGCTGGTGAAGAATATTCTACCGGACGCAACCTTCCGTGTCATCGATGATCATTACGTTGGTTCTAACGGCGTCGCTCATGTCAACTTCCGTCAGACAGCCCATGGCCTGGATATCGACAATGCGGACTTCAATGTCAATGTATGATGCCTAGACCGGGCCTATATTTACTGTATACTAGGTGCTAATTAAATTATTCAGGTCGGAAAAGATGGCAAGGTCTTCTCTTACGGCCACTCTTTCTACACTGGCAAGATCCCTGAGGCCAGTCCTCTTACCAAGCGGGACTTCGCCGACCCTGTGGCTGCGCTGAGGGGAACCTCGGAGGCATTGCAGCTTTCTATCACCCTGGATCAGGTCTCCGCCGAGGCTGCCGAAGAGAAAGAATCTTTCCATTTCAGGGGAGTATCTGGTACTGTATCCGACCCCAAGGCGCAATTGGTCTACTTTGCCAAGCCCGATGGAGAGCTTGCCTTGACCTGGAAGGTTGAGACAGATATTGACAGCAATTGGCTGTTGACCTACATCGATGCCGCCTCCACCAAGGATGTTCACGGTGTCGTCGACTATGTTTCGGAGGCGGATTACCAAGTATTGTAAGTAATCGATCAGTGGCAATCAAGTTAGGAGTTATGACTAACCTTCATATTCTAGTGCATGGGGTATTAACGACCCGACAGAGGGCGATCGGACCGTCATCAGCGACCCTTGGGATCCAACTGCCTCTGCCTTTACCTGGATCAGTGATGGAGAGAATAACTACACCACCACTCGTGGTAATAACGGTATCGCACAAGACAACCCTACCGGTGGGTCAAGCTACCTGAAGAACTATCGGCCTGATAGCCCCGAACTGGTGTTCAAATACCCATACACATCGGAAATGTCTCCACCAAAGTCCTACAGGGATGCGTCTATTGTTCAGCTCTTCTATACCGCGAACACATATCACGACTTGCTCTACACTCTAGGCTTTGACGAGAAGGCCGGTAACTTCCAGTGGAATAACAATGGTAAAGGTGGCAGGGGCCAGGACTACGTGATCTTGAATGCGCAGGACGGCTCCGGCACCAACAATGCCAACTTCGCCACCCCCCCAGATGGACAGCCAGGTCGCATGCGCATGTACACCTGGACCACCTCAACACCCAATCGGGATGGTTCCTTTGAAGCGGGTATCGTCATTCATGAATATACCCACGGTGGTATGCATTCCCTCTGACCCCCGTCAAAAAGGACTATACGAGCTAACACTGACACAGTCTCTAACCGACTTACGGGTGGACCAGCCAACTCCCGTTGTTTGAATGCCCTCGAATCCGGTGGGATGGGTGAGGGCTGGGGTGACTTCATGGCCACTGCCATTCGTCTCAAGTCCGGCGATACGCACTCCACTGATTATACCATGGGTGAATGGGCTGCGAACAAGAAGGGCGGAATCCGCGCTTACCCTTACTCCACCTCCCTGTCCACCAACCCTTACACGTACACCAGTGTGAACAGCTTGAATGCCGTGCATGCCATTGGTACTGTGTGGGCTACTATGCTCTATGAAGTGCTGTGGGCCTTGATTGATAAGCACGGCAAGAACGATGGCCCTAGGCCTGAGTTCAAGGATGGTGTTCCCACTGATGGCAAGTATCTTACCATGAAGCTGGTGATTGATGGCATGGCCTTGTAAGTTTCCGCTTAATCGTTTGTCTTGTCTCCATTGCAGTACTAATCATAGTCCTTAGGCAACCTTGCAACCCCAACTTTATCCAGGCTCGTGATGCCATTCTTGATGCTGACAAGGCCCTCACTGGTGGTGATAACCAGTGTCAACTCTGGAGGGCGTTTGCCAAGCGTGGTTTGGGTGAGAAAGCAGAGTACCATGCAACTGGTCGCGTTGATAGCAAGGATATCCCTTCGGGCGTCTGCTAGACGATGTGCATACTGTATTTACCTTTTGTTTTTAATTCAGCGATCAGATACAGCAGTCGACAAGGTCGGATATTGGTGACATTCCTTGACAGTAAATCTCGAATTAGTTAATATATTTTTTACCTACTTCACTAAACTCAGACTTTATTCATCTGACCTAAAGGCTTTCTTGAGGTGATATACTACACTTGTTAAACGCCCTCATCACTATCGTTTTTTCTTAGTACAACGAACATAACCCAACCAGGACAACGCCTAAAATGACGTTATATTAGCTAGCGTAGGTACGAAATGCGTCATTGTCAGAGTCGTGCATCGAGATGACTTTGGCCATTGGATGCTTACAGTCTCACCTCAGCCGGATGCAGGCAAACATTGGTAATACGACCAATACACGAGTGATGGCTTTGACATTAGCTTTTGGCAGGTTCGTCTCGAAAATCTCTCGTTCGCTGGCACTGCTCCAAATATAAAAGCCCTCCTACTCCGCTCTACCTCTTTCATACTACATATACGCGGCCAAGTCCCCAGCAAAAATTGGAGCATCTTCAAAATCAAACGAAATGACTAGGCAAGGAGGGCAATGTCTATCAAGTTCCACTAACAACATCTTTCTAGAGCTGCCGCAATGATGCGGGAGTCATGATGCTGGCGAATGAAGAGTCAGGAAATGAGTGCACTGGCCTAAACGACGGGCGAAAATGTCTGTCCCGACCACGTATGTCACAGATGCCAGGTATTGGGGGTGCTGAGATTTTCTGTGGCTGTGAGGTCCGGTACCTCAAGTCTATGTCACCGGACATCCTTCGCATTTGGGCTGTGTTAGAAACATGAGCACCCTAGATGTCTCCATCCATGAGAACGTTGGCCAGTTCTTTGCAGGTACCCACAAAAAGATCCTCGAGCATATCACTTGAATGGACACGCATGGGAGATGCTTGGTTTCCTTAAAGCCAGTTGTCACACCTGAAGGTTCACTCAATCTACAGGCCTTGCCAATTCTTTTCGTCAGTGGCATCGAGAATGAGTCTTCGACCCTGAATCGACGCTGTGGGACTGGGACTACGAAACGCTATGGAAGCGATTTGGAGAGCATCTCTTCCGCAGGTGTCTGGTTGACGGGTACGGACACTTTGACACCATTGTGGGAAAGGCGGCTGCTACTGATGTGTACTGGATGGTAGCTGATCACTTGAAATGGTGTGCCCAAGATGGTCCTCTAGAACACTCTCATGAATAATTTACCAGGTATGCGCTGCAGTGAGGGTCTCAGTTGGTCGTCACGGTACCATGTAGCAGGACAACAGGATAAGAAAAGCGGATATGGAAAAGTTACTACAAATTGATGGGTTTGACTCCTGCTTCTACTCATCGGTCCCTTGTAGATAGACCTCCGATCAGGTAAACGCGATGGAAGGTCCACCGCAAACGATCTCCATTAAATATTTTCCAGTCTTGTTCGGAAGGATAAGCTACTGCAAAATAATGAGACTCACCACGAACCCCTGATAATTAATTATTAGTGAGCACACAAATCACGTGTGAAAGAAAACGTAACTCTTTACTAAAACTCCCAACATACGCCAAAGTAGGGCACGTTGGTACGCGTGCAACACCGGCGTGTTATGCAATCCAGAACCAGATTCTCTCTTTTGATGTTTAGTGCAAGGACCCATATGCCAGTTGCTGGAGCGTGGTTCGACATACCCAGGAAGTTGCGCGGTTTTGGTTGCTCCCAGATGGCCTCTAGACGATCGGCTTCCTCCTTTCCAGACCAAAGATCGATCTCCTCCACGTTCACAATGATAGTCCCCTTAATGAATTTGTAGCTCAGATAAAGCGTTACAAAGATAGGGATAGCGATATACGGTGGAATGAAGGTCTTAGCACTGAAGTGGCCGGGGAAGAATGCGTCGAACCCGTTCAAGAGTGCCATCGTGGACGAGAATATGACGGAAAACCATGCTAGATAGGGCTGTAATGGTGCCTTGTAAGGGAGACTTGAGCGAGGAATGCCATGATATCTCATTGCCCGATAGAACCGCAGGTATGTGATCCCAATCGCGGTCCACACGACCAACGTGCTGACGGAACTCAGATTACTGATCCAAAAGAAGACCTCCGCGGCGCTCGATGACACATTGAGATACACAAGCAAACTCAACGCGGTCGTAATCCCGACACAGGCGTATGGCACCCCAAACCTCTCGTATCGGAGGAAGCGTGGCGCCTTGCCATCTAGCGCCGTTGCGTATAAGATCCGCGTCGACGCATAGAAGAATGAGTTACCCGACGAGATCGCCGATGACAGAATCACCGCATTGATGATGGAGGGCAAGGCTCGGATCCCGCCATTCTGGATGGCGATCACAAAGGGACTGGCCCCAGCGCCTTTCGCACCGGATTTGATGGCGTTCAGCAAGCGGGTGTCGCGCGACGAGACACAGAGGCTTACGAGAAATATACTGCCCACGTAGAGCACCGTAATACGCCAAAACACGCGACGCACGGCCTTGGGGATATTTCGTCGCGGATTCTCCGTCTCGCCAGCGGCCACCACCACGATTTCACTGCCGCCATAACTGAAGATCGCCTGCACGAACACTTTGAGAAACGCGAGGAACCGCCCCCGCGCACCCGTCTGGAGATACTCCTCCATGGGACGGTCCCAGTATCGAAATCCGATGCGGTCGTGGGTCGGCGCGCCGCCGAGGGTGATGATTAACATTAGCAGCATCAAGCCCACAATCGTTGTCAACTTGATCGCCCCGAGTATAAATTCGAGCTCTCCGTAGGCCCGGACGGGCAGGCTGTTGACCACTACCATGGGTATAAGTAGAATCGTAATCCACACCGCGGAGGATATAGAATTCGGCCAGTATCCAATGACCATGGCCGACGCGCTAATCTCAATGGGCACACCTATTGCAAATTGATACCAATAGTTCCACCCGAGTGCAAATCCCAAGGCTTCATCGACGAATCTCGCTGCGTATATGGGAACAGCGCCCGGCAGGGGCAGCCAAGTTGCCATCTCCCCCATGCTGGTAATCACAGCATAGAGGTCCAACCCGGCGATAGCGAAGGCCAGAGTCATCGACAGAGGCCCCGATAGCGACAGCACCTGGCCCGTACCGACGAAGAGACCGGTCCCGATGGCGCCGGAGAGCGCGAGGAATTGAACATGTCGAGACTTTAAGCGCCGTTGCAGGGTTCCGACATTCTTCTGGTCGGAGGTCCCCTTCGCTGGCGGATGGACTTCTGTGTCTCCTCGTTCTAGATGAACGATCTTTTCGATATCTGCGTCGTCTTTATTGCCTCGCGACATTGGACTTGTGGAAATCCCTTTATTAGGATTGGAGTTGAGTTGATATCAGAAACCAGTGATCAGAAATCTGAAATCAGATATAAGGCAGATGAGATCTTGCGGGGAAAGTGAGATTGCGGGGTAAAAAACAAAGAACCAAAAGAAGAAAAAGGAATGACAAGAACCCATAGTTGGTCGCCCGGAGAACATCTTGTGCTCTTTCTCGCCATGGCTCGGTATGTTTCTTTGCCTCCGTGGTAATGTATTCATTGTTCTCGATTGTGCAGGTAATGTATGTTGGCATGTATATTCAGTTTAGGGCTGCGAGCTGCAACTTCCAAACGGTTCAAATCCGTCGTCAAGGCCTGGCTAGACTATAGCGGTTTAACTACAAACATTGTACCTTCGATGCCTACTACCTCCAAGGAGCGTAGACCGCCATTATACCCCGTCGTCTATCTGGCGATAGGGCTGAAGGCCTCAGCTGACCCAACACAGCAATGCCGAAGATCCCCCGAACGTAAGGGAATAATAATAATACTAGATTTGAAACCACAGGAGATTTCGGATTTGAGACACAAGAGTCTCCACGATTTCCCCCTTTTTTTGTCGTTTCACGTCTCACAGGATTGGGCCTCTTGCGGGGCTCAATCCCATGGGCCTGCCATCTACCGCATCCCCACAGGTTCTCTGTAAACCAAAGCTCACAACTTAGATTCCCACTCGATGATGGAGTTAGTAGTGAACCTTTACCTTATCTAAACCCAGTTGGAACAACCCTGCATGACTCACGTAGCGGTATAGAAACAATTCCATAGATTTAATGGAGACTCGGGAAGGCATATGTACATCATGCCACCTGAGCCACCACTATTTGGCTCTATTACCTGTTCCTAACGCCTCTAAGGCACCCGGGTGATTATATTATTGCCTTCATCAAGAGACTAGAACAGTCCGACCGGGCCCCGGGTGTTGAGAGTGGAGGGGCGACAGGAGTTTTTGTCTGGAACTGTCTCATACTAGTGTAGTACGCTGAAGCAAATGACCGGCAATCTCTATATCGATGCTTCATGATGTCCTTGGCACTCCCATGGATAGTATGAATATATAAGATGCCCTGGTAAATGATAGCGAAAAGGGACTTGGATGATTGGCCATCAATTCTCTTCTGCTCCAACACCATGGCGTCGAAAAAAAAATTATTTCTACCATTCTTCGGGCACCTTACGCAGCACCAGCTATCTAAGTCTCTACCGCTGCTCAGCCCACCACGTTCACGGCAAATCCCTGATGTCGGCCCCGGAGGCACGAGCTTCAAGGATTCCAACCATTTCCGTCTCTACCCGTCGGAGCGGAGCAGTGCAGACGCGGTTCTGACTATGCTCGAAGCAGCTTGTAGCTGCTTTGTCGGCGACCTTAGATAGATGATGACAGAGATCCCATACGGCGCAGACAGCAGCACCGTGACTACCTTCTGGAAGGAGAATATATATGAGGTGAGCGATTTAGGTAGCGCTGCGGACGTGCAGTAGTCCGACGCCAATACTGGGCTCAGTTGGCTGGAGGTGAACCCTTCGTCCCTGGCGGATCCAATGGTTACAGTGCATCAGTATGGCCATGCCCTTACCTATCATGGTTCAAATTGGGTGGATCAGACTGCCACCGGAGCTTGGTGGGAGCCCATTGCAAACTGGGTGGCTGAGACATAGAACGCCTCATCGTTAGGTGCAAACGCCAGAACCAAGTACAACCAGCCAACGGGCGATACCGTGATCGAGCTCAACAAAGTAATCGGAGACTCGTTTCAGGTCATCGTGGATGCCACAACGAGAAGTGAAAACTACTACCAGGCGTGGCCTTTCTTCACGTATCTGACCAGTAATCCGGACAAGTTCGAAAGGCTCGGCAGCGATGCTGTTCGCGAACTTTTCCAGTAATGAGACAGACAGCAACGAGACCCCTCTCCATACCCCTGCGCACATTCCCACGACCGCATCTATGCAGGAAATTGTCGGTCGCTACTGGGCTCGCATGGCCTACCAGGATATTGGCCACACCATCGCCCAGAAAGCATTCCTAAACAAACGCAATAGACTGAATTATGCGAACTTGGATACTAAAAGTGAAGGTGTTTATGTGGCCAAACCAGTTCGCGGTCCTCAGTACATGGGCGCCAACATCATCCACTTTACTCCGCTCAGTTTGTTGGTACAGCGTCTGAGATAACCCACAATGGTCGTGCTTCGTATTCGCTCCACCCGGCATACCAGGCAGCATTTGCTGCCTGGAATCTCACCATTCGATGTTCGGCGGATATAATCTCTGGTTGATCTAGCTGATGTACTAAATTATACTCGCTGGGGGGAACAACAGCCTAACGGCGGTTGCTTGGTAAAGTTCCTACATATCACGAAGAACGCCCAGCACCTAAGCAGCAACAGCTTAGTCAATATGGAAACCACTCCTCAGGCCACTGCCACCTTCGTGGTAGAATCCGGGTGTATTTGCTTCGGTGAACTGCATAATGTATGGTCCGGCAGCTCAGTCCCTATTCAAGTATTCCCCAGCATCCGGCCGGAATGTGTGGGGACGGTGGTAGCACATCATCTGGAATTCAACGTTCCTGCGCACAATGGCAGATGGAATGCCTTTCATCTGGTGGATATTGATACCGAGATAGTCTCAGGGTGGTTCCTATGTCACTCAGACGTTGACGTCGGCCCTGAGATTCAGCGGATCCTGCGCGTTTCCGGTTCTCCATATGAACCCGACTGTGGGAGTACCAGGAACGATGGTAAGACCCATGCCGAGGGAATTCTGGTGGTCAATCGGTATGACTGGGGTTATTACGATGCTCGCTGTCGAGACGAAATAGACAAACAGTCAGGAGAGGGTACTGGAGAGGAACCAACGGAACTAGATCCAGAAGATGAGGGGGTGGATGTTGAGCTCTCCGAGTCCGTTGGTGTTGTGGACTACGCCCATGCGAAGAGCCAAGTCGCAGCTTGGAAGAGACAATCATCGGATAGGAGGAATCCATGCGTCACTGGAGTTTGGATGGAAATCCCAATGGCCGAGCACAAATTCGGCCGATTTGGCTTCAACCTCGAGCGCACCGCTGCTCACTCCTTTCTGTTCTTCTCGACCCGGACCGACTTCACTCGCACATCGCTTGCCGGACAGAGCCACCCTCTACGCAAACCAGAGACTAATGAAGAAAGGTTTGAGCGGCGACTTCGTGAGGGCTTTGACTTCTCCGGACTCCAGTTAATACAAAGGCTGTCGGCGCCTCCAGGGGAAGGCTTCATATCGTTCTCGCCGCCAGCGCCACCCGAATCGACATGTCTCGGACCGTATTCTAAAGGAGACCATGTTCTTCGCGTTCAAGAACTCGATAGCTTACGGCTTCGCCCTTTCAGACCACATTTCCCCCCGGAGTTGATAGCTGACCTCCGGACCCAAGGCATTACGATCAATACCAGTCCAATTCAAAGGCGGAACATCGCAGTTTTCGTCGATCCTGAGAAAGATCGTGTATTTGACCTTATTAATGAGCTTATATTAAGCTACCTGGAGCGTTCTGTTCTTCCTGCTCTACATTGGAGGACGCCTTCTATGATCGCCGATGCTCTTTTTGGTAAGCCTGCGAAGGGCAAACTGCTTGATGTCTATTGCCACTGCTGCTTGACACAATCTGCTACGGAGCCAATCCCTGATTTTGAAGTGGACTACATGTGTGGTAAGATCAAAACCTTCCTCAACTCTCGTGCTGTCTGTCAGCCTTCAGCAATCGAGGAGGAGTCCATTCGTGGAATATGTCGAGTTATCGCGTATCTGGTTTCAGAGATCCTTGAACTTTCGTGTAATGCCGCGATTGATAGCTATCGATATGGTATTGTGCCCCTCGACATCCGGATCAGTGTATATAACGATTCGGAGCTGTACAATTTGTTGCAGTATTCCACGGTGCTGTGGAAAGGGAGGGGGTGAAGTACTCTCCTTCTTAATTCATCTCTATATATTAATATCAGGATATTGTTACTTGGTTGACGTTGTCAAAGTTACCAAGTGAAGCTCTGTAGTCTCAGCGAAATGATAATGGGGTACACACTCATCCTACACCCAAGCTGTTGCTTCTTGTGAGACATTCTCATTAGATTCTGCCTATCATCTCTGTTCGTTTTACCAAGATCCCAAATCATCGGAATTGTCAAATGTCCATCTTAAGTTGTCACCTGAACTTGGCCAAATCAATGTGACCAAAGGCCGATGGCTGACTGAAAAGCGTTCAGGCCTATAAATGCATCTTCTGGATCTGGCGTAGTTGCCGCAGTCCATATCGCGAGATGAATGCTATGGAGACCAGGCAGAACGAAACCAGCCCTGCAAAGGCCGGCCCGCTCTCCTCAAAGTAGTTGATCACATTCATGCCATACCAGCCCGCCACGAGCGTTGCCGCGGCCATTCCCAGCATCAGAATCTCTATTTTGGCCTCCAACACCATTATTTGGTTCCGTCGCACGTCTAGGATAGCCTGTATGGTCTCTTCCGTCTGGTGGATCGTTCCCATCAAGCTCGCGGCTTCTTGGACAACAGCATCGCTAGCCTTGTAGTATGCTTCCAGCAGGTATTCGACATCCTGGTGATTATCCACTTTGTGTGGCTTCCCTGCCTGTTTATCACTCAGATACATAGCTGCCATATCCTCGTCCGTATTCAATATGTCTTGCACTGCGCTTCGGACTTGCCTTGCGCGCTTTTCGATCGTTGCGAGCTCTCGTACGAGCTCTAATAATGTCCGAAGGTTGGAGTGGATCTCGCCTTCCTCCTTGTCCACCATTTGCAAGGTCTTCGTGGCCTGCCGTTTCGCCAGCACGTACTCGGCTTCCAGAGTTGACGTGACAGCGGCCAGTGCGGCCTCCAGAACGCGCAGCTCATACGGCAGGCCCACAGATACCCCCAATCCGGGATCCCCGCGCAGCTTCCCCTCCAAATCACGACGAAAGACGCGCGAGATGGTACCAGGCTCTTGAGGGGTCACCTCCTCCAGATGAAAGAACAGCATTTGGTCCGCTTGCACCAGCAGCCGCAGGCTGAACATGTGGATCAGCAATGTCGATTCTCTGATCAGGATATGCGGGAATCCATCCGATGGCACGTCGAGCGCGCGCAAATCGCGCGCACTCAACCCGTACTTGTTTACGATGTCGAGCTTCGTCAGCTTACTAAAGGGCACCGCTGTGCCGCGGTCGTCATATCGCGTGTATGGCATACTTGCGTTTCCACTCATGTGGGTTCGCGAATAGCTGAGAGATAAGTCTAATAGCTGTTGGCTTTGATGTGCATCTTTGGACTTTGAGATGGATTCAGTATGGACAGGTCGGAATGGGTGGAATTGGATTCCCTTAAAGCACAGAGTGGGATCGACCAAGCGGGGTGCTTGTTGGTCCCTGAGCGACTGCAGTATAGATGATCGACATACTCGCTGAAACACCCTCATCGGACAGCAATTCATGGTGAGAAACAGATTCGCGATGTGAGAGAGTCCCTATCGTTGCAGGATGTATTCTTTGTCTCTGAGGGTTGAGGGTTGTCACTGGGCATCGGTGGATACCGCGTTTTCAAGGCAATAAGCTGTGCGTCACGTGGTACGCAGGAGCCTGATCACGGCTTGTTTGGAATATTCTTCTGTGCTACTCGACACACGACACTGTGCCTGGAAATTTGAAGAAAATACTTCCAAATAGAATATATTAGTTACTTTATTTCAGGGACTTTTTTAGAATCTTTAGGCCAAAATGTAGTTGCAAGTCGACAGATCCGACTTAACATATTTATCGCCACACCTGCATAGCCTTATACAGAAAGTTAACTTGGGACGATTTATGCGTAACCCTCCAAGCTTGGCCTACAATATTCCATCAAAATATTCAAAATATAAGAGGAAGTATATTATTCCTTCCATCTGATTCTCCAGAATATTTTATCTTTATCTAGGTGTTGGAGGATCTCCAAACGCAGCAAAGGTGAATTGTATCAACCACAGGAGTTGAGACTTTGGAGGAATGATCCTAGTCAATAATCCAGCTGGTCAGAGTCCTTTCCCATTGTAAGCTCCAATATTCGGTCGGTCCACGGGAGACACTGCATTATTCCAGAAGTCTCGCCCTCCATTCTCCTCTACAACAACTCCTTGGAGTAAAGCAGGGCTTTGGGATCGCAGTCGATACCCATCGACCGAGTCGATGCTGTCTTTCCCGGTCCCCGGATTGATGAAATGCGGATCTCCCGTGGTCCCCGCCGTATCATCTGGTTTCGACACAGTCTGGAACAGATTTGCACGCCATTCAATTGATTCACCCGTCGGCAGGGTCGAATCAGCTGTACCAACCCAGATGTTGTTGGACAGGTTCGTCTGCGGCGGGACCGCTATCTCAAAGTCCTTATTCGGGCAGTAGACGACGTTGTTGTAGAACTCCATTTCCACATTGTCTCCGTTACTATACATACGACAGTCATTCTGGAAGATATTGTACCGGATAATTTGCTTAGCGCCGCCGGGCGTACCACAGCCATCGCAATTCAAAAAGATCCCCCCGGCATTGTCATGACTGTAGTTATATTCAACGGTGCAAGTGCCTTCGTTACCCCAATCGCAGTCAAAGGCCTCGCTGTCGATCAAGGACATAAGCGAGTCATGAACCGCGTTAAATCGCATCACCGCGTCGCGGCAACCAAGAACCCAAATTCCAGCGAAGTTGCCGCCAGTCCAGGGATATTTTCCATGGCCGAGGTACCCGCAGAGATTGCCTTCGATCAACGGCGAGGCTCCGTACGAAACCACGATTCCATCTCCTCCAACGTAGGATATATTGTTATTCCACACATGGGTATCTTGTCCACGGTTGTCCATCTGGCCCACACGGACTTTGATGCCGCCGCCACCGCAGTCATAGACCGTGTTGTTGTATACCTGAACGTCGTCGTATCGGCTATGATGCTCGGTGCCGTTTACCAGGATCCCACCGGAGGCGACGAACGCGTTCGCATGTGTGGCCTTGTTGGTCTCCCCGGCGACGTTGTAAACCGTCACGTCGTGGATGTATAGGCCCCGGTGGACCGAGCCGTCGTCCGAGGTTGCGAGGATCCCGCGGCGCCAGGCGATCTTGGGAGCGGGATTGATCACCGCGATCTTGGAGATATCCCAATAGTCCTGGTTGGTGAGGCGGACGGCCTCGGTCGCACCCGAGCCATTTATGATGGGCAGGGGCCCGTCGCCGTAGCTTGAAAGCATAATGGGCTTCTTTTGGGTGCCGCTGCCCTGCGGCGACAAGGTCCCGAAGCATGTAGTACCTGCTTTGACACTAAGTGTGTCTCCAGCGCCGAGAACAGCTTGATTGGCCTCATCCAGAGAGTTGAACGGATGGGAGTGACTACCGTCGCCACCACTGGATGTCGAGCTGCAGTCTAGGTATACATCATTTGCAGAGGAGAATTGCAGGAGGATTGTGACAAGAGCAATTAAGCTACCATATCGCAAAGCTCGAGTGGTAACCATTGTCATAAACAAAAGGAGACTCCTAGCTTTCTAGAGATCTATGTGAGCCGCAAAGGGACGATCGTAACCCATTGTATAATATAACTATATGTGGAAGTAAGACCCACTAATGCTACGCAAACAGTCACAAAAACCTGGCTTCACTCGGGGGATTCTTCTGGCCGACATGATTTCATGATCGGTGCAATCCTTCCGCCGCCTCCCCGCACGATCGTCGCCTATCCAAACCACGGCTCGGGAGTAGATAGAGATTCTTACTCGAAAATAATGAAGTATAGAATGGGCCGTAGAATAAATAGTACCCGTTACAGGGGCTCGAGGCTACCAATCCGCTTGACAAAACCACACGGTCTGTTAGTCTGCCATCATGGCATTATGGGAATCCTTTTCGCTGCTTATTGCTACTTTTATCCAAACAGCAATCTCTGTGCCTACGACCAACTTAGTACCGTCCAAATGGGTTCATCCCGGAGCAATGGTAAGCCAATCTCAACTGGACTTCGTCAAGAACAAAGTAATACACGGCGAGCAACCGTGGATGGAGGCGTACGATGCCCTGCTCAAAGATGAACATGTCGCCAACCCACAGGATCCGTCACCACACGTTATTGTCGAATGTGGCCCAACTTCGAACCCAGACGTTGGATGTACTGCCGAACGCAAAGATTCTTTAGCAGCGTACGCGAATGCGCTGGCGTGGGCGATTAACGGGACCACGGCGTACGCTCAACAGGCGATTCACATTATGGACTCCTATTCGTCCACTATCAAAGGCCATAATAATTCCAATGCACCCTTGCAATCGGGCTGGGTTGGCTCTGTGTGGGCGCGAACGGCTGAGATTATTCGACATACGAATGCTGGGTGGACAGATGCTGGTATCCGACAGTTTGAAGATATGCTACGCAATGTCTACATGCCGTTGACGGTCAATGGAACGGACCACAATGTGGCAAACTGGGAGCTAGGTAAGTTATCAATCAACTATTGACTCTTAAAGACAGGAGATTGATGTAGCCTTACAACAGTTATGACGGAAGCGGCCATTATGATGGCCGTATTCCTCGAGGATTCGGACGCGTACAACACCGCCATGAAGTGGTTCTTGAAGCGAGTCCCTGCCACCGTGTACCTGACAAGCGATGGAGAGTACCCAGTTGTAGCCCGAGGGCAGAGTTCCTCGTCGGTTGCAATTATTGCTTGGTGGTTCAATCAAACCACATTCAGGGAGAATGGACAGGCTCAGGAAACCTGTAGGGATCTCGAACACACCGGATATTCCTTAGCATCCATGGCGCATGTTGCTGAGACCTCCCGCATTCAAGGCACTGACCTCTACGAGACAGGTTTGGGAACGAGACTGCAGTATGGACTAGAGTTCCATTCGCAATTTGCAGATGGGACGGCCATACCTTCCTGGCTATGCGAAGGAGAGCTGAAGTTGGCATTGGGACCCGTTACGGAAGTTGGACTCAATGCACTGTCGTTCAGAAAGGGTATCGAGATGCCCAAGACCGAGAAATTGACTGTGAAGCAGCGGCCTGCGAAGAATAACGGGCTCTTTGTCGCATATGAAACCTTGACGCATGCACATAACGGTGCTTGATTATTGCCCTTGCCCGATCAGGGGGAGAGAGGTCCATTAGTACAACGTACATTTCTCCTCTATGAACATACATCTCTGTAATTCCATTGGGAATAGTGATAAGCAATACAGTAATATAGAGTATCATGTTCATACCCTTGAGAAACCCAGCGGAGATAGCGAAATGGGAGCTGCTTGTTGGATGACCGCGAGATGCTAAGAAAGGATTAAGTCAATCGAGAAACTAGACGATTCATCCCCTTAATTACATATCTAATTGAAACGACTAAACTAAGCCCATGTCTAATAGGCGATTTCCAAGCTCAAGAAAGTAGTAATCTGCATACACCAGGCCATGGTCCCAATGACGATCTGCATGATTAGCATTGTAATTCGCAGTCGATTTCTCCAATACTGCCTCAAAGCGGCAGCCATTTCCAACTTCCCGTGTTGCGATCCGTATCTTACCATCCTGTTCAGAAAGACTCAACTGCATCTCATCCCGATTATACGCCAGTGCAACAGTGTCTTTTGCGATCGCAAGCGTATATTCTAGATACCGTTTGGCCGTGGCATGGTCGCCCATGCCTGTTAGTTGTCCGTATAGAATGAGTATGCCATTGGCGGCGATTAATCCTGCAGAAACATCCCGTAGAGGGCATTGTTCACCGTTCGTGCTTGTGTTGGTAATGGGCGCATCGAAATCCCAAAGTGGGACGTAACGCCCTCGACCTCCCTGTTCCACAATTGATGGCGATGTCTCCATGCGGAAAATGAAATAGTCTGCGAGGCTCTTGGCAGCGTTGAGGTGTTCCTGTCGTTTGGTCCACGCAAAGGTTTGAGCGTATCCCAAGATTGCCCATGCTTGACCACGGGCCCACGTCGAGTTGTCGGAGTAGCCTTGCGCGGTGAGCTTCTGCTTCACAGCCCCGTTCTGCGTTGGAGAGAAGTTCACAACATGATATGTAGAGTAGAAGGTCTCTCCGTCGGGCCCGAATTCCGGCCGGAGATGACTGGACAGGAGGGTGGAAGCATGAGTTTCGGCGATGGAAAGGAGACGTTTAGAGCGGAGATAGTTTCCGGCGTAGAAGAGGAGGTCAAGATCTAGAGTAAGACATGTTAGTAGAACGTGGGGACAGATTCGTCTCCAGTAGACTACACTCACTGCAGAGACTATCAATGATCACCAGGAAATCATCCTCCATGCTCGTGATCTCGTGACACGCATTGGAAAATCGATCCCAGCTCCGGATGGCGCCGACTTGCTCGTCAAACCTACTGGCAAGGTTTTCCGCTGCAGTAAGGACAGACTCTAGGCTCCTTTTGCTCCCGAAGAGCTCCCAGTCTCTTTGGAGGGCAGGTTGGATGATAAACCCGAGGTCATGGGTATCCTTGCGAAAAGACATAGCGTGCAAGGGCTCGGACCATTTCCCGCACAGGGTGGTAATGTGAGAAACAAGGATATCATGGATATGAACTCCTCTGGTCGCAGTTCCGGTGCACGCCTCCTGTGGTCCCTTCGAGAGGATTGATAGGCCGGACAAACTCGCTCCTGGATGCTTCCTCATGCGTTCAAGCAAACAATAAAGGCTGCCAGGGAAAAACCCGCAAGTCCAGAACTCGGCGTCTCGACATCTGTAGACTCCCTGATTGGTACCCGTTTGTGGCACAGTCTCTGGAAAGCGTATAGGAGAGCCCTGAAGAAATCAGAATCAGAACTGCGCTTGATGACAGTGATTGGCAATTTAGTTAGTGCTCACATCGCGTTCAAGGAGCGCTTCGGCAACGTCGATGAGCTTTGCGATGTTGTTTTCTCGAAAAAGGAATGCAAGCTCCGTTCTGAGATCACTATCTCTTGTCTTCGGAGAATATAGCGGTTTAGTCACTTCATTGTACGTCGGTCTACTCTCGATGTCAGGAGAGGAGCCCAGGATATGAGGTGCCATAGCAACGGGGGAATCCAACAGATATTGTAAAATGGGTAATGAGTTTCGAAGGACTGGTCAAGGAGAGGTCATTCAATATTTCAACTTCTGGACTTTTAAGTGAAAGGGTCCTTTGTATCCGCATCTGAGGCCGATACGCAGCTCGGGTGGATCCCTCGCCCGACGCCCGAGCCGATGAAGTAGATGCATGGATTGTATCCATGTTATGCGTAGAAATAGATGTGCAAAAGAACATATTACGTTCACGATATCGCGCCTTCGGAAGAGAAAATTTTTGACTACCTTTTAGCGCTGCGATCACTAGGTATCTCTGATCATATAGTGTACATTGAGTGCTACAGAGTAAATGAGTCCTGGAAGCTTATAATCCTATCCATATCCAAATACTGCGGGTCCAAGAGGAAGTTGGACAACGCCGCAAAGCTCTCTGAGCCATCCCCGAGGGGTGAAGTTACATGAGCGGGTGGAAACAGATCATCCAATGCTGTATGAGGCCCGGCTTCAGTGCGATATACATGCGCAGTACGCAGTGGAGCCACGCCTGACTGGTCCAACGCCGGGTTCCCATTCCAATGCCTTGCACTTCTAATAGGTGATGATGCGCCCTGTTGCGACCCAAATGTGTGATTGCCGACGTTGTTCTGATTCGATGTCTGTGCCGAAGGACTGCTATTCATATAATGAGACCGGGTGCCATTTACTGGTATTATACTGTGTCGCTGTTGGGCACGCCGTTCCCTGAGCCATTGGCTCTCACCCAAGGTAGCCGGTGGGCTGCGAAGCCCAAGGGCAAAGCATACCTCTCTGGCGTAGCCTAGTGCGTTCAATTCAAAGGGCTGGGTGTGCTTGCATAGATCCTGCAGACTTTGAAGCTGAGCAAGAAGGGCCTCGGCAAAGTTATCGGTTCCCGATTCCAATTTTAAGCTTGGGTTCGAGGAAACCCATCGTGCGGACATTTGCTGGAGGCTCCACAGAAGAATGCTGTATCCATCGGGAGGCTCCGTTCGATGGATTTGTGAATGTACTTAGTGGATACAGTTTAGTCGAATGAAACTTAAATGTCCTTCGTGAACTTACCAAGCATAACCCGGGCGCTGACAAAAGCGCAAAATATGAACTGCGCATTGACAATGCCTACAAATGGTGTATACTGCAAGTATTTCTGTACAATGTTGGCCGTCTCCGATGCGGCGAGCTGGCACGTTTCGGCGCTGGCGATGCTTGCTTGCTTCAGCTTATCTACAAGATCAGCCTGCGGATAGGCAATACACTGGTGTAAAAGGATCATGGACGTATTATGCGTGATGTGGGCTAGAGTCAGATTCGGGTCCATATGCACGAAAGCAGGCTCCTTCGAAATATTCGAGTCTTTCCATCGCCGAGGAAGAAACATTTTCCAGCTAGAATCGTTCTTGGTGTCAGTATCGGTAAGCAGAGGGGTGTAACACGTAGCAGAAGTATGTACTGAATGAGTTGAAGATCCAATTCTTTGAATCGGGTTAACCAAGCGCTGAATTCCTGCTTGCATTGGAAGTTAACCGCTCGTTGAAGAAAGAACTTCACAACACGATTGAGCGATTCGGTCGCTTCAATGCAGTATGCAAAGGACCCAATGGTCGAAAGATCAACTGTACGGGCTGGGGATGTTGATAAAATAGGGGGCACGCGTTCAGATCTCGAGGGAGTATTATCAACGTCCTTCTCCTTATCGACAAGCGACGATAGATGCCCGGGGAGAAACGATATTGATTTTCCTAATTTCGCCATGGATGTGTCCCATATATTGAAGAAGGGAGTGGTGACTGGCTCCTCCTTAGCCCAGTAGGTGCCATCACTGGGTAGACGGAGTTTAACGTCCTCACTGCAGAGGCTCATGTTCCATCTGTAGAGTAAAGGTACATCGAGTTAGTACAGGACGCCCTATAAATGAAACAATCAATGCATTGCATACCCAGTAGTGAAGGAACAGAATCTGCATATCGGTTAGACAACAGTCAATATCAAGGTACAATCGACTGCCTACCGATCGAGCAAAAAGACATTCCAGAATACCCGTCGTCGCTCTTCCATTTCCGTCCATACTCTGGCGGACGGCAAATAATTGAAGGGCTGTACACACGGGCCCCTATGGTAGTCTTCGTCCGGTTCATTGTGGAGGCCCATGTATACCACGGCTCTACACAATGTGCCCACTATTGGCCACGCCTTGCCGGCGTTTCCATCACAGATATGAACGAAGACAATGATAACGAGCGACTGAGCACTTTCTACCGAAAGACTATCGATTCCTGACAGAACTACAATGTCTCGAGACCTCTGCAGTGCATCTGGATGGGATTGTAGCCACTCTGTAGCAAGTCTCTCATTTACGACATATCGTAAGGCACATACCATCATAGCATGAAGTAGAGGGATGAGCTTCGGTCTCTCAGCCGGATCCCGCAGGCGAGATCGAAAGAGTGGCTCATGGAGGATAGGGATAAATGGGTGAACCACGGAGAAGTACGCATCTAAGATACTGTTCATAAGATCGTCCGGGGGCAATTCCGCTCGAGAGGATTTGTCCCCGGAGTCTCTATTTTCTAGACATGGTCTTTTCCGTGGGGCTACCATGGTTGTATCCGGCGCTTCTTGACTGAGAGCAGACTCAGCAGAACCAAGAGCCTGGTCCGTAGCCGAGCGTTGTGACCCGGCCGAGAGGCTGTTGTTCTCCCTCCATTCCTCCATCATGGATGAGATCAAACTTCGGAGAGCAGTGACATCTTGAACGGTGCTTGCTGGGCTTGGGATTCCACTAACAGCTTGGTGCTGCGCGGTCAGTGCTTTCAATTGAACTTCTAGTGACTCTAATTTCATGGCATGAGCGTTCTTAACAGATCAGCATATAGCATGAGCCTGACTACATACCCACTCGTTGAGTCAAGGTTTGGATGATGCCAATCTTAACCCCCGGTTTATTCTTCGTGTAGTCATAGTGACAGGCCACACCTATCACTTTGTTAGAGTAGACACCTCAACAACCGGGAAGAGGGCAATCACCGAGACGCTGGCAACGAGTGCATGAGGGGATATCTCTAGAACACCGCAGCTTACGACTTCGGCATGACAAGCAAGCCGGCGTTTCGGTGTCTAGATTGGGAGGCACCGCGAGACCTCGGGTGTCGGGGGATTCCATCTTGGTGCAACTCACAATCCTAGCATAGAGTGACGCGAGGGAATTAAACCAGGTAGACGATGAGAGTCAATCCTCCCCCACCTCGAGCGGGGTTTAATTTGTTTAACTCGCCGATATTCTGGGGCAACTGTGGGGAAGGATCAAACTAGTGATACGACCTTCTCGGGCTAAAGAACCCTCCGATGTTACAGTCACCATGCATAGGAACAATAACTCTCCAACTGTAACCTTTGACCTTGGTTTCTTTTTGTTTGGATGTGATCCTCACGTAGATTGAGGGCATACCCTCTAACCGGACGACCCAGAGCAACTTTACTTGGAACTAATGCCACCTCTCAGTGGATTCTCCGACAACTTCTTTCGCGACAGGAATGATGTCCTTACCGCGGCAAGGGCTCTTGTCAAGGCGCTTGAACCGTATTTCTCTCCAGGAAATGCGCGGGTTCAAATACCCGTTCATTCTGGAGCCCATTTTGACGAAGCTGCGGCAGAGCTAGAAGGCTTCGCTCGGCCAATTTGGGCTGTCGCTGCTGCTGTCGCCGGATCAAATAGCCCAATAGACTCCGCCCTCAGTGAGTACACAAATCGCTTAGTATCAGGTCTAGCGAACGGAGTCAACCCAGCACATCCCGAGTACTGGGGCGCAATCGACAACTGGGATCAGCGCATGGTGGAAGCGGAGCCGATATCATTTGCGCTCCTTTTAGCTCCATCCAGATTCTATGCGCCATTATCCGCTGAGGGTCGAAGCCACCTGGCTAACTGGCTGTGGGGTCTGAATGGCAAAGTAATGCCTGAGAATAACTGGCGCTGGTTCAGGATCTTTTCAAACCTTGCCTTACATCGAGTATGCGGTGTCCCGTACAACGATGTCAAAGGTCTCATCCAGGAAGACTTTACCCTTCTAGACTCCTTTCAAATAGGCAGCGGTTGGTCGGCGGATGGCCCTTGGAGAAAGGATGCGACCGCCAGCCAGGAGACGTACGGTCGCCAGGCAGATTATTATTCGGGGAGCTTCGCCATTCAATTCAGTCAGTTGCTATATACGATATTTGCCGCAGATTCAGACCCTGAACGTGTATCTCAGTACATCCACCAAGCGAGACAATTCGCCAACCAGTTCTGGAGGTATTTCGACGAAGACGGGGCTTCCATTCCGTTCGGTCGATCTTTGACTTATCGATTTGCAATGGGCGCCTTTTATGCAGCATTTGCGCTGGCCAGAGCCTACGATGCTTCGAGCCCCTATACATCCCCGGGGTTCATTAAGGGAATGCTCCTTCGACATCTGCGATGGTGGGCAGCGCATTCCCAGCATCTCTTTGCGCTAGACGGCACTTTTACTATTGGCTATCTATACCCGAACATGTTTATGTGCGAGGACTACAATTCACCACAGTCACCGTACTGGGCGATGAAAAGCCTGCTCATACTAGCACTGGCGACCGATGATGACTTCTGGGCGGTTGACGAGCTCCCTCATGCCTTGACTTCGAACGGTGGGAGACGTTCGCTCGTGTCAGGGGTCCATTTGCTGTCAGCCCCATTCCAGATCCTCTGTGACCATCCAGCAGGTCAGCATCACTTCATGCTTTCCGGCGGCCAATTTTGTCTCTGGCCTTTAAAAGCGACGCAAGCGAAGTACAGCAAGTTTGCATATTCCTCGGCATTCGGATTCAGTGTGCCGACGGGGCCTCTACTCACTCAGCTCGCGCCCGATAACGCTCTCACTCTGAGTCGGGATGAGGGGGAAAGCTGGACCACTCGATGGCAGACCATTGGAAGCCCCAGAGTTGAGAAATTGATGGTCAACAGCAGGGAGCTCCAATGTTTATGCAGTATCTGGAAGCCATGGCGATCGGTGGGTATCGAGGTTCAAACTCTCCTCATTCCTTCCTGTGACCATTGGCCGGATTGGCATATTAGAGTCCACCGCATTCGCAACACTCGGGAAGGCTCATCCCAGGCTGAAAAGGTCAGACTGGTTGAAGGAGCCTTCGCGATACCAGCCAAACAGCCACGTCAAATGCACATCTTACCGGAGGATTGGGGCACAACATCAGACGATGCGAATGTATCCTTCGGAAGTACTATGGAAAGCAACACAGGCGCCCTCGTAATTGGGAACGGCGACATTAGTGGCATAAGGAACTTGATATCTTCGGGGGGTTCACTAGAAGGTAAAGTGCTCAAACCAGATCCAAACACGAATTTGATGGCGTCCCGAACATTGATACCGACTATGCATCATGAAATCCACATCACACCTGGGTCTGATGTAGTCATTGCTACTGCTGTATTTGCTATTGCTAAGGGAAAGAGACGCTTCAGCCGCGAGGAACTTTATGAGAGGTGGCGCCAACATCCTCAGTTGCCAGATGAGGCATTGACCTGTTAAAGTAATATTCGCGATCAGAGAGATTGCTCAATAATACACTATTGAATATTTCAATTTCATAGTCATTTTCTTACCTTTGCCCGCGTTGAACAATAACCCATTTAGAATACATAGGCTGGTTACGGCGACGTATCGCCCTATTTGCGTACCCTAAATCGCGCAATTGAAGTCACAGAGCAGTAAATCAACATGCAGGCGAAACAGCACAGTAGGTCTAGCCTCACAGCAAATACCTGTAGTCTTGAAAACATTTCTGTCCGTGGCCAACAGTCGACCTAACTGTTGAATAGGTCCAAGCACTAGGCGACATGCAGTCCCCATGGCCCAACGATCGAGAAGAGAATCCATTCAGTGGCTTAGGTCCTTTTGTGAGCTCAATGGTTCTCAGTACATCCTGCCACCGAGTCCGTGATAGACATCGGAGGATGTCTTCGCCCGAGGGACGGGGGATTCCCCGCCCGAATATCAATTCGCTTTAGGGTTCAGAATTTGGTGGAGAAAACGTGGCCATGGGCCCATTCCGATAGTGATATTTTAGTACCCCAGATTAAGCATCTTGAGATATCGCCAGGGCCAATAAATAGGGGGCGATGGCTCTTATGACATAGAACATAATCCGAATGGAATCGGCAAGCAGTCATTAAGCTAATTTCGTTATGGCGATCTCCCATCTCAATAACAAAGAAATTGTCGACCAGAAATTTTCAATCAAGACGATAACAAGTAAGAAAGAAGAGCCTCCCAGTCGCCAGGCTCTGATTGAGGCTCTTCAAGCTGAGAGACCGTCGCCATGGGCCCCGAATTTAAGGAAACTGTACATTTTCTGCGTGATCGCTTTCCTTTGTTCGACAATGAACGGTCTGTACGACCTCGTAGCATATAGGAATCAGAGGCATGCGCTAATTGGTGAGTAGGTTATGACGGGTCGATCTTTGGATCACTTCCTGCCCTGGAGTCGTTCCGGGATCAGTTTGGAGTTGAGAAAAACGGCGCGAAGATCGGTTATATCTCCGCCATGTATACCGTTGGAGGGATCTGCTCATTGCCATTTAGTGGGCCTGCGTGCGACTTCCGCGGCCGACGATGGGGTACCTTCGTGGGTTGCCTTATTGTGGTGGCTTGCACTTTCCTCTCTGCTCTCTCTCATGAAGTGCCTCAATTTGTGGCTGGACGTTTCTTCCTCGGGTTCGGCGTGAATATCGTGCGATCTACCAGCTCTATCTGGTGCGCCGAAGTCTGCCCCCCGGCATATCGTGGCATCATCATGGCGTTCTATAACTGCACCTATGCGGTTGGGTCGCTCATTGCCGCCGGGGTGACCAGAGGGTCCGCGGGATACGCAGGCAATAAGTCCTGGCAAATTCCCTTATGGTGTCAGATGATCTGCCCTGGAATTGTGCTCCTGACGGTCCTCTTCTTCCCCGAATCTCCTCGGTGGCTCTATTCCCACGGCAAGGAAGAGCAAGCGATGGAATTCCTAACGAGATACCACGGCGAAGGCAATCCCGCCCATCCTCTCGTGCAACTACAACTGCAGGAGTACCGGGAATTCATATCTCTGTCTGGTTCAGACAAACGCTGGTGGGACTTTCGCGACTTCTACACGACCAAAGCTGGACGATGGAGGTTCACCAACGCTTTGATCACGGGCATCTGGGGCCAATGCTCGGGCAACGCGGTGGTCACCTACTATCTCCCCGCCATGCTTCTGACCACCGGCATTACCGACTCGAACCAAGTCCTGAATGTGAATCTCGGCTACACCGTAGTCTCCACTGTTGCGTCCTACCTTGGAGCCAGCCAGATTGAGAGAATAGGTCGCCGACCGACCATCATCGGGACCGCCATTGCATGTTCCATTTGCTTCGCCTGTATTACGATCGGCTCCGGCGTGTTTGCTCATACTCAGGCGACCCCAGCGGCCTCTGCTGGGATTGCATTCATCTTTATCTTCGGATTCTGCTACAACTTCGGCATGACGCCTCTTCAGGCACTTTATCCGGTTGAGGCCCTCTCGTATGAGACGCGTGGCAAAGGGGTCGGGCTTGCGTTCTCCATTGCACACGGATTCACCTTGCTGAATCAATTTTGCTTTCCGGTGGCGCTCAAGAACATTGGCTGGTACACGTATATTGTCTTCATTGTGTGGGATCTGTTCGAAGCCGCCGTCAGCTATGTTTTCTCCGTCGAGACTAAGGGGCGTACCTTGGAGGAGCTATCCGAGATCTTTGAGAGTCCCAATCCCGTCAAGGCATCTCTCCAAAAAGCGCTCTAGCGCACAGTACTTCCTTTAATTCCGGAGGGAAATGATTTTTGTTCATTTTAGATAGTGTATAGGACCTTTCCAGCTCGAATTTCCTTGCCGTGAAAGGGCAGCGCCTCGGATCTAACCTGGTCAATACACATCGTGTAAATGATACTACAAGCGAGTGGCCAAAATTCGTACAGCTTTGTCAGATTTCCCCTCTTACCTGCTATGTTACAGTACTTTCTTGGTGCTAGATTCCGAGCTTGTAGGACAATATGACGGCTAGTTCAGCAAGAGCATAGGTAGGGAATACATGATAGCGAGCTTAGTTACAAAGGTACAGATCATGAGACGCAAGGGAAAAACCGCGATTCTCAAAGAGTAGACCGATCGAGTTCAGAGACATGGGTTAAAGACAAGATGCTTATTCACTCTGAAGGCCGTAGATAGAAATCAATAACTAAGATCGTGACTGTTTTCACCGACCAATTTCGAAGGCTCTGTTCCCCCGGTGCTTTGGGTCGCCGGGAATGGTGTCCACCTTCTTCTGATCGTCGTCCCCAACGTCAGAAACAATAGTTCTTGATAAATTTGTCGTCACGACCTGTGCCTCGGTAGGTCCTTCTTTCCACTCGAGCCTGTTCCCATTCTGGAGGAAGATTATAGTGTAACCGTCATACTTCGCGTCCACGTTTGCTTCATAGTACTGAGATCGGACACTGTGATAACCACTAAACAACGCCTTATCGCTCCCCTTTGCAGAGACGACGATCCTCAAAACTAGTTGTATTTGACTAAACTTGACTTCATTGATCGTATGTAGACGACCCGGGGGGTATGGATAGGAAGAAGACGAACGAAGGCGGTGTCAAGGGGCGGTCAATTTGATTTCCTGACAGTACTCCATGTCCATTTGGTAGTATTTGTGGGTGGGGGGGGGGCATTTTGATGGTGTCTTGCCATGTCAGTGTGTCCGCTTGGAATACGTATGGCTCTTGCTAGTTTGGTGACTCGCGCCGAATTCCACTGATTTTTTCATGGATCACAGGATGCTATACTCCGTTTCGTTTATGATCTTAACCATTCACCGTGCAGGAATCGGCGATTTTGGTCCGCATCGGTGGTTGACTTCGTCCGGATGATGGCCTTGACTGCTTCAGTGTCACTGCCTCGATTGTCCGTATGAGCGGGACCAAACTCAACCAGATTGATTAAGCGGTCGTCGGGCATTTTGGTGATGACTAGCTTTCTTGTGATCTTTGAGATATCGGTGATGAAGATCGGGTAGACGACAGCCCGTAGAACGTCATTGGACTTGGTGGGATCTTTTCCAAACGGTGACATTGACTCCCCGAAGCAGCTCACTGCCAGCGACACATTCTCCTTTGTGTTTCGAAGCCACACCAACCCGAAAGTCTTGTTTTTTGTCTGTCCTGATATGAGTGAGTCGGTATTCCTTGCCTTTACAGGCCCAGTTCACCACCCAAGACGTAATCACTTCGCCTTTCTTAAGATTGAGGACGTGGTGACCATGGAAGTTGAGGCCGATCATGCCGGATGTCTCCCCATTGTGGTAGATGATTCGAATTATGGCCCTAAAGGAGGCCATGACCCTTGGCCCAGACTTCCACCTGGGAGACAAGAGGGCACGATCCATCTTCAGGACCCGTTAACTTCTTTATATAGTCCATAGTAATGTTATCCCAACCTTGTGGCTCCATACTTTCGGGTATCCTATGTGATCTTAGGGAGAGCAACAAGAGAACGACGGAGAGAGACGGGATCAAAACGATAATTGGAAACTCTCTGGATGAATGTGAAACCTTGAAGCGGATGGTCTTCGCGGTCCCCTTTTATTATGGGAGGCTTCCCCCTCCATAACAAAAATTCTCAGGGTCGTCCACGTAGCGTATCGCCGAATTTTCCCCGTGGCATATCCTACCAGCTAATCGAAATCTCTATCGAAACGAAAAGCCAGACACGCAGAGGGGGCCGTGCGCCAGAAACGTAGTGCAGCATAACATGACTCAATCCCGAATTGAAGAAATACTACTATATAGCACATACCCTTTCGCAGGAAGATATCAGTGATGTGATTGGCTGATTGCCCCTGAACGGGATACGGATGATCACATATTACAATCTAGTAACTAACTAAACGTCGGTAAGCGACCCGCACCCCAACCGCCATATACAAAATTAAAATAGTCAAAACACCATGAATTCAGACTTCTATATAAGGATGAGTAGTTCTATCGATTCGGGCAGCGGGTAGCTTTATGACCCTGTATACCATAGCCAGAACATTTGAATGGGGCGCGTTTAGAAGCCGATTCAGTAGGTAAGGCCCTATCTGCCTGTTTAGAAGGATTCGGGCTTCAGATACTGATGTGTCTTCTTTAAAAGTAATCTGTTTAGTAGAACGCTTTTGCTTTTTAGCCTGCTTTTCATGTGTAGCCTGATATTGCTCAAGTTAATACTTAAATATTATTGTATTATGTATAGCTTGTTCAGCGCCTTTAATCATTTGCTTTAGGCCAGCTTTAATAGGCAAATCAGGACTGTGATACCGATTTTTAAGTAGCAGTTTAAAGCTTGATTCTGATTATTTCAACTGCTTAACTGTATGAGACATCCTAGGCGCTAAGCTGGACACTGAGCTGCCTTAACTGCTTAGTCTACTACCCAGAAGTGTAGGAGTCTTAAGCTGAACTGTCAGCTGAGATAGAACACACTCTGGACTTAGAGGAACTAGGCCAGTAGCTCTAAAAGCACTATAGATATTGCTGCTAGTAAAGGCCAGCCTATGGATCTTAGGATAGGCCTCCAAGTAATCAAGCTTATTAATATAATTAAGCCCGCAGCGCATTTTCAATTGAACTAGACTCCTGTACCCGCGTTTTAGAGGCGATAAAACAGTTATATCAAGTGATTGAAGCTTATTAAAAGCATGGGCAGGCATGCAGATTGGTATAATATCATTCTCTGCACAGTCTGATCAAACTAAGGCATTAGATGGCTATCGTGGCCATCTAGAATAAGTAAACGGTATTTTCCCACAGATCAGCCAGCAGTAAGAGGTAAAAATAATTCTGCAGTTAATATAGGTTAATCTCATTACTTATCCAGCTATTAGGACTGACCTTAATCCTCTAATTAGAAGGAACCTTGTTGTTCTTGTACCAGGCCTCTATATACACCTTGCCTTTAAAAATAATACCGGGAGGTAGAGCCCATCTATTAGAATTAATATATTCTATAGCAGTAATCTATTCCCAGTTCCCTGACCGCAATAAAAATGGCTTACCTGGTATATCAGATCTAGTAAGGGCTTTAGCTGCAGTTATTAGACCCATTGTAAACTCTGTTTTATTAAAATTATATATATTACTTGAAGCTATACTGTACTTCTGAATAACCTCATTTACCTGCTTAAATCAAGCACCTAGAACCTTAAGATCCTCTACTTTAGCATGTTAATAGTTGTAGCAACATGCAAAGCAGGTTTTGAGCTCAGGTATACACCTGGTAAAGTTGTATACCCATTTCTCCCCTACAGTAGTAGGGGGAGAAGTAGTATCACGCTTTGAAAGCAGGATATTGGCCATTTCTTATACGTGTGCAGGCTGAGGAGGTGCTCCACATTTATCTAGTAATAGAATCCATTCTTTAAGCGATTCCTCTTCACTGGTAGTCAATTTATAACTATTGGCATGAAATCGCCTTTAAAAGAGACTCCTCTTAGGTGACCACATAGTGTAGAAAAAGGTATATTAAAAGTCTGAGCTGCCTTCTTTACACCACAAATTTCATTGCTTTTTAAAGCTGATATAGCCAGCAGGATTCTGCCTTCCTGCTCAACGCGTGATTTTGATGGTTTAGGCATTTTTAGTGGTATGGCTGGTGTTTTAATCACCTAAGAAATTGAGGCTCGTTGAAAACGCGGTTGGGGTGCGGGTCGCTTACCGACTATGTTAGCTTATGTGCGGAATGTATAGTTGGCGCCTACTTCTAGAGTGGACCCATCGATAATCGGAACGGAGCTAATTTTCCGAACGTGGCCTGGTGTCTGTGCACAGTGACTTTAGGTGAAAGTTATTTAAGCTAATACCATCTATTTAATAATGTTACGGGACGAATAAGCTGTTCCAACTTAAGCGTGCCTATTGAACGAGAAGAAATAGCTAATTGACAGGAATAATACGATGTACGAAATATTTATAAGGCAAAGGCTTGGCAGCAAAGGCTTGGCATCAATGCCTTAGGCAGCGTCCCATGATATAGGCTGCCTGTAAGTCAGTCCCATAACATTAAAGAAACCAGCAGGAGAACACAAGACCAGAAATGAGCAGGTTGCAGGTATATACATCTGATTTAGATGATCAGCTTAATGAAAATAGAGAGGTAAGAATTTAACATAGCCAGGGAAGCTGTTAGGCGCACCTAACGCCTGCGGTTGATATAGTTGCACGTGCGGTCACGTGCTACCGGCTGCGGTAAGATCCTGACCGCACCCCAATAGCTTCAGAAACCAGTGATCAACCTCTGTACATGGTAGTAGATCGTTCAATGGAAACCTAGTCCCCTGCTCCTGCCACCTGCGGCCCTCTGAGCTGCAATTAACAGAAGCCATGGTAGTAGTGGGGGGAGGTACAAACTTTAAAAAAGATCGCCTGTTTTGAAACTTTTGGTGGTGGGGGTACTTCATCTGGCTTGCACGTGATCAGATCTGAATTAAGCAGCAGTTTTGTGACGCACCACCTAAAAAAGGACCCCAGCTCACCTGCAACCACTCAAGAAGTGCTGTATCTCTACAGGCTTGTATTCAGAAATTAGTTGTGTCTGATTCAGGTGGGGCGTTGAGATTTCTGAGTTTTTGGGAGCTCAGGATAAAATTCAGGAATATAGAAAGATATCTGGGTATCCCCCGAAGCTGTTTCTCCGTTCCGATTCTGAATCATGCGGAACTGTATCTCTCTTGATGCCATTTCTGTAAGGCATCCACATTTCATAACATATCGCCCTTCTACGCCTGGAAGAGGGGATGTAAAACTTCTTAGTTATCAAGCCAAAGTCAATATCTGGCAGATAATGTATATCTCATGATTGTTCTAGAATTGGAGGGGTCAGATCCCATGGAAACCCCGTAGAAGTCCACCCAAGCAGAAGGGTAGATCAACGGATGTGTGAAATATATATCTACACGTGTTGAACGACGGACCTTTATTTAGAATTATACCTTGTTAATCATACCGCGTTCATTCGAGCCCTACAAAATTCCCAGAAAATTACTCAAAACATGGTACATGATAGAATTATTTTGACTATATTTTATCGAAATATTTGTTATCCTTTCTAGGATATGAAAGAGCCTTGAAAACCAGGTAATGGAAAGCCCAAGGGTTGAACCCCCATTACTAATAGTTATCTGATCAACATTGGCTCTTAGTAATAACCGCGTGGACGTTCTATTGGTCGGGCCCAAAAACGTGATCAAAAACAAAGGGGATTCTTTATTTTACGGTGATCATTCTTTTATACATACATCCACCTACTTGGTGGTCCCAAGAAACATATTTCAGACCCCATCCGGGCTCTTGGCGTTAAATGGGCTACCTTTACATGGGGGTACACCAAGACAGATGGATACCAGCATAGCGATCTCTCGGCGAAGATGCTACAAGGGATGAGACACCGCATACCGTTGAGCTCAGGACGTGGTGCTGTTATTTTGCACATTCCAAACTCGAGCATTCTCGCACGATGAGCCGTTGGCGCAGTGATGGTAGATCGCGATGGAACTCGCGCCGCCGCAAAACTGAGAATCGTCTCCGGCGCATGGCATCTGGCAATTTCCCATAATCCCCTTTTTCGGGGCGCGATCGGCCGGAATGGTATTATCGCAGTAACATCTGTACCGAGAGGACAATTAGTGCGATTCGCTCAGTGAGAACGAGAGAAAGAGAGAACGACGTACTCAGAGGAATACTCCAAACCAGCGTAACGGTATCCGTGACCACTGCAGAAATCTACGCATCGCTCAACGGTCATGTTCTTGTCATTGGTGGAGGCGGCTTCCAAGGTGCGGTTGCTGAAGTCGTCCACTCCGCAGCCCACGTATTCCCATGGCTCCCTCTTGCCTGTAAGATCGGTAAAATATGATATTCCTTCCCCGATAGGGGTGACCACGCAAGGGACAGGCTGGGCCCGCTCAGGCCCGTAGGTGAGCGGATTGCAGCCGGGGAGCTGGTCAAGAGTGCCGTCGATCTGTTCATCAACGAGGGTTGGAAGCTTGCAAGCTTGGCATTCTTCATTCGTGAAGAAATCGAACACGGGCTTGTTGTCCGAGGTGACGCAGTCTTCGAGGCGGCCGCTATCGTTTGTGCACTGATCAATCGCCGTTTGGAGGACGTCGATATCCCACCCATTCACCTAAACCCCCCAGGTCAGCGTAATCAGATGACTGAAGCAGAGCTGAGAGATACATACAAAATCACCATGCATCCCAAAGCCGGTCGGATCACCATTTGCGAGGACGAACGGTTGGATGTTGCCATGCCAATCGGCCGCGAACAAGTTGGTCTGCCAAATGACCTCGAAAAAGAGGGAGACAAGATGGACCGGGTGAGTGTCCGGGCAGATCCCATTATCATAAGTGCCAGAGACCGGGTAGGCCATATGCGATTGGTGATCCGGGGAATCCAAGTTCTTGCCATCCCAGCAGGAAGGGAAGAATATTTGTACGCGGAGCCCATCCGGGCAGTTGTAATCGGGGAACCCGTTCGTTTCTGGCTTTGCCGGCCCATTATAATCCAGACAGGCGTAGCTCACGGCCTGTGATTCAAAATCCGCGGTGTAATTTCGCTTGAAGGGATCGCCGGCAAGCATGCGGAAGCCTCTGGGGAAGGCGTAGAGCTTATCGTTATTTTGGCCAGGGCGCTGCCTGTAGGATTAATATTAGCAGGACTCTGCCAGCCACTGATTGCCACTATCTCTCCCTCTCCCTTTGAGTTGCGAAGCAAAAAAGGCGCGTGGGAGGAGGATGTAGATTACGTACAAATAATACACAGTCATACCTCCAGCAGCACCGTCACCATCGCCTCCCTGAGGAACGCTGATAAAGCTGCCATTGGGTGCATGGTAGTACAACGTGGGCGTCCAATAATTGGAAAGGTCTTGTTTAATGGGACACGAAGAGCATTCAGAGGATCGAGCACTCTCGTAGTCCATAGAAAACGCGAAAGCGTTCCCCCCTGAAATGGTGTGAACGTGTCCGCCAACAGTGCCGGGGTTCACGATGGGATCGGCGCGTTCCTGCACAAGGCGGCTAGGACAAGGCATGCGAAAGAAAGCAGAGGTCGGGCTGGCTCCTAGGGCGAGTACCCCAAGGAACATCACCTTCCCAGCGTTAAGGAGCATGTTGTCGCGCTGACCGAGGAAGTGGACAAGGATGTGAGTGCCTCAGCTATCCTAGAGCAGCCAGCTGCTAAAGAGAAGGAGAAAAATTACAGAAAGGAACAAATAGAGTAAAGAGAAAAGGGAGAGCAAGAGACTGGAGAAAAGGAGCGACTGGGAAAAGGAATGTCGGATATAGGGAAAGTAGACCCCAAGGCAAACGAGATGTTGAATAGCCATTATGAGGTTAAATATTGATACTCGGTAGTTCAATTTTGATGCTGCGGAATTCTATTTCTCCCATACTATGTTCACTAATCCCCACTGCATGGGGTTGCATTGAGCATAATGGCAGTGCCGAAGTGGAGACGATCGTGGAGCCGTTTGTCTAAGTCTATTTGAAACACACTTGGCGTACTCTAGGATGGTTCATTGGCTGTCGGTGAGGCCGAAGGATTGACAAGAAGGACTCTGTAATCTTGTAACAACACCAGTTTCCGTTTTGGGTAAAAGCATCAAAGGGGGATAGAAACATCAGGGACCAGATATCTATACCTATCGATCCATTCCGGCTTCCAGACCCGTCGATGTCTTGCTGCCTGGGCAAGAAACAGCACCGAGCGATCCGAGATGTCTCAACTGGGGCGCTGACCGGATGGCATAAAAAGTCGTACGCGCCCTTGCTCTAGGTCGCTCAATCGTACCGTCCGCAATCATCTCTTCCTGTTCTAAACTGTCCGCAGACTCGAAATACACCTCTGCCGGCTCATTTCTATAGCGCTCATCAGGCACCATTTCTCTCTACTCACGGTACCGACTATGATTGCGGTCATAGCAGTCCTCGGGTTGACTGCTGTCGCCAATGCACACGTTGCTGCCTGGGCTAAGGGCATGTATTGCCTCGGTGGACCGTCCGACAATGACGATCAAAACACCAAAACGGCGGTTGACCCACTATACATGCTAGACAGCTCAGATTGGTGGTTTCAACACGACCGTGGTTGCGATAAATTTCCTCCAAAAGAGGGCGACATTCTCGAGCTTCCTGCAAATGGGAAGTTCACAGTTGAGCTGGCCCATAATCGAGCACAAACAACGCTCTCGTACAATGGCCAGTTCACCACGGACTGGCCGGATGGCAAGGAGCATCCCGAAGACTGGAAAGGCCCGGGCAATCCCCCTGACTGCATCCAGGATGATGGGGCCATGCATACCAGCAATCAGTCTATGGCAGCCGGTACTGCGTTTGCGATTAGCTATAACACTGATTTGGCTCAAGTCACTATGGAGAACCTTGTTGTCTTCAGTGTTCTCGAACAGTGAGTTCTTGCCCCTGACAACTGCGACCAGCATATACATCGCATTGTTAACCAGCATATTCTCCCGAAGTACCCCCTGGAAACGGCTGGCAACGTATGAGGCGCCCGATCTCCCGGCTTGCCCAACTGCTGGCTGTACCTGTGCATGGCTTTGGGTAAGTCCCTACGAGACGGGATAATATACTGAATGAGAGGACTAATAATGATGGGCGATGCGCTATGTAGGTCCCCAAGGGCTGCGGACAGCCTAATATGTGAGTTCTGGACCTAACCATGGCCTTCGGTCTAATTTGATGTCAACTAACCTGTGCGGTAAGGTATATGCAAGGATTCCGATGCAACGTTACAGGAGCGAGCTCTTCTAAGGCTCTTGCACCGGCAAAAGCTCCGATATACTGTGAAGGCGACTCATCCAAGTGTGTCCGAGGGGCGAAGCAGATGATCGCATGGAACCGTCAGTACCGGAACTTGAAGTAACGACTTGTCCTATTGCTGACAATATCTTCGACTAGAAAAATCGGGAAACAACGTCGAGCCACCCATTGGGGTTACGCCAACGTACAGTGAATCGTGGGGCTGGCCAAACGGTAGGACTTCTTATATACCCATGGGTGAGCTGGTCGCTGATCTGCCACGAAATGTATAGGTGCACAACACGACATATTCGTTGCAGCGTAGTTACCTGTATATTCGTGTCTCTAGCACCATGTATAAGGTGTTTGGAAGGGGTTTAAGGCATCCTCGTAACCGAGAGAGGACCCACCAAGAGAACGAATAACACGGGCGTATATACGAAAGAGTGGATATTCTACGAAAACATCGTATAGGCCGCCAATGGATGTTGCCTTATTATTTCACCCCCTATTTAACAAACCCCCGATTACCAGCAATCAATTCGATGTATTCAAGGGCTACTAGTCGCCAAGTTCCGATATAATAGCTATGTACCTTCCCTGGAAGCTTGTTGTACTCATTATTAAAGACTTGGCTCTTGCGCTCCTTGAGGAGGGTCGCATAAGCGACGTATGCGACCTACTGTTAGTTTCGCGGGGAGCGCGGAGGGTTCTCGAGCCGTTGATTTATGAAGAGATCCACACAGATGGCAACTATCTCCTGCTTAGAGACGATCAGAAGGCTACGGATGCAAGATCGCCCCTTCTATGTCGCGCCATCTTGAGTCGCCCTGAGCTAGGGGCCTTTGTGAAAGTATTCTCACTGGAGGAATCCGAGGTGAGCTGGAGTGATGCGGAATCCGTGTCCAGTTCTGAAGAACCCCTTTTGGGGCCAGGAGAGCTGGATGCTGCCAGGAGCTTTGTGGAAAATAAATTCAGCCCCATCGAATTCAAAGAGCAGTGGCTTGAGAAGATCACAGACATGGATGAAGCAGCCATGCAAGGTCTTGTTTTGTGTCAGCTCCCATATTTAGTCTCCCTTACTCTCAAAGTCCATTCAGGGATGTTCGGGCACATAGGAACGTTTCTGCGGCTTCCGTGTCTCGAGCGGCTGAGCTTCATTGTCGATATGGGTAATTGGAAGCCCTGGAATAACCCATTTGAGCAACCCGAAGACATCCTGGAGCATATTCTTTCCGGCACGAGAAAGGTGAAAGAGTTGGTGTTCGAGGACAATCAGAATGTGTATAATTCAGTCACGTTTAATGCGTCCAAACTCAAGCGAATTCTCGACCAATATGTCTCTCAGACTGTTGAGGACCTCTCAATCGTCCTTACGATGAACGATGAGCGAGACTGGCGGCTTCCACAGGAGTTTACCCGCCTCTCGGGTGTATTTGGGAGTATGACGCATTTTACCAAGCTAAAGAGGCTCTCGATTCAACTTGAACTATTATTGGGAAGACCTTCGTCTAACCTATATCACCTCAAGGATGTGCTGCCCGATCAGTTACAACATCTAACCTGCTTCAGTATATATCCTTATGACGGTGCAGATGAGGAGCGCATCTGGGATTCGGAAAACTACATACCACAGTTCCGGATGCTGGCAAATGTAGCTCGTGAGAGTGGGAAATTTCCCCTACTGAGTCGGGTGTATATGGATCGATACCGCAAGGATGACTTCAACAAGTATAGCGGCCATCAACCTAGCTCTGGTGAATTTACCGATGATGTATTAGCCAACTCAAGGGTTACGTTTTCCTGGTATTGACCAGCATTTAGAGCTATGTTTTAGGTAGCAGAATCAATTTCTTTCTTTCTTTCTTTCTTCTTTTCCCAGAAAGGTCCCCCTAGTCTCGTTGTATTATCCGCCATGTGTGCCTATTTTGAGTATCACTCTATCATAGCTTTGGCTTATCTAATGTATGATTGGCCGCACCCAATTAGCGTATGAATTGTCCAATAATGTCCTGGGAAAAATCTGACTGAGTATGTTGAATATAACGTCCAGATTTGCTTCAGGTCCTAAAGGAAGGACGCTATTCCGGGCTATTATTCCTGAAGATTACAGGGTCCGCTCTCCATATCGGTGTGGAAATGGGTACCTGGTGTATATTGGTTGGTATATACTGTACAAACGGATAGATGTTGTACAAAACTTTACACTAGCCCTGATTTCTAATCCTGTCTCGGCCGCAGAAATGTGATGTTTGGCAGGATCCATTCACGATTGTTTGTCCTTGCCACGTAAGCGCCCAAATCCCAACGTCAGAGACCAACTTAGCTGTACAGGATGACGAGCTCTGCTGATACCCTTAAGCCCATCGTAGATATTCTTAATTCGGTGATCTCTCATCATGTTCTACAATCTCGTGGGTTGCATAAAAGTCATACTAAGTTCCGACCTCCGTAAAAGACCCCGAGGAGTGCGGATCTACACAGCATTGAAATGTGACAGGAGAGAGATGTTGCTACCACCTGGGGGTTAAGCAATGAAAAGAATATCGCCTAGCTCTTGACAAGGGAAGTGGCTCTGTATGCAAACTGAGAACGTAGGGGTCGTCGATAACTACGGTCTCCCCGAAAGGTCGTATCTGCTGCCACGACTGACATGACGCGGATATCCGATACCTAGATTGTATACTACAATCCATGACACGGTGTGGAGTTTCTGGATTGATGTTCGCCATGCTTGAGACTTTTCTCTTAAGCGGATATATGCGCAGTTGCTTTGGGGTTTCCACTATACCGTGGTGAGACAATCCTGCGATGCTTGCCGCGTTTGGCGCATGCATTCCTAGCTGTGGAAGGACCCTCTAGACCCTCCTCCCCCTCTTCTTCTTCTTTTTTTTATTTCAATTTTTTAAATAGATGCTTTCCTCTGCGGAGAAAGGCTGAGTGTTGTGGGCTATCCACCGTTGCATGCTATCTAGGTAACACTAGACCTACACATATCTTCGCCTCCCTTTATGGTAAGATTGACGCCTAGGGAAGATTTTTTCAGATAATGTAATCCTAATAGTCTGAGTCGGGAGGCTTCCGTCGCATTAATGAGAAGAAGAGACTAAAGGGAAGAGACTAAACTATGGCTTTACATTTGGGAGAACGTTGAAAAAAACGTAGGCTGTACTAGGTGTACGGTACGTAATGACGGTATTACCATACATACCGGGAAATTTGCTGATACATTAGGAGACTGGGTTTTATCTGATCATCTGATAAAGGGATAGCACGAAATCCTGCACAAGAATTTCAATCTAATAGGGGCCCTCTCTTACGTAAGAAATGGCTATCATGCTACTGATCCAGATTACCTAGGGAAATGCCAGGCGGGATTCGGAGTACATGGGCGAAAGCGATGTTGGGTGAGGCCCCCCACCGAGAACGAGGGGTGCAGGGTTCTTTACTCTTTCTTCTGCCCTTCATTGATCCCGCATTGTAGTGATCAATCGTGTCCCTGGTCCACAGCACGATGTCAGCATCTGAAGCTTCAAAGGGCAATCAGTCGGAGGGAGCCACGGAGAAGGAGGAGCAAGGGCGGACTGTAGTATGGCTACCCTGCCCTACCTTCCAGAGAATAAAGCTCTTCTCTGCAGAAACCACTGACTGAGCAATAGAACCACCTAGTGTCTCGAGCCATCCGCAAGTGCAAGGATCTCAGAACCGTGTTTTCCTTCTTCCGCTTGCTCTTCTCGCTGAATTATACCGTCGTCGATATCCTGCTCATCAGCGTGGGAACCTTCTTTGCCATTGCAGCAGGAGTCCCGGAGCCATTACTCGGTATTGTTCTCGGCCAACTGATAAATGAGCTCAACGGTGTCGCTTGCTCGGCAACGCAGTATGACCCTTCCTCCGTCCGGACGAAAGTTCTCTACCTCATCTATATCACCATCTTCAATTTCGCTAGTATCTACATATATGCGGCGTGTTGGGCTCTGGTGAGCGAGCGCCTGGCTCTCCGCTATCGCAAAGCGTACTTTCGCAGTTTGATCCGGCAGGAGGCAGCCTTCCATGACACCTTGCCCTCGGGGCAGGTTATCTCCCGGCTAGTGAGTGATATTGAGACGGTGCAGTCGGGGACGTCGGAGAAAGTGGGCATCTACATTGCTACCCTTTCCTATTTCATTACGGCATATATCGTGGCCTTCATCAAGGTACCGACTGTTGCAGGCATTCTGATTGCGATTGTGCCCTGCTTCTTTACCATGGCGCTGGTGGGAGGTCACCTTACCTCGCGGTATGGGACCCGCGTGGGTAAACATGTTGATCGAGCCACCTCCATCGCATCGTCGAGCTTGTCGCATCTCCGGATAGTGCATGCCTTCAACGCGCATCGGCGCCTGGAGGAGCTTTTTTCGGCCCACCTCACCAATTCACGCAAGGATGCATTGAAAAAGGCGGGAATCCATGCGGCGCAGATGGGGATGCTTTTCTTCGTCGTATATTCGTCCAATGCACTGGCATACTGGAAAGGGGCGAACTTAATCGCAGACTCTATTGATGGCGTCAACTCAGGGGTCTCCGTGGGTGCAGTGTACACGGTGATCTTTATCCTCATTGACGGTTAGTTTGACGTGTGCTCCAAGTTGAACCCCCTGTTCTCAGCCACTAATAGACATCGAATAGCTTCATTCATCCTGAGCCAGGTTTCACCTTACATGCATGTCTTCAGCGCTGCTGCGAGTGCGTCCGAGCGATTGCTGGAGATTATCAACCGCCACTCCAACATCGATGGTACCTCAACGGACGGAGAGAAGAGCGTGGATCTCGCTGATAAAGATATCACCTTTCAGGATGTTTACTTTACATATCCAGCACGGCCATCGAACCCTGTCCTGCAAGGAGTGAACTGCATAATCCCCCCCAAAAAACATACAGCCATTGTTGGCCCTTCAGGTGGTGGAAAATCTACCATCGTGGCACTACTGGAACGATTCTATGATCCGTCCTCCGGGAATATCTGCATTGGCAGGCAAGAGATTCAAAGTGTGAACGTAGCAAGCCTTCGGGGACAGATGGGGTTTGTCCAGCAGGAATCTCAGTTGTTGGACCGGTCTATCTTGGAGAACATTGCATACGGTCTTGTCGGGTCCATTGCACATGAAGAACTGGCCGAGGTTATCCTAGATATGAGGCTTGCAGACATTGTAGCACAAATTCAGGCGGGAACACCTGAAGAGCAAGCGCTTGCGAGCTGTGACCCCAGGATTGCCGACATTGTTCGCCGGGCGAAGGAAGCAGCCGAGAGGGCTAATGCTCTTTCCTTCATTGAAACTCTGCCATTTGGAATCGCAACCAACGTTGGCACTGCTGGAGGCCAACTCAGCGGTGGTCAACGGCAACGCATTGCACTTGCTACGGCCCTCGTCCGGGAACCCAAGTTGCTGGTACTTGACGAAGCTACCGCGGCACTGGATTCAATCAGCGAACAGTTAATCCACGCAGCTCTTGTCAAGGTATCTGGAACCACTACGATCGTCTCGATTGCGCACCGCTTGGCAGCTGTCAAGGGTGCGGACCAAATCGTGGTCATCGAGAAGGGCCGAGTAGTTGAGTCCGGCTCTGCCCAGGAACTGCTGGAACGGAGTGGTAGGTATGCGGCCATGATTAGCCAGCAAAAAATGGATCAGATGGACATTGAGGACCTCCCGACAACAGCTCATAGCAAAGGAGACATTGTTGAGGCTGAAGGCAATCTTCCAACTGTCCTTGAGGGATATAAAGGCGATGAGAAAGGACAGGCCGTTCCGACCAAAGAGCAGGCAACGGACTCTACTGCCATTCTGGTGCCGGAGGAAGAGGTCTCTTCTCGGTCAAAGCGTCTCACTTTGAAAACATATTTCGCTTTCATCCGCCCCAACCTGCTTCTGATAGTTCTTGGCTTGGGTATGTCGGTGATTATCGGTGCCAGTTACAGCTCGAATGCGATCCTGTTCGGGAATACTGTTGGAGGACTCAGTCCCTGCAAAGGAATCCCCCACATCCGACACAGTGGGAGTTTCTTCGGGCTCATGTTTTTCATCGTAGGGCTTGTGGAGTTTTTCGCGAATGTCATTGGCGGATGTGCCTATGGATGGGCTGCAGACCAGACACTCTACCGAATCCGTGTATCCTCCTTACGGTCCCTCCTCAGCCAAACGATCACCTGGCACGGTACCGGCGGACGCAGTCCAGGGGTCCTTATCTCCTACATTACCGGTGATGCATCCGCCATCAGTGGTCTGACTGGGACTACAATTGGCCTTCTCCTTGCGACAGCTGTGAATCTTTTCGCTGGTGTGATCATCTCGTTTATCGTTGCATGGAAAATCTCCATTGTACTGGTGCCTACAATCCCCGTCCTCCTTGCGGCCGGAGTAATGAAACTACGAGTGCAGAGCCAATTTGCAGAACGACATAAGAAGGCTTTCTCAAGGGCCACCGAAATCACTGTCGAAGCTCTAGGAAACCTGCGCTTCATCACAGGGTTTTCGCTAGAGAAACAGCTCTACCAGGAGTTTATACAGTGTATCCAGGGACCATATAAAAGAACCATGAAGGCTGTGGCCTGGGGCAACTTCTGGTTGGCAACAGCATTCAGTGTCAGCAATCTGGTCAGCGCTCTCGCGTACTGGTGGGGTTCCAAGCAAATTGCATCAGGCATGTACTCCCAGACGCAGTTTTTCATCGTGTTACCGGCACTGCTTTTCAGCACCCAGTCATGCGGCCAGATGCTTGCCCTGGCCCCCGATCTGTCGAAGGCAGGGAAGGCTGTATCGCGTATTGTTGACCTCGTGGGCACTAACTCTGCGGAGCAGGAGTTTGGTGGCGACGCCCATAAGGAATTGGTACCGTCGATGGAAAAGTCGAACGTGGACATCGAGGCAAACAAGGAAGACCCCGATTTCATACCATCCAGACTTGGTGATACTGCGGTGGGTGCAGAGCTCCGACAGGTACAATTTGCGTACCCTTCCTCACCGGATACTTTAGTGCTCAAGGGGCTGAGCATCATCTTCGAGCCGGGGGGGTTCTATGCCTTAGTCGGTCCCAGTGGGTCCGGTAAATCTACCATCATTGCCATGCTCGAACGGTTCTACTATCCCTCAGCGGGTTCGATCCTGATCGATGGTCAGGATATCACGCAGATTCTATCCACCAGCTTTAGAGATGAAATTGCTTTGGTTCCACAAGAAAACGTTCTCTTTGAGGGGACTGTAGGGTTTAATATCGCTCTGGGAGCCAGGCCTGGATACATGCCCACTCAGACCGAAATCGAGGAAGCGTGCAAACTTGCTCAAATTCACGATGTGGTTATGGAACTACCCGAGGGATATGAGACTATTTGCACTCACGGTGGAAAGCAATTTTCTGGCGGCCAGCGCCAGCGTCTTGCCATTGCTAGAGCGTTTATTCGAAAGCCGCGTCTCTTACTTCTTGATGAATCCACGAGTGCGCTTGATGGTGACTCAGAGCGCAAGATCCAAGATGCCCTATCCAGGTTTATGGGAAAAACAACTATTATTGCGATTGCGCATCGCTTAAGGACCATCTATCGTGCGGACCAGATATTCCTGATTGAGAATGGCCGGTGTGTGGCCCGGGGAACGCATACACAACTCATTGAGCGGAACGAAATGTATCGTGAGAGCGTCCTCCACCAGTCGCTCGATATCTGATGTTCGACGTTACACATATATTTTCTGTCATAGAATGGAGAGTCTAATATAGATACTCGCTGGGATTACTCAAAGTCACAGAGAGACTGTAGTGCATGAAAACATGTCTGCAATTATAAATTCAATTCACTTTAGATTAAAGCTGAGCCATAGTCGAAAATTGGGGTAAACAAAAAACATTAAGGGTCTCTTTGGAAAATTGCCTTCGAGCACCTGGTTTCACTATATAAGATAGCATCGATTGAGGGAAACAACTATCTGATCTCTTCCCTTTTCTTCCTTAACCTTCCAATCTTTATAGGAGTCACTCCCCCACACATATATCTCGGCCCTAAAGCAAAACGCCCTTATTTTGCTTCTTGTCCACGGTCAAGTTCTTCCAGACAGCAATGCACGGGAAGCCCAGAACGATCACCGCGGTAGTGGCAATGCAACTGTACTTTTGGCTGTCACCCCATGCATTATTAATGGCAATTCGTACTGCTGACCCCATAGGGTATTTCATCTGTTCGATATAGCCACCAACATAGATATCTACCCAATTGCTCAGCGCCTCGGCTGGAAGATTCTCCTGTAATCTCTGTGGGAAGACATTGGTATACACAGCGGAAGCAACAGCGTTTCCTGCAGCACCACCCAGACTGGCGAATAGCCCTAGGATGGAGAGCATCATGGGAACACCGTCATGGTCTGCAGCAGTCATCACCGCCATATCCTGTCCAATCACTAGCATACCGCCGGCAAAGGCAATGAAGATCTGACACATCACGATATATCCGATGTCGTCGTGCTGGCCACGGAAGTGGATCATCAGCCCGGAACCGAGGAGCATCAAGGGGAGACCGAAGTAGAGACACGCGTTCTTGAAGTGTTTGGTTTGGCGGATGTAGATACCGAACAGGGGCGCCCAGAAGCAGGACCCGATATTATAGATCTGGTTCATATATCCACCATTCGAGACGCTCAGATCATACACCACCATACAAAAGTTGAGGAAGTATAGATCCCATACGAAGTAACCCAGATTCAGTACCGCCGAAAGGAGGCAGGCCCCAAGTACCGTCCGCTGTTTGAGCAGGTCGTAGCGAATGAATTGCTTGTGGGCGAAGAATCGTTCCCAAGCAACGAAAACAAAGAAGGTGAAAAAGCCAATGACGAGCATTGCAATAAAGGTGGCAGATTTGTATTCCGCTCGTCCGTAGGTGGTCAAGCTGAAAGGAAGTAGGAGGAGAATAAATGCCGCCATTAAAAGGAGTCCGCCGACCACTAGGAATAAACCAGACCCAGGGTAAGCATATGGTGTCGGTGCGGAAAATGCCACTACACTCTCACTTACCGTCAAATTCATGGAAATAATGGATGATTGATTGGGTCCATGTGCGATTGCTCTGTTTGGGTACATAAAGACCCAACTTCTTCGCTTTGATTTCGTATAGCTTGAAGGTAATCGCAAGTGGCAATAGCACGACTGGGAAGATAATAGCAAATGCTCCATACGCCCAGCGCCATGTGGTCATGTTCAAGAAAGATTGAGCGGCCAATGGACCGGTGAACGCCGTGCAGATGAAGGGGGTACTCGAGAAGGCAAAGGCAAAGGCACGATTTCGAAGACCGGATGTGTCAGCCATGAAGACATCCAGGATAAGATAAATGGCGTTATAGCCAACCCAGTACAGCACATACCCGGCAGCATACCCGCTGGGTCCAGTACAGGAGGCTAGGATAATAATGCCCAAAAGAAAGACTCCCGTAAACACCAGCATTCCCTCCGTTCGGCCCCAGACGTTTAGGATCTTGGCAATGGGCAGCTTCATAACTCCTCCTACCACAGTGGCCAGGATCGCGGCGGTAGAAATCTCGGGGGCAGTCTTGAAATTGGCGTACGCATTAACGAGTACGTTGCTCCCGATCGAAGAGTGGAAAGCTAGCATGAAGAAACAAACCCAAATCCTAGGATACAATGATCATGATTAGCTAATCCTTCGCCTGTGATCCGATGGAGCTGAGGGTGAAAAAAAGGTGTAGGTGGTATACCAAGCATAGATCGCATATAGGGCGTTTTTGCTCCAGACAAGGGCCGCGGCCTCGGCCCTCTCGACTCCAGCCGCTCCATTCTGAGCAACTTCATTGGTGTCTCCTTGAGCTTCTTTCTCTTTCAAGGCCGGCAGACCGGGCTTAGGATCTGAGGCAGGTGTTGTGCTCACTGGACCCGATGATGGGTGCAGGGAGAGTTGAGTAAGATCGAGCGGAGTAGCCATGGCGGGCTTACTTCTAGATCCCTAAATATCACTAGAAGTCGTGACAAAAGGAACTGAAAAGATGATAGGAGAGTCGATCTTTGCTGAAAATCACAATTGAGGGTTACCAAGCCGTATGACACCTGTTAAGTAAAGTAAGGGAGACGCCGAGGTACTCTGTTACGAAAGTCTAAGAGAGAAAAATTCTCTTCTCAGCGGTATAACTCGGCTTGATCGGGATATAACGTTTCAGATGCGCTACGACCCGATGTGTGATCATGACTCGGGCAGACAGGGAGAACCATGGTGGCGACCCCCTGATTGATACTGTTGAAAGAGCAGGAATATCCTTTGGATCGTGCCGGAGAACCGCCCAAAACGGTCGTACGACTCTCACACTGCTTGATTACTTCAAACTTACCATTTTCCAGTCTCATACCATAAAAAGACATGAACCTGTATCGGTTGGTTACCCGTTTTTGGGAAGGAAACAGAGCAAAAACCCTGGCTCCCTTGGCGTTAAGCCTATCAGATGGTTAATCTAATCTGATAATCACATCTAAAGTGAGACACTGTTTTACGGCCAGCAATCAGATTGACTGGAACCCACTCACTAATGGGATTAGCGGTCCTTCGCCCGACACTTGGACTCTACAGGCATTTCCCGCCCCACTGCGGCCATTCTTTTCCCATGGCGCACCGTAACCTTAGCAGTGTCTCCCGGTTGGGGTTCCTCCTTCACGGCCTTGGCATGGCTTAGTGGCGGCAACACATCGGGCGTGTCAGCTCATTGCCGCAGTCTCGACGGAGTACGTAAAAGCGTAATATAATGGACATTCTCTGACCACTATAATCACGCAACCTTGCTCTATAAACTAGACTAGGAAGCAGAAAAAACAAAATCAATCCCTGTCTAGCGTCCCACAACGACAGTAGACGCTCATGATTGCATCCCATGCCATTCAGTCCGAATTTTCTAGCCGCTAACTTGGTCTTATCTTGCAACCCGGACCACTGCCGTAGCCATCTCTTTTAGCTGCAGTAGAAGTACGTAAAGTAATTCATGACTAAGTTTCATTTGTCGGCTTACTCCGTAGTGTTTTCCATCTGGTACCAGCCGGCAACGGCCTCATTGGATGATTTGCGGAACCATTTGATTGTGCGGCGCCTGATGCAGTTATTATAACGTGACTGGGAAGCAGTGCTCATATATTTGGCACTATAGAGGCTCGATCTCTGTCATATATATATGCTATATGTGGAAAAAGAAAGAAAAAAACAGACCTCGATTACAGGGCGCCAAACATGCAGGGCAACACCATTACCATTCCTCTTCAATTAGCTAAAGGCATCATTGACTGAGTCATAAATTGGTCAGTGGGTCCACACTATTGGGAAACATGGCAAACTATTGAAACGGTGTTCGCCAAGTAGTGGCATCTTGGAGTAAGTGACAAGAAGAAATTTCCTTCGCCATCCCCGGTGCTTGTTTCTCCGGGAGCTTTTCTTGGCTGTATCATGATGCTTGGCTCTCCTTGCAAATTTCATTCTGAAAAATACAAAAAGGCGAGGCGATGAAAAGAGGCATATCTCATAGAACCGGCTGATCCTCGTGCATTTTCCTTTCTTGATCCCTTCACCCCCACCTTTTTGGTTTCAATTTATTATATTTCTTACTTTCCGCTAGCCCCTCTCATTAATGGCTGAAGGAGGGAAAAGGGTGACTGCTCCCGTTGGGGGGCAATGAAAGAATTGAGCGAAAGGATCTGACTGGTTCGGCGTAGTGATCGTGATAAATAGAAAAGGCGTAAGCTTTCTTCAGTAGGGGATAGAGGTGAAGCTCATTCCGATATTCTTGTGAACACAGACCAAAATACCCGCGACTCCCATAACATCCATGGGTGCGTCTACGATGCTATCTAAGCTCCAACACTGGGAGCGCCTCGTGCGGTCGTCGAATGAGCCGGGGAATGTTCAACCTCCGACCACTTTACTTCCGGTGCAACCCCGCGAACCCGTGAATGAGGCAGCTACCAGTCATGACAGTTATGATATAGGCCAATTAAAGAATCTAACAAACGAGAACGACCTTGATTCTGTTATTGAGGGCTACGCGCGGGGGATTATGGCCGTGACCGGCCAAAAAGATATTGCGTTCTGGATCACTACTCGCCCAGAAGTATGGGAAATTGACAGGCTAGTCATTGTAGCACAAGGGTCAGCAGACAGCCCAAATCTGAAGTGGGACGCCTTTGTTACCCCAGTTCGAGACCACAAGGAATGCCCAGAAGCAGTGGAGTTCGCGCTCTGCCTCGTGCATGGGGCCAACATGCAGGCGGATTTAGCGGGATTTGTAAGTAGAGTCTATGCAGACGCATAATTGATCAATATTTGACAATGGCTGACTCTCAATGCGACTGTATACAGATTCGATTGGCATTATGTATTGATATCCAATCTTCGACGGCCAGTTTTGTTTACCAAGCAACGGGGGAACGGCTGACGAACATCCGAGAAATTGGGCGGCGGCTGGAGTCATATTTATCAGGAAGTGAAAGCCGAGAGGATGGTGTTCAATTCTGGAGAAGCAATCTCCAGCAATTTGTCGGTATCTGTGAAAGACAGTTCCCAACACTGTCCTGCGTGCGCATGGCACAGACGACTGAAGATGCGCCAACAGTGTCGCAAACCCTCTCATTGGGGACATCCTGGGAAGAGCTTCACAGTCTGACAGCGAAACTTCAGCTACAGTCAATTGGCACGCTGATTCGTGCTTCATTCGCATATATTCTGTCAGAATATCTTGAATCTGACCGGGTTATACTGGGTGAAATGAACTCAGGAGATAGCACATCCGCCCTCTCAAACTCCAGGACACCACTACCAATCCTCATCTCGCCTCAGGATACAGCGGAAGACCTTTTGCGGAAGATTGATAACTTCGTTACGCTCTCAGCGACAGTGGCTACCGCACCAGAAGAGCTGGTTCGAGATATCCTGCGATGCCCTCCGTGCCAGGCTCCATTCCATGCACTCTTTACCGATCATGTAAACGTGTGCTGTGATGAGGTTGTGCGGACAGATTTACGATATCCACAATCTGAAGCCACGAAGCCCCCCATTTCATTACGCGTTGAGCATTCGGAGGGTACCCTGTCCTGCATTCTTTCAGCCAGGACCGGTTTGATGGACAATGTGCACCTAGAACTAGTGCTTCGACAGATCGACGCGATGGTCACTGCGATAGTTAGTAACCACACAGAACTAATCATTGGCCTAACTCGAGTATTCCCTGATAGCCTTCTTTCCTCATATACACCGGTGGTGAGTGAACAGTTAAAGCAAGCACCGAAACTACCACCATCTTACTGGGTTGATCACTGGGCTACGTCGAACCCGAGCTGGCCAGCCTTGGAGGTCATTGAGTCGATTAGTGAGAATGGAATTCAGTCTCAAAGGTGGACATACGGAGAGCTGTCGCAGACCTCTGACCGGCTATCTACTTGGCTGGTCAGTCGGGGCTGGTGTAATAGCATGATTGGGGTTTGCCTTGGCCGCTCGTTCATTGCGTATGCCTTGGTGCTAGCGATTTGGAAGAGTGGCAATTGTTATATACCCATCGCAGAAGATCTTCCTGAAGCGCGCCGTGTGCTTCTGCTTAGTGACAGCGGTGCTACGGCCTTGTTTACGGACAAGGATTTTTTGGGCAACGTAGTCCCCCCAGAGGGCTGCGAAGTGATCGATATTAATAGCCCCCAGCTCCACGACGAACTGGACGCCATCGAGGACATAGCTGTGGTTGATGCAACATCGTCAGACAATTGTTACCTTCTCTACACATCCGGATCTACCGGGCTGCCTAAAGGAGTCTTGGTCAGTCGTGGAAACCTCTCCGCCTTCACAGAGGCTCAGTCCGAATATATCTGTCGGGATGTGCCGGACACGCGGAAACTGGGAGGGGTAGGGAGTTATTTGGCGCACGCCAGTCGAGCATTTGATGTACATATATGTGAGATGGTGCTGGGGTGGCGGCATGGGCTTCGTCTAGTGACCGCGCCCCGGACTATGCTGCTCGATAACTTGAACTTCGTGCTCACCCGATGCCGCATATCCCACGCCGGATTTGTGCCATCACTCCTCGAGCACACTGGGATTAGTGCGGAGGAGTTGCCCGATCTTCGATACCTGGGCGTTGGTGGTGAGAAAATCTCCGAGACGATTATTGAACGTTTTGTTGGAAAACCCACGATTGCTCTGGTAAATGCATACGGGCCAACAGAGGCCACAATAGGGATAACTAGCCACACAGTGACTCCCTCCTCGACTGTCCGCAACATTGGGTCAGCCGTGGGCAATATTACATTGCACGTCCTTGAGCCGGAAACCAACGATTATGTGAAGCGAGGCCAGGCAGGCGAGCTTTGTGTGACGGGAGATCTTGTCGCGAAAGGCTACCACCGGAGACCTGATGCCAAAGGATTTACCGAATTTCACGGGCAGCAGATGTATCGGACTGGAGATATTGTGCGCCTGATGGCCAACAATTGCGTTGAATATCTTGGCAGGCGAGACAGCCAAGCGAAGGTCCGTGGCCAGCGCCTGGAACTTGAAGAGGTCTCCATTGCAGTTCGAAGATGTGCTGACAGTCCAGTCAATGTCACGTCAATAGTGACTCCCTCGCCGATCACGAAGCGGTCTCAGTTGGTTACCTTCATCAGCCCTGCCAGTGATCGACTAGTAAGCACCACCGCACAACCGACATTTGTGAAGGATCTATACCAGGAATGGGTGCCGCAAATCTTGGAGCGTTGCTGTCAACAGCTGCCAGTCTACATGGTCCCGAGTGTTCTGCTTCCTGTCAGCTTTATACCAATTCAGATATCAGGCAAAGCGGACAACCGCCGCCTGGTGGCTCTGTATGAAAGTATACCTGCGTCAGAACTCCTGCACGAGACAAGGCGGTCTCCAGTTACAGACCCTGGGCAAAGCTTGGAGCCGGGCGAAGCAATCCTGACGACGGAGGAACAGCAAATCCGTGATATTATTTGTGCAGTAGCATCGGCAGATGGTAGCACTGTCACTAAGGCAACATGCATATTCCAGCTGGGAATTGACAGCCTCAGCTCCTTGAGTGTGGCAGCCCAGATGCGCAAAGCTGGTTATATCTGTTCCGCAGCAGACATTCTCCGCAACGATACGATCGTGCAATTGGCATCTTTACCCAGGCATCTTGATAGCTCAGACCAGAGCGATGAATCCGATGCTATGCAGCTACTAGAGACCCTTGACCAAAACTTCCGACGAATGCAGAAGCCCATCCCGAACGCATCAATTGCCGTAGTCCGACCGTGTCTCCCTCTTCAGGAAAGCCTCGTCTCTAGATCCGTGGATAATGCGATAGCCCTGTACGTTAATCATATGATGTTCCGGCTGGGACCTTCTGCAACACTTGAGGGGCTGAGATCGGCATTTGAGGACTTAATCCACGAGAATGAAATCTTCCGCACATGCTTCCACGTTATGAATAAGAGCGTCGTGCAGGTCGTGTTGAAACCTCGAGCGGCTCAGATGCCCTGGGAATCGGTGGCTGTTTCGGATGAACAAGCTGCGCAGGACTATTTCACTAAATGTCAAGCAGAAGTCGCATCTAAGATTGTTGCTAACATAGAAAGACATCCTCCACTTCATATCCTCGCTGCTTCATCTACCGGGAACAACCCCTCGGGGTGGCTGATGCTGTCCATCCACCATTCTATCTTCGACGGTGCCAGCGTGGGCCTCCTCCTTAACCGTCTTTACCACCATTATACTGGGGAGACATCTATGCACACCATAAATCTCACTCCCCTTTACCGGCACTTCGTGACTGCTGCCGAGACAGAAGCTGAACAATACTGGACTAGCTACCTCTCCGGGTGCCGTCCTACCATCGTTCCTACAGAGAGCTTGATCGATAGTTCATATAGTATAATCACGGAGAAACTACCGTGGAAACTATCTGCATTATCAGGCCTTGCTTCTGGATTATCAACAACAGTATCCTTACTCTTGGAAACGATCTGGGCAATTGCATTGGCTCAGTGTTTAGGTCAACCTGACGTTATGTTTGGCCGGATTCTGAACGGCCGAGGCATACCAGTGGACTCTGTAGAGGCAATGCTTATCCCACTCGTAACTACGGTCCCTGCTCGAATTCGCCTTTCATCTAGCACCCAAAGCCTCATTGAGCTCATAAAAACACATACTCGAGATAGCCTGGGGTCCTTGCCTTACCAACACACTGCGCTCCGTGCTATCCAAAGATATGTTCAAGCTCCAGGCCCATTATTCAATTCTATGTTCTCTTACCTCGTTATTGGTCCACTATCACCAGCCGAAAGCTTGCTAGAAGAAATGGACAGCGTGATGGAGGTGGATTACCCCCTCGCACTAGAGATCAGGGCTGAAACCGAGGCAGACGCTATCACTTTCCGGTTGAGGACTGCTAGCGATCCTTCCTTAGCTCAAGGCGTCCGCGCTATCATTAACACCATGACGATTCTGCTGCACAGCCTGACATCTAATGGGGACGCAGTCGTCAGTGGGCCGGGCTTAGTTCAACCGCAAGTGCGAGAGCTGGCAAAATGGGACGAAAGCCAGTGGACTGGTGGTGAAATTGGAATCCGTGACATCGTATCCAAGACAACCGGGCTGTCCGAATCTCAAATCTCGAAGAATAGCTCTTTCTTTGCCTTAGGAATTGATTCCGTGATCTCCATTCGGCTTGCTCGATCCTTACAAGAACGAGGTTTCAAAGCGTCTTCTAGCGATATCTTGAAATATCCATCTATTGGTGCCCTCCATCATCACTTGCAGAACACTGCTACAGTAGCTTCTAAGCCAGAAGAGGAGGAGACAAGGTTGGACCCGAACACAAAGATTGAACTCTTCCACGCAGATGACTCAATTATTGAAATTTATCGTTGCACGTCATTGCAGACAGCCATGATAGGCCAGTGCTTAAGCTCGAAAGGCAAAGACTATGTCTACCACCACGTTGTCACTCTCGATAACTCTGTCGACCTTAACCGACTGGCTACTGCATGGCAACAGCTTGTTGGACAAGTTGATATCCTGCGAACCTCGTTCCACAGACCCGAATCAAGCCATGAATTCTTGGCCGCAGTCCACCAGTACCCGTTAGTGCAATGGTCCTATAGGCTGGAGGAAGAATCGTTCTCCAAGGCCATCGAACAAATATTCCACCAGGCAGGGTATCCGGAAATAGAAGGATTCCAAAGGCCACCGTGGAATGTCACCATTCTTTCTCAGGGCTCCCATCGGGCAATGGTCGTGACAATGCATCACTGCCTCTACGATGGAGTTTCTCTACCCCTTCTGTTTTCTTGTCTAGAGGAGATCTATCTAGGAACACAAGTCACTGTCGGGTCATTTGCATCTGCTGCCCGCGCGATTGCAAGCATACAGGAAACATCCGTCCCATTCTGGGCCAAGACCGTTTCAGGCTACCGATATTCTGGGCTTCCAGTTTCACCAGACTCTGTAATAGGATCTCATGCACAATGGGCAGAGGTGAAGGTGGAGTGTCCAATCGCTACCTTGCAACGCCAATGCGGCTCCCTGGAAGTTACATTACAGACCGTCGCCTTGCTCGCATTTGGAAGGTCCCTGGCACTGTTGTTAGGCCAGCGAGACGTGGTATTTGGTCATGTCGTTTCTGGGCGTGCCCTGGATACTGGTTCCACTGGATTTATCATCGGACCCCTATTGAACACTGTGCCATTCCGCCTGACACTCGATCCAATCCTCCAGAATACCCGTTCGGTTTTGCAGCATATCCAACGCTTCTGTGCGGACGCGCTACACCATCAGCATGCATCATTGGGTCTAATCCAGAATAGCTGGCGCTTAGCCAGTCAAAATGCCAGTCCTTCGCTGTTCGATGCACTTTTCTCCTTCAACAAGGCAGAAGGCCCGGTCGGCACACCCTTATTCCAGCCGTACCTGTCTGGGCGCGTGCTGGAGTCTCCTCATTATAGGCTGAATGTGGAATTTGAGCAGAAGCCAGACGCCCTTGTAATACGCGCGTCCTGTCGAGATATTCTAGCTGGGAAGGGTGAGCTCGAGAACTGGCTACAAACGCTCGCTCTTAGCCTGGTCGACATAGTCTCGTCTCCGGACGCTCCAGTACTGAGATTTCCTTCCGAGCTTAGTGCCCTGCCACTATTTGCTTGTCATCCGCAAGGCGCAAATGGAAAGGCTGCTGGAATACCGGCGTCAGAGGAGCATGTAGGTGCCATCAAAGACATACTTGCAAGAGTTACAGGAACGCCGGCCGACCAGATCCAAGAGAATAGCAGTATATTCACTCTCGGTGTTGACTCTATTCTAGCGATAGACATCAGTGCAAAATGCCGAAATGCCCAGCTAAAGCTATCAGTTAGTGACATTCTCCAAGGAAGGACCGTTGAGGGCATCGCAAGACTTGCTGCCAAAAGCCCCGTCATCTCTTCCAACCCCACAAAGCCTATTACTGCTGGAAAGTCTCTCATTAGCTCAGAAGTAAGGGAAAAGGCACTGGCTGCCTTGTCCTTAACTGAAGGGGATGTTGACGCTGCGCTACCTTGCCTAAGTGGTCAGCTTTTCTACATCTCGCGTTGGCTCCAGAGTGGCCGACGACTGTGGGAATTTACATTTGCTTTCCAAAGCCGCGTTCGACTTGATCAAAGACAGCTCCAGATCGCCTGGACTCAGCTCAAACAGAGACATAGTATTCTTCGCACATCATTTGCAGCCGTGTCTGCGGATGAAATTGTGCAGGTAGTATCCAAATCCTCCAAGACGAGTGGAGAGATCCAAGTCGACAGCGACCCATCTGCAGAAAATCTCCAGCTGTTTGTACAATATCTGGTCTATCAGCTTTCTGGAAATCCATCTACACTTTTGACACCTCCTGCAAGGCTCCGCTTGGTGCAACACCGCGACGCCGACATTCTTCTACTCACCCTTCATCATGCCTTGTACGACGGTTGGTCAATCCCAATCCTGATAAGAGATCTCGAAGCGTTATATCTGAAGGTATCCCTGCCCGCTCCAGCTGACTTCAGCTCGTTTGTTCGTCAGGCCCAGCGGACACCGGATGAAAAACACTACAAAGCATATTGGGAACCTGCTCTCAGCATGGGCCAGTCCACAATCTTAGGATCGAGCGCGTCTAATACTCAGGACTTCCAACATCTCAAATCATCTCAATCCCTGTATCCCCAAGAGCTCAGTGAAGTCGAGTGTTTATGTAACCGCAAAGGCATGTCCATGCCCACGCTTATCCTTTTGGCAGTGAGCCGCAGTCTGGCGCGAATCGCAGGTGTCACCCATCCTACATTCGGCCTCTTCCATTCGGGGCGTTCAAATGAGTTTGCCAACATACACAACTTGGCTGGTCCCACGGTGAACATGTTGCCTTTCGTTGTTCAGGACCCCCTCTTAGGCTCCGTAACCTCTTGTGCTCAGGCTATTCAGCACGACCTCGGCCAACGTGCTCTCTTTGACCAGACGGATTTACGACACCTCCTCCATATGATGAAGATATCTGGCTACGACCTTCAGTTTAATGTCCTGGTGAACATCGTCTGGGGGAGACTGAGGGATGGGTCTTTTCAAGACTCCGTGGATCCCCTATTAACGCCTGTTCCGATCGATGGTAGTGGCGATCTCGTTAAGGAGTCACCATCTGTTGAGAACACCTCTGTTGATGAGTTGAATTGCCACGAGCTGCCATGTCGTAGTAACCTACTACTCGATGCGAGTTACAGCGAGGCAGATGATGCGTTGCTATTGAAGATTGACTATACACCGGATTTGATATCGTCACGGGAAGTTCAGGACCTTCTGGATAGTATTGGAAAGGAGATTGATCAGGTTATTCGGGATCTCTGATCCCTAAGATGAAGTCTTTTAGCGATCTGCCTTTGCGTAAATGCTCCCAAGGTAGCTTTAGTCGTACAAGGCATTATTAGGTATATTTTTTGTCAATCCAAACGAGTATATATTAACAGTAGATCATTTGATTGAATTGGCACTGTCAAATATGGCAACTCTAACCGACCTCTCCCACGTACTACCCTCGTCATCAGAGATAGTCGCCGTGGAATAGCCCACCTTTTCCTTGCTGTCCGATGTGTAACTGCCACCGTGTCTGCTACCGATACAGATCCCGGCTTCCCTCTGGAGACCTCGAAGTTGGGCTTCGAGAACCCTCCTGCCAAGCTTGCCAACTTGTAATTCACCGATCCTCCTGGAGACATAAATACATGCGGCTCCGCCATGAAATTCATATAGCCTTCGATTGCCGTATACGTCATCAGTGGAACAGTCCCACCAATCCACGATGCCGTCATCATTGGTGTCCCAGCTCGTCGTCCGGGTAGAGGTTGGAAGATGCCCAAGGCCACCCGCGTCGGCCTCATTGTCGATCAGGCATGGCTTCCTGGTCTTCGAGCCATGGTATGTATAGGTTCCTTTCAAAGTAACTCCGGCACTTGAACAGCCCACCATGGAATAGCGATCGAGGATGCAGTAGCTTGAGCCTGCCATGCCTATGCCATCGATCGACTCATTCGAGCTGGTTCCCGGTCTGACGCGAACATGCCTAACGATCTTATCGAACGCCCCGGAGACCTTGCCTGGCGCGGTTTGGCCGGCTACAGTCACGTAACCGTCACTCACGGTTAAGCGCGACTTGGTAGTGATAGATAGTCCCTCTTACATCAAATACCACGATCCGAGGACCTGTTGGGCCATCAGCGCATAACGCAACGTTCCTGGCTCCTCGCTGTCTTCCAGGCGGGTGACCTTGATAACCTTTCCGCCTCGACCACCTCGGGCAAAATTGCCTGTCTGGCGTTATAATGCAATTTGGCATCTAGGTGAGTCTCGGACTCCTATCTGACTCAGATAGGTTGGTATTGCTGCGTGCCCAACCTTGAGCTGATAGTATCGACGAGCGAGCTGCCCCATTGCATATTCAAAGCTTCGGCCTAGGTGCCACTATTATAAAACCTAGATATAAGCTACTGCTAATGGCGACACACCTTAAGCTAATATACATTTATAAAGCACCTATATTAACCGACCAGCGCGTCTGTCTTGTCAAGCCAGTATTAATGATTCCTGATGCTAGGCATTTTCAGAGCTCCGGCCTAGTGCCATGATTGTAAAGCGTAGATATAAGCTACTGCTATTAGTTGGAGCTGGGCATTTTCAGGATGCCGGCCTAGGTGCCATGATTATAAAGCATAGATATAGGTCTCTGCTATCAGCTTAATCCTCTTTCTGATATTTCTCATTAATCTGCTGCCGCCCACCTAACTACTAGGTTGAATAGTAGCTAGCCTTCCGGCTGTTCATATCGGCATCCCAGCCTACCTATAAGCCGTCATGGCCTTTCTTCTATAAGAGACTAACCAGTAGCATGCAGCTACCCAGGGTGTCCTGATCGGACAGTTTTAAAATCATTTCCCGAATTGGTGCTAGCTTAGACATAAGCTATATAGCATATATTTTACATCCCTTGCATGGATTATGTTAACAATGCCCGATGCTAGGCATTTTCAGAGCTTCGGCCTAGGCGCCATGCTTATAAAAGCCTAGATATAAGCTGCTGCTATTAGGTGGAGCTTGGAAAATTTCAGTGTCCCGGCCTAGATACCATGATTATAAAATCTAGATATAGACCTCTGCTAACAGCGTGATCCTCATTCTGATGTTTCTCATTAGCATACTGCTACTTACCTACACTATCAGTGGCCAATTGACAGCTAGGACCGCAGCAGCCCAGGTTGGCATCCCAGCCATCCGGCCCTTAATTACAGGTAGGGGATACTAATCAAATCATGTAAATCTAGGTAAAGTTTACCTCAGCGCAACAGGATCTAGTGAGGTGATTGGCGTCTACCAAGGCCAAAACAACTTGTTCTCGTAATCCAACCAGTGTCTATGGATTATTATAAGGTAAAGAAAATTGATAATTATACGTAGACCGAGAGCCTAATATTTAATTGCAGTACCTGACCTTCGACATGGTTCGTGCAATAATCCCTTACCTCGCTGACTCGATTAAGGCGCAGCCTCTGACACATCCAGCATGCAAGGAGGAATGGTTTATGCGTTACCTGAAGAAATGTTTACACCGTGCATGAGGGCAGACACTCCCTGCACCCGACCGAGAATGTTTCCTACTTCTTATGCCTTGCCGCAACAGTCTGTTTCGAAAGCTTACTCGAGACTTGGAAGCAATTTCTAAGTCAGGACTGCATGGCCTTCGCGATAGACGTCGCAAAACACTGCATTCTGTAAAGTAAAAACACTGTCCACAGGGTGCTCTGTAACACGAATGATGTACTGATGCAAAGGGGTCGTTAATGCCGAGGTTGTACAAATCTTGTCTCACAGCGACGTGGAAAATCGTAGATCCACCCACCCTCAGATCTATCTCTCTCACCCGACTATTACGTGCTACTGATCAAAGGCCGATGACACAGGAGTGTGGGATTCTAGCAGCTAGACAACACCACAAAATACTATGCAAGGGCTGAATGTAGGGCTAAATGGTAGCTGGCTGATTTCGAGCAGTTGGGACAATATTCTACTAGGTGTCTTCTTCAAGAACGACCATAGCCTTATTTGCATCGATTCCTGTACGATGCATACCCTCAAGAAGTGGGAAAGAGAGAATTGATCACAAAGTAGATTCGACCCATTGACCAGACGTCCAGAGAAAGGGTTTTGACGTGGATCAATGGCCTACGGATCTTCATGGACTGGTGATGGCCAGGGCCTATTTAGGTACCCCGGTTGCTAGACATAAATGTCTATAGTTATCAAAGATTGAAAGAGCAGATCAGCGCCAAAGAATAACCGTCTGTCCTGGACATTCAAAGACAGCTTCCTTCAATCATGGCCGTTAGTACCAGACAACTCGTTGACAAGGATTCCGCCGCCAGTCAATGTCAGAAGGTCCTGGCATGTATCGAGGAGTACCGAACAACAGAAGTGCTGTTGAATCAGTAACAAATCTGGCCAGTACATGACTACGCCGCGGTCAAAAGTAATGACAACGGGGACAGTTATTAGGCCTATGGACGCTCTGTAAGACCCTATAATACTGTATAATCTGAAGCATCGTATATTTATATAACGTATATATATTCATTGATTTCTTGACCCTTATACACAAGAAGCCGTAATTCCTGCGAGAGACAGGCTACCAGAATCCTGGAGGCCCGAACTATGGGCCCGCCTCAGTATGCCCACAAGACAACCCGTACGACCTGGGAATGGCTATCTCTCAATTTGTCGGCGCTTGACCGGTTTAATACATTCAGGGAAGGTAATCGGGCTAGTCGCTTACACTGGGCGGAGAGGTTTCCAGTTCAGGAACGACTAAATGGAGCAGTGGCTAACGGGTTTCCACCACTGGTAGGCATCGCCGGAGGCCGTGGTCATGACTTGCTCGGGTTCAAAAGGAGGTTCCTCCATGCGCCTGGAGTTCTGGCGCTTTTGGGGGGGGGGAACTACCCGTTATGATTGATGATATCTTCCATCTCGATGGGAGCCTCAAGCGAGGCAAGCATGATTTGTTCCAGCCACAGCCTATCAAAGGTGTGCTCCACCGTCCCCTTCATCATCCATAGACCCCGTAACCGTGGGCACAGGCGCTCGTGCGTACTACAGGAATCTCATCATGCACGACTGGTCGGACGAAAACTGCAAGATCATCCTAGGGCATGTGACGGCTGCTACGGAGAAGGGGTACCCCAAACTCTTGATTGAGGACAACATCTTTTTGACAAACACGCTGAAGAGCTGGAGACTTTTCATGACCTGATCGTGATAGTATGATGCCCAGGAAACGAAAATACTAGTCAGAGATAGACACAGCCTTTAGACTATGTCTAGCTGAAGATCCAGAATTTCTGGTTGCTCGATGGGTTTGGTACCGGGATTGTAGAGGCAGCGCTCAAAAGATAACCGAAGGGTCTAACTCACAATGAGAGTTTGTTGCGAGTCGATATAGCTGAGAGAAGCTCCCTGGTACGCATTAGTTGGTGCAGTGCGCTGATGAGATGGCCTGGCAACGCTGTTTGGATGTGGCTTTGGTCAGATATGTGAACGGGTGCTCTAGAGTTGTGGTCGTCTTGCTGATTCAACATCATGTAAGTCTAAATGGATTGATTTTATCTGGATTTGTGAAAGAGAGTAACCTTACTATGGCCACTTCACATAGATATCCTTTGCAGCAACAAGCCTAGTGGGACCAAATTTAATTCCCTCTCTGCGCACCTGAAGAGTTTCTTGGGAACCGATAGTATTGTCTCTTTCAAAAATAAAAATAAAAATAAAATAAAAAATAAAAAATAAAAAGTAAAAAAAATAAAAGCCGGCTTGATAAGAGTAAATCTCCTTTACACGGTCTAAAAATATACTGGAGCAACAGCGACGGATACCTTTCTAGACGTACCTTGGTCCATGTTTTGTCAAAGAGCCTTTTCAAATTAGCCATAAGTTGGTCACGCTTGTTTCATTCCTTTAGTTCGTATCTCAGTCTTCTAGATGTATTATTTGACCCACTCATGAGAAATTCACGGTTTCTAGTGGCTACTAAGCAGCATCATAGGAGTTCTACATTAGGGTTGGATAAAGTCTATTGTTGTAACAACTTGGCAAGCGAATACAACAACATGAGCATTCTATACAACAGGATTTACAAGTAACAGAGAGACTGCCTGGAAACCTTGCATGATTGGGATATAGCCTGCAGGAGAAGTGCTCATCGGCGCCCGTTCACTACTTATAGAGGTCAACCACCCTGTTGGTGCTACATAAAAACAGTTCCATTCAGGTAATCTAAGAGAAAGGAAAAGCAGCAAGGCAGGCTAGATTGCGTTGACACAAGACAATAAGTGCTTATTCTACGCATTAGGTTGTTTTTATTATGTAAGGGGCAATACTGGCCAGTTTCTCACAACTCTCAGTCAGCTCACGCTCGGGCTTCGATTCGGCAATCACTCCAGCCCCCGCTTGGATCCACTGGTGGTTGGAGTCCTGGAATACCGTGCGAAGGACAAGTGCCGCTTCCATAGTATGTGGGTCTTCCAGCATGAGAACGGCACCAGAGTAGAGTTCCCTGGGCCGTTGTTCGAGACGCTCGATAGCATCGATGGCCTCCTCCTTAGGAATCCCCGAGACCGTAATTGATGGGAATATAACATTCAGCGCATCCCACATGTCCTTTCCCAATGCAAGATATCCCGCCACACGTGAGCCTAGGTGCTGCACACTCCCGCGCGGGCGGACAGACATAAAATCCTCCACCGTGGCCGTGTCACAGAGTTGACGGATCTCGCCGATGGCTGCCTTGACAGAAGTGACATGTTCCACAATCTCCTTGCTGTCGGTTTCCAATTCCTTTCGTAGCCTTTCGACGTCGTTTTTGGTTCCCTCACACGAGCGCGTCCCAGCGAGAGGCTCGGTCTTCACAACCCCTTTATCCAGTGACATTACTAGCTCAGGGCAAAAGCCAGTGGCTTGGTATCCCGCGTGGTTGAGACAGAAGGTGCGGGAGGGGTTGTTAGACTGCCTGCCCCGAAGCAACGTTTCATGCATGTTCACTTGTTCCCGAAGGTCTACAGCTCGCGACGGGACCACTTTCAAATACTGATCTTTGCTGATTTCCGACAGTGCCTTCTGGACTCGAGGGATATATTCGCCCGCCGAGTCTGTCGTATCGATCGATTGACTCTGCTTGGGCGCCTCGAAGCCAGGCGCTTCCTTTATGGATGCGATTAAGGCTAGGACTTCATCGCTGTTGGACCCTATCACGGTAGTCTGGTTCCTTTGAAGGCAAACCTCATTGCGCGGAATCATCAAGGCCAGAAGCGGCCAGCGACCGGGTTTGTAGCTGTATCCACGGATGTGGGCGGCATAGTTGAAACCGACTTGGCCGAAGACTCTGCCGACCCCATTCCAGTGCTTGGCCAGGAATTCCCTGGCAATGTCGGGCAGTGAATGCTCCACGGGATAGCGCGTCTCTTTCTTCTCGAGAGTGACAGTGGCATTCTGCCCCCGGGGGTCAACCACAAGGGACATGGATGCACCAAGGCCAATATACCAGCAATCCTCACGTTCGTACGCATAGTATTCATCGTCCTTGTATTTCTCGAGCAAAGATGCCACAACATTGAGTCCGTCAGGGTGTCCAGGCGTGAGGGTGATGGATGCTTCAATACGTGCCATGGCTCTCTCCCCTTTAATCCCGTTTCTTAGCGAACTTAGTGTGATTTTCTTCACTTGATGACCTCTTGGTCTCCAGAACTTAGGGCTAGTGTTGTGATGCAGAGGTAGACAAATACAATTATCAAAGAAAAGTCTTTGAAGATTGAGTAGCTTTCATGAAACTGGGATTCGGGCAGAGTTAGACACTACTTATAGGGCGCCCTCTCAAGACCCCGTAACTTATAGAAGATGTAATCTGAATTGAGTTTACCAATAAAATGCTCTCCAAAACAAGCAGGTCGCAAATGAATCATGGGGCCTTGATGGTCGATGCTGAAGCGACCATAGTCTTGTCTGACGTTGAGGGAGAAAATAAGTTCTAGTACCTACCCATTGATCATTACACGTATACATGCACCTATCCTAGACGGTATAAGGCTACGATGCATATTGGACTGCAGATAATGCACAGACATTTAATAAAGTTATGTACATGCTAAAATATGAAGGAACAGATAATAGGTTGTATGGTATGCTATGGTATAGCTGAACATGAGTGATTTAAAGCCGCCCCTTCTGCATGTCATTCGACGGTTGATCGTTTCCCTGTGTTGGAACCATACCTCGCCTCTGTGCTCGTCATCGTAATCTACGGTAACAGGATTCTAATCACCATTGTGTGGATATATCTCTCACTCGAATGGCGATTTGCACGGCTTGCAACTGGTCAAGCGGATGTCAGATTCCATCTCTGGCATGCTTACACGTCAGTCCTATATGCAGCATCAGACTGCTGTGTACTTGCCAAGCTAGCTCGGAGGGTTAATTTGCAAAACGATTGAACCAAGACAGCGGCCTACATTGCTATGTAGATATCGTTTGTGCAGAGGAGTGGACCTGTGGTGGCAAAGCACGTTGACATTCAGTCTGGTGGAATACAGCAGAATCCGTAGTTCTACGCGTAGAGGGAAGTCAACATGTTTAATAGGGCGAATCTTGTCTCTATACACTCTGAGAAGGATTTGCACTATTGACTCGAACTTTTATGAATACACAGTTCGTCATGATGTGTAAGGATTATGGATTCTTAGCAAGCGTGCGGCCAAAACTAAATGCTCCCTCCAGCAATGACTGTCAATTGACTTAGGGGTGATATTAAACCTTGGCTACTTACTTCACATAGCATTTAGCTCCCACTCCACCAACTATAATTCTGATAGAAAGGATTGAACCTTTGTTACACCATTCTGAAGAATGAAAGTTAAAAAAGCTACTGACTCCCTTAGTGGCTTCCTCTCCTGTTTTTGTTATCTTTTCTTTTCTTTTTTCCAACTCCATTCCTGGCTTTGACAATATTGAAACCTTACCTACAAAGTACTATGGCTCCGACAGATGACTACGTGCTTGGCAAGTCTCTGTCTGATTCTGTCCGGGGGGTGGCATTATTAAGTTGACCTTCATCAATACCCACAAGCTTACGAGGGACATTTTTCATATTATCTAGTCTAGACGCTCAGCACCTGCTATGGAAACTTCACACCGGATACACTTTGCACCCGTAGATACTAGTAGTGGGGGATATGAAGGTAGCTGATGTTGGCACCGGCACAGGGTAAAGCACTTAACTATCCGGTCAATCCACCGAAGCTAATGAGAAGCAGGACTTAGGTTCTAGATCTGGCAAAAGAGCTTCCCCAAACATCTCAACTCCACGGGTTTGATATCTCGGATGATCAGTTCCCCTTGCGGAGACTTTGGCCACACAATGTTACCCTACGGACCCTGAGCTCCTTGGAGGACCCACCGCCACCACTGGCTGGGCAGTACGATGTAGTACACATCCAAATGTGGGCAAGCACTATAAAGGCTGGAGATGTTGAGCCCTTAATCTCGCATGTTGTCAAGTTGTTGAGTCAGTAGACCTATAGCCTGCAGGTCCAGCGTTTTGATTTCTTACTGGCAAGTAGAGCCTGGTGGATATATCCAATGGGAAGAGGCAGACTTAGTGCATCCGGTCATTAAAGGTGCCAAGGCTCAAAAGTTTGGGGAGAAGGTGCCAGTCTTGTTTCGGAAAGTTGGCCTGGACTATAGGTAAGTGGCATTGGCCTCATGCCAGGCGCATTCCTTGTACTCTAATCACGGATTATACGGCTGGGCATCGGACATCCATAACCGCTTGCAGCAGGCCATTCTTACTATATTGTCATCGAAAAGGGACAACTTTCAATCTTTTCTCGCCCAGAAGTGTACTGAAACATATTTGCTAGCCCTTGCAGAGATATTTCGTGGTATCCGAACGACCTGTGTGGAAGACCTCTTACCATTGCTGAGCGAGTGCGAGACGGAGCTGCAAGAGCTTTGTGCACTGCGTAACAAGGAAATGGTGTACAACTGGTCCCCCATTAAGGTGCTTGCCCAGAAGGGAGAATGAGGGCTTGATTGGCCAACTTAATCATCTTGTCACGAAGCCTGACCTTCGAATAAAACCGCAAGGAAGAAATCTAAATTACAGGGTGAAGCCTGGAAAGGCTTAGCAAAGGCAGCAGGGGTTGCCAACGGTGCTAGCCTGTTTTATAGTTAGGTCTACGAAGTAGATGGATGCTTTTAGTACTACAAAGGAGAAACAGGTCTGTATGGATTGAGACCTTGCATAGAACCCCTAGAATGGAATCTTGATAGAGTAGATATAATATCATACCTATCAAACGATAATTCTCTCTCACTGTCCCACGAGGCCTCCGAGATAAAGTGTAGGTCTTTCGTTGGGCAGATGATCTGAAAACTGCAGGCATACATGTCCCGTGCAGTTGAAAAAGCCTGAAAGAGCTCATAGAATGCTGAATTCAACATTCTTCGCTTGTTTCTGACGCAAGCATCCATCGTCTAGGGTAGGCGTTAGTCACGGTTGTATAAACTGGGAGTCCAGCAGCATTGTACTTCCAAAGCAAGTTCTATTGCTCCTGTCAGCCATTACAAGTTTGTTGTATCTTGCACAGATAGTATGGTGAAGGCAATTGTCTCAGACAGGTTTGCCTTTTCCCACAGCAGGGTATCTCTAGTCCGATTGAATCAACTTGGCATATCCAGATCTGAAGTTCATTGTCGACCCATACATTGAACAAGGTATCGCTAAGTAAACTCAAAGGAGGTCAAAGCCTTGCCCCCACAACAAGGGTCGTCCAAGCCTTTCACAGCGTAGTGGAACAGCATCCAGACAGCCCAGTAATCATCTATACCCACCAGCTAGCCGATCTATATGGCTGGAGCAATTTTCAATCAGGTACGGTTCATCCGCCACGCCAACCCTATCTTCGCTGGAGCAACACTACACTCAATACAGTGGCCTCTCTGCTCAGTTGATGTCTAGCAGCTCACCGTGTAACACAAATAATGTCATTCTTTGTCTTTTGTGGAAACGATGTGAAATCTCTCATTGCAGCTCCAGCAGCATTGATGATAGGAATGATTCACGTTCCAGTGGATTCAGCGAGTCTGACGAGTGCAGATGAGCTACAATACATGGTACATATCGTTATGGTGCATGGCAAAGGGAATGGAGCCGCACCTCTATCCTGTCCCGAAATGCCAATGCCGAGGTAGGTAGATGAGGAAACTGAAAGCCACTTTGGCAAGAACATTAGTGAACAACCTATTGATGCTTTCGATCATGACCATTGACCCAGCTCGCTTAGGCGCTGAGCAGGGTCTGTATGCGACCATCAGGCCGGAAAAGATCCTTGATCAATGCATCATTGACTATGGAAAGGTAAACAACCTGCAGGACGGTCGAGAACTTACGATGAGCTACCCCGTTCCCTGATCATATATTGCTCCCTGGACCATAGTGTCGCGCTATCGTAGTATTTTTCCGAGAGGCCAGTTCGGGCGCACTCATTACGGACAGTCAGTCACATATTTCTGCTACAAAGAGATAGACTAATAGTTACAGTCTCGTACTCACTATTGGACGTTGTATATCAACGTCTATTCAACGAGGACACTGAACGTGCTCTAGGTAGTCGTCCACTTCACCTGCATACGCCGTTCAAGACCTTCGCTGAGACCTACTAATGGTCTCCGAAAAGGCCCAAAGGCTGAGGCCACTGTGAGGTTTCATATCGAGTATCTTCGATATCTGAGACAACATTATCATACTCTGTGGCCACGTGCGACGCATCATCTGCCGGTGCCACCAGAGCGCCAGAATGAGAATGACATGTTACGACTTTTGTTGTGCCATCCTTGGTCCGTCCCCGTGATAGATATCCCAGTCTAAGGGCACCAATTGTCCTCAAGGCATCCCTAACAATGCTCATCATATCTCACACAAGCCATATACCCGCGGCATTTTTGGACCTCGAGGCTAGTCGGTCGAGATTTCCCATTCTGCCGCCATCGATCGCGTCGCAAGGGTCGTTGCAGGATACCAATGACGTTGCCGGTCCGATATTCGGAGGGGTTTGTGAACCTCATTGCGTATTAGCCAAAGGAGACGACGCTAGAGTATCTCATGGGCATCCAGCACATTCAGGCCGTCTTGTCCTGAATATGCGAGCGTCCCATGGCATGAAGTCTTACGACGTTTGGATCGCTTAGCCCACGACGTAATTCCCAACGTCACTGAGTCCCTCTTCAACTGAATGCCGGGATTCGGAACCGCTGCTCTGGGCGAGAACCCCTTCCACCACATGACCGTGCTGCAGACCCATATCCGGACCGGACAGTAGCCATACCATTCTCTTTCTCCAAGGTGCGCCTCCAAATATGTCATCCCATTAGGTAAGGAAGGCCGCAGACGAGCTGAAGAGGATTTTCTTATAGTTGGCGGACGAAATGTCCTGGTTGATGAGGGTCGGCCAGTTTTCGGATTATGTAAAGGATTAGGGCTCCTTGAGTAGATTATGATAAGAAATCATTGAAGGGCTGGTGGCCATACTATGAACGGGTCAAACGGAATGAGGAAGCACTTTACAAGGTCGTTGTCGGAAACCTTTTCGTCCCGTTGTGATAATAGAGACTCCATGATTCTTGTGGACTTCCGTCGGGGTGTTTCTATGGGATTGTATCTGCAGTAATTGTACAATTACCATATCAAATCTAGATGTACCAGAATAACTCTATACTTGAGTAGATCGGTGTTGGCAGTTGGATAAATATACATGTAGAGATAGCAGAAGTAAACACGGGTGTGCTTGACATTAGGTAAATGTGTGGCAAGTACCCCATGCTTCAGCTCGAAACCTTCATCTGCAACGCATTTGGCGTCGAATATGCGTCCTTGGTTGATCCCACACGTTCGCCTTTGCTCAGCAATAGATCCGTTGCTGAGGAGCAAGGGGTTCAGCTAAACTGTGTTCAATGCGGCCTTCTTTTTGATACTCTTCCAGCCCATTCCAAACGCCGTAGCCACACAACAGACACCGAGTGCAGCGGCCATGTAGAAGACGTGGCCCACACTTTGAGAGTACGCCTTCAGCACTCCCCCGAGCTCTGGTTCTGTGACCACGTTTCGGACGCCAGTTGCACCTGACGTGATTATTACCTGTGGGTCGATACCCGAGGCGTATTTGGGGATGAGGCTCCGGAGGCCATTAGAGAAGATCAAGTTCGCAAAGGTGAGGAATATTGCACCAGAAAGTGTCTGAGAAAACGTGATGATTGATAGAGCAATAGAGATCTGCGCAGGAGGGAGCGTATTCTGGACAGCAATCATCGGCTGCGTGTGGGCAAGGATACATCAGCAAAAGCCAGCTTGACCTGGTCAGGGAAGGGAACAAGCACACCGTTTGATATCCGGATCCCCGACCAGCGCCCACAAGGACCTGATACCCAACCCATTTGCCCGCAGGAGTGGCAGACGTCCATGTTGAGATCAACCCGTGGCCAACGGAAGTCGCTATCCCACAGAAGACTGCCCAAGGGAGATAATATCCCAGCTTTCCGACTATCAACCCAATTAGCGTCCTCGCTGCATACCAAAGCGTGGGCCGGACGCACTAAGAATCCCAGACAGCACCGAAAACAGCAGTTGGGATAATATACTTGGCAACATGTAAACCCCACTCATGAAAGGTGACACATCTCTCGTAGCCTGGAAGTAGACAGGGAGGTAATATGAAGCCGAAAGAGTCATGGCCGATATCAGCCACATCAAAAGGCAGCTTGCCCAAACCACGCGCATTCGAATCATAGACAAGGGTATCATAGCTGCCGCACCCTGACGGTATTCCCAGAGTACAAATAGAACAAAGGTACATGCTGATCCACAGAGTAGCCCGATCACTTTCGAACCGCCCCAAGGGAGGCCATTCTGTCCAAGCTCAAGAGCAAGGAGGAGTTGGATGGCGGCGGGAGCAAAGAGAGCGAAACCCACGATGTCTAATTTCCGCCAGACAAGCTGGCCAAGGTCGGTGATGGGAGGTTTCACGACCTGCTCAGGGATATCGGTAAAGGTAAGGAGGATCGCAACAGCTGCTCCCATGGGGAGGTTTATATAAAAACCTGTTTTAACGAACTGGGTTTAGAAGGTCTTGAGATGCCATGCCAGAGATGGGTCGACTGAATCACTCACACCATCTCCACGTCGTGTACTGCGTTAAGGCACCACCTAGAAGGGGACCAAATGCCACGCCAAGTTGGGCAACTAGAAAGATGTCAATGCAGTCAGTATTGATCTGCAGGAAGTGTCGGAAACAACAAGCACGGTCTCACAGCCCATTACCACGCCTACGAGTGCTGTGAATGTACGGATTCAGTAAAATGAAATGAAACGTTCATATGTCTGGTGGAGCCCTTACGCGGGGATTTATGCAGCGGTACAGAAGACGAAACAATTGTCAAGGAACCATTAATCAAGCCGGATGATCCGAGTCCCGCAACTGCTCGAGCGATGATCAGCATCTTGGAGGAGACTGCGATGGCACACAGCAGCGAGCCCACTTCAAAGGTGAACAGGAAGGCTAAGAACGTCCACTGGAAACGAATAGGGTGGGTTAGTCAACCTCCATTGACTGAGAAACCTGGAAGGGGAGTACTTTTAGACTAAAGTGGGTGTATATTCTCCCAGCGAGAGGCTGGAGGCAAGCGCTGTAAAAGTCCCCGAATAAGGTCAGTCGCATCCTCGGGGGAGCAGAGTCATTATACCTGGCAATCTGATATGAGCTACCATACCACCCCAAGTCCTCCAGAGAATGAAACCGCGTGGTGATCGATGGGATCGCCTGTTGATTCGGTCAACGATAAGTTCGTCTGGCTCATATCAACACTAACCGTGACAATAATCGAAGTATCTAGCAGAATCAGAAAGCAAACAGTTGTCACCGCCGTTATCACTACTGCAAGTCTGATGCCAGTAATATATTCTTGCTCTTTACTTTTGGCTGACTGCTGATCTGGTTCGGAATCTCCCCCATAGTCTGTGATGGACTGGCGAGTCGGCCGTGGAAGGATTGGTTTCATCGCTGGCATTGTTGTCGTGGCAATTATCCTTTCCTGAAGATCGAGATTGACCTGACATATTCCATGAAGAGCCCAGATAGCAGGGAGACCGTCCTCAGCGGGCGTCCCATTTATCACCAACAAGTCTTCGTCTGGATACTAGGCAATGCTACGGGGATCGGGATTGCGAAACCCGGCGGGTCAGCCATGGCGATAGCCAAGTAGATCTCACAGAAACCAAAAAGACTTGCAGTTTTCCTTATTGACGCAGGCTTAATTATATAACGGAAGGGAAGGTGGGACGTGTCGTGCGCTAAAGAGAGGAACCATATCTCGTTACCGACAGTCCTTGCACCTACGAAAGGGATTGAGATGGAGATCAATGACAAACAAAAATTAGTCAGCGATTTAATCCCGTCGGCGGATTTGGAAGCACAGAATTCCGGTCGAATTTCGACTCTCGCCCCAGTGTATCCCTTCTCATACTGAACGTAACATATCGCATCTTCATGTCCAATTCCGTATCCCCTCGACCGGCATTCAACCCTGAAATCCGCGCAAGGACGCCGGCCCCATATGGTCAAGCGTGCATCAATTGCGCCCGTGCTAAATGCAAATGCATACTCCTTGCTATTGGGAACCAGTGTGAAAGGTGGTGTTCTCAACCTGGTCCATGACTGAAGGAACATGTGCTGAGCAGAAAACAGATGTAATCGCCTGGGGAAGGACTGTAGACCTTCCCCCTCGCTCCGGCGGCGCAACAAAGGCTCGTCAAGTTCGAGGATCGCACAGGTCGAATCGAAACTCGACAGTCTTTTGTCTGTCCTACAAACAAACAGTAGAACCGGGTATCCTTCCCTGGATGCGAGAGAACGGTCGCTCCCAGACCAGTCGCCAGCCTCCCCACCCACACAAGCCCCCGGATTGAACCCATCTTCACCAAAAGACCGAAGGTTGCTCAGACCAATTCCCTCGGACACCTCGGTTCAAGTTCTCAATCGGTTTCGTCAAGAAAACCTGAAGTATCTGCCATTCATCTACATTCCGCCGCACATCACCCCCGAAGAACTTTACGAGGACAAGCCATTCTTCTGGGAATGCGTTGTCGCAGTCCTCACACCAAACCTAAAGGAGAGAGAAGCCCTTTTCATGAAAGTGCACGACACTATTCATCAGAAGCTTCTAGTGGAAGCCACCCCTAGCTTGGACATTCTTCTGGGCGTCATGACCTTCATGTCATGGTAGGTCGAACAAGCAACGTAGCATGACAGTCTCTAACTCGAGCATGTAGGAGAATATACTCGGCGAAGCCATTTCTCAATTTCTATAGTCATATCCTCACAGGACTCGTCTGCGATCTCGGGATTGACAAAGCTGCCTTCAGGGAGCAGCCTGTCTTGGAACGGTTTCATCGCGTGGTCGGTGTAAAAACGGAGACAGCGACAGGCAGAACCCTGGAGGAGCGGAGGGCTGTGTTAGGGTGTTTCTTAATCACTTCCAGGTTTGACTCCCAACCTCGAACCGGAATTACAGTCGGACGTGAGGAATGATTGTCGGTTGCCATAGTATTGCCTCCTGCATATTCAAGTGCGACGCCTTGCGCTGGACGCCTCACATGGAAGAGAGCCTGGAGGTTCTAACCAGAGCGAAAGAGTGTGTCGACGATGAGACGCTCGTTTGGCTGGTCAAGATTCAGTTGATGGTTGACAAAGCGTATCGTCTCCGTCGGGATGAGGAAGTCTACCTTTCCACTCCTCTTGTGATGGACCTTTTGCAATCACAACTGAGTTCGGTCAGAGGCCAGATACCGCTGCACCTCCAGCAAAGCAGTATGTCCCATACACGCGACCATTGATGCTGACCGTGCTGATTTCCATGGCCCAGGCCTCATTCTCATGTACCTCGCCAACGCCGAACTTGCGATCCACGAGCTCTCCATTCGAGTTCCCATGCCGTCCAATGACCCAGACCCTCAGGAGCTCAAAAGCCTCGATCTCTCTCTCCAGGCAGCCAAGTCATGGCTCGATGTGTGGCTCAGTGTTCCTCCGGAGCACTACCTGACCGTCTCTGCCGCCATTCTCTTCCAGCTCTGCCGGGCTTTGGTGAACCTTTACAAACTTTCCACTCTCGGAGAATCAGTTTGGGACAACAATGAACGTCAAAGCACCGTCAATCTGTTGCATTATCTAGACCTGTTGCAAGTCAATTTCAAACGGGCATCTAACCATCTCAACCAACCTGCGGACGTGAATATCTTTGAGAAAGGGGTAACAATGATATCTTCGATCAGACAACGTTGTGGTCTCGTACTAGCGGACACGTGGCACCCGTCCCCAGGAATGGCCGAAGTGACCTTCCAAGAGGCAGCAGATGCTTCCAACTTCTTGAGATGGGATCACGTCGATGATGCGTGGATGATGGAATATTTAGGATTCTTATAAGACACCAAGGTTCATCCATCTATGCGTAAGCATGGTAGGAATAGGATATGAAACCAACGAATCTAGATGCAACGACTCCGCCATAACTATCCTCTGTGGTATTGCTCAATCGCTTCCATCCTTTCTCTTGCTTCTATCTGTTGTGCATTGTCCTCGAGATGTTCAGCTAGTTCACCTAATCGCCTCTTCCAGAACCTCCTCCACCGTTCTAGACACAGCCTATTGTTAGCCCCATAAAACGAACAGTTGGCAGTTTTGAGGCGGTCGATATCTTCTACTGTATTAATTACAATGGCAATGGTGAGTTTTACCAGCATGAATGATCCTCCCACCCATCCCGTTGCCACAGCTACGTTGCACTCGAGAGTCAGCCCGTCATTCCTCTAGTGCTACCCGGAGCTCCCAAAGTAAAAATTACAGCCCACGAGATAGTGTGAAGATTCAACAGTCGGGCAGCAAACGTATTGAGGTTGGTCCACTCCAACGCCTCCTCGCTCGTAGGCATGCTATTGTCGTACGTTAGGGATACGTAATGCAACGTAATCCAGTAGTCAGATGATAGAGTGAGCAGGTAATGGTCCCTAAAGCTCAACTTACGGATCTAAGCCTCTCTCAGCTCTACGAGTCAGTCTTGCAGGGGTTGGTCATGAGGAATTTCGCGGGCGCCTTCGATGACAATATCACACAGCTGCCAGGAAAAAGGCCTCAAGGTCCTCGCTGTTCCCCATTTCTCCAAAACAGCCCATGTGGATGAGCCGGTCGATGGCATCTGCAGCAACTCACGCAGAGCCTGCATACGAATAAGGAGACTTTCAAGAAGTCAGACTATCTCCTGTTCCATCATGTCCATTTCATCGTGAATGTTTGTGGCACGGAGACATAAGACGTGGTGATTGTCATGGGCTAGTTAATCTGGAAAACCTGAGGAAAGAGATACTCCATAGAGTATATGATATCGAAGAGTGCCAAGAGCCGTTGGGATCGGGTATGTCTTGGCCTTTCGGCCAGACCAGGCCAGACGACGGGAATCCCAATCCTCTGTTTCATGATAATCTGATAGCATGCCACTTAAGGTTGACACTAGCCTGTGGGTCATCATATCTGGTCGATTTCCACGAGAATATGAAGAAAAGGTTTAGTACAGGAGTACAGGAGCCAAGGGAGACCCAGATGTAACCCAAGAATCAGGACGGTACCGTCATCTACGCGGTTGAATGGCGAGCGAGTAATAATTCGATTTCCGTCAGCCCCATCCTCCATCTCCACGGAAGCTCCTAACCCATATGCCTAGCAGGCCTTCAGGGATCTCCGGAGCGAACGATGTATTGGGCGAGTGATGACCATGGCCCCGATTCTAGCTGTTATGACCAATCCAAGGGATGCCCAGTATTGCCTCAACGTTCACCGAGTGGTGGATGATGCCAGCCGAATGAATCTTTATCCATAAGAGTAGAACCGTGCGGAGCGGATAAGTACAACGTGATGTTGCAGTGTATGTACAGGCCGTACTAACATTTGCTGGTCTGCAAGCCAAGACGGGACGTTCCTTTGGCTCATGTTAGACAAACACGTTGGAAGCACGGTCATTGGTAGTCTAGTGGATGGGTGAATGGGCCCAAACGACGTAGATTTAAAGGGTTAATAACTGAGGTAGGCTTGACGGAGGCCTATTTTGAAGCTGCTCCCAAGCCTCGCTATGTCTCTCAGACATATTCTAGAGATCCGTGCCGCTTTCACTCTGTTTCAAGTGTGTTTCTGAAGCATTGTGCATCTAGGGGGAGACTCAAAGTGGCCCTTTAACTGGAAGTGGATAGTATATATGCAGTTGCTTCACTATGGTACCAAAGTCAGACTGGTTGGCGCATATCAACGAGGTAGTTGTGGATTCGGCTTAGGTCCTTATTCTTCCGTTCCACTCATTTGGCATCATTCCATACTATTGTCGTAATCCTACTTAGGTCTAGATCTACAGAACCTGGACCCTAAGCCATGCCGGGCACTCGTAGCACAAGTATTTGTGCATCCCATGAAACGCCAAGCTTGGCCATCCTATGACTGATCCATAGGCCGACAGTACAGCCAGGACGTTCCCTCGTCAGGCCATCGGGAGCCCAACTGGCCGAACGTGTCGAATGCTCTGCCTCTCAGAAGAATGACAGACTGCTTGGTGCAGAAGATAAATAGGTCCTCATACCCCTCCTAAAGTGAACTATCACAGCTCTTATCCTCATTTTCAACAAACCCCTTTCAACATAGAATTGATAGGTATCCACGCGTTAAGGAAGATGTGGTTGTTTCATCTTGCAGCCCTCTTCGGCCTCGCGGCCGGGCTCCCTCACCCCGATGCTACCCCTGATCCATCGTTGATCGTGCCGCAAAATGCATGCCCTGATGGTTCTTCTTGCGCCATGAGTAGCTTGTCTCCGTTGATCGATCCACGGCCGCAGGTCGCGTACCAGAAGCGCCAGGCGTACTCTGACGATATCGATAGTGTCACCGTGCGGATGCATGTGGCTGACTCCTACTATGCTGGCACGGACTACCGTATCTTCTTTGCCTTTGGCGATGCCGAAAGCACGTTTGGGGGCATCTGGAGCCAGATATCCACTGTCCGGGAATTTGCTGATAGAGGCGTGCAACAGTATAATAATATACTGAAGGTCTTCGACGGGCCCTCCCGAGGTGATCAAGCAGAGGTCAAGTTCGACTTGACGAAAGCCTTTCAGAAGGACCGCGTGTCAGTGAGCGACCTAAGTAATGTCAGCATTGCTGTATTGCCGCCCTACGACCCTTCAGTAGGCACCCAGTGGTCAGCTGTCCTGCAGGGAGGGTTCAAAATCCAAGGTGAATCATCCTTCCAGTCTAATGTTTGTCCAATAATATTGACCCGACTCATCTCACACAGATATCACCATCACGGCACATCATGTCGGCTTAAGCCGCGACCTGCAGAACAAACAATTCAATGGGCTGAATGAATGGCTGACTCCAAAGCTCCAGTGGACTCCAGGTATAGGCCAGATCGTGTGGAAAGGGCAGCTGGAACTGGACAAATGGGTTGATCAAGACCAGAAACCCTTGAGCATTGACGAGCCAAGTACCGAAGCAGGTTCTTGTCCCCGGTTCTCCGGAAAGGGGGCAGTTATCGGTAAGCGGCAAAATGAAGGTGAGAATACGCCACCAGAGTGGGATGTGTGGGGGGCATTTGAAGAGGCCAAGAAGCATCTTGAGGCGAATACCCAAGTAGGACGTGAGTGATAAAGTTCCTAGACTAGAGTGGTGCTCGACTAACTCAACGTCCCCGTATACAGGGAATCGTTACCCACATCAGTTCAACAATCGCGAGGCGCTGCAGATCCCCGAGGAGTTTAGGAACCGACGTCTGCAGGAGTTTCCCATTCTGCGTGGACAGACTTACTCCGGCCAGGCCCCAGGAGCGATGCGTGTGATGTGAGTGCTGGTCCCCTTACTCGTCTAGTAGCCCTGAGACGCTGACATGAACGCTCCAGTCTCGCTCAGGTGGGTAATGATTGGATGCTTGCTGGCGTTATGAGACACCCAACAGGACGTGGCAATGCATTTGAGCTGTGTCAGGAATGGGGCAATGCTTATATGGCACAATGCTGGCCCAACGGGCTTGACACTCTTCAACATCTGGAGTATCCCGGGTGTGATCGTGCATAGGATGCTTCTTCCCCAAGAACATCTTGACCCTGGCTGTCTGTTATCCTGTCATTTCTATTCTCTCTTTCGTTTCGACAGCCAATGTGGGATTATACTTGTTATAGCTCATCAGCCTTAGCCTACCATGTTAGAACATACTGGCCGCTGTATCTTCAGCCTCGTGGATGAAGTTTAATTAAAATATTCTATAGATGTTCCAACCTACCGTGAAAAAAATGGGCCGGAAACAGACACTGAAACCTGACTACAATTATTGCCCTTGCGACGAGTTGTTCGAGACAGTATGGCAGCCCTCGACTTGCCTTCTATGGACGTCGAGTCTTGATCGAGAGCCAATGCAGAAGCTGGACGTACGATTTGATAGTAATGAATTCTACGCGCAATAGCATGGCTCTTTTTTGTGATCGGCAGCCCAGTAATACAGACACTGCTTCAATGAAGCAGCACCCTTCCTCATGTGACCTGGAACTTAAGGCGCGGTCGCCAGATAAGGATGTTTTCTGCGATCTACGCATCAGCCACGCATTCCTAACGCGATGTCGCTCTGTTATCTAGCCCATGAGTTCGGAAGAGCATACGATAGGAAGCCTATGGCGCGCCGCAACCCAAGCGCCAGGATGGGCTGTCAGACTCGGCGCAGATGGTTGGAGCGAAGATCCCACAGAGGTACAGTCTTCCCTGCCCACACTGTACTTGTACAGAGCCCGCTGACTCGTTGGCTGTATGACATTGTACATGGCAAAAGCCGCCGGGGGAGGGGGGGACAGGTTTTTCCTTGCCCTCACGGGACCACCGTCCTCCCAAGCCGCAAACGACGAACTTATGACTCCCATGACTATCTTGCATAGCATAACAAGCAATCCGCGTGCGACGGTTAATGATGTTCAGATAGTCCGCAACCCTATTCTCGATCCGATCCGGGAGCTCAACCGCGTAGCAGCTCCAATACCGCCTGTAATCCACCGAGACACGGAAAGGAGTGGTGATGGAGCATTGTAAGTTAGTCACCAGTGCGAAATCACTACAAACACGACTCCATGTTACGGCCCGAACGTTGGAATTCGCGTATCATACCAGTCTCGCCGATTATTTGACAACGTTCGCTGCCGGCGGATATATGTATATCCCCAAGGGGGGGGGGGGAAATCTACCTGCTACGCCTCAGCTGGAAGCGAACTGGATGCAAGTCCATCAGGTTGCCGAGCTATTCAGACCGGCAGACGTCCCTGATATCCGGAAATTTCGTGTAGGCGGGGTGCCACGCACTCCGGAAGGGGTCAAATCATGGGCACTATGACGGCATCCGATCGCCGTTTATGATCCTACACAATGCTCCATCATATACCACCAACCCTCTCGAAATCGACTCCCATCCCGACAACATCGGGTTCGCCAGTGAAGCTGCCTGGGTGGCAACCCCTCCGGTCGGGGAACGAAGGCCCCATTGTTGGCCGCAGGTGCTTGCACGACGAAACTCGATACGCGCTGCTTTCGTTGAACCAGGGGCTTGTTTACTGCCCTGGAGACGTTATGAGGTGTCAGAGCCCATGGAAGCCTAAGGCAGCAACCACGTGACCTGACCACAACACCAAGGAATCTCTGTAAAGTAGATTTAGACCTTAATACAATCAATCCAATACACGTGAGCTACACCAGCTCCATCATGAGGTATCAAGACGATAGATAGACCACGATACTATGGCTAAGAGAAGTGGAAGCGACCGCGAAAAGCGTACCTAAGTATCATTAGTTGCATCCTGTGGTCTTTCGGAAAGAGAGGAATGAAGTCTGTAAACAGAACACTACTTTCCTCGTTAGTCACGTGAATAACTGTGGCACTAATAAGAACGAGCAACCCCTTATTGCCACATAGTCCAAATCATGGCTGACGGCTGTGGTTGCAGATCGGTCGACCTATTCGGGCTTATATAAACACACAAGAGATCAGGAATCACTTACCTTGTAAGACAAACTATGACTCAATTCGGGGAACTGTCGCTCCAATAATATGCGTGTCTTGACTACTCCAAAGTTGCCGGTGACGGGATGGCGGCCCTAATTATATATAATTTTGCCAAGTTTACAATCTGCATGAAGCATCGCTTTCCCATGGTTTCTCGGAATGGCCATTCAACTTACACTCGTTCACATGAACACTCGATAGCTATCGGTGGGAATTTCTATCATCACCGTGAGAACATGTTGAACCCGTGGTTAGTCGTAGAACATAGGTCAGCCCAGGGTCACATGGTCTTTCCTTTTCTCCGCGATATTTACAACAGCAGAGGTGAGTCTCGTCCCTACAGACCTCCCTCGAATCAGCAAGGTTGTCACTGCGGGGATATGGAATTGTGGCACTTTTGGACCTTGTATTATAACCGCCCGACCGTTAGCTGATCCATGGTTCCTTGGGTCGAAGTTCGGTAGGAGAGCACGAGTTTGGTTCAGGTGCTTTACCAACTCCTCATGGACCAATCGATTCCAAAATACGGCTCTGTCTTGACGTCAGGAGCTCTCTTGGCTCTATACAAATTCTCCTCTCCTGTGATGGTGGGGAACCCTGTATTGTCGACTTTCTTTTCCCTCCACATTGAATCCGAACCCCTTACCACTAGAGAAGATGAACGCTGCAAAACCTCCAATCTCTTGCCCTAACATCTACCGCGTCCTCGTTCCCTCCGATGGGAGCATACAAATCGCCGCCAACGGAGCGAGCCTCCTCTTGAGAAACATGGTTCTCTGATGTCGACGGTAAAGAGTCCTGCCGAAGAGCTGATCCAACACTCGACCATCGACCAGGTCCAGAAGTACGTTATTGCCGCGTTCTGTGCGGTGGTCTGGTACAATGCTATTGAGCTGGTGGTGCTTTGCCTCATCACCTTTAAACGATACAGGGGGTGCTACTTCTGGAGTCTGTTCATCGCATCCGCGAGCCTGATCCCTCACGGCCTCGGGTTTATCTTCTTCATCTATCCGTTGGGGGTCAGCCCCTATATCTCGGTCACCCTGATTGTAACCAGCTGGTACTGCATGGTCACCGGTCACTCACTCGTTCTGTGGTCGCGGCTTCATCTGGTGCTCCAAGCACCCAGGTTGCTTCGTGCCCTCCTGGCCATCATTATCATCGACGCGGTCGCTTTTCACGTCCCCACCACCATCTGCCTATATGGAACGATATCGTCGGCGCCGGGCCATCCAAATCACTTTGCCAGGGGCTACCGAGTGATGGAGCACACACAACTCATCGGCTTCGCCGTGCAGGAGTCCGTCCTCTCCGGGTTATACATCTGGGAGACGGGGAAAATGTTGCGTCTCCGACAGGATCGCGTGCATTACGCTATTCTCATTCAGTTGCTGACGATCAATATCGTAATCTTGATTTTGGACGTGGCCGTCGTGGGGATCGAGTACGCCGGATACTACTCGCTCCAGGTGATGTTCAAGCCCGTCGCGTACAGCGTCAAATTCAAATTAGAATATGCGATCCTGGGCAAATTGATCCAAATCGCCCAGGCGTCCTCGTCCAGCCAGGATCCGCTCTCCTCGAGTTCGCGGGGACAGGAATGGTTCACCTCCGCAGGTCAGAGTGGCTCCGGCAGCAACGGGGCGCCGACGAGCGAGATAGTACGAGAGATCCCCCAAGAGACATTGTGTACGGGATTTTCGCGTCCAGATCGTATGGTATGTTAGGTCCGCACGAAAGACGACTCGTGTTTCTACCTGCTGCCAATCCTTATGGATGAAGTGTAGCGTGATTGCAGAGAATCTGGTGGATTATGGGTCGGACTGAGGGTGACAACCAATTCGTATGTTTGTATAGGCATCAAAAGAAAAAGAAATAAGATCCGTCCATCATTACTAGCTTCAACAAAAAGATTCTGGTGGCAGGGACCTCCTCATATAAACAGCACAAGACCAAATGCCTTCTAAGGGGACCGCAGGTTATTAATGATATCGCCGATGATGTCTGTTGATACGGAACATAACAACCTCTGAATAGAAAAAAAAACCCCCCCTATAAACGACCGTACTTAAAGACTCGATAATTGTCTTTGAATTGTAATGCTGTATCAGAATAATCTGGGAACCTTATCCCCTGCAACGTTGTTTCACAGCTGTGATGAAGCCAGCGAAGCTTTGGCACATCGCCATGCCGAAGCACCCGACTATGACACAAGCTGACCTGGTAGGAATATGCCCCACAAGAGCTATGTGGGATTGGTTCTCTATCAGAGTAGTCTCATCTAGTTCGATGTCCATTTGAAACCATCTGTCTGGCAGCGGTTGCCCCTGGATAGACGCCGGCAAGGTAGAAGCCTGCCCAGAAGTTGAAAAGCAGAACGCCATCGCGATCACCGTCTTCCGGAGGAATAACATAGTAGTGGATACCGTTGATAACAACAAGGCCGACCAGGCAACGAATTAAGATAATAAAGCCAGTTCGGCATGGCTGGAGAAGATGCTGATTGCTCCCTGGCAATCCTGACAAGCCTTGGCTTTTATATCATAAGCCTTCTGGGTGGATGTGCTGATTCCTAGCTATCGTTATGAGACAGGTATACATAGTAGTGTTCAGATATGAAGCCCGAGGTAGTGCTAACAACATCTAACGAGAATTGGTCGTAAATGAGAAAGCAAGTTGATCTGCTCGTGAATGTGTTTTGTCAAGCGAGCGTGCCGGAGCAGTTCGAGGCCTGCACCCCGATATGCTTACAACCCTTCAAAGCGGCTAAAATAAATTTTGGGTTCAAGCACATCTCTAATACTGGCCTCGAGTGCTGGGCCGGTTTGCATGGCAAGGGGAACGAGTCGTACTTTCCTCGAGTCGGAAGCCAAAGCCCATTGACTGTTGATCGTGAAGAGCTGTGATGGCCTGGCTTTCATTAGGATGGAAACGTTGCATATTGTACAACGAGGCCTTCTATTGAGTGTAGAAATAACCTGTGTTGTCAAGTATGTAGGATATCAACTGCACTCATCCAAAGGGGCTTACATTTTACGTTGCAGAGTCTACGTTGGTCTCTACTATATAACAAAGAATATGGAACCATCAAGAATGTATAGGTGTCTTATTGACTCCATGGAAGAGTTCCGTAGAAGTGGCATCCCTATTGAACCTTTCCTCTCGAGTCAACGGGCCAGATCTCCTCAATGACCCCTTTTCGATGGGCATAGTAGAAGTCATGCAGATTGATAGTTGGATCGATGTGACTGGGGATCATTTCAACCCGGTCGCCCACGTCTAAAGCTGGGGTTCCCTCCTCCCAGCTCAGGGCGCCATGCTCATCGCCTAAGTTCTGGTGCTGGTACCGCGGGTCCTTGCATTCCGCCAGCCCACTGTCAGTCGTTAAGGACTTCAGGCCGGTGTCGATGGTCACCTGCCGGTCACCTTGCTTGCTGATGACGGTAGACAGCAAGGTCAGGCTGTTGGAATAGAAGGTTCCGACCGCGTTGCGGTAGTCGGTATCCATAAAAATGAAGGATCCCGGCTGTAATTCAGTCACTCCAGTCACGGAGGCGCAGAATTCAGCCGTGCCCGTCCCACCGGTCGTGACGACTTGAATGTCGAATCCTTCGTTGCGGAGTAGCTCCGCCGTGGCCGTGAGGGTTCTCATCGACTCGAGACATTGGCTCTTGCGCTCCTCACGGCTGTGCAAATGCTGTAAATGGCCCTCGTATCCCTGAACGCCGATCAGGCGCAAGTGGCGGAGGGAGCCGATGTGGCTTGCGAGAGCCAGAGCCGTTTCCGCATTGGCCACGCCCGTGCGATGAAGTCCCACATCCAGATCGATGAGGACGGAGATGGGCTCTGCGATCCCCGCCTGTGCCAGCGCCTTGTCAATGGCCGTGGCCCCCACTACACTGTCGACCACGATCCGAATGCTGGGATGTGTCCGGAAGAGTTCGACCAGCCGCTTCACCTTCTGCGGACCAATAATTTCCGTAGTGATCAGAATATCGTCAAATCCGGCGGCGGCGACGACCTCGGCTTCCGACACCTTTGCCACGCAGCAACCTTTCGCTCCCGCTGCGGTGAGCTTGCGAGCGAGGGCGACGCTTTTCGTCGTCTTCAGGTGTGGGCGAATGTTTAAACCAGTGGGCAGAAGAGTGTCAAAAAGCTTCTTGATATTGGCTTCCATGAGGTCGAGGTCGACGATCATGGAGGGGGTGTCCAGGCTGTCCAAGTGGTCGCCGACCCGTGGGGAATACATGTTGTGCTTTCTTGGACTGGTATGGTATGAGCTCAAGGAAGTAAGCTACACTTGAAGTTGTAGGGAGAAACCGGCAGGGGGGCAATAAATATGCAAGTCATCGAGTTGAACCCCCACGTATTGGGCACGGACGTACGATCAACCCCACGATCACTTTATGTCCGAGCGCTAGATGAGTACTACTACCTTTCAATCAACGATAATCCTACCCTACCCCGCGCATAATCTATTTGTCATGAGCTGACTAAACTTTGGGTTGAAAGATCGACTCGATAATTCCAAAATCAAGCAATTCCCATTCCAGGAAAGCCAGCCCTAGAAGCCAGCATTATCTGTGCCTCCTAGTTAAACACTGCAGGCTTGCCAGGGGCGAAGGAAGATAGAATAAATTCACATAACGCAATGTAATCGATTCATAACACGAACACTAAGATGACAAGCAAATTTCGGCTGGTGTCGAGACAGCGATTTTACACGAAGGATGGTTTTCTGTAGAAGAGGAATAGAGCACTTCCACGGCCCGCTGACCCGTATCTTCGGGAGATACGCGATCTGCCTTCCCCCCTAATACTTCAGCGTGGTCAATAACACTGAGGGTGGCTGTGCCACTCAATCCACTCCTTCTTACCCCTGCTATAGTCGCGGGAGGGTATGTCGATTTGGTGTGTTTTTAATTGAACATCATTCGAAGCCCAGCTAGTAATAGCCTGTTCCTTCCTTGTCGCATCCCACTGGAACCAGATATTTGCGTCGAACTTGTAGATCTTCTGGTAGACAAAGATCTCCTCAACAAATGGTTTCACGTCCACGTTCACCTTAGAATTTTGGCGGTTGCGCTAGTCTTGTCCGTAGAGAATTTCTTTGCAGGCAAATCCGTACCATCATAGGTGATCTGAAGATTATCGAAGATCGAGCCAATCCCGAGAAATCTAACTGTCCCTCTTACTGCAGCGAGTAGCGATATGCAATGGTATGCGTTGGCTCGTAGCCGAGCTTTGGTAGCTCGACTTTAGGGTCCATTTAAAGCCCAGACAACGCAGGTCGATTGTTTTATATGCTGCCTGTTCTCCTGGAATACTCCACGGCGCCGTTTTCTGTTGCTTGACAAGGCTGTCTGGGGCTTCGTATTCTAAAGACAGCACCATTGCAAGGATTGCTTCGACCCCATCCGTGGAGGTGTCAGCACCGTCCCATTATGAATCAACAAGGAGTTTTCGTTTAGGACAGTCGGCATTCTCAAATGATAAATTCGATGATTGACTACGTTCATTATTAGTGAATCTTGAGGCTTGTAGTCGTCGATCATCCTCGGGCTCATCTGCTATTCGATGGAAACTTCTATTTTCAAGCTCAAGCAGTTGGTTCATACTCGCGGCAGCATAGGTAGTTCCGGCTAGATGGTCAATCACGGTGATATAATGCCTACACCGGGAAGAACGGTACTCTACACGAGCACAGAGCTGGAAGGAGAAGTAGTCCATGGCCTGTCGGTTGTAGGTCCGGGCTTAGTATTAATACTAGGACCTTTGACTTCAGTGAATTTCGTCAAGTTGGCTTAATACATTGTATTGCCGGTCGTAACCATCCGTATCTCCCCCGCTTCCGGTGGACTGGACCATGTCGCCTCCAAGTCTCTTTGCAGATATCGTGCATATTGATCCATTGACGATCATATCCCATAGTATCGATCTGCCCCATTGAAGTAACGTTACCTCCACAGAATGGATGGAAACATATCCATATCGTCATCCGTCCTGCCGGCCCAAACGCAATTACAGGAATCTACGCATCACTGGAACTTTAGAGATGACGTGCTCTGTGAGGTACGTTCTGCTTGGTCCTTCACACATGTTACATTCCACATAAAGAGCAGCGACCGCTTCTGGTCAAAGGTGTTTCCTGTATTCTGTTGGTAGGATGTATTCCCCGTTCCGCTCTTAGCCCATTTCCTCACTAGAAAAAGCAACAAGTAAAAAAAAATAAAGATGATAAAAATGAGTAAGGGACATGGCATTGGCTAGCACTACAAATATAGGGTGGCATCCCTCACGACCGTTTCACGCTGCCAGTCCTCCCTCAATCCTGCTTTGGCTCACAGCCATAACGATAGACCGACAATCTTTTGCATTGCACCGAAAATGTCTAATGAATTAGACCATAAAGGGAAGCCCTCCCAGGTCAAGACGAGCCTCGTATTGCTAAGGTTTGACGACTCCCAGAAAACATCCTCCCAGTTTGCTACGGTCGTTTTAATGAAAACATCGAAGTAAAGAAGTTGGGTTAAATACGCGATGAGCTGTTGAAGCAGAAGGGTTTGGACAAAGGACAGTGAGCGCGCATGCCAAAGATTCTTGTCTATTTACTGTATCCTGCCAAGGACTCTCATGGCTGTGCCCGATATTCCTCTAGTCACTGGTGCAGCTTCTGCATTAAAGATGGGGCGAAGCTACAAATGCTAAGAGATTTGAGGCTATCTGGACCTCGGTGGCCGGCAGCGGGACAGTGAAGGAAACACGGTGGGCAAGAAACCTACTATGTTGGTGTCATTAATGTCCGATGATTCTCATGTACTAAAAGCTTGAGAATGAGAAGACCAAGAATAACGAACCGAAAAAGGTAAGGCTATCCTACCCGCCTATATGGCTCCGTACTTGACCAGTCCAGGACGTGATTATATGGAAGATGTCCCAGAGCTGACCCCTGAACTAGATAAACCGCATATTTCTAGGCTCACTGTCACGTATATTTCAAATATATAAAGCTCCTACCGGGAAGCGACTCGAAAAAATGCGGTTTTCGAATCATTTTTGAGCAAGGAGCTTATCATTACCCCAGTACGAATGCGTCGACTTCCTCACCAAAGCTGTGACTTTTTCCTTTCTAGGGAAATAAGCCAAGTTTCCTTGAAGCGACCCAGGGGGAGAAACTCCGAAGTCTATTTAACACCTCAAGTCGGAATGCATTAAGCAGTGGGAGCAATATGTACGTTCCATGGATAGTATCTATATCGTTTCCAAAACTAACAGAGGCCCAGTTATGCCGCCTACATGTCCGAGAAAGGTTGGCAAGTTGTGGTGCACAACAACAGCCCTATCTATGGACAAACACGGTCGACTGTGGCTGGAGTTGAAGCCAGCGGCTCATCCGGGTACATCTGGTCCCCTAAAATCGCACACGGGAAGAAAGTAATGAACATTGCCGATATATAGTACAATCAGCTTTCAAAGTCAAGGCGCAGGCTATTGAAGGCTATGGTCCTCCAGCCTCGGTCAGGGCGCTGCCGATATGAAATTCCGCATCCCACGCTTCCAGATCGTTGACGCGGCGCAAGTTGATAGCGAATCCGGAATTATCACCGAATGCGAAAGGGACACGGGATTTCTGAGACAGCATCCAAACATCGAAACACTGGATTAGTTCCATGCGAAATATGGACAGTGCATTTCTCACTCTAACAACGGAACTGGCTGATATCATTATAGGCGATAAATTTGTCCAATGCGTGCGGCTGGGAGGTTAGTTGTATTCTATTGAAGACTTCCAACCTGACAACAACCTACATTTGGATAAACTGGATGTAATTGCCAATCAAGTCTTAAGGCTGATGCTAGTTATTTTCTTCCTACTGAAGCGGATTGTTACATATGTGAGACGATTTGGGTGTTTTCAAGAACACATATGTATGGAATTTGTTACACTCTGCGTAGGTTGCCCCTTTTTATTACTATAACCCGGCACTTGGGTCATTGCAGAAGTCTACAACGAAAGACGCGCATTCGGATGCAGCGCAATCCTATCAGCGAGTTATGGTGAGTGCTCCTCTGCGTCGACGTCGGAGAGGACAGATGTACCATCTCGTATATATGTACAACAAATCCGGAGATATTGACACCTCGGTCTGCTCCACGTTACCCCGGGCGATCTGAGCACCTCTCTGCTCGGACTGGAAAGCTGGAAAATGCTACCACATCCTAGCTCCTCTACCCTCGGGCTGGGAACACTTCCGAATACATGAGAAGAGTGGAGATGAGGCATACCTTTCCATATTCGACTAAAATGATCCGCCAAATCGACTGCGAAGAGAGATCACTAGTATCGTTGTTGATATTTTTCTGCCACCGCAGGACGGCGTTTTAGCGATATATTCTGATTATTACTCCAACGATTTATAGGTCAGAACCTTGCTTCCTTTGTCGAAGCTGGTCCGGACGAGGTACTAGTAGAGAGTGTACAATTACAACATGAGGAACCTTATACGTAATGCGAAGCTTCATGATATAACTGATCCCGCGAGTTATTGTTGTGAAGTTTTACGGCTCTCGGATAAAGCGCAAGAAGCTTGTGGCGTCTTGGCCTTATTGATGGAATTGCGTATTTCTCGTGTTTTCTTTGATTCCATTCAAAGTTTAAACTAAACACGAATTGAAGACGTAGCTCTTCTCACTCAACTGCAATTATAAGCCCGGGCAGAAGTTCAACTTGTCCTGGGGTCTCTCCATGAAAGGTGAGCCTGACCACTGGTTCCCCTTCGTCCCCTTCGTTTGCAGAAAGGGAGATGTTGTGCTTCCCAACGCTCGACCCTGAGGGAACCTCATAATGCCAATTTAGAGGTGGTAATCCCGTTGAACCTGCCGGAGGGTAGATTGCATCGTATACTGTCGACAGGTCGGACAGCTGTGCCTCAGGCACAGACACCGAGAGCGAAGATATTCCTAGTACCCCACTGGGATGCTGGGTCAGATCTGGCTGCTCTTGGTAGGGTACCCGCAAGTGTCGAGGGGTTCTGTCGAGGCACCAAAATGGCAGACTCCCCGGGGAGATTGCATTGCCCTGGGCGTCTCTCGCCGCGCTGACAACCCATTCTAAAATGGCTCCGTCGTCCCTCTTTCGACCGCCTGCAACCGGGTTTTGGTAAGAAATGACCGCGTTTGAAGCGAGAACGCGCTGCTGGACGGCAGCGAAATCCCTTTCGCTGGGCAACGTCAGCGCCCAGTCAATGATTGTGTTTTCCTTCCGACTGCCCCAGCGATGCTTTCTGCGCTGCTCGGGATCGGCATCTTTGGCAAACGCGATGAGCTCGATGTAGACCCCATCGGGGAGCAGGATCAGCCTGTTTGAGGTGAGCCCATCCGCATGGGTCCCGCCCGGAGCGACGAAGAAGAGATGCTGGAGGCGATCGGATAGGGTGAGGAGAGTGTCATGAGAGATGAGAACGACGATATGATCAAGACTTGGACGTGACATAATTTACTATTGAAACATAGGCAATTGGGATTGTAAAGTTACTCCATAAATCTTTAGGATATGCAGGCGTTGGAAGATCCAAAGGTGGAAATGAGGGGAATGTTCATTATTTATATTGAATCATCCAACCCTCGTATTATGTGACCGTAGATATATCGACGCTATTCCCATCCTAGTTTAGAACCCCCACAATATCCTAAGCTATCCTCTCATATCTTTACGGTGTTTAGATAGAGCCATCTCCTTGATTGAATCTTCACCATAACCCCTTAAACTGACCTTGAGGGCCTAGTAATGTTGGTAAGCCTGTCGCTATACATAGTCAGTGCCTGGGTCCCGAAGATGTCGAGATACTATTGATTACCCGTTTAGTTTCTTGATGCGGGCCTCCAGCCCATCATGAGAGCAATCCCTCGAGTTCCATATGTCCTTGTGATACACAACCTTCTCATTGGGCTCGTTGCCTTCTAGCGTGAGGCTGATGAGACTGTTTGCGGACTTGGCCACATGGATGCCGGCAAAGGTGTACCTCTGCCGCTGCCTTCCACACCAGCTCGTGCTCAGTCGACGACGTGATCTCCGTAGCCAGAGTTTCGGACTTGGCGAACAGTTTCGGAACCCCTTGCCACTGTCCGGCGATCTTACACCTATGGTTTATTTATTTCAACGGTGGTCTCGTTAAAATCCCGGGCGTCAACAAACACCGTGTGTCGCAATAGCTGAATGGGTCATCGTAGATTGCCTGCTCCCCATAGACCTTCATGTCGTCTTTTAAAGCACCGCCGCTGTAAAAGGCAATAATATTCCTCTGGATGGACCCCTGGTGGGGGTGAAATAGTCGTGGAGCTTCCGGGGTGCGGCTCGTAGTCCATGTCGCCCTAGATGTTCCGGAGCCGTTGGGGTCCGGATGTGGGAATGTTGGAGACAGCATATTGTGGAAATCCAGGTTATGAAGAGGAATCGAACAATCCTAGGCAAAGTGCAGTGCACAAGGCGTTGTACATTCAGAAGAGTTCGCAAAGGATGGCTCCATTATCAAGCAAGATAGAGTCCAATGATGTCAGCCACTCCAGCCCCAAGAGATAATGTTTAATCCCGACGGCCACGTCGCATGGCTTCTAGGCTGATTCCTCACTCTTGCGCATTGTAGAGCAAGAGAGACTTCTCCGATATTAGGACTTCCTGCATCTTGACATCTCTTAACATTTCTTCGCATTGCAGGACTGGTGCGAGAAAGCAAATTGGTGACAATATCTCACTGCAAAGGGCAAATTATGAGACCCCAATATCAAAACCAGCCCCAATCTTTCTGGCTGTGTGTTGATGCGTAACTCTTATCAGGAATTCTTAAGTGTATATAATGTATTATTGAGCTAGAAAGTTACATACATAATCGTCACCAAAAAATCGATTCACAATACATACGTTGAACCCAATAAACATAAATTAGAGGACAAGAGCACCTGCGACCGCTGCGACTGCAGCCCCAGCCATACCCAGGCGAGCTGGGTGAGTTTCTGCGGCGGCTCCAGTCGATGTCGCGGCGGTGGGGCCAGCTTTGTTGAAGTTGCCCAGGCCGGCCGTAATAGTCAGTGGCTCATAGAGGACCTCTGCAGAACCGGTTCCAGTCGCCTTGGTCGCAAACGAAGTCGAAGTGGATTGTCCCTTGTACGCGGCTTGGACCCCGAGTGAAACGGAGCAAACGGCGGTTGCTGTTGATGAGGTGATGTCGCAATCTTGTACAAGTGTACCTGTGCCCTTGGCGCCCAGTGTGTTGAGAGTATAGACCGCGCTCATAGTGAAGGTGGAAGGGCCTTGGGTGATGGTAAAAGGTTCGGTGATCGGACATGACGAAGAGTCTTTTTTGCAATTCACGGCGTAAGTGGTCGCCTGCGCATCCCCACCCACGACACTGCCTCGCAGCTCATCAAAGGCGATGGTGTTATAGTGACCGTTCAGGATTTGGACAACGGTGGTGGAATCGTCAGCGGCAACAGTGGCCGACAAGCTGGCCACCAGGAGTAGGAGAAACTGGAGGACGTGTACCATCATGGGTAGAATTAACCGAATATTGCGTGGGAAACAAGAAATATTTAATGATTCCCCAACAGGGAGTAAGAAAGTCTTAATCTAGGGAGATAAGGAAGGACCACAAAAAATTATGCGGTTGAACTGGGGTGATTCTACTATATAAGCGACTCGACTTGACTTGAGCGATATCCGAAAGACACCTAACACTTTTCGAGAAGGCCACTGGCTGGACCAGGATGCGGCTGAAAGCCAGATACACTCGGATTGAGTCATGGAGAGGGTTGTCATGGTCGGAACCAGGCTTTTCCAGGACACTAATCGAGGCGGTGGTCACTAGACAAACTCTGAAAAGGACAGCAATTACCCGTATAGGGATTGATTGGGCTGATCGGGACTTGAATTAATGAATACGAATGAGGGTTACATTGCAAATCGTGCCCTAGTGATCTGGTTCGGGAGAGCTGTGCCATGAAAGAAGGTCAGTGGTTTTTGACGCTTAACGTACTGATCCAATGGTTTTATTTATTCACGTCAGAGTAAATGACCAACTATCACTGTGATATTACTCGGGTGACAGAACTCACGGTAAGATATTGTCAAGGGCTTTTTCTTCTTGCTTAGCGATCTCTTCGCCCTATCACGATATCAGGTGACCCCCACCGGGGTTCAGTCTTTCCCCAAACGGGTCAAGCCTGCATAGAAGTAGATAAGAAGTTGGGTGTGGATATGTAATGAGCCATACTTGAGTCACATTAGATGGCGAGACACACGACGAGGTTACTTCTTTCTTTTTTTCAGACTCCTGTAATCACGCTGATTTTATTCATTATTCTTTATATGGTGGAAATAGAGGTATTTGCTTATGTTGGCTGGGGTAGTGGTTCCGGCTGGTAGTCCTGATTGGACCGGCTACTGGGTTGATCCGGCCGGTATGTGGATTTAGGCGATAGTGATGAAGATAACTCTAGATAGCAAGAAAAATAAAATCATGATTTTGTGAGAAATGAGCTCCATATAATGCCCCAAGAGATTATATATGCGATGTATGAGTCAGATCTCGAGTTCTGCTTTTATTTGATCTAATAATTGTTGTGATCTCAGGGGAAAGATGGGCAGAATGATGCTGTATCAGCTACACATACGTAGCCTACTGAGGACCGGATGCCATTCCGATAGATCTCAATTCTATGGACGACTATATCAACTACCTTGACTGCTTCTTCTCTCTACTAATGGGTAAAGCCTTCAGGGGCACAAGAGTTGGTGATCCGGCCAAGCCACTAGGTGGTCACGTGTCTCGTATAGATTCATAACAATAATCAAAGTAACTATTGTGTAGAAAGAGTATCTTGGTGTCACGCCCATCATACGGACAGTTATATTTTGCATATTGACTATAGTGTACTGTATAATCATCTTCTGGTTGGAAATAGTCATCATGGAATACTCATCCGATGACAGGTCGTATTAGTTGTAGTAGTTGTAGTGCTACTAGCTAACTGGGATATTTCCCGTAAGTAGTCTCAGCTGTCTTATTCTGTTAAGATCTCCTTAGGGCGCCACAGGTATAGGAGCACTTAAATACAATAAGCAATATGCAGATGAGCACTTCAAACTTCTCGTGGAGTCCTTGGATATGGCACTTCCGCCATATAAAAGCATGATCTGAATTGTTAAACTCGTCCAAGTGGGAAACGATTCTATTTCTTGAGTCGACTAAACTTAACTGTGCAATTAAGTTTCTAGGTTTTCTTTTCTTGTTATTTTCTAGTTGCTTTTACATTCATTTATCGTGCTTCTAATCATCTCTACTAAGACACTTTCTTAGCCCTTATTCTTCTCTAGAATAAATTCCGCTGCAGGGTCAGGATTCCGCAAATAGCCCACATTCCATCCCACCGGTTCTAGCGTGTCACTGCCAAAGGACGGCCTCAGGCTTTGTATCTTCCAATTGGGTCGCATCATCACGTCACTCCCAGCACTGATGGAAGTCAAAGGGCGTGGAATGAAGGGAGGAAAGTACTTGCTGTTGGCAATTACTTCCGATGATACAATGCATTTTTTCCCTGTGTTTTACTTTTTAGCTTTCTACTACTAATTCATATAGCACAGACACTCCAATGTCATAGTCACATAGACAATGTTGCTCTTCTCGATCGTGGTACACCACTGCATCACAAGACATAATAGGGAGGTTGTCAGGTTTTCTCAATTCTAGGGTGCCCCTTCTCGTTCTCCCTTAGACAAAGCATACTCTAGCAAGGGGTAGGCGTGGGCAAACTGTCAACTGCTCTTGGCCGTATTACCACAGAAGAAGGGTGAGAAGCGATAATATGTCTCATCAGTTTGTCGGTGGTTACAGATGGCTTATTCTGCACTTCTGGTACTTCTACTTTGGCCGTCTGGACTGTAGTGTCGAGGATGGGTGGAATCGCGGCGCCCTATGGCGTTATAAGCTTATAATGTCATGACCATTCCATTTCTATACGTCTTGAAATATATTTGGATAATGTGTTATATAGGGCTCCCAGGTACCTTTAACCCCTTTGATCGTACCGTACACGGTTGATCTGGCGGAGCCGAAGCAGTTTGCTCTCAAAGATATATTAGCCAAGTATGGTAGTTGAGTAAGCATGCTCAGGATAGGAACAGATCTGAATTGATTGGGTGGTATGTTTGGCGCACGCCACTGGTGGACGTAATTGCATCTCGAGCATCTATGGGACAGCCATTTTACTTGGCAATCGCGCCCTGCAGCTCAGCGAGACATGTCGGTTCTAAGAGGTTACAATTTGAGCTGACATTGTCTCCCATTTGAATAGCCGAGCCAACACTGGCGTGATGGAGCTACAAGGAAAATTACCCAAGGAGGATTAGAAAAGCATCTAATCCGGCTTGGTAAGGAAGCACTCCCACGATGATCCATCAATCTCCTGGACAATAGGCGGTGGTGGTGGTTGCATTCGCGCAATGATGTGAAGGATCCTAACCGTCACCTTCGTTGTGTGTGGTGGCATTCCCGGCCCTTCGTTGAGGATAAGTCCCACGCCGCGGCCGCAATAGGTGCTGAGGGCACTTCCCACATCATGCGAAACCGCTAGTCGGTCCACTATTACCGGGATACAATGTACAAACTGCCAACAGGGAATGCGTTAAGGGGTACCCCGCACATAGGGCTCTGTTCTTATCGAAAAGCCCTCGAGCGGCAGGGGATAACAGCGCGCCAGTATTCGCAGACTGTGTCGCACGGACTCTTTACAACATTCTTTAGTTATAGGACAACAATATTAACTCATTCAATGCAAAGTTGATGCTGTCACCAGACACAATCGTTATCCATACTTATGCGGGACATTCTGGCCATTAATCTGTAACAAGTACCTGATAGCTTTGAAATAGGACTCCTCAGTTAACGCAAGGCCAAACTGGGTAGCATATTTTCCGCCATTCAGGTCAGCAGAGGCTATTTCCCCTTTCCCGGTTCGTTAAGTGAAAGAAAGGGAAGAAGGCCTCGACCAGCCGCTTGGGATTCTATCACGGGTCGTTTGGTTTCTTCCCTTGAATTCCGCTCAACTTGCAGGTACCCTGTGGCTTGCCTGGGGTCTCATGAGTTGTACACCGGACATACTCGCGAACCAAATATCATAATCGACAGCATGGACGTTATCTCCCTTTTGTTCCTATGCATGTCTATGGCCTCTTATTACTGATTTACAAGATATCCAGCGCGCAGTCAATTTACTCGGCGCACAATGATATTCGAAAGAGTAGGATCGTTTGCACGTGCTCACTGTTTCGAGAGGAACGACTACTTAAATGTTATAAACATAGCTTATTGTACCATTTTTGGGTGCATTCTCTGGATTAAGTGAAACCTTCAGATAGACCAATAGACTTATCATATGATGCTGCTTCATTCCTAGGGCTTCGGGGCATTCCGCCGCAGTATACTACCCACTCAAAGAACGAGCTTCTCTATTTCCACTTATTTGACGCATTATCAAACTATCAGAAGTATAGGAGCTGTTGGGGACCCATAAATACCTTCACTCCTGCCCCTAATTTACGCCATATCCATCCGTCTTTCTAGATCCTGTTCTACTCTCATAAAGATTCTGCCTTACTGTGCTGATAGATACGTTCACGCGATGAAGCCGGCGGTTACTTTCATTGGTTGTGTGTCTATGATTTCTGGGGCCCTCTCATTTGAGAACGCATGCAGGGAAACCCTTCACTATTGCGGCACAACCTTGATGAAGTATAATGGTATGCATCAGATAGCCATCCTTTTATAATACTGACTTACTCAAATGCTTTGTAACTCGAAAGGATACTCCAAGGAGGAAGTGAAGTCTGCCATCCCGTGGCCTTCACTTGCGCAAGCTAATTTCCCAGCACTTCTTGATCCGGGAAATGCAATCTTCAACTGCAAAGACGCAAAGGGAGGTCTGCAGCTAATTACGTTCTGCTATAAAGGATGTACAGCGCCCGCAGATGGTGACATCTGTGCTTCTTGATCTTAGGTAACGCCTATATCTCAAGTTTTGCTAAAGCATTTCAAGCTTATTATGTCTATAGGTTAACGCCCCTTTTCACGGCTAGTTTTCGATCCGTTGTATAGGGGTACCATTAGAGAGTTTTTTGATTATTTAAGCTTTTAGTTCTGACTTGATTCGGGCTGAGTGTGATTCAATATGTTTAATGCTTCCTGAGCCTTGGCGCGTACATTGATTGCACAACCGTTTGAGTTAAAGGATCATTGCAGAGCAGGATAGGGGCATGGTGGCGACAGATACTGCGGATACTCAGCAATTGGGCTCTCTTTGAATGGAATGGGCTGGGCCCTCTCGCTGATGAGTGATTCGAAGCTTTTACCGTGCAGGATGTCCGCTAGGACCCAGGAAATGAGGTTGATTGCCAGTACAAGTTTTGCGAATTTCTAGCGCTATAATAATAGTTACATTGCGAGCCCGAGTGATGGTCCTGTCCCGGGTGTGGTCTGGAGATAGATGTCCTTTTTGCTAGGTATGGAATCAAGCTGATGGAAAAATTCTTTCGGTTTCTTCATCTAGTTGTTGTCGTTGATGTTGCAAGACACGATGACTGTGTCCCTGGACAGTACCCCTTGCTTGCTGGCGGGCCCAGAATCGAAAGGTATGGCCCATTTCTGCAATACCTTTTGACTGCTGCTCCTCTGTAGTATTGGTTGGATGGTGGTGAGTCATCAAGGAGAATAGGTTAATAACAGCGAAGTATTTTATCTATTGTATTCGATTAATTTCTGATTGCTCCATCCAAAGAGAATGACCTGCTGAAAGTATCGATTGAACCTTGAGGCGAGAACCAACGCCCTGGCCCATACTGGTCCTACATTCCATCATCAGCCACAAATAATGCCTTGCTTTACTGTTCTTCAGCAAAATGTTTTGATAACTGCTCAGTAGTATCATTGCTCTCAAAGCTTGCAACCTACCGCATTCTCCTCTCCTCACTGCACGATTACATATTATGCCAACATCCCCCGCATTCCACACTTGACACGAACCTCAGAATCAATTTGTTAGCCATAAGGGCCATGAGTTTGGTTGATACTGCCCACTGTGAAGATATTGATTACTTTCAGAATATTGCACTGTTTGTTGATCGTGGCTTCCATTCAACATTATACCAAGACGTGACCTAGCTGCTACTAACTCCACCGGCTGTGTGATCTAATCCATGTTGCGGTTGGGGACCTATATGCATCTAATGTTTATAGGGCCGAACATGTAGATTGCCACTCTCGGGTTCAAGTCAGTCCCATTGTGGAACGAAATTCGGGAGGATTATATTTAGTGTTCCGTACTATATCGTCGAGTGATTCCTCTACTGGCCATTCTGGCTAGGTATGCAAGCATGTTTATTCCGGCCCAGATGTCCAGAACCGAAATGAGAGATGTTGAATCCGGGTAATTTAGAGTCACACAAGCTTTCGTTGATAGCTAGGTACGTAGCAAACATGGATATCTATCCACGCTCTCAAACCGAAGTAGCTTCTCAGAACTTCTCCAATGGCAGTACCCTCGTGGGTGAATATCTCTGGCAGCGCTTCCGTCTACCGTCATAGGTTCACATTACAACGTTTACCCAATCAAACGTGTGCGAATACATCTAACCAGGCACTTCCTGAGGCCTAGTGACATATAGCTACCGGGGCATCGGTCCTGAGATGATAGGAAGCCTCGTTTAGAGGCATTCCACAGTTTCATGGTCCACTTCTGTTGAGGGGAAATAGTAAGATACATCCGTACAATCGGCCTGTCGCCATAACCGTCGAATTCTCATTGTTTACACCCAATTTCTCGCGTTGCCCCAAAGGGAAAGAGTCTTTAAGGCCCACAAATGCTTTTTATAGCTACCAGAATTGGCCCGTTCCATTCTTCAAAATCCATTACTTTTGTCACTCTGTACACGAGCAGGCAAACCACATTCAGCAGACCAGAGGAGCTGCAAAGTAGAGCCATAGATTGGAATATAGTAGATCTCTACTGGAATCTCCATTTGACTTGCTTGGCTTGCTAATTGATATCAGGCCGACTATACAGCATCCTGGTTTAATGCGATTATTAATGGCATCGGACGCATAAAAGGTCACCAAATACCTTACCCATTATGCTACCAGGACTTATTTCACATTACGAGAACTGCGTCAGAAAGCATACTCTACCCAAGCTCCAGTACCCTGATGGTCCATTCATCTCCAATAGGGCTAGCGCGTGATGAACTGTAAGTTAGGGCCAGCCAACGCGTACAGACAAGTGATAACATTTCTCTCCATAGTTGGTTCCAGAATTACGGACCCTTTTTAATGTCGGTATGGTTGTTTTAATCGCTCGTATTGGGTTACGCTATTATAACTGTGGCTGCAGTGAGCTGGCATTCGAGAACGGCATCTCGCTTCTAATTCCGATCTTCTATACTGTCTGTACAGCAGGTCGCTATCTATTCTATATTAAAGACAACAAAGCAGATTTTACTCAGGCTGCAATCAATATATTAACAACGGAGCAGACTTTCTGCCTTATCCTTGGAACGATGAGATATTATTATGGCATACTCGTACCTGACCGTGCTTTGGCTCCTGAAGGCTAGTCTGCTCGTGTTATAGTGGTGCTGGACGAGAATCTTGGGGTGACATCGGCTGCTGCTCTCTTCTCTGCTGTCTGTGCGCTGACATATATGGGGGTTATTCTTGCTATCTCTCTCTCCTGCATTCCATTCCGGAAATATTAGCAGCTCAGGCCGCTGTCTGTGAATAGCTGTATTCGACCATCAGCTATTTTCATTGCATTACATTGCATTGGCGGTCGCAAACGTTCTCTATGATAGGTATCCTTTCTCTATTATCAGTTCTCTATGAGGTGCTGTCTTTGAAATATGTTCAGAAGCGAATCAGTGGTACGTAAAATCGGCAGCATGAGGGACAGCTGCCACTAACCTTTCCATAGATTATTGCTCTGCCGATTATTCTCTTGACTAGGCTCCATATCTTCAGGAGGAAGTAAGTCAAGTAAGTCTCAATCCGTACATAGTCTCTATAGTACCGCTTACCAGGCCACCAACAGCCAACAGGAAAATCAAAGCTCTGTGCTTCCTTGCTTCGGGAAGCATGATCACCATCTTCGCGTAAGTGTATTCGCTATACTGTGTAACCGGAGGAACAGAATAAGGAGTCTGACTGCCGCCACTGGATAGCATTATGCGAATCTCAGTAACTGCGCCCGATTCAACGCCGCTGAACAGGTTGGGGCCCCTTTCCATGCCGCAAGTCGGTACATTTAACTAAAACTAGCCTACGTTGCAGATGGGGGATGAGCGAAATGTTCATCGATACCATTGCAGTCTACATCCCAGCTTTTCGAGTCATTCTTAATGGTGCTTCACGTAATCGAAGCAATAGCACCGCCAGTGCTTCAACCGTTCCATCAGTGTGGCCCTCAAGCATGTATGAGCTGCCTGCGTCATCAGACTTCGAACCCACCTCGCGAACAACACTCACCTCTTTAGAAGGAAAGACTCTATAACTCTATATTATGATGTCTGAGGCGGCTGAAAGGGCCGTCTCAATAAATAGCAAGCTACGAGAATGGTTTCCCGAGGCAGGGTTGTTGCAGGGTTTTCACCCGATTAGGTATCCCGCAAGGGCCATATTGAACAGGTTGTCACGCAAGGGTTCCCCCCGCTAGCAAGTTGCATCGCATAAGAGTAGATGTGTGGCAGTGTCTATGCTTGTTAGTCATACTCGACCAATCGTGTCGCCGGTTGTTGCCGATCCTTGACCAGACGATTTGCCTCAACGGGGATCCTGTTGCGGAGACGTCGATCTGCGGGGCGGCGGGAGAAATATACCTACCCTACCCTTTCCTTTCTCTCTCTCTCTCTCTCTCTCTCTCATATTTATCTCCGTTTATTGTTGACTTTGCATCTAACTATCCGTTTGCTCCAGTGCCTTCGGAACACTCAAAATGCATCTATCGCGACCGTTGTTCTGCACCCTTATTGCGGCTGCCGTCGTTGTCGGAACGGACATCGATTCCAATGATATCCCTACCCAATGCCAACAGGTTTGCGCGGCGGTGGTGAGCTTGACTGCAACCTGCGACCGCAAGACCGACGACGACAAGCAAGAACAAGATTGCATCTGCAAGGATTCTCAGGCGCCGACTAGCATCCCCTTATGCGAAGCGTGTATTGCGCAGAATAGTCGTGATGGACACGATAACGGTAACCTCTGCCCTGAATCTTTGTGCGTGATTGTTCCAGGCCCCACAGCTAATCGCTGAGACAGATGCCAACGACCTCGTTCGATCCTGTTCATTCAGCACCACGTCTTACAACCCCGCGGCTACGACGACTTCTTTCAACACCAGCAGCACAGCGACTCATTCTGCGAGCAGCTCATCGACCGCTTCTCGCAGTGGAACCACTACGGGGACATCTCCAGCTCGAACCTCGGACTCGGCCGGCGTCGTACTGTTTAGCCCTGATTTGGGGCTTTTCGGCTCTGTGATCATGGCTTTGCTTGGCATCATGCAAATTTAAGCTCTGTGATGATCTCTTTCGCTTGATCTGGTCTTTGCTGTGCCACTCAGACCTGTATGTAGAATACTTCCGAAAGCGAGATATGGAAGTGCTACATAGTTTATGCACCCCGTTCGATCGAAGATGCTTCGCTAAATAAAACTACGAGGACTTCTCGTTCGTAAAGGATTTCTGTAGGTGCATTTCATCCATTTCCATACGCACCCGGGTTTCATATTCTCTCCAGGCTGCGCCACAGCGGTACGTGGTTGTGACTTGTCCATGCAAAAAGTATATTGCTACGGGAAATCCAATCGGTGGTTAACACTGGATAACCCTTTTGTACCAAGAGTAAGGACTCGAATCCCGCTTCTGCTTGATCTGATCATCACAAGTAACTATTATTGTAGAAAGAATATCCAACGGCGAGGGTCACATACATGGATGGGGGTTCAAAAGGAGAAATACACGCCAAAATTATGTATAATTAAACAACGCTTAAAATGGAATTTTCATAACTAACTAGATTACACAAAATAGAAAATAAAAGCCTATAATATTATCATTCATTTGTGTGCTTGTTTCGTAAACGAGCGGATAGGTACGTATGTATACATGGTACAGATCACAATGGATAAGCTTCTCCATGATAACTCTTATTATGGTGGCCTTGACTAGCTAAATGGAAGCTGGTAATCCTCCTGGTATCCAGCGCACCGGAGCAAAACAATAGTGATGTATTTCCCTGACTTTGTATCTTCAGGACGGCTGTGTTCGGGGAATGGAAAATGAGTTAAGTGGCTCAGCATCTTGACCAGTTTCAATTTTGGTTTAATTCATACATTTCTCTACAGTGGCTGCTATTGGTATGTAGGTTAACCTTGAGAGAGAGGCATCTTGTAACAGTGTGTTAGTAAAGAGCTCATTGAGAAAGATTGACTTGAGCGAGGGGAATTGGTTCATAGCTAGGCCGTGTGGGTTACGTTAGTATATCTAGACCTATTGTACCGCAAAGTACCTCAGTGTTATACTGGTCATACGGATCCAGGCTACTTCCCAACGCGGAAATCTGGCCGATCGCAGTCTTAAGCCTAATCTAATACTGAGGGACCTCTAAGCAACTTCGTGCCTAATCTTAAACTAGATTTAGGACGATCATAAACGGCAAAAAAAATTTCCATGATGTATAGTTTCTCTAGTACTTGACGCTAGATCGACTTCATGGAACTTTATATCGATGATTTGGGTAGGATGACGGCACCGGGATAGGTCTATGTAATAGTAATTGTGGGTTTAGTTACTTTGCCAACGTTACCTCTAAAGTAGACCACGTCACGACCGGTTAATATTCCTGACTATGCAAAGGAAACTCACTTTGACATTAAATTTGGAAAATTGAATTACTTCATAAAGGCATCATATTCAATTACGTAACCTATTTCCTCAAGGCAAGAAAAAAATGAAAAGAAAAAGAAAGGAACAGAAAACAAAAATTAGAATAGAGTGGTTCTGGAGCCAAGGAGTATATATATCAAATAGAAAAGATCAAGAATGTATCAGATTACTGTATTTCTTTACGTGTCAATCCTATATTGTTCTGGGCACTCATTAATGAAAGTTTCCAGGCAGTTACTCCTTTATCCATGCATTCCCTTTTACATTAACATTCCTGTTCTCGTATGATCAAATCCAACAGCTTGAAGGTCGGAACATTTGAGCGCTCACACTTCCGAAGCCCTACTTGCGCATTTAAGCTTTCCGGCCGGCCCGCTGTGTGGGTTTACTGCAGGGCAAAACAGCGAGCAAAAGCAGCATGTCAAACACAGAAAAGAAGCTAATTAGAGCTCTATAGATCTCTGAAAACAGCTCTATATGGGGCCAACTGAGCTACAGATAGTGATGCACTAATGCAATTGAAGCTTACTGTACTGGCATCCCACGGTTTTCCGAGCATGGCTACCATGGTCCAGTGAGACTATATGACATACGAGATAGATTACTTTCAACGCTCTTGCTCGTTTTGTCGACGGTTGCATTGACCCAGTTATCTATTGTAAGATAACTCAAGATATATTCGATGCAGTGATTTAGTGACGTTGACGACATAGTTGAACGCCCTGGAATGGAATGCATGACTTGGAAAGCCCCACGGGGGATACATCATGCTCATAATGCAGCGTAGAGATAACTGGGTTCAGTATGTTCTTGCTCCTGATACAAATACTTTGGAAGTGCTGTACTGCATGTCGATCGACGCCAACTCCTCATAACAATCCTTAAAACAAAACGTTTACTAGGGACGAAAAGGCAACCATGACCACCATAAACAATAAGGCACACCAGGCCATCTGCTCGTACTTCATCGGGCCCAAGGGAGCTAATATAGATGAATTCAAAAACAATATCCATAGAATTCTGAAGCACGTGCGAACTGCGCGAGAGAAAACATTCTATGCGGAAGATGAAGTGAGTAACTTACGGGAAACTTAGTAGTTACTGTAGCCATTGATATACGTCTTCGTTAATAATCGAATGTATTAGGCATTTATCCCGGAGGAGATTAAGAAAACGGAGGAATTCCAGCGACTTACCAAGAATTTTGGTAATGCCATCGACGAAGCGGCGAAATTGTTAGGCGAGCACTCCGTCCCGTTTTGGACCCCTCGCTATGAGGCGCATATGACAACGGACGTTAGCATGGTCTCCCTGCTTGGATACTTCATGACCATGATATACAATCCCAATAACGTTGCGACTGAGGCAAGTCCCTTTTCGACCGCGGCGGAAATCCTAGTGGGAGAACAGCTGTGCAGATTGCTGGGATATGAGACCAAGCATGTTGCTGGCTCGCCTGCTGGGTGGGGCCATATTACTTGCGACGGAACCGTGGCCAATTTGGAGTCCATCTGGGTAGGTAAGTAGGAACCACCTGTCATGAACTGTATGGCTCCTAGTTGACCGCGTGCGCTGCGATAGCCCGAAACCTGAAGTTTTACCCTCTCTCGCTGTATCTGGCTATCAAAGTGGGTAACCTCAGATTTGCGGCTAAAGATTTTGAAGTGGAGACTTGTACTGGCGCGAGGAAGCGCTACCTCGACTTGTCGACATGGGAGTTGCTTAATCTAAGGGTCGAAACCGTACTGGACCTAGCCAAGCAATTGAGCGACAAGTACGATATCTCACCAACATATATTGAAGATGCACTATCCGAATTCAACGTTCAAACTGTAGGTAAGGATGCACTAGAAAGGGAATTCGGCATTAAGGACCCGATTCGCTATATGCTGAGCAACACTCGCCACTATTCCTGGCCCAAAGGAGGGGGTAAGTTTTGACCTTCATTTTGTTTTCGATTTTGGCTCTGCCAGACCGGGGGCGCTCCCGTACTTAGGGGAAAACATCTGACTGTGTTAAGCAATTGCTGGTATTGGCTCGCAAAATATGTTCGGAATTAAAGTCGACGCTGAGGCTCGTGTGGACCTTACCGACCTTGTTGCTAACTTAGAAAGATGCCTTAAAAATGGGCAAGCAGTCTATGCTGTGGTTGCTGTAATGGGTTCTACAGAGGAAGGAGCCGTGGATCGTTTGAGTGAAATCCTGCGGATCCGCCAGCGGTTCCAGAAAAAGGGTCTATCATTCCTTGTGCATGCTGACGCTGCATGGGGAGGCTACTTTGCTAGTATGCTTCCACGAAAGTTGATGGCGCGGGCCGCCAAGGCAGATCCGCTCGAAGGAATAGAGAAAAGCGACGAAGGATTCGTGCCAGGCCTTAGTCTCAAGGTCGAATCGCAGGAGGATTTGCTGGCTCTCAGATGTGCAGATTCGATTACCATTGATCCACACAAAGCAGGTTATATTCCGTACCCAGCTGGAAGTCTGGTGTATCGGGATGAGAGAATGAAGAACCTCGTTACGTGGACGAGCCCTTACATTGGGAGGGGTTCTTTGACGAATATTGGTATATACGGCGTAGAAGGCAGGCAAGTCTCATCTATTTCGCTGTGGAAGCGACAATGACCATGTCTGGACCGCTAACCCCAAGTAGTAAACCTGGAGCAGCAGCGATGTCAACTTGGCTTGCCAATGAGTGCATTGGTCTCAATGAAAAAGGTTACGGAGCTCTCCTCGGCGAGGCTTCATTCACTAGCAGCAGGGTAACTAGACCACATCCCTTTCAATAGCCAATTCCTGACCCATTGTCTAGATTGCCGCTCATTGGGCAGCGCTGACGCAAAAGGACGATAAATTCATCTGTGTACCACTCAACCGGCTTCCATCAGAAGTAAATGGCGGTGATGTGGAGGGAGAGAAACAAAAGATACGTGAACATATATTGGGCAAGGACAATGAGACTATCTACGAGAGCAAGGAGTTGATGACTTTGTTACGTGCGCTCGGTTCGGATTTGAACATCAATGCCTTCGGCCTCAACTGGCGCTATGCGGACGGGCGGTTAAACGACGACATTGAAGAGGCCAACTATCTCATGCGGAAAGTAGTTGAAAAGCTCTCTATCAGCACCCCAAATGACAACCCTGTCGATATCAAGTTCTACCTCACATCGACCGAATTCAAGCATGATGAGTACGGGGCCTGTGCCCAAAACTTTATGCGCAGACTTGGAATTGATCGATCCAAAGAAAGCTTGATGGTTTTGCGAAATGTTGTCATGAGCCCCTTCCCGACGCGAAATGGTTTCTTGCAGAAGCTCATGGATATATTCAAACAAGTCGTGAACGACGTCGTTGATGTAAGGCCAAATAAATACCTAAAAGTTAACTGATATTGCAGAATTTAGCTAACTTACTGCCTCGATTAGAAATGTCGAGAACGGAACTGCGTTACACACCCCGAGCATCATAATTTTCTTATTCAAGGCATAAAAGATCCCAGCGTCATCTATCTTGTCTACCGACCGAACTTCCAGCTAGCCAGATCCCGTCGGCAGTTGATATTTAGGGTCTGCCTAGACAGTAACAGCATGGACATATACAGAACAGTGAAGGATCAAGCTACTACTCCAATCTTCCTAAAGACAACACAAGAGACCTGTCTAGAGGAGATCATCAACAATGTGAAGACAAACAAAGAATTCAAGCTGCCGGGAAATCTGTGTAATGAGCAAGGGCGAGTATCTTTATCACAACAAAGGCATCAATTACTGACCGATAATAGGGACCATCTCGGCCAAAAAGCAATTGATGTCCATATTTGCAAGATTATCAAGAACCGCTCTCTTAGTTCCCGTAACCGGGAACCCACATATCCGAGGGACTATATGCCATTCTATTTGTATGGTTCTAATGAAGAAAAACACCTCTCACATATGCTTCTCAAATCCCCGAATGTTGAGCTTTGCGCTGCGGGGTTGAAACTCGACCTCGACTCCCAAATCGAAGACGGGGATCTCCGCAAGGGTGTTATACTTTGTCTTACCGACAGATATGAGGCATATATGCAACCTATTCAGGCCCCTTCCCCAAATAACTCCTTCTTCGCGCCTCGCAGAATATTCAATGTCAAGATTTGGCCAGACCTAAAGCGGCCGGACGAGTCTGGGCCAGATCTATTACCAGAGTCTCTGAAGGACTTTGGCCCTGAGATTGCATCAGGGACCCTAGAGCTGCCGGCTACGACAGAGCTTCTTGTAGACTCTGTCAACATCAACAAGGACCCATACGCCGACACCCCCGACGGCAACGCTGAAGAATGGCGTAAGTTATTTGATGAAATTCGCGCGAAGTTGAAGGATCCAGCGTTACCGGAAACAACTTAGCCAGAGAAGGAAGCCTAACTGGCTTGACTTTATGGTTTGGCTTTCAGTTCCATATGTGTTATTCTGATGCGACACATTTAGGCAATTTAGTATCATTTCCTGTGTACTCGTGTCGTACACTTTCAAGGTGTGCTAGGGTTGAAGAATGGGGGTTTTTCTTTCTTTTTTTATTGTGAACTAGACACACATCCCCGTGATCTGAAAAGCACAACACTGGCCATGGAATGCTCATGCCTATAGTTCATATATCCCTCGGCGTCGAGACAATGCCGATATGTATGTGATTCGTGAAGTCTTGAAGCTCTGAAGAACACATTTGAGCAGGTTTACTATGTAGCATATTAGTAGTGTTTTCTTTTTGTAAGCTGTGAATCAGCATGGTTAAAGTGGAATGAATCTACTTATATTTTCAGTGGATTGGATCGGTACTTACAAGGCCTGCGTAGCGGCACGTGACCTCAGGTGCTACCCTGATTAGAAAGAAGATCGACCCCGCATCTTGAAGTATTACATTCTGAGAAGTAACTGGAACAAAGTAGGTTTTGGTATATCTTTGAATCATCTACTAGCTAAACTTTGATTTTGACTGAAATCACCTATTGTTGGATATTCCGTCAAGACCACCGATCCCCGTAAAATCTCCGCGAAAGTCTCCGAGAGGAACCTTGCGAGCCACCCGGCAAAAAGTTATAAAAACCCCATCCATAGGTAGACTCAAACAACTTGCAATCGTAGATCATCTCTTCCACCTTTACAGGACGCTTATCCTTCAGAGACATAATAACCTTCAAACCTTACTTAATTTCAGTATGCAGCCCAGTCATTTCCAGAAGTGCGATTGGGATAGCACCGCGTCCGAATATTCAAAGCTACCCAAGGACGGGCCGTTATTGGTTCCCTGTAAGCGCCTGTTGGGGGCGATGCACGGCACTCTGAGCTTTGCATCTGCCACCACAATCATCGACATTGGTTGCGGTCCTGGTACCGCAGTCAACTTCCTTATCGATGACTATGGACACGACATACCACCTCAATCTCGGGTGATAGCGACTGACTATTCCACGGGAATGGTGGAAGTGACCAGATCCCGTGTCGAAACTGAGCGGACATCCGGCAAAAAGAACGCGAAATGTTGGGGTCAGGTTGAGACCATGGAGCTCGATGCCCAGGATCTTTCCGCTTTCCCTTCAAGTAGCGCCTCCCATATCATGGGGAGCCTTGTCTACTTCATGCTCCCAGATCCCCAGAAGGGGTTGCGTGAGGCCTATCGGGTGCTGAGGGCCGGTGGTGTCTTCGCCTGCACCAGCTGGGCAAGGGTTCAGTGGATGCAATTCATGGATCAGGCGGCGCAGGAAGTGCGCAGGGCGGCGGGCTCTGAGTCGGTAAGTATCCTTTGCTGGGTATCAACAATTTTTAAGGACGAGCTGATTGACATGGGGGGGAAGCATTCAACGGGCATGCGGTTCTTCCCCAAACAATGGGGGGACGTGGCCGGCGTGAAAGGCGAATTAGAATCCGCAGGATTCCGTGACGTTCATTCCGAGTACATCGACTTCGATTGGCTTGTTGAAGATCCCGAAGCGTTCGCCGAGACGATGTGTAAAAGTTCCAATCCTGGCACCAAAATGCTTCTGGGAGATCTTTCAGACGAGAAGCTCGACCGTGTCGTGGAAAGCTACACGAGGATTGTTAAAGAACATGGCAATGTATGCAAAGGTGTTGCAGTGCTGGGTATAGGCACCAAGTAGAGAGGCGTGTCTGCGATACATGTAATCTGGTCAAGTACGTAGTATTGGTACAGTGATTCGGTGATGGTCTTTTTGGATTTAATATGGTACTGGTGTTCAGTGTGGTTATGGTACGCCTTCCTGCTACATAGTTAACTAGCTATCTTGAATTACTAATGCCATTGCCTTCGTGGTGTCCATACCTACAGTCCTGATCCTTCTAGTTCTCGGACCTAAGCAGCGTTTCAATAAAAATTCTTTTCTGCTCAGCTCAAATTAAGACCTTGTACCGGCGCTGGTATTTGTCGAGCGGGAAGAACTATCCAACAATAACATAATAGACTTCTTGGGTCAGAAAAAGAAAAATCGGTTGACTCGTACCCTAATACCCGACAGATATATATATAAGTATATGGATGGAACAACAAGGCAGAATCTAGTAGTGGAAATCAGGCATGAAGTCAGGCGTTTGCTCCCCTCATTGATTCTTGCTGACGAATATTCAAAATTCTTGAAGGAAGCAATTTTCAAGGCATTACTCATAATCCAAATAGAAATCTACTGGATTTGTTGGAGGTGATTATTCGCCAGGCTGACACAACAGTAATTCAAATTTAATCCAATTTAAGCCGATGATTATGAGGGTTCAACCCAGATCACACCGCCTTCCTGAAGCAGCGTATCAAGCTTAATAATTGCTGACTGATGGTTGGCGAAGCTCGATCAAAGTTGAAGTTGTGATACAGGAATAAGTTGAGTAGCATGCTAGCTGGGGCCAGCGAAACCGTCGAGGCCATGGCGATTATATTTACTTATCGTATATGACGGTTAATAATCGCTTTCAGATCATAGTACATCGGCCTTAGGTGCTATCATCCCGTTGCCTCTGTCAACGTCGACATGCCTCAAATGGAAATGGCGCCGCCGGTGGCGTCGTCGGACGGGAAGCAATTCGTTAATCAGGAAGTATTGATATTAACCGTGGGATAATGCCTCGGTAATGGTCGAGCAAGGCGATTGGCGTGCGCAGACGTTTCTTTTCTTTTCTTTTCTTTTTTTTTGTTTTCCCTCTTTTCCCGATTTACTTCCCCGTCTTTCCCAACCAACCGTTGTCTACTCTATGTCGGAGACCGGCTCCAAATATTCTTAACCTACCTATCCCCTTCTTGACCCCTTCATACCTGGAGGTTTACTGAATCTACGTATTTTATTGGGCGGGATACATTGCATCGATCCTTGAACTACTCGGTCGTATCCAAGACCCAATCTATTGATATTTGGAGCGTTCTAATTAACCGGGTTCTCGTGTCAGCCGTGGAACGATGCTGAGGCTGAGCCCGCAATCTTCCCATCCGCATTTTCATGATCTCGATCTGTCGCCTGACTAACAAAAGGCCAGAACGGAACGAGGAACGATTGGTGGAAAATGCGGTGGGTCCCCCGTATATTTAACCATGAGCCTAAACGTCTAAAACAGTGCAGATAGTCTGGGGTGCGGGGGAACCCCAAGGGGAAAGTCCTGTTCTGGCTAACACCAGGCTCAAGGAACACGGGGAAATGGGCAAAACCCCGGTGGGGCAATGCTCTTTTCTATCTCTTTGGCTGGTGTAAAGGGTCCGAGCGAAAGCTTCGAGGGCTTGCAAATGCAAACCTAATGCTATCAGACATGCTTTCTCCGTTGGTGACGGAGCATCAGCTTGGGGGCCGCTGGCGACATGGAAAGTAGATATGGAACCCAGGATCCTTTTCCTCTCTTCCCCTTCTCTTTCCTGGTTGCTGACACGCCGAAAGCGAGTGGCCAACAAAGAGCCCTACCGATCGCCAACCGTCAGTATGAAGTTTCCCAAGACCTACAATACGTATTTCGTGGCGTTTATCGCTACCGTTGGCGGCATGCTCTTCGGTTTTGATATTTCGTCCATGTCTGCCATCATCGGCACGCACCAGTACAACGATTACTTTAATAGCCCAAGCGGTATCCGTCAGGGTGCCATCGGTTCCTCACTGGCTGCTGGCTCCGTGGTTGGCTCGGCCATTGCAGGACCCATCTCGGACAGGATTGGTCGCCGTGATTCAATTATGTTTGCCTGTCTGTGGTGGCTGGTCGGCACAGCAGTTCAAACCGCAACCAATGGCTTTAGCTCATTGATTGCGGGTCGTGTCCTGAATGGAGTTTGCGTTGGAATCACCAGCTCCCAGGTTCCCGTCTACCTTGCGGAGATCGCAAAGAAGGAAAAGCGTGGTCAGCTCATTGTGATCCAGCAATTGGCGATTGGTACGAGCATGCTTCCCACCAATCTACTCTCCTCCCAAAATGAAACTCATGCCTTCTAGAATGGGGCATTCTTATCATGTACTTCATCGGTTACGGATGCAGCTTCATCACCGGCCCGGCTTCGTTTCGAACTGCCTGGGGTATTCAATTTGTGCCGTGCGTGTTCCTCATGCTGGGTCTCCCCTTCCTACCACGTTCGCCACGATGGCTTGCGAAGGTGGATCGTACCGAGGAGGCCATTGCGACTCTTGCGAATATTCAGGCCAACGGGAATCGCGATGACCCTCTAGTGGTCGCCGAGTGGGAGGAGATCACAACCGTGCTTCAAGCCGAGCGGAACGCCCTTCCTGGCTGGCGCAAGTTTGTGTATAACGGCATGTGGAAACGAACTCTGGCCGGCTTCACCGTCCAGATGTGGCAACAGAACAGCGGCGCCAACGTGATGACCTACGTAAGTCGTCCGCCACTATCTTATACGCAAAATGAGCTCACCAAGGCAGTACGTCGTGTACATCTTCATGATGGCGAACCTGACCGGCAATATCAACCTCATCTCCTCGGGTGTGCAGTACGCGCTCTTCATCATCTTCACAACCATCATGTTCTTCTTTATTGATAAGACTGGTCGTCGCCCTCTTCTAATTTACGGTGCTCTTGCGATGGGCTGTTGCCATTTCGTAGTCGGTGGCATCTTATCGTCCGGCGAGTATGTCCCCGGTGGCGTGGGCGGCAATCCCAATGTCTTGATCAGAGTTACAGGAGCTCCCTCTCATGCCGTTATTGCTTTCTCGTACCTGTTGATCATCATCTACGCTCTCACCCTTGCCCCCGTCTGCTGGGTCTACGCCGCAGAGGTCTGGTCACTCGAAACCCGCGCCACAGGGATGGGTATTGCGGCCATCGGTAATTGGCTCTTCAACTTCGCTCTGGGTCTCTATATCCCTCCTGGGTTCCAAAACATCACTTGGAAAATGTTCATTGTCTTCGGCGTTATGTGTGTCCTAGCCGCTATCCAGTTCTACTTCACATACCCCGAGACCTGCGGAAAGACACTCGAGGAAATTGAAGAGATGTTTTCGCCCAGTGGCCCTAAGCCCTGGCAGACTAAGCCCGGTGGTTCCAAGCTGGATGCGCTTGTCGATGATGTTCGTGCACACCACAAGCATATCAACCTGGAAACCAAGGAGATCAAGGCCGGTGTTCAGGAGACAGAAAGGATTGCTTAAACCCTTCCAGAGTAGAGTGGCCCGGTGGAATAGGGGAATAGGTTTCCACCAAATAATTTGTTCTAATTGTTAGTTATTGCTAAGACTATTACGAAGATAATACCATAACTAAAATTTGCGAGATCAGTGCTATCAAATGAATCTTACAAGTCAAGGGAGTTTGAGGAGCAAAAATATGGTCAACACAAATGTGATCAAGCTTACCGGCGGTAAAAGTATGCCATGGCGCTTTACAAAAGGGGGATATAATATGATAACTTTTTAAGTCCACGATTTGGGGTCGGGAGCTGGGGCCCCGGTGCAAGAAAGAATCGTATAAGGAGGGATTTGGCTGAGAGGGCATTCTTACAAACCTATGCCAAATCAATTAAAACACCTTCAAAATTAAATGTATGGTAATTTCCAATAAACCATTTAGATTTAGTGCTGCCACTGGCTCCGACGTACCAAGTTGTCCTTTTCCAGTGAAGTTGAAGCCCAAGCCCAGATGGTTGCTGCCAGAGTTGTAGTTTGACAGAAGATTGGTGATCAACCTCCTATTATTACAAATTCAAGAAAGTCAGAGGGCAGCGATGGAGTTGCCAACATGGAGCCGACGAAACCTTTCCGTGTGTTTATAGCTAGGCCTGTCTCGTGCAGTATTTGCTAAAATAGCCCGTGCTGGTGTGTACGAGATGCTTTTGAGACTTCCAGAATGGTAGTACCACCAGCTACCAGGCATGAAAGCAAAATACATTTAGCTATTCCAGACTTGTTGCATGAGGCAATTGTGTTATTTCTGCTGTCTGAATGCACAATGCAGAGTCTCCGCCTTTCCGATTATGATTGCCTGTCTTCGACCCTAGGTTTCCTTGCGATAGACGCCCACGTACCTCACATGCTGGATTCAGAGTGACAAGTTGGTTGTTCTGGAACACCTACCCAGAGGAGATCAATCATTGGGACCATGCTGAAATGAAAGCCTTAGCTCAACGGGGACTTGGGCCCCTGAAAGCATTAGAGTGAATGAATCCTAGGTCATGAATTAAGTGGGAAGCAAGCAGAGTTTAGAGGTTGATGAACAATGGGGAGGGAGAAAAGAAGCAGTAATGAAATGGTGGATGGGCTATGGCGAGACACTTTCAAGTATAAGTATTATAGGGCAGAGTTCATAGGAATACCGGATACCATCATCCAATTGGAGTGACTTCCTACCGGTGTGCTCATGGTATTTCTCCGTTCCCACTAGGAACAGGCCCTTGCTAGTAGATACAGGTCAAGACTGAGAAAATAGACCAGGACAATAAGTCTCTTCGGAGTTATTGGTTCTGTAATAAAATCAAATATAGTAAGATTTTTATATCTCAGAGAATTATGATTCACTTATAGTAATTTCCTTATAGTATATATGCTGCGGGTGTGTTTCATTGCATTGTAAATAGAGACTTATGAGGAAAGGGACCTACAACTGAGCCTTAAATGGATAGTATTCTTTAATCTAGCATCTTGCGGGTATATGTCATGATTGCAGGTCGCCAGCATAGTCTCTGTCTACATCTCTTATCTCAGTCTCTATGCTAAATTTGAGTGCCTTTCTAATTATCAGTCCCTCGACCATCAACTATCCTTTTTCCTCCTCGATAGCTCCTTCTTCAGTAGTACTAACCTTAGGCAGAAGCCAGCCTGGGTGAACTATGTTGAAGATCACAGAGGCAATGACCATCATGGTCCCGTCGAGGACAATGAAGTACGGTTCATGGGTGATGAGGAATCCATCCCACCCTTGTAGCAGCTCAATTGTTCGGTATACACTCCGAACATAAACGGCCACCACTGCTGTTAACATACCAGCAAGAAGGGGCCCGATTGTTGATTTTGTTGCGGCTAGCACCTTCATCTTCGTTACACGGTAGAGAAAATCAACCATGAAGACCACGAACGCAGTCATAGCCGCCATCTGAAACACGATACCACCGACCATAATATTAGTTCCCGGTTTTGTATCGCCATCGACCTTACCTGTTGCATCTGCTGCCATACCTCCACCAACTGCTTGTACAATCAGGGATACCAGGTCACAGATGCAGAAAATCCAAAGGTATAGTGAAGGCGTGAGGATAGATGATTTCTGGCCAAAGATTTTGATAAAGCTCCCAAGAAGGACATAGAGACCGGCTGTATAAAATGTGGGCGCTAAAAAACGCTGGAGAGTTAGCAGGCTCCACAGGTTCAGACACAGCACCATAAGTGGGAGGTACCAATAATCAAGGTCACAATTTGAATTAGAAAAGGCGTGTTTGCATAAGGGCATTCAGCAGACCATATTCGTGCAGCCCAGCCCAGCGTTTCGACTTCATCACATTATCAGTCCAAACCTGGTGAGGCTGGGGCAGAGGTACGGAGCCTACTTATAGATCCAATAGCAAATAAAAAACACCACCATGCCCTTGTCCATGCTGCTTGTGCGACATGGCCGGATGTTGTTACAGCGAAAAGCGCCGTGAATACAATGCCCGCCGCTTGAGACGGTATATACCCGTAGGAAGTATCAACTCCAGATATATAAGAATGGCAGGTGTCCTGGAGTGAAATTTGGATTTCAACGGCCGTTGCGTTTGGCATTTTGGTACTTTTCAATCAGCAAGAACATCGAATACAATTTTGCCTTTTAAAATGAAGTATGACAGGGTGAAGACAAGAGCGGAAACCAGGGAGGAAAGATACAAAGGGAGGGATATAAGCAACATATATGCAGAACACTACCATCTCTAACCTTAGATCGGTTTCTATTTTACTCATCGTCGGACTTCGGGTCTTGGAAGCTGCTCGGATCAGCAATGCCGAGCACACATCGGACGGAACGGTTAGAGGTATCCTATTATGATGTTACCATGGACAACCCGGTCACAAACGCGGTAGGCTTAAGTGAACTTGTGACTCAGGACAGCATCCTATATCATCAGCAACACTACTTATGGGTTTGCCCATCAATCCTTTGTCACAGCATATAAAACGCCTCGTCAGAGATGAGACCAGCTTCGGTTCGGTGCTCGGCTTTCGACAATGACTTGTCTTAGATAGGAACGAAGTTAGTTCTACCCAACTATCCGAAACATCCGGCTCTCATTATTCATTGCGTCAATGGCTCTGCAAGGTGCGCACTCAAGCCTGCGGGTGGACTCAGTGTCAAGTATCCCATTGGTGAAACCCTACGGGAGATAAAAGGATGCCACATGCCCGAGCCACTATATCTATGCTTAACGAGTGGAGTTGAGCTCCTCTGACTCTGGAATAATGAAAGCATACGCTGCATTGCCAAAGCACGCTCAATTGTATCTGACGTCACCAGGCAAACTAATTTAGTCGGTGCATGCCGCTCCACTAGATCTATTAAGTATTACCTGAAGAACTAGGACGACAGCTTTGTTGACAGGGAGTGTGATGCAACGTTGTATCTCCATGCAGAGTCCCTTTAAGGAGAGTGTAGCGTACCGAGATATATGTGCCTAGAATAATTCGTTGAACCCAGCTCTCTATATTTTGATAGCTATGCGGTCCCAATTCCGGACGTGACCTGCTCTAATTGGCCAGTCTTTGACCGAGCGGCTCAAGATAGACGAGAAAATATATTTATAGCCTTATCCCAGCCCCGAGCATTACTTCGGTACGGCCTCGGCACGGCAACTTCCCGTGCAATGCCGATTACTCAGCAGATGCTAACTAACGTATTCCACGGTCGAGTGACGCGCACGGCCGAGTGACGCGGTTTCGCCGCACCCACTACGATTTGACGCTTTTTAACCATGAAAATAAATTTCAATTAATTTAATTAGTAGTGAAATATAAAGCTATTTATTAGGGCAATTTCTTATAGTATGTCTAACTATTCCACAGCCACTGCAGCGCTGTGAAGCTTGTCTGTAAGATACTGGAGTAGATTTCTCAGGCTGCTTATTAAGCTGTGTATTAAGCTGCTAAACTTGATTTTGGCCTTTCTATATAGATCAAAGAATATTAGTCTCTATTATAGTATATTTTCTAGCTTTTTTTCTATATTTTTGCTTATTCTCAGCTTATATAGCTTTAATTTCTTTCTGTAAAAAAATATTGGTATTTATTACCATTTGTGCAGCCTTTTCAAGATATTAAATATAAGTAACTAGACTGCTAGAAAGTCTTCTTTTTATATTAAAACTGTTTTATAGACTGCGGATCTTGTAATCTAGTTAATAGATATTCTGAGAAGTTTGAAAAGCAGAAGAAATTAAGTCTTTAATGTTACAGACCCTTGCCTAGCGTGCCTTATCAAAGAAAGCGGACGCGCAAGGCAGAAAGAACGATAAGACTAGTGTGACAGGAAGACAAGACAAACCACCCAGAAAGGGTAAGAAGAACTGTTGGAACATACGGACGTCCTACGCCGCCTGCCCCTATTGGTCGACCTCGCTTAGTCATCATTTAGTAAGCTAGTTATTTAGATAGTTTGGCCGTTCCGGCCACCCAATAGAACAAGCATACACTCGCTTCCACAAGAACCCCGAATCACGTGACAGGGTATACCGGATGGTATACAGGAAGGACTACGGTATATGGTATAAAGTGTATACTATGGTATAAGAATATACCCTGGCGGGACGGGTATATAAGGACACTCATTCATGTACTTAGCTTAGTTCTTCGTGATCAATCCCAACTGTTACTTAGGATACACCTTTGATATCAAGTTAGTAATCAACTCGTTCGCACTTCCTTAACTACTGAGTATACGTACTTAGTAGGCCTGGCCTTTTGGACTTGAGCTACTCGCGGAACATTGTTGTACATTGCCGGACCTCGGATTAGGTCATACTGTTGGATCCTGGATAGGATCATACTTGGAATCACTTCGGACTCGCTACCTAGGTAAGGTAGTATCGCAACGCAAGGCAGCTAACACTCATAGAGCTCTTGCCCGAATACCCAGGCGTAACATTTAACTAGTGATAGTATTAATATATATACTTAAAAGATAAGTTTAAAAAGAATATACTCTTGATTAAATAGCTTAAGCCTTGTCTCTATAAAACTATTGTAGATATTTACTAAAGTAAATACTTTAGCACGTGCTTTAAGATATAGACATAGAAAGTCTTCTTTATTAATATAATTATTGTCAGTACCTATATATTGTTCAAGAAGCTTTCTGTACGCGCGTTTAAGCGGGCCAAAAACATCAATATCTAGTAGCTGAAGAAGCTATAAAGCATGGACAGGTATATAGAGACAGATAATTATATTCTGCTTGCAGAAGTTATTGAATTCAGCAGTCAGATAACTGCTATAGCTATCAAGAATAAGCAATTGCTTAGCTCCAGTTATATAGTACTTAGAGCATGGTTTAGAGATATCCTTTAGCCAGCAAAGGCCTATTTTATTAGTTATCCAGCCATTCTGGCTAGTTACAATCCACTAGTCTTTAGCAAGCTTAGATTCTTGAAACCAGGTAGCTTATTAATAGCTTACTTTAAGTATAATAACTAGTAGTATATAGATGCCTTTTAAACTGACTGTTTCAATGATTATAACCTATTCATAATTATCTTGAATAACTCTGCGCGGTTGCTCACTGCGATCAACAGCAGTAATTACTTTAGAAGTAGAGTAGAGTCCTATTACAGAGCTGGTCTTATTAAAATTCCAGATATTATCTTTATATATACCGTGTTCTTGAATAGCTGTATAAATAGTTTTAAACTATAGTTTTATAACCCTTGGATCTTCTTGCTTTACATGCTGATAGGTCATTTGTCTTGTATATCGCGTATGTAGCTTAGGACAGCGTTTAATAAAGGAATAGGCCCAGTTAACTCTAAGAGATACTGTCAAGGATATCTACTATTCAGGGTAGAAGACCTGTCAACTAGGTAAGGATACGTAGGCTGGAAGGGAGAGAGAGGTCAAAGGCAGGCAGTAGATATTATTCAGACAGGAGACTGATTCTTGATCTCCTCCTACTACTAACTATTCGCTAATTTATAGCTGATGACTCTGTACGTAAAGGGTTCAGATTTCCCGTTGAAAACCAAACCGTTGATGGCCTGATGTTCCTCATCGGTGGCCGATTGTCCATGCACCTGGCTCAGGGTATCCTGTACGGCCATCAGGCCGAATCGCTATTCCATCTGTGACAGATACAGTAGGATCTTGTATCCATTCATAAAGTAAAATCTGTGCCATTCCACACAGAAACTCCGGCCGAATTGGAAAGCCCTGTTTATCTGCATTTAGAAGTCTTTTTATAAGGACTTCTTCTTTAATAGGCATTAACTTATGGCCATTTGCGCGTGTTTCTGCATGTGGTTTTATTCCTTGTAGTCGTCGACGAAGAGTAGCTTCAGATATCTGAAATATATCAGCAGCTTTCTGATCTGATTTAATTTTTTTATCGTCACTCGGCCGTGCGCGTCACTCGACCGTGAAATACGTTATCTATTCAACTTATTTCACTTGCTACTTGGTACGATAGATTGTTAGTTCGTAGGGACTCGCAAAGAGAACGGGATATGACTGAGATACTCACTCAGATTGTCCAACATATACCATCTTTCCTTTGCTCTAGTTGCTGGAGATCCGAATCCCGAAAGCGAACGTATCCTCCTTGGGCTTTGTTCCTGTGAATCTATGAAAAAGAAAGCGAAAAGAAAGAGTTGCCGTGGTTATTCAAACCTAACGGCTATGACGTATGGCATGAATTGCGAATATACTACCACTGGCGACAATCAGAACTATTGTATCTAGTCCATGTCTCTTTCTATCTCCTTTCCCTTTTGATAACCCTCGAGCAGGTGATTGTACAACGAGTTACCTTCGTCGCCCTAGTGGATTGAGACAAAATTAATTAGGCGAGGGTCTGCACCAAGAGTGCGTAGGCACTATGTTACGAATATTGGTCTGTTGTAGAGACGATCTCTGTACGGCATACCTAGCACATTTTATCGTATATCTTATGTTATCTTCCTTAATACCTATAGTTTCTTTGAATTCTAGAAGCTACTTGAACTGAGACGGCTACACCAAGTAAAAGAACTAAAACATGTCCTGAAGATAGCTTTGAATTGATTCCCAAGTAGTTATATATAGCTGAATGAAATGGATCTTTGTAACTAGCAATAGTTTAACTAGAGCTTATTGAATCAAACATTTTTTAACTATACTAAGTAGCATGCTTTATATATCCTTGAAAGAGATACAGCTATTGCAGCTGTAATCAGGAGAGTAAATGAGTAAGATGACCTATCATTCTATGCATCCGTAATAGATGAAAGCCTAGCAGAATTGTGCAAAATCAGACTGGACATGGTACTTGAACTGCTCGCATCTACTTTCTAGTCCTTTTCTCTGATTGGACAGTCTCAAGCTAAAGCTCTTGAAATGTGAGCCGGGGGTGCGAGAGTTCTGGGGAAGGGCACGTATTTCTTGGCTACATGAACACGACGCGCGCACTGTTGACATATTGGCTGAATGGTGAAGAGAATCGTCCTATAAATGGATGAATAAAGTCAGCCGTATGAAGTGACCTATCCACCTTGCGTGGTGAAATGTAGTACATACAGCCTTTTGATAGTGCTTAGTTAGGCCCTACGTGAAGATCGACAGTTCGGGAATAGAACTCAGTCTACCAGGTAGCCTTCCAGCTAAGCAGATAGTCCAAGTTACTCTGCGGGTAGGGTGACGGACACCTGCACTCCCAGGAACACCCTATTTTTTTTTTTTTTTTTTTTTTTTCACATGGACTCGGCTTGAGCATGTTTTGCATAGCAGGAACCCGAGGACTAGCGGTTTCTCATGCCTTAGTTAACGACCGGTCGCTGATGGTGCAACATGCCTGTTTAGCCAGGGCAAGTTGGAGAGACCGGCTGTAATATTCTGTAGGAGTTGGTAATTTTTGCCGTTGGCGGTGCGAATTACATTGCAGAAAGTCACCACAAACGGGCACAACGAAAATGTCGCACATAACCTAGATCGTGTGAGTAGCACGGAACACCGCCAGGGGCACTCTTCATACGGCACCAACTAGGAAAGATACAGCTGGTACGAGCCAGAGTATATCGTTCCCTGGGATAAATACCTAGTATTATCTTTAGGGGTAGCAGCGCCTTCTAGTCTCAGGGAAGGCAACGTTTGTACTTCATGATATCATAGGCTATGCTTTGGCTAATCCCTTGAGCCCCAATTAAAACAAGGTAGGCTTGCTGCGTGCCCTAACTTTAGTTGATAATATCGGTCTGCTAAAAATTAGGAAACAGCAGATGTCACTATATCTAGTCGCCATCCTCTCTACAGTTGGTAGTATATATTTAAGTCTAGGAAGACTAATTCTCTGAGGCTTGTATAATTTACCCTTTTCGTTGTACCAGGTTTGCCTCCTTCCATGATCTTATGTAAATAGGCTAGCCTGAGGATTTTATCTAAGGCTCTAGGGGCATTTGCCGCAGCTCCTTTGATAACTGGGTCAGCCTGTTTATTTACTACCATATCTTGGTGTCCAGGGATCCACTGAATGGGTGATTTAACATTATTATTCTCTAGTCCTTGGGATACATTCTGGGCCTGTAGCTTGCCTCATATGTCTTCCTATACCAGCAACCAGCCCTAATGATCTACGTTCCGGCCAGATGAACTACATGAAAAACTTAAGTACGCTTGAGGGAGAGACTTAGGTCTCTTTTTTCTGAGAGACAAGAACACCACTGCAGCAGAAGCCACATAGTTAGTTATGGAAGACTTTAGTAATCAATGGTTATTGTAAGATCAAAAGCCTGGAATTGTGTCTACCAGAATTCCACTAATTCTCGGGCTTTGGACAAGGCCTTGGGATTCAGCCTGGTGACCAACATGAGTTCATTGTATAAGGTTTCAGCCACTAAGTTGCTGTTCTTTGTATGAGGTTTCTAATAGGCCTAAAAGCCCAATCCTTCGGCCTATAAAAGGCTTCAATTATTTGCCATAATTTTGACAATCAAGCCCATATCCTAGATCGTTGCATTTCATTAGACCGTAGGCAGAATTACTAGCCAGAACGCTTTCCCGCATTTTCAATAGTACTTAGCTCCGATTGTTTCACCCACTCAGCAGGTATGATTATCTTTGTTCATCTGTTGGATGTTGCGATGCGGGGCCCCATACTCAAGAAAAATATTACACCACCGAAGTGGCCGCAAACCACGCTAGGGATATTTTCGGCGGAAAATAGGGAATTATTGTATCTTGAATATATCATACCAAGAAAAACGAACCTCGACGTATGGCCGAGCTGGTGAGGGCCAAAATGCCGCAGTCAAATCGTATATAACTGGACCTGCTACTCTCAAGTTCCATTAGTGGCGCCGCCTACACGAGATTACTACCCCAATAGGAGAATATTCGGTGAAACCCCGACAATAAGGCCAATCAGTCCCTCGGGATAAGCTTTTAGCTATGTTGATTCCCCCGCGAGAAAGTCTAGAAGACCCTAGCATTTGTGCAAATTGTTAGGCAGTGGGCCGTTGCCGGGCCCGGGTGTCGCAGGAACTTGGGGAAACCGAATACAAACTTCTCCTCACAGGCTGACTGACTCTGTTGCTCTTCCCCGTGGGGAGCAAGCTGCTCCACAACGGTCTAAACACACTTTCAAAGGCGAACTGTACTGTCACTTTGCCAGCGCCGTGACTGAGTGGTCCTGTGGAAAGACTGTTCACCGGAGGACTTAATGAGTATCGTCTCTTCCATGCCATGGATGGTGCTACTTTGGCTGGATCTAGGCCTGGCAAGAATAAATGCAAACTCAAATGGCGCCACGATGGAGTGTGAAATATCATTGTATTCTCCCATAATCGCAGGGATTAAAGTCCCACCAAACTGCTAGACACCTGCATTATTTGCAGAGCATCTGAACTCACCGGATGGCAAGTTTTTTTCGCGGGGTAGCAGCCACTGGTTTACTAGCGCCAAAAGCAACGTTCGGATAGTGTTGTGGTCTCCAACTAACACGCTCGATATGCGTCTCTGAAGGTATAAAAGGGCCTGCCATCCTCGCAATGTAACCGCATCAAGTCTCATCGTCCATCCAATTTCATCATTTCACAGTGGGCCTCATATGTCACAACATGGGTCTTATGCTGAAGAAGCCAGAAGGCACTGAGGGAGCGTCCTGGCCCGCTATCGTTATAGGTCTCTTTGTCGCCTTTGGAGGCGTTCTTTTCGGGCATGGATTTATCACTTCATTATCTTCGTTCTCTGGGAGACAATCGACTGACTAAAGGCTTCTCTAGTTATGACACAGGAACCATCAGCGGCATCCTCGCCATGCCCTATTGGCAGGAGCTCTTCTCCACCGGTTACCGCGACAGCTCTGGGAACCTGAACGTCACCTCCTCCCAATCTGCCGCTATCGTCTCGATCCTTTCTGCGGGTACATTCTTTGGTGCTCTGGGTGCTGCTCCTATGGGTGACATGATCGGTCGTCGCTGGGGTCTTATCGCCTCTACGCATGTCTTCATCCTGGGGGTCATTCTACAGACAGCAGCCACTGCGATTCCCATCTTTCTTGCAGGTCGTTTCTTCGCTGGTCTTGGTGTCGGCCTGATCTCTGCGTTGAGTACATCTCTCTATCTATAACGATAACAGGAACGTGCTAAGTGAAGCAGTCCCCTTGTACCAATCTGAGACCGCTCCACGCTGGATCCGTGGCTCCATCGTTGGTGCCTACCAGCTCTCCATCACTATCGGTCTCCTCCTTGCCTCGATCGTCAACAACTCCACACAGCATCGCAATGACACCGGTAGCTATCGTATCCCCATCGCCATCCAGTTTGCCTGGGCCCTCATCCTCATCGGCGGTATGCTTATCCTCCCCGATACCCCCCGCTACATGGTCAAGAAGGGCGACATTGAGGGCGCGGCCAGAGCACTTGGCCGCCTCCGCCGCCTACCCGCCGATAATCCCGCCGTGCGCGAGGAATTGGCCGAGATCGGAGCCAACCACGAGTACGAACTCAGTCTCGGCAAATCCACCTACCTAGACTGCTTCAAAGGTAACCTGCTCAAGCGACTTCTCACAGGCTGCGGTCTGCAGGCACTGCAGCAGCTCACCGGTATCAACTTCATTTTCTACTACGGCACCCAGTTCTTCAAGAACTCCGGCTTCAGCAACTCGTTCACCATCAGTCTGATCACTAACTGCGTCAACGTTGGCTCAACCTTCCCCGGTCTCTGGGCGATCGAAAAATGGGGCCGTAGGCCTGTTCTCTTCTGGGGTGCGGTAGGTATGTGTGTGTCGCAGTTCATCGTTGCCATTCTGGGTACGACCACGACTGGCCAGGATGCAGTCGGCAAAATCGTCGTGCACAACGAGCCCGCACAAAAGGCCGCCATCGCATTCATCTGCACCTATATCTTCTTCTTCGCTGCGACCTGGGGTCCCAGCGCTTGGGTCGTCACCGGCGAGATCTTCCCCCTTAAAATTCGCGCTAAGTCGCTCTCCATGACCACCGCTACGAACTGGCTACTCAACTGGGCCATCGCCTACTCCACCCCGTATTTGGTTGACTATGGCCCGGGCAATGCCAACCTGCAGTCGAAAATCTTTTTCATCTGGGGTGGTTGCTGCTTCCTTTGCATTTCATTCGTGTACTTCATGATCTACGAGACCAAGGGTCTTACCCTGGAGCAGGTGGATGAGTTGTATGCGGAGGTGAGCAGTGCCAGACTGAGCAAGAACTGGACTCCTACTATTACCTTCCGGGAGATCCAGCAGGAGAAGGCCAAGGATGCGCATGTTGAGACTACGTCCCAGAGTGCTTAATCGTGCTTTGTTGCGAGGGAGTTTGCTGTTTGATGTGTCTCCCTGCAATGAGTTGGAGAATTATTTTTTCTGTAATGTTGTAGTTAGACTGCTAGATAAAGTCTATGATACGAGAGAGTATATATCTAGATATGAAGTTTGCACAGGGAAACACCGGTGTCCATTTGCTCCAGGTGGCGCCAGCGATGCAGAGCAGTCGCACGCGATGAAAAGATCAATGTATACCACCTAATTGAGAAACGATAATTTGTCAGTCAGAATCAATAGATCCCAGGCTCAGCGCGGATTCCTTATCTCTTCCTAACTTGACATCCAAATGGAGTGGTATACTAGCCTGTCCTTTTTACTATCGTATTCATGCGTGTCTCTGCAATAAGTCGTTGCGGGAGTTCCAAAGTTCTGGATAGACCATAACATTATATATAGAATTCTACTGTACTACATATCTATCATCCTTCAAGGCTTTTCGCTCAGTAGCTCAAACCAAATCCCCACCCTATCCGACCCAGTAACAAGTCTAGCGGGTAGCAGTGTTCGTTTAACGATGGCGGCAATATCTTCATTATCAAAACGGTGAAATAAAGTGTTCAATTGGGCATTCATCTGCGTCATCCTGCGGTGTAGGAACCGAATATTATGCTTAGATATATAGCTCATCGCTTATATATTATGTACCACACATCTATAGTGTAAGCCCCTGGTCAGCGGTAGAACTATCATCATGATAACACAGCACTATCTACTATGTATCACAAATAGAAGCAAATTATAGCCATTCTAGCAACGTACACAACGTACAATGGTCCCTGCCTTCTTCCTCTGTATGACTCCCATTACGGGCTCCTCGGCTTTCCTGTACAGCCAATCTATAGTGTGCTGCAGAGAGCAGGCGGGCGGGCTAGCAGTGACAATGCCTCAGGCTAATCTAATTGGAGGGACAGATTATCACTTGACCCCACACAAGCACCTAGCACCATCATGACGCATCCAACAGTGAAGTTCACCGGTCTGTGAATCGAGAGATGGAGCGGAGAAAACTTATCCCGCTACTGAGGTTGCTTGTATTTTAGCCCTGCGCCTTATCAACAATCTTGTGTCCAGGTTATAAAGGTGGTAATGCTCCAGCCTGTCGGCCTAGTCTCCTGTTACAACCCACTGGTTTCTCCATTGATTGTGCCTAACACATGTGGATTATCTCTGTCATCCTTTCTTTCAGCTCTTAGGTTTGCCCTGTATTGGATATCATGATTCCCAGCCCACACCTTTGGCTCTGCCTCTATGTCCTGGTGACTGTGGCCCTGGCGAACCAGGAGCCCCTGGCCTCTAGCAACACTTGATTTACCTCTAACTATGCCTTGCCAAAGGCAAATTATGACGCTTGCTGCCTATATGACAAGTCCCTAAGTGGTACAGGCTATGCCGGCAGTACTCAATTTATGTACCGGTGTGGAAACTTTCCAGATCCACACGGCGCAAAAGTGATGAACACTGTCAGCAGCATACAAGACTGTGCAGAGTTCTGTGCGAAGGACACTGGCTGCGCAGCAGGGGTATGGGACTATCGGGGCCACGGTACATGCTATACAACAACTGAAATAAAGGCGATGGAGCCGGATCAGTTTATGGTTCTGCTAGAGAAAAACGAGTCTAATTGCCAGGACGATGGAAGATACTCTTGAGAAGTGCCAGGCTGCAGAGACACAGCAGGAATAGGAGAAAGAGGCGTTGGATAAAGCGCTTCAAACCTGGAGGTCTGGAGAAATACCCAATGACCACAGCTCGCTATGCCCCACAAAAACTGCACAGTATTCCTTCAAAACAGGAAGCATCAAAACCCGCAAATATTGCGGGTTTTCGTTGAAGGGCTCTGGCGGGATGTCGAATCTTAATTTAACGCCATTCACAGCATGTTTTGAATATTGCTCCAAGTACTCATGCACGGCAATTGCCTACGTTTTCTCAGATGATAGCGTCTTTTGTCTCTTACCTTACAGAAACTTTGGCGTATCGGACCTCGTGCCTAGGGAGGGAGCCCTATCTGCAATCCGTGAATGACGTGATTACACTTCCTCAGGCAAATCTCGAAGGGAAAGCAGAAAGCATATTCCTCCCAGCTCCTTATTTGGGTGTAGCGAGTCCTTCTCTTCCTAAGTCCGGAATATAGAGAAATTAAGCGCAGGATCTCTGTGGGAAGGATGTCCAGGCAAAAGTGTTGCGCAAGTGTTGCGCATCCACGGTAATAAGTGGCAGCTGGTTCTGGAACAGCGAACTGTTATGTATGGTTGGCTTTATACATACATTTCGTTTCTTTGCTACGTAGCCAGCTCTAATACAATGATGACTCATGGGCGTGTCCAGGGAAGAAGAAATATTAGGGCACGCCTGGGCAACCACCCCAAACTATAGCCCCCGAAAACGAAACAATCACTGTCCAGTGGATGACGGTGGGCAAGTCAAGGAGATGAGAAAATCATTTCGACCGTGGGATGTAGATCCACCAGCCGTGCATGTTGCCAACATAACTCTTGAGAGCTTATTCAATATGAATTCTTCATATACAGTAAGGTTATATGCTATCTCTGACCATACGGTTAATCCGAGAGAGCTTTGTCGTCGTAAACAGCTGAGTATCCAAGTGCATGAATCGACTTGCACTGGCCCAGTCCACCACATTCTATCCATATCTATCTGATTCAGCCAGCATTTCAACAACCCGTAATCAACCGATAGCGAATCCAAAGTGGTAGTCAAACCAAGAGTCGACGGCAGCTCTTCCGCGTACTGAGGTCTTAGTCCAGGATCGAGAAAGACTGTGTTCCCCCCGGTCCACAAAACCGACCCCTATAGACTGAGCCAAGGGATCATCTCCAGTCTGAGTCTGCCGCTGGCCCTCTGTATCACTTCCCGGGAATGTCACGTTATACCTTGCACTCAACAACCGTCGCAACTTATTCCCAATATGCCGTGCAGGCTGCCACGATCCTACCAGCCCCTCGAGAACACCCACGCTTACCTCTTCGAGAGTATCTTCAAGATCACTCCTAGTGAACCTGTGCCACCTGGGAAGGTTGGTGAGATCGGATCATTGGGGGGGAGCTTTTGGCTTTGTTCGATGCTGTATTATGGTCTGGCACGATCAAAAGAATTATAAGATGGAGCGGAAGCAAACTCAAGTATTGGGACAAGGCGGATAGATTTCTATACGAACGGAAAAGTAAGCGGTACTGTAGTCAAAGCCATAAGCGCAGGCTGGAGTACTTTTTCCGGAAGGTACTTATCCCACCAGGCCTGAGACGTGGCATTCGAATTTTATACACTAAGTGTGCCGCTCGACCGTACTGACGTCTGCAAAGTCCAAGGAACCAATGCTGCTTTCCGATAGCCTGCCCTCACAGCAAAGGTGCTGAGGGAGAGGGGAAGAGCTTCATTCAGCTCACACTGGGCCAGGAGTCTGATTTAGGACATCTAAACAGCTACCAATTATAACGGTCTTCTAGGTAACCAATCATAATCCGCTGCGGCTGAAGGAGGCTCTGGCCCTATTATAGATTCCTCAGCGCTGAGCGCAAAGTATGACCACTTCAACCACCAGGATCTAAATGCCGTCGTTGTGGGTTTACCGCTGCGGGATCACAGGAGCCGCAGCCATAGTTAGCTAGGACCATGCACTATTCAGGTATAAGGAATGTATAAGGGAGTTACTTGGTGAGACAGACTTATAAGGAGTATATAAATAAAGAGATAACGCTACGCGCGTTAGTATTCTCACTTGATATTTTTTCACCACAGCAAGCTCTTTGAACAGCAGACATATCTTCCTCCAATCGAAGTAACATCCTCAACTCCCAGCACTTTTCCAGGTCTATTATTGCTTGTAAAAATGGTGCTTGATTATCATATGTAAGGTCCCAACATCATCCAGCGGGGCAGGTGGCCCTTACAGTTACCACATCCCCAGGATCATGCAATCCGGGATAGTTGAGTTTGTCATAGGTATAAACCAACAACAGTTCTCAATACACGCAGCATTAGCTGGATATTTTCCAAAAGAGATATTTCAGCCTTCCATAAATGGGCAAGTCGATGAGATCGTCTTTGGTCATTGCTGTGAGTTCATATATTCTGGTGATTACTCCATTCCGTTGCCGACTGCTGATCTGTGCAGGGACGATAACGACAAGCCCAGCGACAGCCAGACACTGTCTCGGGTATCTGCTAGACGATGGGATCCTATGATCCACTAACAAAATCTTTTCCATCCCATACAACTACCCTATGTATGTACCTTGATCAAGGAGAAGCTTGACAAGGCGTCCTTAGATGAAGGAGTCCCGGACAACAATCTAGCAGATAATTATGCGGCTGTTTTTCTAAGCTATGCTGAAGTTTATCATTTCGCCTACACAGCGGACTGGGATCCGCTTTACACTCTGTTGCTCTAGTGGCTTATTCGCTCGCTGGCCAGCTTTACCCTCTTTGAAGAATGAACTGGAGATATTGTCAAACTGCTGAAGTTTGTATTTGAGGAAAATAAAGGATATGGACAACATGCGAGATATGTTGGTACATTATGCAGTGTGGAACATAGAAATAATTATGCGGGATACTAACTTTCAATAACTGCTTGATTGAGTGCCTTCCCTTGAAAAGGCCATTTTCCATGCAATATAGACTGAAGATATGACTCTGTATCATTTCCGCTTTGTCAGTTGCGGCTGAAGAGCTGCAAGGAATCTGTTTTGTTCTTTTTAGAGAGAGATCGCAAATATATGCATGTACTCATATAAGATGTTCTATTTTACTAGTTACCATGTATATACTTTGAGCAGTGCCTTAGATGACGAATAGTGTGCTATCAAGCCATCGCTCAGAGGAGACAAACGATCAGGTAGGTTTCTAAAATATTGGCCCATGAAACGCCACAATCTTAAGGGGGTGCACCGGTCGATGCGGAAACGGGTCAGCCGACAACCATCCTTTTACCGAGTAGTGCGAGTTGAGGGTACGCTGAGGCTGGTGACCATTGGCTGGGACATGGCTGGGGAAGCCGAAGAAAGCTTAGCGCCCCTCAGCGCTTCCGCAGTCCACACCATGGCATCGGTGCCTGCCGAGCATTTCTTGCACGGAGACTCTAGAAAGGTTCCCAGTGCCAGAGTTTAGCAGCTGCACTCAGGCGAAACCTATGTTGTATTTACCATAATTCCAACCTGAAAAAGGTGAGGGGCTAGATTTTGGATTAACTCCCTTCCTGTATTATCAAGCCTGAAGAGTAGATTTTGAGGCTTTGTATAAGCAAATCAAGGTAGGTAACTTAAGCTAAGGAAGTAAGGAATATTTCAGAGTTGACTGTTATCCTGCTTGTCTATAGATACGGCGACAAGCCCTTATTACAGGCTAGTCTTTAGTTAATAATATTTTATGTCAATGCCTTCCAGAGTACTGTGCTTTTCAAGGAAATATAAATGCATATCCAGATTCTGAGATTCTAGATATAAAACTTCGAGCTTGAGCCCTCTAAAGTCCTGTTAACTTACTTCCTCTTAAAGTGTTTATAATCCATTATATTGAAGGTAATTGTTTCTATGTCACTATATCGTTCATTAACTTACCTCCTGGCTCACCACTAGTCACCTCTGGACTCGAATACACAGAAAATGGATGCTGCCCATCCAAGCAATAGCACTCAAAGTGCTGGTACGGTTCCTATGGTTCCTCCGACGGCAATGAAGTCTCTCTCAAAAAACAAAATAAAGCCCCCAGAGTTAGATCCCCCGCCTGCTTCTAAGGAAGAACATGATGACATTGATACGACTATGTTCCTGACAGCATTACACATTTGTCCTCTGGGTATGGCATTGGGCTGCCTGCTCGCGCACCCATAAGGGCTTTTTTGTATTCTTTACTCTTGGATGTCAAGAAGGATGTGGACTCCGAAGCGGTGAAATATGACGGCTAGAACTGGAGATTAGCGACATGAACACTGTAGATAGTACGGATCCGCAAGCTATACGATTTACAACACTCTGCGGTTTGTTTCAAATAAAAGATTCCAATTTGCTCCACAATAAACGCCTTTTTCTGTACTAATTCGACCGCTATTTCCTCGTATTGCATCGTATGAACATAACGGATAATTCTGGACCTCCACAGTTGTCTACGCTTTGGCAAACTGGCACGTTAAAGAGTTTCCAGAGGGACTTGTTTGAATTTGCATCTTTCAGCTGTTTGGGCTTACACTGGCCGGAAAGCTTCACCGCAGTATGACAGGACTGTGATGTATGAACATGGACACCAGACCTTGCGCTCCCGGCTGCCTTATCCGCAAATTGAGGACATGAAATCCTTTATAAATGCTGTAGGTACGGAGTGCTGCGGTCTGGTGAGATTTAAGCTCAAATCCTTGCTGCTTCAAGCCTAAGGGCCGGGACAGTACAACAACTGTGATAAGTGTCTTAGCGCCGCAGCCGGCTGGCTAGAATTGGTCTCATTGGCCTGCTGCGGGATGTGGGACAGAACGGAAATCCCTCTGCACCTCTCTTTTTGATAAGTTCAATTTGGCAAAAGGGCTGTACCAGTGTGTGGGAGACCATTATTAGTTTAGAGAGCTCCTAAAGGGTCAAACTACATCAAAATTGCTCAGAATAACTGCTAACAGACAGTCGACCAGACTGATTCCTTCGCCTCGCTCCATGACAATCTCCAGTATCCAGGTGTAGGTGCGGTGCTTCGGATGGGCCTATTGGCCAGGACCAGGGTGAGCAAATAGAACAGTGGATGGAAAATCTTCGTAGTGCCGTTGGGCTGGAGGTGATGGCGATCATGAAACCGAGAGTCGGGGGGGTGACGGATGGCCGTTGCTTTGTGGATTATGGTCGTCCTAATTGCGCCCGACTCCGGGTATAACACCCCTAAAATGCGGCCCGGAGTTGGTGGCCGCACCCCCGGAGTTCCGTGGTCGATCCCTGGCAGACAGCCGCTGCGGGCTCCCAAGCCAGGCGGTGGACATGGTTGTCGGACATGCATACTACCGATTTTCCATTGAAAAGGAAATATATTTATGCTCTTCTTATTCCTTTATTCTTTGGATCATATGGACAAACAAGCCCAGACTCCTATACGAGGGGTTCACAGCAACCACTGGTCAGACAAGGTGCAAATGCATACTGATGTAAGCCACCTACAGGGATCGCGTATGTTTGCCAGATTCGGCATAAGCAGGCGTTGCGTGTTATCCGTTCTAGCCATCTATAGCAGAATTCTCCGCATTTATGCGAGTATACTTTATAAAGAACACCTCCTCCCTGTGTAAACGTCCCTCGTTACCAGACAAAATCTGCTTCATCATGAAAATCTCGCTTGCTCTCTCTGCTCTTGCCTTACTTGCTTGCCCTGCCGCTGCGGTCGACCTTGATCCACCAGACGACTGTGGCGCGCCCTTTAACGCCTGGTGGACCCAATGCACCCGATCTGCCTCCAACTGCTGCTACTACGCAGCCGAAAAAGCCAATACAACCTGTCCGATGACTCGTGCAAGACATTATGTCTTGCTAGGAAAGTGCAGGTCGCTCTTCGAGGGCAGCGCAAGACCCTACAACAAAACCGACTGTGTCACCGCCACTCTCTCCGGCATAGCCTTGCTTATGGGGGATCGTGGCCTTAGCTTTCCTGTCAGTTGTACTATTGATGACATCAAGGACATGCCCTAGGGATTGCGGCGTTTCCCTGGAGGAGGCTTCGTGGAGAACCGTCCAGGAAAAGTCAAGATGGGTATATTGGCAATGTTCGTGTACAATTTGAGCGCTCTAAGGGAGGAAAGGTCCCGACAGCGAATCGGCAGAATCTCCCTGCGGAGAGGCTCGACTGGTCAACGAAAACTGTCTGTCAATACCTAAGGTTTATACGGGGTCTGACCAAGCCTCTTCTGCACCCCGGATCATAGTATATCAGTATACTCATACTCTGATAAGAGAATATGAATATGGATAGGTTACTAAACCTAGTATCTATTTAGAGTAGAACTGAGCAGCTTAGACGGACTTAGTAGTAGATTAACACCCCTCACGGCTACTAGTAACCGGCATCATCGGTTCGGCGACATCCCATACTTCTCGCAGGAGAGGCAACTGCTCCGATGGCGCTCAATCTAGAAGTGAAGACGCTCTTCATCTCTCAACTATCTCGGCGGCGGTCCAACGGGAATAACAGACATGGGAGAAAGGAGGAAGAAGATAGAACTAACAATGACTTTCATAATCAACTATTGAGTCACGTGAGCAGTCTAACATGACATGACTATGGCCACATCACAACGGTGCTCAATCAGCCAGAGCGGAATTGATGAAAGATCAACCTGTTTCCATCAGATAAGTGGGAGAGAAGAAGAAAGAGATGCAAATTTTCAGATGTCTGGAAGTCTGCCTAATCCCAAGGCTCACATCGACCAGCCTCCGTTTCTGACTGGTGTTGGCATGGGGCATAGATATCGCTTCGTCCCTTGCCCACATCAGACGGCCTGAGACACTCTGGGTCGCACTCTTGCCCCAGAAAACAATCTTCAATGAGTGCTAATCGTAGTAGCCCCATTTTCTATATTCCTTCTGATGCTTGGCACATCTGTCCAAGGCAGAAAGACAAATTTCCAACATGAAGTTGGGAACCACTTCCAAAAAGGTGCCGTCCAATATGGGGTTGTTGTTAGCCCTCAGAAGCATAAGGTTATCCGTCGTCATCTGGACGACAAGGTCCCTGAGCCCTCGGTCGTGGCCTTCTGTCGAGCCGTACACCTCAAGCACCGCGGAGGTGAATGATTCTCGGTCTGGAAATTTCATGAAAGACTCCTGGAAGTACTCCTTCGCCCTAATCTTCAATCCCTCTATTTGAAAATAGGCACCTTGTGCGTACATTTGGGCGTGAAATATGGCCTGACCGGTTGGTGGGTTTGCACTGCTAGCTTCTCCCTGTATGTCTGTGAATACTTCTGTCCCTGTGTCTGCCTGAAGATCCTTATCCAGGTATGTATGTGAAAGCTCCCCGGTGATATTCTCGGAGTCAAAGCTGCCCCTTGCATTTGAAACTTCATAGGTATAGTCACCCGTGTACAAGAATTCGAGCATCTTCCTGACGAGCATAGGGTCGCGATCGTTGAGCTTTATTTCCCCGTTACCTTCCTGTCGATCCAACATCCAATCAGTAACTGTTGTAGTGGGTATACAATACCCAACATACGTATAAAAAGAATGAGAAGATACCTTAAACCGACCATCACAGGCAATTTCAAAATACCTCGATTGAGGGCAGACAATGTTCTGATGAGCTGGGAAGACTTCACCGCTACAGATGATAGATAAATCGCTGTACTTCGGATTGAGAAAATGGCTGTAGCGTACAGGGTAAGTCACTTGTTATAAAATCTTGATGGGCTTAGATCTCACACCTTAGGACAAGCTCTTTCATTTTTGCGGTGGCCTCGTCCTTTGCAACAGCCGTCTCGGTAAATGCAATAGCTGGACTAGCGGATATTTCTGAGATCCCTGATTTTTTTTTTCTCTTTCCCTTCCATGCCATTAGACGCTCGGAAAAACTTGTGACTGTGTAAAAGAGGCTACAACAGAGTTAAAATACTAGCATTGCAGGAGCATGCATCTGGAAGTATTTATGTCACGATATATGCGTAACTGTTTAGTTCTACCAATCCCATAGTAAAAGGGTGCTGTGTGAAGTGTGATGGGTGTGTGCTGACGCGAATCTGACGTGGCCATCTTAACCGTCATTCATAGCTTTTACATCAACCAGCACACGTACCGCCAACTTCGTAGATGAGGGTCCTTGCGAAATCTCAGTGGTCCTTAACTTTCAGAACCTAGCCAAATACATAGCTTTCCTGTGTAGTCCAAATCTTACCATCTGCCCCGAAAATGAACTGTGCGTCACTACCAGGGGCACAGTTTTGAAAATTGGTTGGGTTAACAAGAACGGCTAGCATGGAGATGGGATACGCACCTCATGTCTACTTCAAGAGCCACGAAAAGTCTCAGTTAGTATTTTATGCTCTTGATGATTTCACTGTCCAGGTATTTCATGGTCGTCTCCAAGTGTTTCCCAGATCAGACGCCGAAATACCAACACATGAGTTGGATAATTTTCTGCCGTATCCAGTCTTTACGGTCCTCTGGCTCAAGCTAAGTAAGCTATCTCCACAGGCTAGAAGCGAACGGAATTAAAATGATTCTCCGTGCGTACTCGGCCTGAGAGTGACCAATAGGTCAGTTCACGATCTGTGTGGGTAGCAGCGGATCGAACGACAGTGTCAGCTACTCGGTTCCTATACAGACTCTGAAGCTCATTTTAAGACAGCTGGCTCTAGTAGTAGTAGTGAAAGGGAGGCTAAGCTTATATGACAACGGACACTACAACCTCGTCTCGATCGGAGAACGACTCAAACGCTGCCTCTATCACGCTCTCCGACTTCCAAAGATCCGTATGCCGATTAATACGATCGGTATTCTGGACCACGCCGACCATCAGAGAACTGTACAGCTCATATGTTAGCCCCGCCGAGCTGGAGTATCATGAGCGGTAAACCTACGTCTGGTCCACCTGTAACAATAAGAGGAATGAAGATTTGTATCTCTGAAGGTTCTTCGCCACCCCCTCTACCTCTATGCGTTTGAGGGGCCACTCCAAGGCTCGTAGGCCCACTTTCCTCAAAAACCTCTTTCCCTTTCCCGGATCAAGGCTCGCTTCTAAGGCTTGGAGATCGGAGTGGCAATCGGTAATAGAGCTGACTAGCCGCGAGGAAGTGGATAGACTCTTCCCATTATTACTCTGGAGCAATTGCAGCAAGTCTTGGAGAGCCCCTTGGAGGCCTGTAATAGCCCGCTGTAGCATAAGAATCTCATCCCGTGCATCGTTCACCTCTCGAATCCTCCACAAAGCTTCGCGAGGCTTGCCGCCAGCTGGATAATAGCGATGACGCTCGCCGCCGATGATACAGCGTCCATTGGGATGGACACGGCATAAACGTACCTCCACACAGGTAAGTACAGTGGCGATCAAAGAGTAAGAACTCGGGTTCACAACATAGGTTAGGCTCTCCAGGCGAGCTGAAGCGGGGTAAATTATGCCTTACGCGCGAGGCTGTGGCTAAAGGTGCTTGCATCACACAAGCCCGATATGACTAACCATGCTTTTCCGTCGCAGAAGCTACAACTGGCCGAAGGGGTCCTGATTGGGTCGGTTCGACTCTAGGCCCGCGCCGACCCAGACGTTTCTGGTTGCCATATATCTGGCCACTCTTGTCAACTTCAGCGTGGAACGTGGGAATACTTACGCGGGATGCTGACTTTCAACAACTACTCGACCGACTGCCCATCCTTGGAAACGGCCATTTTCCGTTCAATGTGGAGGTGAAGATTTGACTATGTGTCGTTTTTGCTTTGCATGTTCGCGGTCAGTTACGGCTGAAGAGCTGCAAGGAATCCGTTCTGTTCTTTAAAGAGAGGCCTCAATGTACGCAGGTATCTTAAGACGTTCTATCTGCTAGTTACTGTGCATACCATGTGACCAGTGCCTTGCGGACGAATAGCGTGCTATCAGGCCGTCGCTCGCTCAAAGGAGGAGACAAATGATCAGGTAGCTTTCTAGAAACATCGGCCATGAAACGCCACAATCTAAGGGGGTGGGTCGATGCGGAAAGGGGTTTGGCCGACAACCATCCTTTTACGCAGCAGTACGAGTTGAGGGTACGCTGAGGCATTGAGGGACAGATGTTAGCGCCTCAGGGCTGGTCACTGTTGGGTGAGGATGTGGCTGCGGAAGCCGAAGAAAGCTTAGCGCCGCAGTGCTACCAGTCCGCAACGTGGCATGGGTGCCTGCCAAGCATTTCCGCAGCTTAACGTTGCCGCCCATCTGCCGCCCGTTCCCGCCTGCCGCCCGATTTCAACGTTCTGCACCACCAACAAAAAATGAAGCTTTTGAGCCACATAGTATTAGTATATTAATTAGATATCTTAGTACTAAGGTTTAACCGTGACAAATAGCTTCACAAGAATGAGATAGAAATGTATAGATCGTGCATAGAATAATCGAGATTGCATGATATATCATCACATGATGTTGGATCAGGTGATCTCCAGTTCGACACTTTAATTATTTCCTGAAGCTCTTCTATATAGTTGGATTATAATTCTACTATTTTTATTAAGTCTGTTACTTATTACTGGAGTTTTGTAATTTCTCCTTTATATTTTGGTTCTTATGTTTCCTATTACTGGTAAAGCTGTTGAATCTCTGTAGATTGCTTGTCTAGCTTTTCCAGAATCAGATTCATAACTGAGTTGGAGTTAGTGATAATTTTATATTACTACTTTGGGTGCGCGACGTGTCTGTTTTACGGCCATATTTCACTCCATCACTTAGTGTGTCGCGTTCCTGGTCTTCACTAAGGTGTACAGGGCGTTGGGCATTTCTTTGAGGTCGTGTTAGGCTCAGCTTAGGGTCTGAACTTTCCCACTAGTCAAAAAGACCACTATGTTTGAACCCATCAGGGTTCAAACATCCCTAAGCGCCTTATATAGTATCGCACTGGTTAGGTGACGCACACCACACCTAACAGGTCGCCTGCGAGCGGGCGGAGCGCCTGTGGATGCTTCTGTATCAGAATCACCCATCGTGTCCGAAATGTATTCCCTTGAATTACAACAGCTGAAAAAATCGTGCATTAGGTGGGGCTGTGCATGTGATCAGCCACGGTAAATGTAAGCCCTAATGACAAACCAATTGGCATTGTGGTCTGTCTGAAGAGATACAATTCTTGTCGTAATTACTTGACGACTGATAAGCTGGCATATCCCTGGTGGCGTAGACTTCGTTAGGGGAGAGAGTGAAGGAAGCCTTATGAGCTGGTCAGAAGAACAACTGCATATCAGGTAATCTGGCATATATACACAGGTCCATATACATCTTGACAGAGGTCATGCGAAACAATGGTTTTACATGAGAGATGCTCAGATTATATCAGATTGGCCTACACAAAGACAGAAGGCCATGACTCCGGCAGTCTGCCTTCCTTTCTGAACACCCTATCGTGCATCTCCGTCGCTGTCATGGGCTATGTATCATGCTGGGTCTCACATGCTATCATGCTGGAAGCTTTCTTCACGGAGCCTTTCCCTCCAAATTCCCTCGTGCCACGCAGCAGGCGGATCGTTGCAGAAAATATACTCAACATAACGGGCCGGCACCAGTTCAGTATAGCCCTTTCTAATGGCAAAGGGACGGCTCTTGCGGTTGCTATGGTAATAGAGCGTAAATTCTCCGGAATAGACAAAAGACAAAGTTCTAGTTGTACTTACGACCGAAGTAAACAGTTCGCCGTGCTTTGGATTGCCTTCAGCTTTCCCCTACAGTTGTCTGTTAGCTTCACACAGTTGCCTCGGCATTGGATTGTGAAGAGACTCCATACGGATGCTCCAACGCGGTCAGGTGTCGTGGTTCGATCAATTGAGAGTACTCTTCGCCTTCCGAGAAGTAGGCTATCTAGACCGTAAATTAGAGGTGAATTGCAGTATCTAAGTAACTAACAGACCTTAACATCCTCACTTAGCGCACTAGTTGCGCACAGGGTGATGGCTATAGCCGCAGCTAGGAGAAAACGCATCTTAAAATCCTGCGACTATATGAGATCTTAATTAATGAAAGATAAGGTCGGATTTCAGAAGAATGGATCAGCCCCCGGCATTGAAGGGTTTCTAATAGAAGCAGTGCAAAAATACGGACAAAAGTCATGATGTCAGCGGTAGATAGAAAGTATCCCCACCCCACCTTTCATTCGCGCGACACTTCTGATACAGTAGAGAATAACAGAGAAAAGGAGTCAATGTAACCACAACAAATGAGCATTGCATTTTAAGTATTACGTCAACGAATATTGAAATCCGAACCGGCCGCAATGAAAGGAACTTAGCCACGCAGAAACACAAGAGCATTTTGATAATACACAGTTGATTGCTAAGCTTATTTACGCAGGATATCATATCTTGGTAAACCTAATTTGCTGGATGGAACAGAGATCTACCTACTCTGAGCAGCAAAAAGGGTCCTAGAGGTCTCTTCCCAGCCAAAAGGGCTAGCATTGCATTAGAGAAACTGTGGAGCATTGTAACGGCGTTGTCTACGGCAAGATCTAGCGGCCACTCCGCAACAACGATTTCTTATGCAATATCCTCTTACCGCTTCCTCAACGGCTTTCTATATTTGATTACTATAGAATATCATCTTTATTTGCCTTACTTTAACTCTTGTACATAACTATGCCTCGTTCAAGCATTGATCTTGAGCCATACAGGGCTGAGATTACCGCTCTATATCAAAGAAAGGAACCAGTGGCTGCAATTTGTCACAAATCGAATAGCGATTCAGCCTGATGACCGTACAGGATACCCTGACCCAGGTGCATAGACAATCGGCCACCGATGAGGAATATCAGGTCACACAACAGATTGGGTCCAAGGGGGATTCTGAATCCTTTAGGCATGGAGCCTTTAGCTGTAAAGTAGCGAATCGTTAGCAGTAGTAGGAGATCAAGGATCAGACTCTTGTCTGAATAGTATCTACTGCCTGCCTTTGACCTCTCCCTTTGCGTTAGCCTACGTACCCTTACCTAGTTGACAGGTCCTCTACCCTGAATAGTAGATACCCTTGACACAATTCAAGATTATCTGAAGGAGTCATTTAATATTCAGCTCAGCAAATATACACTTGAATCACGCCTTCAATATTAGGTTTAGTACGCCAGGATTAAACGGTTAGTTTAAATCCTGACATACAGGCATGAATAAAAGTGCTCTTCTTTCAGGTTTATCTTAAAGATAAAGATATTCTTTACGTTTTATATAATAAAAGAGTGACTCTAGCACCTCCTACATTTAGACACATACATGCAAGTCTTGGACTTGTATGCTGTACTGGCTCTCTTTTTAAGAAGCAGCATCAAACTGAAGCTATTCTACAAGCTCTTGTAGAGAAATCTAAATAAGGCAAGATTTAAGGATTTAGACAAGAACTACCCTATATACAAAGGGTTATATTATTGTGTTATACCTGGGCATTCGGGCAGGAGCTCTGCGACCAGTTAACTGCACTTGTGTAGCGAGGGCCAAACCTGAACGATAGAATCCACTATGTTTCAGTAACAAGAGACAGTAATGCCGAGGGGTGATATAATCCAAGGTCTGATTGAAGACAATAACTAATCTGTGAATAGCTCAAGTCTAAAGGCCAGGCCTATTAAGTATATATACTTGATAGTTAGAAGAGTACAAATGAGTTGAATACTAGTCCTGATACTAAAGGTAACTCTATAGTAACAGTTGCAATTGATTATAAAGAAGTAAACTAAGTAGATGAATAAATGTCCTTGTATATTTCTTTCTATTATGTCACTGGCAGGCTATATTATATCACTGATACATTCTAATTATAGTGCTGACATGATATAGCTTATCAGTGATATATTGAATAGTCACATGACAGCTTTGTTTGGTAAGTGCTCAGTTCTTAAATACCTGAGATAGTTATCTTTATCTACTAGTTATTTTATCACTGATTCTGCTATTTACATCCGCATTTAATAAGTACCTGAATCACGGGGGCCCAGGAATTATCCTTTACACTCAGGATCTGATCTAAAAACCTGCAGATCATAGTGTGTCCTATAAAATATGAGATGCCTGTAATCTGGATGCGGACAAGGTAAGGAGCGGTATGTTGTTACGATAACATCATATATAGGTGGTGGTTCGGCATATCAAACAAGAAGTTCAATATATCGGCCTTTTTAGCTTAATGGTTTTGCCTAACCCCATTATGTCTATGATATAGGTAATACCGCGGTTTTAGGCCTATAGTGGCTTTCGTTTATACATGTTCTCCCAGCTTCGACCTTCCAAAATAGAATTAAAGGTCCCAAGAACTACTGTGATCGTGTCATCTGTTTCCTTCCTCGTTTTCATCAGGTGACTTCACCATAGGGCTGGGGCTGAGGTAAATGGCAGCAATTATGCCACTCGAGATAGATATGGTCGCTATGTTGCATTAAACACAAATCTAGGGATGAATTTATCCTCGGGCAGGAAAGCATACCTAGTACACACTGTAGCTCGAAGTAACCAAACCTCTGCACCACAAATCCTGCCAATAGGGGTCCAATCAACAGGCCCGCAGTCCAACTCATGCTAGTAATTGCGACAGCCCGAGAGTAACCTCCATACATCCCAAAGATGCCCGGGTGACTGTCTTCTAACCTGTCGACTGTGTCTACATCCGATGTTTGTTAACATTGTAGTCAGTTCGGAAGGAGTTGCAGATGACTTACCGGTCGCTTCCATTGTCCCTACCCCACTTAGTAAACACATCAAGCACCCAGCTGTGGCCACAGAGGTAACATAGAACGCCTTGCCTATAATTCCACCAGTAAGCCATGGAAAGCGTTCGTCACCCGCAGCCCCCGAGAGCAAAAGAAACGGTGCTATGGAGAAGAACCCAATCGTTGTGGGCATCCGCGATCCCCAGCGGTCCTTCCAGTACCCAACTAGGGGCGCTAGCATCATTCCCGGCCCTTGAATGGAGGCAAGTAAGAGACCAGCCGGGAAAACACCCCATCCAAAGGTCTCCCATGAATGCACAGGAATGGTAGCTTGAAAGCTGGCGATATATAGGGCGAATACGGAGTAGCAGATGATGCCTGTCGCAAACTGAGGTTGGCGAAATAGACAGACATAGAAATGCCATCCGTTCTCTTCTTCGACTAGGGTAGGCAGTTCATCTAGCAAACAAGACTCCTCAGTGCCTCCGGGTTCATCATGTGTTCGTTGAGCTGGTAGGGCATACATCCGTTAGTTAAGCGTGTTTTCTCTGTCCGCGTATGGGTGACGCTTAACTCTCTTGTGGTGCTTTGGGGTTGTCGATCAACACAAGTCGCATAATGATATCCACGACCAGGAAGAAAACTGCCCCCGCCCATGCAACCCAGTACCCACCAAGTCCGAAGAGAAACCCAGCAAGCACTGGACCCGCACATGTTCCCGCAGCAGTTAGAGTTGAGCTTAGCCCTGCAATCTTGCCCATATGCTCACTTCCGATACTCTCGGCCATGGTCGCCACGCCCACAATCCAAAGGGCGTTACTGGTAAAGCTCTGGAAGAATCGGCCAACAAAAAGCCCGACCACTATCATTTGGTCGGTGAGTATGAGAGCAAAATTTCAGGAACGAGGCGACATACGCGACTTCGTGAGCGCAAGGCCCGAGACACTGACAAGCGTCAACACCAGCAACCCAAGCAGCAAAACTTTCTTGGACTCTGTCCGGTCCGCCATATTCCCAACCAGAGGGCTGGTTACGAGGGAGACGAAAGCGCCTTCTGCCAGGAACATTGATGTGTATGTCTGAACACGAGATACGCTAATCTCAATGCGCTGCTCGAAGACGTACGGAAGCAAGGGCACCATAAACGCAAAAAGGAGCTCATCTGCCGCAGTGTGGAGGATCCTTCACATTAAAACTGCCAACTTTCGAATTCTCAACAATTAGGTTCAGTCACATACCGGTGAAGAGCGCCATAGACATAGTGCATAAGGTAAACTCCTTAGATGATCTCCAGGAATGGTTCCATGGCGTACCGCGTGTATCATGATCCAACGAAAGCGGAGCGCTCATTGTTCTCAATTTCAAGCCTCTTTATGGATCCTTGTGCTTCAAGGCTTTGGTTTATCGGCGGGGAGGGGGTTAAAATGTCAAGGAGCCTTGTGGAATGTAGCCTTTTGTTACATTCTTCAAGGACGCAAACGGAAATGGCCCCGCATACTTGGTAAACTATCCGAACATCTGTCTCCTAGTGAAACCAAGAATATGAGAGTAATCTCACTATGAACGTTTCAATGCGATATGGTTAACAAATTTCGCCATTCCAGGCTGGGTTTTAGTAACGGGAAAAAGTAGCTGGTTCCATTGTTCCCCATCATATCAGGCTGACAACTTTAAATGTCAATTAAGGACGCCAAAGCCAGACTCGCCCAGTCGAGTACGGGATTTGGTAGAGATTAAGACGTACTCTTAGTCCATGCCTTTGCGACATGGCAATGGGCGTCTTCTTCCTTTGGCAGAGGTTACCCCAAGAAATTGTCTGGAAGTGAGGGGCATATCCCCCATAAAAGAACACTAAATTTATGAAGCAGATCGGCTTTTACCATTCTTTCGAGCCAGTCCCGGAGCGATTTACAAAACTGAAACCGAATTGAGGTGTGCGCAGACTTTTAGTTTAAGCTCGCTCCTAGTTGACGGGGGCGGCGCAAGGAGTAGATAGATGATTGAGCAACGAATTATCCAAAGCCCCGGAATACCTAGTAAAAGCCTGTGCAGCAGATGAGCTTACAATAATTGCATAATACTTGAGTTAGTTACGATTTTCGCATAGTACTCTCTGTTTTATTGATTTGTTTCTTGCTTTTTCTTGTATTACAATTGGCCCAAACCCTGTGCAGCTAACGGTATCAGCAGAGTAGGGAGAAAGGATTATAATTCTAAAACTAGGATACAGTGAAGTATACACGGGGTCACAACAAGTTTATGTCAAGCCTATAAGTGCCTAGTCCATGGAGAGGGCCAACTATGCAGCTTATACAAATTTGTCTACAGTGCTCAACCGGGCCATTTGTACTGTGAGATATAGTTGATCATTGTAAAATATGCCTATCAAGTATTCTAAAGATCCTTATCAAAGGGTTCAGCCATTATGGGATGTTGTGGTGGACTGTAACCTTCCCTCGTATACGCGTGGACAGCGGCGTGCAGGTATGGATAATACAACCGATCATATAAGCTCATTTCTTCCATCTTCTGACAGATCTCCCAGTGGACGCCCCCTGGTATTGACCGAGGGCTATCGTTCCAATGGAGAACATTCCGAACTGTGTTTCCAGCACGCCGTGGATAGTGGGTTGCATTGATCTTCAATACCCCATCATGCACGAAGTTGCCATACAGGTCAAGTGTGTTCCGAGCTTGCTGGAAGTAGTTGACAGAGGCGAGTATACCACTGCTAATATTGGCATAATTTCCCGAACCGAAAAGAAGAGGAAGTTCAGCGGCGTGGCAGGCACGGTTTGTACCATTGCCACAGATTAATCCCCCAAGGAATTGAGGCAGACCGATATCCCACGAAATTTCCCATACATCGCGGTTGTGCCTCTCCAGAAGGCCCGCATAGACCTCACTACTACATCGATAACCGATATCTGTGGTGAATTGGACCAACGGGTTGGTCACATCAGGCGCATTGATCAATGACCGGTTGAACCCCAGATCCGGGGTGTCCAGCACTTTTGTGGTGCGCTCCTCGCCCAGGAGAAAGGTGGCCAAGAACTGAACTGCCGCCGAGTAATTGGCAGGTTTGTCCTTAAATGTCTCATTGGCCTGCAAGCACAAGCCGAATTCATCCTTAGTATACGTGACAAGGGTTGGCACCATATGGTAACGACCGTTCTCCAGCGCAGTACTCCAGTCCTCCGTAATCAGGTCTCCATCAATAAAGGCCCTAAGTGGTTCGATAAAGTTGACCTCGCCGCGGGGAAACACCTCTTGGGCCTTGGAAAATAACTGGCCTTGGTATTCTAGGACCTGTGATGTCGACCGATTGTATTTAACGCAATGCATGTCATTGCATCCGGCCAGTTCTAGAAACATCCGCGTGAGCTCGGCCTGCACATGGGGCCTTTGCCATCCCGAAAATGTACTCCCAGACTGAATAATGGCACGGGTGAATAAGTGTTTCGCAGATGTTGTCTGGAGGAGGGACATCACCGCGCTGCCTCCTGAAGACTCACCAAAAATCGTCACCCGTTCAGGATCGCCACCAAATGATTTAATATGCTCACGGACCCACTCCAGTGCCATCAGCTGATCGCGCATAGCTTGGTTGCTCCCGATATCCGGCGACCCAGACGGATCAGAGAGGAATCCCAAAGCACCAAGGCGATAGTTTATAGAGACCACCACCAACGGTCGGCGAGTTGCAACGTTCATTCCAAGATAGAAAGGCAGAGATGATCCGCCATAATAGTTTGAGCCCCCATGGATCCAGAACATCACAGGTAACAAGTCGGAGGAATCGCTCTCGGGGAGCATTGGGGTGTAAACGTTGAGATACAGGCAATCCTCGGATATAGGGTAGTTGGGATCTGGGAGATCCGGCGTAGCATTAGGGGCCATGTCTTGCTATTTCAAACGTCAGTTCCGGGAACTCCTTGCTCGCATTATACTCTAGATCTGGCAATGTACCGGACAGAGGGCCTTGAACTTTGTAGCATCATACACCAATTTCCTTTCTCTCCCGGGCAGCAGCATGTGCAGTTTTTCTGGGTTCTTCAGTCGACGCTCGCCTACCGGGGGTTGTGCGTAAGGGATGCCCTGGAATCGCGCCGTCAAGCGGTCTCGGAACCCCTTAATATATCCTTGGGATGTATCGACAAACACATGGCGGCCAGTAGGCTGAAGGTCGACGCCAGCCTGATATTCTGCAGTATTGGTACAGAGAGCACGGATGCGGCGGTTGCATTCAACGCTCAAGGTGGAATTATCCCGAAGACTGTATGCTACGCAGTTTGCACCGCTCCCTTGCAACCACACTAAATGAAAATCTGCGTCTTCCATAGTTCTTAGGTGTGACAAAAGCAAAGGCTGGAAGAAAGGCACATCTCTGGCACTTGCCAGAACCTCTCCCAGCGTGTCGCAAGCTGCAGCGGCCTGTATCTGCGTTTGGGCTTCGCGCAGCAAAAGATAAGAAGGATTGGATTCTACAACAGTCGGTTCCTGCGCAAATAAGACAGTCAGAAGAGCATGGTATACGATTCAAGAGCGGGTGCAGTTACTAGAGTATTGTCCACGAGCACAGAGAAGGCTGGCGATATCGGGATCCTAGCGGATCCTTCCAGCGCAAAAAGTAACCATTGTACTAGAACAACGGCGAAGTACCCGCATTGTGTCTTCAATATGGGTTGGTGTCTGATATGGTTGTCCTTTCGGTACATATCTGCCGAGGAGAGGGCAAATTTTCGACTCTTTCAAAACTCATATACGATTGGTGCTAAATGACAGCATTTCGAATGAAGGAGTGTGAAGCAACGCGGTATCTTGGACAGCTGTAGCAATATGGTACGTCATCTGTAAAGGATAATTCCTGGGAGCTCAGTGATCCTGGCGCTATATGGAACTGAGTTGGAACCCTTTCTATGATATCATGACTATTGGGATGTAACCCTACTTACAATGTGTGGACGATAAAAGCATCGAACCCCCAGCGTATTCCGGAGGGGCCTTACAAGGATTAGTCTCGTATCAATTATACTGCTTGGTATTATTACAGAGATATCGACTGAGCATGACGTCCCAGCAGCGCTAATTCGCGTACGAGGATCCGCTGTCTTCCGTGACCCCGTCAGAGGGTCTAGAAGCAGCGGTATATTTGCCAATCTGTAGAAGGCTCAGCGCAGTAAATCAGTTCAACCTGACCGGATTCAGTCTCCGAAATGCCTGGATGTCACGCAATCCCATCACGTCAAGGACCGCTCCGCTTCCCGGGAACAATGGTCCGTATTGCTTCTTTTCACTAGGCTTGCGCTGACCGTGGATCGGCAGGTAATTATCCGCATGCGTCTCGGTCGCTATAAGGGAATCTTTTTGGGTTAAGGGCAGGTGTGGATCCCTGAGCATGTGCCGTAGTATACCGATTGTGCAGAGCGCCAGACCTGACTTGTCTACCGTACTCTTTCTGGGTCTTCCAAGAAGTCTTAGTCAAGGGTCGTCCCAGAGAATTTTAGGTGAAGAGACCTATGACAGATCTTCGCAAGATAATATTAACTCTTCTACCGGTCCATGGGACTCCAAATATAGTCGCTTCGATTAACGAACTACACTCTGCTGAATCCTAGGGTGCCGGTACCGGTTGACGCATGGACTGAGCAAATCAAATTCTCCCTCCGCTATTCTAATGACATCTCTCTCCATCGACGTAAAGCATTGCACAATCGACGCATCCCGTGGTAATCACACGGAGTATGGGACGGAGTGACATCCATCAATCAGCGTGAAAAAAGGCATGACTGTGAAACTTTATTCCAGGTACTTCCATTTCCGGTGTCAAAGTATCATCACTCGCGCACTGCCCCTACAATTCGTCCTGTTTAGATCGCAAAACTTATTTATGGGTAGTACTGAGATCGAGCGGAACGCTTATGCTCCGCTGAGAGATGTCGCAAGGTCTGACGCTCATGAGGATGAACAAAGGGACGAGAAACGGTATACACTTTGGAAACCTATAAGAGTATCTGTTTCATCATCTAGATCGTTCCTAATATCTTAGTCAAAGCGCAATCGACAGAAACACGGACAATATGAAGCCCGAATCCACCTTTCTCTTCACGTCCGAGTCTGTAGGCGAAGGCCACCCGGACAAAATATGTGACCAGGTCGCCGATGCCATTCTCGACGAATGTCTCAAGCATGATCCCCTGAGCAAGGTCGCTATAGAGGTCGCTGTACGGCCCGGATTAGTGATTGTGTTTGGCGTCGTCCACTCCATCGCTCTGTTGAATATTGACGCCATTGTTCGCTTGGTCTTGAGGGACATCGGGTACAGCAGCCCGGACCAGGAGTTAGACTACCACACGTGCCAAATTATGGACTATGTGGAATGTCGCTCAACGCCCGACATTTCTTCTTGCGTCGAGCCGTCTGAGAATGAAGCGGCCGGTGACCAGGTAAAAAAATTCCGTCTATGCTTCTCCTCCTTACAAGAGAATTGACAAGTGGCAATTCTGTCTCTATATTCTAGGGGATGGCCTTTGGATACGCAACGGATGAGACCCCCCAATTACTGTGAGTTTCCACCCCACCCCAACCCCCCCTCCCAATGGAATTCGAGACCGTATGAGCAAAGATAACAAGTAGCATTCAGACCGTTGACCCTTGATCTGGCGCACCGAATCTCCCGTGATCTGAAAGCGGCCAGCATCAAGGGCATCCTTCCATGGCTTCGACCGGACACCAAGGCACAGGTTACCGTGGAGTATATGGAGAACCAGGGAAGGATGATACCTCTTCGAGTCCATAACGTTGTTATTACCGCCCAGCATACGCCGGATGTGACGGTAGAAAGGCTACGGCAGGATATAATTAACAAAATTGTCCACAAGTCAATTCCATCGAAATATCTGGATGACCGGACCGTCTATCATGTAGGTCATGGTGCCTAAAATCCACCCGCTCTTTTAAAACTCACAGAAGATATCTGTCACCAGATCCAGCCTACCGGAGACGTCGGAGTCACACCGTCGGGTAAATTTGCTGGTGTGACTGGACGCAAGATTGTCGTTGACACCTACGGGGGGTGGGGCGCCCATGGGGGCGGCGCTTTTTCCGGGAAGGATTTTCGCCAGGCATGTCCCTTCATTCTGTCAGGCCCCTGATTGTGGAGATCTCTTTCTAATCCGTTTTGAGCGAAATGCAGGTCGATCGATCTGCGGCCTATATGGCGCGGTGGGTCGCCAAATCAATCGTTCATCACGGGCTCGCGCACCGGTGTCTCGTCCAGCTATCTTACTCCATCGGCATAGCAGAGCCCTTGTGTATCTTCATCGACACCTTTGGCACCAGTCAACACACCACGGAGCAGCTAAAGAAGATTATACTCAAGAACTTTGATCTCAGGCCGGCAGCGATTGCGAAAGCACTAGGGTTGATTGACCCAATCTACTACCAGACTGCCAAGAACGGCCACTTTACTAACCAGGATTTCCCTTGGGAGCAACCCTGCGACTTGGTGCTGTAGGGTCTTTTGTCCATCTCTTGTCTCTTGGCGCCGATCGGATTTATACTAGCTTACATACCAATGGTTGTCCACATTCGGCATGCGGATAGACCTAGAAAAAAGTTTCCTTGCTTGATACATTTCGCTGGATTGTTTCAACCGAATATGAAGGTTGCTACTGTTACTGCCAATGTTCTCCGTATTGGGCCTATGTGCTTTTGCGCAAGCTACTAAGCCCTTAGCCATCTACAGACGAAGTAGATTCCCTGCTTGATCCAGAAGACAATATCGCATATATATTTGACCCAAATGTCCCCCGATGTATAGCGGGCGCGGGCAGATTACGGGACACCGCAGAGGTCGAGTTGCGCAATTTCCCTTCCAGTCTACATAACGTATTTCCCGAGCCAGCAGCTCACCTCAAGCGTTTTGTACGGCACCTAATATTTCCATACCCTGGTCCCCTCTTTCGATCTATTCTCATCATGCTGCCTGATTTCGACCCTCTCAACCTGGCATTCGACTTGGGATGTTGATTCCGAAGGGCAAATATCCGTGTCAAGGTTTGTAAAATCCTAGAAACATCACTAGGAGCCGTAAGGGAGGTTGGAATCGGAGTGACATGTCCTCTTCAGAGAGGCCGTATTTATTAAGCACCACATAATCCCGTTTGTTCTCTCTAGTATGAGGACCGTCAAAGATTGTAGCTAGTGGAGAAGTCAACCATAAGGGCATGATAGCATATGAAGCTTGTGTCTTGATTGATCGCTTACTTTGGAGCACCCAGAAGTGGTGGTTTTCTGCAGATTTTGACCTAGATCCGGATGTTTTTCGAGGTAAAAAGCATGCACACGCGGGCGCGCGTTCTAATAGATCTCCGACCTTTGAATATGCCCGGGGTTTACCTTATGCCACCACTGTGGGCCGGCTTTGGCTGAATACCACAGCCGCTCTGCTACATTCCAGTCCTACGGTCGGCACTATGTTTTTCAGTCTGTAAGTTCTCCAATTCCTCTTATAGCCCCCGTATCCTGCCGAATCCACCAAATGAAGAATTTTTGGCGCTGGGAGAGCTAGTGTTTATGATGGGGACATTGCCCCGTTCCTAACTGCACTGGAAATAATGGGGATCTGAAATACGATCCCCATCTCTCTCTAACACATCGGGTGGCGGATCGCGTCTGGCAGACTTCGTCCGCAATGCCGATGCGTGGCCGGATTATCCTCGAACGAACGAAACGCACTTTGTTGAGTGAGGATAATGTTAGTGAGAAAGAAAACGCCTACGTTCGGGTACATATGACCGATAAGATTGTACCGTTGCCTACTACAAGTCTGAGCCAGGTTTGCCATGACCATTGGGTGAGTTCTTCAAACGTGTAGAGCGACGGAGAGCGGAAGGAGAATTTGGCGGAGTGTGTGCTTTGGGGGGTGGATATTGGACAGATAACTTTCTTAAAGGGGGCTTTAGATATCATAGAGGACCATGATAATGCCATTGGTTCTTTTTTTCTTTTTTTTTTTTTCTCCATTTCAATTGAATAAATAAATAAATAAATAAAAAGCAGCTTAAGTGTAGGGAGCAGTGAGGTTCAGTCGGCGAGACCCACAATTTATATATATACCTTTTGGGTGTCGGATTTGCTGCATAATCTAAGGGTTCTGTGTTAAACGGTCACGAACTGCTTATAGCTGAAATCCGCCACAATATATTACACGTTCTTTTTTTTAGCACAATATCTAGCCAAAAAATTCGGTATTGCCTGAATAAGATAAAACAAATCTATCAGCCACACCCGCCACTTATTGCTTTAACTGTCTTCCTAAAGCCCCTACCTGGCTATATTTACTACTATGCAGATGTAGAATCAATCAATCATTACAAGGAACTTATTTCCGGTTTCATTTCAGTGAGTGATGTCAGGATCCGCCTTTTTTTACTTTATTGCGGAACTTGTGACAGTAACTATTATACACTCTTTCATTCACCATGAGTTTATATTATCAACAAAATTCGGACAAGAGTGTTGTTACACATCCCATTTTATTTTATTTTATTTTATTCTTCTTGAATTTATCTTTCATTCGACTTATGTTCTGTATCAATCCCCCTTTCAGCACCTTCCCTGGCGGGCTGATTTCCTACAACCACACCTACTACTACCTGAGATCCTATAACCCCAGACCCCTAACTGAGCCGTTCATCATGTTCCGCAAAATGATTGGGAGAGAGAAGATTGATGAAGGGATCCTGAACGAAGCGAAGGAATTAACCCAACTTCCTCAAGGAGTCTTGAAAGGCGTTATTCGAGGCCTTCGAAAGATCAATCCTGCTGTTAACGATGATGACTATTACGCCATATTTTTGAAATGCAAGGAAGTAGGGCTGTATCGCCATAAATCGAGACGATTCCAGACTCTCTCCCATCTTCGTTGCCTTATCCAGATAGACAAGGCAGCCGCCGAACGTGTACTCCCGCACACAGTGCCCCCTGACAACATTTTACATGCGCTGGAACGCTTGCTAGCCCAAGAAATCGTTACAAGACAGGCTGCAACAGCTGCAGCGTTTCGTTTTGTTACCGGCTGCGGTCAACATATCGCAAGCCAACATTTGCGACCCGAAGTATCGGTAATCGAAATGGTTCTCTCCGCCCGGACAGCTGGCCAGATATCAGAAAAAGTAGCGACACTCGCACAAACCGCGTATTTCTTGCTTCTGGGGCCAGATGAAGTGAGCCGGATCCAGCAAAAGGAGGGAATACCCGGAAATGAGAATTGGGCCTTATTTGAGGCCGCGCAGAAAGAAGGACTCGGGAGTGTCAATGTCGCTGTGATGCGCCAATGGAAGCCAATCCCAAGAGATACCATCCAAGATATCATTGACAAGGGATATGGCCACACCTTGCAAGAGGCCAGGAACGAGTATGATGCAAGACATCTGATGCGAAAGCATGGCGTGGACCGTAAGGACGCTACGGGCGCACTGGAAAAGTTCAACGGTGACATCAACAAGGCAGACCAAGCATGCAAGGAACTTGCAGAGGCAGTGAGGAAGAACCTCCAGATTTCTCCAGTTGTTCCTACAAGAGACACACGTAGTGCTCCGAACGTGACGAAGAATACTCGGGTTGTCGCTGTACTCGGAGTCGATGAAGGGCCCAATGATCAGAATGCCGCGAGTCCATCGCTGGGCGATGGGTGGATGGTTTCGGATTTTTATCTCTGGCTCGGCGTTCTAGAAGGAATGGGAAAAACACAGGAATGGATAACTTGCCTAGAGCCTGATTATCTCCTGGATAAGTATGGGCGGGAAAATAAGGTCACTATGGAAGACATCGAGGGCGACAGATCAGTACTCAAACCTGTGCAAACAAAATGGGCCACAGGATTCATTCATGGAGATCCTTTCGAGGAACGCAAAGTTGTTCTCGATGATGCCCTGCTTCCAAGGGTCCGTGATCGAGTGACTATTGGGCCAAAAGGTCCAGGCCTTCGTGACTTCTTTCTGAATCGCTTGGAACGAACGGTCAGAGACGCTGCTCTATGCAGAGACAGAGTTTTAATCATGATATTTTCACATGGGGACTACGACACTAATGGTGGGCTCCTCGTTGGTATTTCTCCGTTCGACAGTGGAGAGAATATCGGAAATGCTGTTATTCGCCCTGAACACATCACCTCCATTCTTGCTAAGCACCCTAATGTTAAATTAACCATTTATATGACCTCATGCGACTCCGGCCATTGGGTTGAGACAGTCGAGTTCCAAGGAGCACAGCTTAGGCCAGTGGTTATGGCAGCTGCCAAGCGAAATGAAGAATCCTTTGGGTTTGTGTGGTCACACTCACAACGTCACGCGGGAGGCCTCTTTTCGGCGGCGACAGTCACAGAGCTCTGCGAAGAGCCAACAACCCTTCCAGAAGATGCTAGTCAGGATACCTCGCGCGAGTATCGTAAGCTCACAACGCAAATTTCCGCTGAAATGAATCGATTGTGTCTCCCAGCTAACATAACCGCATTTTATGGATCCTCTCCAGTATTTAGCGATCGGGAGTCACAAGAGAAGTTTTGGCGGAGAACCGGTTACAGCCTGCATGATTATCAAACCAACTTTGATAAACTTCACACCATACCACCCTCCGATCCCCACCCTAAGCGGGATCGAAAACGGTTCAGTGCGGACTCTACCGATGGGACCCATCCGGATATCCTGGCGTGGGAGCAACGTCATCCAGGTGTTATTGACGAGGATTACCCAGAAGCAACTGGGGGATATGGAGCGACTAGCCGAGGACTGGTTGCTCCCGGCTCAATGCGATACCTTATCAATCGATACTTGAGGGCCAAGCCTCGCCTAGAGGCCCCAGAACACAAAGCGCTGTGGGGTCGGTGGCGTATGTATAACAAGGACCAGCTAAGCCATGAGCAAAAGGTTGCCCTACGAAGGGAGCTCCTGGTGTACCTGCATATGAATACTATGGTCAACCAGTACACAAAGGTCCTTGGCCTTTATAAACTCACTAATATTGAGTCCTGGACCCTGGCTTCTACAGCTCGAGAATACGATCGGGACACCTTCGGCGACGTCTCGGATGCGATTGCCCGATCTCGCATCCTACATATTGAACCCCCTAACAAGCTAAGGTCTCACTACCATCGAAAGCCCTCTCAGTACCTCGCAGCATCAATGCTGCTCGCGGGGTACAATAAGTGGGATGTGGAGGAGGCCATCGCTAAACTCTGGCGCCTGCGGAAATCGGGCAAGATTATGGACCAGATCTCTGCTGATTACCTGTGTTCTATTCGATACTCAAAGTCCGTAGATACAATACGCGCGCTGCTAGGGGCCAGACCTGCCACTCAGCCACGCAGATCTCTCGCTGATGTAGAGTGGCGTTAAATGTGAGCAGGGCAATGTCTTTGAGACTGACTTATTAGTTAGTGGGATGATCTCTGACTCCTCTTTTCTTAGCGACCGACTAATATCACACGTGAACCAAAATTAGTTACTTTAAATACGATTCCTTGAAGCTTGATCCTAGGCCATTGTATGCAGATGTCTGTGGATATGGAGTTGTTCCACCATTGGAGGGGCTATTAGAACGACCAAATTGGCCAGTGTTCGTTCTTTTTTTGATAGGCCCGACCCCGTGGCCAATCGTAAGCCTATCTTGTTATTCACCAATATGTCGCTCGTATCTCTGTACAGGCATTTGATACATACGAGAGACCATCTATTATTCAAAGCTCTTGAATATCGCCGGACGGTTTCTTTTCAGTTTCTGCTCCTTGCTCGGAACCTTGTTGATGGAGAAGCCACATATTTAGCGCTCTAAGCAAAACGACAGCAAGAAAATTGGATTGGTATTCCAAAAACTTGCCAGAGAAACGAACAAACCCCACTGTCATCCACAACAAAACGCTTCACACAATTGAATTGGGCAGTATAGGTGCAGCGTCTCCCGTTGAGCTGATGCGTGAGGCTCGGAAAATGGTCGGAGAGCAATATTTTCATGCTCGAGTATTGGGAAGCCACTATCAGTTTGACATGGTCAAACAAATTCTACCCAAGGCATATGAGGCGTTCATACAGAAGCATGCATATAGTGAGGATGAACGGCTTGAACTAAATCCTGCGTGGCCTTTTGATTCGCAGATGTTATGATATAGAGCTGAACCAATCCGTCGAGGGAAGAACAGACAAACTAATGGTCCGGAAAGGCGGATTTCAGGATGTTCATTATATTTATGCATGTCGTCTTTGATTGTTCAATATAAATGCTTAAAAGCTGCCTCCAATCACGCCAATCATGGAATCGCGGGATAGGTGCGGACTCGAGGAATACTTCCATTATCTGCGCGACATCTAGACTAGGCCTACAGGTGGTGCAGAATAGTCTCTAGGAAACAGTTGTCGATTATAAATTCATGAAAGTGGTTTTGGCATCTACGGTCCGTACCTTTTTTCTTTTTTTTTTTCTTCTTTTCTGTTTTTTTCAATACTTGATGGGGAACTTTCCTTATTTACGAAACCAATACAGCCCCCTTGCATAGGAAGCTGTGCGTCATACGTAAAGAGCACATGGAAATGTAGGATAGGCAGATAGTCACGGCAGTGCTGGGTGTCTCCGGCCACCGCGAATAACTGCCATCAAGCGATCAAAGCAAATGCACTCTGCCATATCTCCCACCCCTTGTTTATCTTTCTCCCGCCTCACTTCAAAGAGAGTCGTGGTTGAACTCGTTACGCGCTGGGTGCTGGAATAGATCTTTGGAGCTAGGGAAAACCGGTGGAGGAAGCAGGATCACGCGGGTTGCTGACATGCTGAGTGAGGCTAGGTGATCTCATGCGGATTTGTCGGATGAGTGGCGGCGGATGGCTCCCAGTGCCGCATGTTGTATGATCAAGCGTACGACGTGATAGTGCACCTTGATATAATCATAACAGAAATTGCAGCTGTGAATTGAATGGTGCTTTCAAAAATTGAGCACATGGGGTGATAAATGGACCTTCTAATATAGGAAAAGGTCAAAGTTGCTTGGGGGTCTAGACTTCAGACTCCTATATCGTTCGCTTTGATGAGGTTGGCTGTTGCTCGAGGTCGGCTGCATTGATTCCAGCGTACGACAGTTGGCGTTTTTGATCAATCGGAACTTCGTCACTTATCTTCTGAACTAGGGGTACTAAGGATAGACAAAAAGCCACCTGTTGTGGCGTCTTCGCTGGTCGTTTGGAAATGACTAGGTGAGTTTAAATCTCAGCTTGGACTTTTGGATGCTGGCTCATGTGCGGAGAATGTGCTGTCTTTGACGCTCTGCAGATGTGGTTTCACTGGGAAGTGGTGTAGATAATCCTTGTGCCTGAGACTTTTGCGAGTCCTGTATTAAACATGACGAGTATTTGTACTGGCACATACACAAGCTTCAGCTGGAGGCCGTGCAGGGTAGGGGTATTTTTGTGTTTGGCACTTAGGAGTGCTCAAGGGAAAATCATGACGGGGTTTAGGAGCAAGATCAGGGGTAGTGATTGGGAATCGTGAATTCGGCGAGTTGTGTGAGAAAGGGGGATTATATGGCTTGAAGGTGTTGATGGGAAATGTAGGACAGAATATATTGCAGAGGATTTTATGCGGGGGGAAGACTGTGAAGCGACGTGGGAAGGGAAACGGGAAAGGTAAGGACGCCTGTCTGATATCTGGTTCCGAATACTAGACCAACCATATCCACCATCTACAGATTCAAGCGTTACATGCGTACTAAGTTAACAGAATTCATTAACTCTAGTGTAGCACACAGGAAAAAGGCAAAGAGAAGGAGGTGCGACATTGTGTGTTATTTGCTGGTGGACTGTGCAAATTCTTGAAGCGAGATGAGTCTGGTGGGCCAACGGATGGCTTCTTGGGGGGTAATGGGCAGGGAGGTGGGAGGACAGATTATCCGAACTAATACAGGATGGAGAGTGCGTGTCCTTGCGGAGATCATAGACCCTATATTCCCAAGTGTCTAAAATTATGTCAGTCAGAGCAAGAGAAGCTCATAAAATGTATCTGGAGGGGATACATCCTCGAAAGTTGAGATACCAGCGGTTGCTTTTATACGGAGCCTATAAATTCTTTCCATAGAAAGACAGCAGACAAAATCCCTCCATAGCTAGGAGCATAATTAATGGAATAGTGGCCAGGAGGATGTGGACCTCTCCAAAGCTAATGAAGCAAGTGTAAATACTTCATATGGCCTGTCGGCGACTCTGTTGCTGCAGCGTGAAAAGGGGAATGAACCGGATGGGTTGAGGCACCAGGCGGTGGCTCCGGGTAGAACAGCCGTTCACTGACAGCTGTCTGTACTCCTCTAATCGACACGAAAGAAACTTAATAGATAGTGTCTATATGCTGATAGAAGTGTTAGTTATATCTAATTAAGTTTAACTAGATCTGTAGAGTATTCCTTGGGAGATACTACAATATATAATATTTATCTAGTGCATTAGAATTATACCACTGTTTATGGTGATATATGCCGTTAAAGTCTAGTGTCACCATAAAACTATCTGTAGTAATATATTTAACTCTGTTTAACTATTTCGATAGTTAACAGACGGCGGAAAATGGCTACTTCCGCGGCTGTTCTAGGAGTCCTGCTAGCCAATATCCGTCTTGGCATTACATGAGTTAATTCCCACGACCATGGGCTTCCTTCCACGCAAGACCATAATCTCTTGTTTCTGTTCCTGACACTGGTTAATCTGTTGCTCATGTTCAATACTCCTACCGAGCTAAGAACAACAGACACCAAGTCTATTGCCGTTATTATTTTAGTAGGCGAAAAGGCCGCCCTTGAGACGCGTAACCACAGCGAGTGGGATGAGCCCAGGTGCGGTGAGTGGCGAGCAGTGGTTGACATAGCTCATGTCAAACTCTCAAACCCGTTACTTTGCACGGACTGCTATCATGGCTAGATTTAAGCCGTAGCTATCTTCGCTGCTAAGAAGATGGCGAAAAATAGGAAACCGGACCTTTGCACCTTACGGTATTCCTCTTTTCAAGCTGAATTTTTGTCATCCTTGCTTGTGGAGACTATCAATCAATTGATTTCTAGCCTCAGCTTATGTAGATATAGACTAACTCGTAAGATATATTATAGCAATCAGCGAAGCAGCGAGTCGCTTACAGCTTTCATAACTAACACATGCAATCTGAGTTTTGTCTCCCTGGTTGGGGAACCGTTTCTGCTTCTTGGCCATGGATGGATCGGCTGACAATGGTCCCTGTATCACGTCTGCCTCCTTATGCTCATCAGGCATTTGGAGATCAACTAAGGGGATCTGCAACCAAGATGCCGTCAAAATCCTCCACTGTTCTTTATCCGGGTTCCAGACAGAAATCCCTCGGAAGTCAGTGTCCTTGAATACCATTACAGCTCCGTTTAATCCAGCGTAATCAAGCGCGATGCCAAGATCGTGTGTGGCATAGAGTCCGGGACCGAATTCGTTATCAAAACTAGTACTTGAAATTACGGGCAAAAAGAAAGTCATCGATAAGCACGCAGCTGGACATGTCAACCCCCTGAAGAGAAACGCGCCGCTTTCAGGATCTAGGTTATCCCGTAACTGATTTCTCAGCTGGGCTTCTAATTTTTCTGTACTTTTATGGTGTTTCATATTTAAGCATAGGACTGTCTCTGGCAACGTTTGCGGGCGATAAAGGGGGTACAGCGCGGGAATCCTGCGGCGAGTGATGTCGTTTGTGACTTGAGAAGGTATATTGAATAGCGGGAAAGCAACGACTGTAGATGAGAACGATGGCGGAGGGAACGTGAAGAACCTCTCGTACCTCTTGAAAATATACCCAGGAATCTTCTGTTCGTATACATACTGGTTCAGCAAGAAGCCTACCGGGTGAGTCCCCAGAGGGACAAGAACCACTTCATCTTGTAGAAGACACGCCGGATCGTCGATAACCTTTACCATGTCATTTAGTCCAAATAACCAGAAAATGCTTCTATTCGAGCCGACCATCTGGATAGACTCTACGCGTCTCGGTCAGAAATGTTGGCAGATTTCCCATTTACAGAAAATAGAACTCACTATTGCGCTCCTCAGACCCTAAGTATTCAGCAATTACTTCAGGTATATCCCCAGGGTAATTGCCTTCAACCCAGAGTGGGTCGAATCCATTCGCTGACAGGTCCTCCCAGTCTTTGATTCCTCCTTCGGCGAGAATTTGCTCATCTGGGTCGACATCCTCGCCGACACTCGAGCTGGATTCATTGTCTCCAGTTGGTGCATCGTCCAAAACACGATGTTCCTTAATATCAGAACTCGTGGCATCGGTCGCATCTGGAGTTAAGTTGTTAAAAGCGACTGGGGGTCGCAGATCAATGAAAGGAACCATGTCATGGCCTTCGTTCATTTCTTCCAAACGCGCTAAAGCATCGTTGATGAGACCCCGTACCGAGGACATTTCGTTCACTAAAGAGCGGACCGATGTGCGTAACGTAGCCATTTCTCCAAGTAGCCTTTTGCTCGCCTTGTGGGGTGTCCTCATCCAAGATAGGCACTGGAGAAAGTCATCGTGAAAAATACAAGATGAAAGAAAAGAGGAGGTGATGCTCTTCCTTTGGTTAAACTCCAGCCATCTATTCCACGTCGCTTGCAGGAAAGATTGCAAAGAATGGTAATGGCTGTACGCGGTAGCATTGCTAACCTCGAAGACCTCTAGAGCCTTCTGCAGAACGGAACAGTACCTGTAAATGATACTCTTTATAACCTTTCGAAGTTGTGTAAACCAAGCCACCGAGTCTTTACTAGTATTCCATTCCGGTAGTGAGAGACTCTCAACAGGGGCCTCTGGGAGAGCCTTCGACGGGCTGCTGTCTGAGGGAGTCGCCGATCGAAGCAATACCAACGGCCGTTTGTCACTCTCAGGGGATGACGACCCCGGTTCAGTGATGACCATCAGTAATATTTTCTGTGCACTTGAAAAGGGGAATTAGACAAGAAGATGATGAGCAAACGATAACCTAGATCAACAAGTTGACTATAGGGCGATTACACGGATGAGAGTAATTGTGGGGAAATGGCACCACGGTTGCCGAGTTTAGCGTAGTGTAACACGTGATTCTGCTTAGTGCTGGGAGCTTTAGATAGCGAGTTCGGGACTTTTCTCCGAGTGACATCTGAGACTCTTGAATCGGCCTATAACTCGCCAAATATGGATTAGGAAATAAGCTGTTAGGTTCATCTTCCTTAACTGCCCTGCTCTAAAGATATCCTCATCTAATTGTTGGCATCGAAGGACCTCTTAACGGTATAGAAGACCCTACGCCTACTATTAGGGGGCGAACCACGTCATACCACAAGGTGTGCGGTATTTTCGCGATTGGCTGGTTGGCATGATGGACTTGGGCAGGGTGGTACATTGCGCCGAGGCTGTCCCAAATTGGTTGGGGTACAATGCTGCAATAGTATCAACAAAGGGGCCAGGCTGACTTTGCGGGTGGAGAATAGGCGCTGTCTCTAGCACGGAGTGGTTACGTGGCTGTTATTCCCATCTCAGGTGAAAGCCCTCCCCAGGTTAGAGTGGAAAAATGAGGGGGAGACCGAGAAAGAGAAACTGAGACTCCGAAAAGATGTTGAGATATCAAAAATGGAGTGTTGATTCCTTTCATGCCAGCTTCACATCGCCACAGGACGAGGGAGATAAACCAGAAGTTTTAGCTTTACTTCCATGGATCCAGACCACTCCACTGAAAGAGGTATTGACAATGAATTGAGGTCGGAGCCCGAGGATTTTGAAGATCTAGCCAGATGAGGCTTCGGCGACTCTTTGAGCCAAAGGCAGGAAGCGCGGGAACCTTATCTAAAAAGCCAATCTATGGATGACGCGGTATCATTCAGAGGGGGGACAGCGCATCAAGCGCGACGAAGAGGGGAGGGAAAAGTGAAGAGGAGGGTGCGTCCTTTCAGGGAGACCGGCTGGGCTTATATGGATCAGTCGGAGAACGTTAGAGCGGCAGGGCAGCGGCTAAAATTACCGAGAGGCGGCGCATACCCAAAATGTCAACACTATACCGCAACTTGAAGGGACACTGATACGCCCGCTGGCCGCAGCCAGTAGCGGGCAGCAGAGCGACGGTTCAACTAGGCTGACCGTTGGGAAGGCAATAGGGAGCAGCAAACCTTGGGTTCATCTAATTGATCGCGATCTATCTATATAAACATACTATGTGTTCCATCATGCATTCCAGGCGTTTCAGAGCTCATCGACGAAACTCCAGACTCTTACCAATGATTTTCCAGGTGAACGGTCATAAAACCATTGATCTATGCCACCGTCAAACGAGCGACAATCTTCTGGGCCAGCTGCTCTAGGCTCGTGGCAGAAATGATGTCCAGAGTTGTCACTTCCGCCTTAAGCTCTAACCTCACCCAATTCCGAAACTCGACTGCAGCGAGGGAATCCAATCCGTAGCTGGATGGAGCCTTGGCCGGCTCCATTGGCTCGCTCAAACTCAGCATCGTGGTAAATTGACACACGGTAACATCGATGGCGGCATCAAGGATCGCGCTAACGGCTGCCTTGTTCTTGAGCAGGAGCTGCCATGCCTGAAGACCGGCGTCCTTGCCGTCGTTATTGGCGCCCGCATCTTCGCCGCCACTGAAGCTGAGAGTGTTGAACCGGGCGTCGCGCAGAAGGCTGGAGTTCTCACGTTGAGGTACAGCAATTGAGGTGACGGGCTGGCCAGCACTGGTCTCGCTGATGGGCGTGATTTGCTGCTTGAGGGAGAACTCGGCAATCTTCAGCATCAGGGCTTCATTGATCGGAGTCCAGGCATCGGAGCTGAGGTTATTTAGCAGGTCGACGTGGTGGCTCATGTAGCCGACGTCTTGAATAGCGCCTAGGTCGACGGAGTTGCCGGCTAGGCCGAGGCTGCGGCGGTAGGTGGCGAAGGCGTCCAAGAAGGCGTTGGCAGCGGCATAGTTGGCTTGCCCCTTTTGACCCACAACACCTGAGACGGACGAGAGCATAGTGAAGAAGTCGACCTCATGTTCTCCTCAATGAGAACGTTGTGGATGTTCCAAGTTCCTGCAACCTTACAATCTACGGCGGTATGGTACTCTTCGATGCTCATATCTGTGAAGACACGATCCTAGATTAACGCGTTAGCAAGCAGCATTCAAATGAGTGATTCTTCAGAGGTAGACTTACGCGAAGCACCATGGCTCCCTGAATCACACCGCCAATGGATACTGGAGACTGCTTAATCACCCGTCGAACATCACCAGCCTTGGACACATCTCCTTGACCAAGGGTAACAGCGCAGCCCAGAGCAGCAAGATCCGCAATCACGCGCTGAGACACTTCATCGCCATAGCCGCTTCGGGCCATAACGACAATATGCTTTGCACCGAGACCAGCTAGGTTGACAGCAACACTTCCGCAGAGACCTTTTAGTCCACCAATCAAGAGATAACCGACGTCACCTCGGAGCTGAAGCGGCTGTCTGCTTGGACGTACGAGCACAGGGACAGGCTCTTCCCCGCTCGTGATGACAATCTTACCAATATGATTTACAGAACGCATGTAACGCATCGCGCCTGAAATATTGTCCCATCCGAACGTCGTCGCCACGTGGACGGGTTTGACATGGCCAGCCTCGAGGAGAACAAAGAGCCTTTTGAGCAAGTCGTTGATCATGGCATCAGACACGATATCGTGACCCATGTCGAAGCATCGGTAGGAGGCGTTGCAGCCGAAAGGCTCCATGCTCAGGCCCTTGCGGTCAAGCATATCTCTCTTACCGAGCTCAACCATGGTACCTTCAGCGGCAATGCAACGCCAGGATTCGTCGAGAAGGTCGCCCGTTAAAGAATTCATGATAGTGTCAACACCATAGCCGTTTGTAGCTGCCATGATCTCTGCTCCAAACGAGGTATCACGAGAACTGAAGATGCGATCGGCGGGCACACCTGCATGCTCGACCAAGAAATCACGCTTCTCCTGGTTACCACATGTGGCGAAGACCTCAGCGCCGATGTACTGGCAAAGCTGGATACAAGCCAGACCCAAGCCACCGGATGCCGAATGGATCAGGACTTTCGAGCCTTTCTTGGTATCGGCAAGGTTGAAGAGAGAGTGGATGCCGGTCAAGTAAGAAGATGCTAAAGTACAGGTCTCTTCAAAAGTCATGGAGTCCGGAATCGGGTACACACGCTCGGCCTCAGCGCGAACGCGATTGCAGAAGGCGCCCTTCTTAAAGACGAGGACCCGTTGCCCGATCTCAAGCTTGCGAACATTGTGCACATCCTTTCCGAGGCGGCGAACAATACCAGCGCCTTCCAATCCGAGAATGTGTTCGTTCTCAGGCACAATCCCCATGGTGATGACAACGTCCTTATAGTTCAGTCCGGCAGCATAGACCTCGACTTCAACCTTGTTGTCATCCAGCGGTATATCATAGGGCGCCACTTCAGAGTAGATGAGAGAGTCTGTCGTTCCAACACGCTCGCATCGCAAGCGGATCATGTTAGGCGAATCGTGCAGAGACTGCTTGATCGGCTCAGAGCCCTGGAAAGTCTCGCTTGCGACAGCATTGACTTGGTCATCTGGCTGGATATGGTTGATGTGAATCAAGCCGTTGCGCTCAATATACTCACTTTCGACGTGGTGGAATACCTCGGGCTGGCCCAATTGCTCGAGAATGGTCTCCACCGACTCCACAGTAGCCTCTGTCGAACTCCCGGAGACGTCCAAGGTGGTTAATTGAACTAAAGGATCCTCGGCACGAACAGTACGACCCAAGCCATGAATCATAGCCTTGTCGGGGCTGGAGATGGTGGTCTGTGACCCACTGGTCACCCAGAGGACGCGCTTATCTAAAGCAAGCAGACTCTTCAATGATTCCCAATGCTCAAATGACAGGGTTGGTAGTAATGCTGTGTCAAGCTTGTCGAGCACTAGCAAGCGCTTGGGAGCTTTGCTGGCCTCGTCGGCACCGTAAGTGATAACATTCCAACCGTTTGCCTCCAGTGCGGCAACGACCTTAAGTGCCGGCGTACTCGGCTCGATGAACTGATAGATTGAAACGTCTTTACTTGTGCAATCGTCTTCAGCCTGCGCCCTGGAAAGACTGAGACTTGCGAACTCGTTGCTCTCTGCGAACGCCAAGTGGCCGGCGAAGGTCAAGCCAGCAGATTTGAGCAGGTCAGCGTACGAGCCGTTGTCGAATTTCTCGGCTTCTCCATTAACGATGACCTCACTATTCTGAAGAGTGCGGTGGCTTAGGAAGAGGACTTGACCCGCCTCCTTGACGACCTTCTTGAGTTGCTTCGCCACGTGCTCGACGTTTGCCGCTGCTGGCGATAGACGGACGACGACAAATTCAAATTCATCCACCGCAGAAACAATGTTCTCAGTATCTAATAGGGAGATCTCCATCTTTTCAGATGTGTATTGCCGACCGGCCTCAACGAGGGCCTTCGGGTCTGTTAGACGGTAGACGAACTGGCGGTAGGTTTTGCCAATAATGTCCTGGCCCGCAACGGAGCTGGCCCATACGCTCTGGCTTACACCGGGAACAAAATTGAGTTCGAGAACACGCTGAGCGGGTTTCTTGTGGGCGGCAAGTTTGATTATCTCGCCTGCTACGCCAATACTAGGGTCCTGTGCATCTTGCTTCTTCTCAGCTAGTTTTTGCAGACTCCTGGTGGAGAGCAAAGACACGTCAGGCCTGGAGACCAGGGCGCTGAAAGTGCGAGCATCGTACACGCTTGGGCCAGTACCAATTCTAGTGTAACGGAGGCCAGACAGACTCAAGAGGAGGTTGCCGGTGTCGAGGTCAAACGCCCTCACGTCGGACATGCAGTTCTTGTTGTCGGTAGGACGACCAAGACCGACGTAAGCGGCGGAGGTCAGCGAGAGACCACGGTCGGCCTTGCTGGAGGTTATGATCAGGCTGTCGATCATCGCAGGAACAAGAACAGCGTTGACCGCATGGCGATTTCCTTTCCAGAGAGACGGCGCGCAAGTCTGAAAGCATCCGTCCATGGCGGCAGGATGCATGGGGTACTTTGACTGTGGGTACTTGGACTCAGGGATCTCTAGCCCTAAGATTGATCTGCTGGTGCGCGCTCCTGGACGTGCTTCAATCTGAAGCTGCTTGAGGAACTTGGGACCGAAGCTATATCCCGCGTCGAGCATAGCCTTGTGCCATAGGCTTGCCTCGACCGGATGCTCAAGGGGTTTGGTGTCTTCAGCAGAGGCCACTTGAGGGACGTCCTTGTCGATTCGGATCAAGCCACGGACGTGTTCGGTCCAGGTAGAGCCAGCCAGTGAAGATACTTTGAACTCAAACCAATCACCAACTCCAGTATGGGCAGTCAAGGTCAGCGACATCCGGATAGATTGGTTATCTGGCAATACGAGCGCTTTCTTGATTTGCACATTCCGCAAACGGTACCGTGGTTTCTCAAACTTCTTCTCGCCTTCGAGGATGTGTAGGGCTTCGGATCTCTGGTAAATAGCCTCGATCGCCATGGAGATGTAACCAGCAGCCGGGAAGACAGTGTCGGGGCCCATCTTATGGTCCGCTATCCACAGCAGGTCCTGCACGTTCAGAGATCTCATGAACGCTGGCGATTGCCATGGGCTGCCGAGGACCTTGCTTCCAAGCAAGTCGTGCGGTGAAAAGAGTCTGTTGCGCCAATCTTTCGATGCTTCGCTCTCGTACCAGTACTTTGTCGAGTGGTTCCACGAATAGTTTGGTAGGTCGATCACCACCTTTGGCTTTATGCCGTCTACCTTGTTAACCTGGTTTAGGTCGACCTTGCCACCAGCGACGTAAAGGGATCCAGCGACTTCGAAAATGGACCTCATATCTGCTGCACCACGAGCCATGGCGCTAGTGTATTGAGCCTTAATCCCCCCAAGACTCTTCAAGACCTGCGAAGTTGGGCCCTTTAGAGCACCAGCAGGACCAATCTCGACGAGGAAGTCTGGAGCGTCACTGGTTGTCAACATGTTCGATAGAGCGGCGTCGAAGCGGACAGGGCAGATCATATTCGACTTCCAGTAGTCGGAGTCCGTGAGGCCAGCTAATTGTTCTCCTGTCACAGATGAGAACATTCGTACAGCACCCTCTTCAAAAGGAAGGTGTTCAAAATCCTTGGTCAACAGATCTGTATAGCCATGGCTGATTTCTTCCATGAAGGTCGAATGGTAAGCCAGATTGACTTGTAGCATACGGGCGAATTTACTATCCTCGGTCAGCCACTTCTGCATCTTGGTGAGTGCATTCACGTTACCGGAGAGTGTGAGACTGCTCGGACTGTTGTAACAGGCAATCTGCACGCTCTGTCCCAAGCCCTGGAGGTAAGTTGTTATCTCTTCAGCACCAACTCCAGTAGCCATCATACCAAAAGCTTGCTGATACTGCTGTAGTTGAGGAGCTGGGCCCTCTATACTCTTCTCAGCCAAGGCAGCAGCTTGGCCACGGTAGTATGCTGCTCTGATGGCAGCTTCTTTGGATAGCAGGCCAGCTGCATACGCCGCGGCAATTTCACCGGAGGAATGACCGACCACTCCCTTTGGTGGTACTCCCCATCTTTTAAGGATATCAACCAAGGCGATCTGGAGAGCAGTGACTAGAGGCTGGGAGAATTCTGGCTTGCGGAGGTGCTCTGCCTCGCGTGGCTCGGTGAGCTCGCTCAAGAGAGACCATGATGGAGGAAGTGAGCTGCTCTGGAGGAACTTGTCAAGCTCTGCGACGACGTCGCGGGCTTCAGGGAACGTGTTGATCATGGCTTTACCCATCTGGGGCCACTGAGCTCCCTGTCCAGTGAAGATAAAGCCTACGCGGGGTTCACTGGTGGACTTCTTACCAACCACAAGAGCACTTTCGTTGATGGAAACCTTATCGGTGATAAGGTAACCACGGTTGAAATGGTTCGACCGACGTTCTGAGAGCGTATGTGAAAGATCTTCCAGCGAAACCTTCACATTGGGGTTGGTCAGGTGATTCTTCAACGCCGTCGCGCTTGCACGAAGGGAAGCTTCATCATTTGCAGATAGCACGAGAAGTTGAGGTTGGCCTACAGAAGCCTCGTCGTCGTCGGCGAATAGATCGGCTTCAGTCCGGTACGAGGAAATATACGTGCTTCCTATATCAGGCAGAAGGACCTTGGGCTCCTCAACAATGACGTGCGCATTCGATCCCCCGTAACAAAAACAGACGGTAAATGGTCAGGGTCAGGCCGTAGGTGGCAATGGCCGCAGCAGTTGCACCTAACGCCATTGCTTTCAGCGAGTAACCGTGAAGGAGTCCGAACATCTTGGTTGAAAAGTTGGAAGCAAAGAGATGCGTTCAATGGTAATCGAATTTGCATTCAGTTAGGAAATAGGATGATACATGTACATAGCCAAGCCTTCATTGATGTTCATTCTATTGGAGCCGCACGTCGGCGAAGAGGCGTTCCAACCACGACCAAGAAACCCCGATCTGACCACCTACCTCAAACAGCACGAAAAGGTTCCAAATCCCCCCGGACCAAGGATTTAGATCCTTCGAACTTTGCAGGCCCTGCGAAATGCGTCCTTCACTGCTTTTACTATTGAACGTAGTTGGCGCAGATCTACCTCTCTTTTCCAATAGAAGTATATAAAGATAAATAGCTAAATTCACTGCCTCATCTGATTTTTCAACAAGTACTGAGCAACAGCGCGTACGGGCCTCCTCTAGGTATAATGATATACGAGGAACCGGAGTAGGTTGTGGATAATGATTTGGATAACGATGTCCGATGAATCCTGCAGGAATAGAATATGCAGAACAATGTACAAGGAATCCTGCAGGAACAGATTGTATAGAATGATGTATGAGGAATCCTGGAGGAATAGTTGTGCAGAACGATGTACAAGGAACCCTGTAGGTGTAACGGCTCAGGCCAATGTAGATAGATTAATCTTATTGGGTAGCTCTAATACGAGAGAATCGCTTGAAGAAGAGAATATCCCACGAGGGGCTGGTAGCTCGGCGTGGTCTAAAAAAACCTCGGCGTGGTCTAAAATTCTGCCCCGAGATACACTGCCCTTTTTAGACCACGCTGAGCCTAATGCCAAGAAAAGGCTCATCGTGGTCTAAGTGATTAGTCAGTATTCTTAGACCATGATGAGACACTTGGGAGATTTTTAGACCATGCTGAGTATATACACTAGGGCTTAATCACTATAATAGATAAGGCATAGCCCTAATAAATTTCTACTGCATAATATATTGTATTGCTTCTGCATATACTCAGTATAGGCTTGTCCTTATCAAATCCTAATAATGGCTAGTACTGAAGTTACAGAAAGAATAGTATAATAGATTAACAATATCCTAATTCAGGTATATACTTATTATACACTAGGTATATGCTAAACTTATACTTAGAAATCTAATTCTTAGACTAAGGTGCAGGAGTCTTCTAGAGATAATTATAGTAGTATACTTAATACTAGATCTACTCTGTCAGATCCTGAAGATAATATACAGGAATAAGAATCTTTTATACCAATAATAATGGGCCTACAGTGAGTAAGTATATTGAATATATATATAGTATATACTGACCCTATACTAGAAAGCAGCTACTCTAGATAGTATTATTATTACATAAAATACCTGTTATAAGATTATAGTTAAAGAGATTCAAGAATATCTTTTAATACCAGAATATCTAGTAACAGCAGTAGAAGATATTCTCTATTTTATTTATAACTGTAATCTATTTCCAGCTTCAAGGAATCTAAATAATTTATCTAAGAAAGAAATAAACAATATTTTTATATAGCTTATATTAAGGATATATAAAGTATATACTTGATCTAGGCTAAACTAATATACTAAATAGATTTAATTTATAAAAAGCTATACAGGGGCTGCAAAACTTATTAAAATAGATCTTCTGTAGAAGCTTAATATTAATAGATAATATAAGGCTTGGCACAGATCTTATATATATAGTTTAGTGAAGACCTGTAAACAGGTTTATAACTATATACTGAGTATATTACCAGTATATGATCAGGTTAATCTTAACTTACTTAATAAACAGTACTTATATTATACTGAAATCTCTTATTCTTAAGCAGTTAATTAACTAATTAAACAAGAAACTAAAGATATCTTTTATACTTTTATAAATTACTGGAGACAGCCTGAAGGTCCTTATAAATATTAAGATATCAAGATATATAAAGAAATATTACCAGTAATGTTTTATTAAAATTAGGTATACTCTATATATATATACTATATATATTAAGTATATACTGAACAAGCCAGAATTATTTTCTTGGCTGCCCTAAGAACTCAGATATTAAATCTTGGTATTATATTTATCCAGTTTAATAATTTACTTAGATTAACAAGACTTATCTTCAAGTTCTTATAGAATATAGAACAGGCCTAAAAATAAAAAAATATGATTTTATTACTTAGCCAATATCTTAAAGAAGATGGTATAGTAAGTATATCTTAAATTTAATAAATATATATACTAAGTTTATATTTAATCTAGTATAAGTATATACCCATAATAGTGGCAGGCTTCATATTCTAAAGTATAAGATTAAATTTAATTTATATATTTCTATATCCTGGCAATAATTTCCTTTTTTAATATTGATTTACCAGTTAAATTATATTTATTTTCTATTGCCACCAATATGATTACCCAAAGATATTGTAGATAAGATAGTCCAGATAATCTTAAAGTATAATATTCTTAATCTAACTATAAGTAAGTATATTTCTTCTATATATATAGTATATACTGAGGCTATACTTTATCTAGGACAGTTTATAATTTCTCTACAGTTTACTAATATATATAAGCGATTTAGTCCCTTAATACTATAGGTATTATATTAAAGCCTTAATATTCAAGATAAAGTTTAAGCTTTAATCTGAAAACACAGACTTTTAACTTATTCTAAAGAAACTGATATTGCTGGTATAGTAATAACTATTATTTTCTGAATATATACTTAGCTAATACTAGAAGTATTGTGTAAATATATCTTTAATTAACTAAAAGAGAATAATCAGAAATAGATATATAATATTTATTTCTTTGATCCACAATATTTCCTTATTCTATGCTGTATATATGCCCAGGCAAAGACATTTATTAATATTAAGCATATTGAGATAGACCTCTTATTTAAAATGGTTAATAGTAATATAAATGTCTTCTTAATTTCTGGATGGAATCCCCATATGCAGAGTATATGCCCAGTATACCCTTTTAATATTCTTTACTAATTTACTAGGGATCAATATATTTGTATATACTATAATATTCTTAAAGCTATTCAAGATGCTTGGAGATATAGCTCACTTATCTATATAGTTTCCTTATATATAGCATGGTAAGAATGAGATCTGGACAATAACTATTGATATATATAAGAAACAAGTACTAGGTATATATTAAATAGAATATATATCTAGTATATATATTCTATTAAATTATATCAGGTCTTGGAGATTACTTATATATGCTAGATCTATCTTGAGAATAGGCTGAGTATCTTCTCTATATAATTATATTCTGCTAAACTTACTTAAAGTATAATTTTTACTTAAAATATAAGAACTATTCTGTAGAATATTTACTTAACAGTCTTTTAGAAGTACTATCTAAACCTAATTTACTTAAGTATATAGATTATATATACACTATATATCCTGAAACTAGGTCCTGGCTAGAGAAGAAGAAATGACTATAGATCTTAAGTATACTAACTCCAGAATAGTTAAAGATACTAATTAAAAAATAGATATATACTCAGAAACATACAGGAATTAGTGAAAGTAGTTATTTTCAAGATAATCAGAATATTAGCTAGAAATAGTTACTTCTAGTAGCTGTTTTAAAGTATAGTATATCTAGAATAGATATACAGTCTATACTAATACTATATTAACTATATATCTAGGCTATATAGGTTTATCTTAGACTTGTTAGGCCCAGCCCAAGAAACCCGGCCCAACCCGGCCCAACCCGCCAAGAAATGGGCTGGGTTTGTGTATACAAAAGTCCATGCCGGGCCGGGTTATTGACTACCCCGGCCCACGGGCCGACGGTTTAACCCACGGGTCATATACGGCAAGCCAGTGCAGCCAACTATGCAAATTGCGGAGATATATCGGACCGTATCTAATTCTTAATACCAAAGTAGTTTAGTGCGAATACAGATATTAAGGCAGAAGCTACTAAAGATATAAGTAAATAAAATTCTAACTAAGTTGGAATATATAACTCTAAAGGAAAAACACTAAGTCTGATTAAAAGCCTAATGTTGGGTATTATATGTC